AGTCTTTCTACACTCACGTCGCCAAAGAGTACGCTGTGTGCCTCGACGGCTGGCCGCAGCATCTCGTCTTTGCGAATCTCAGTGATGTCCCGGGCGGCATCGCCATGTTACAGGATCTCCTCAGCCGCATCCACCGCGGTGTTCTCGTGTTCACAAAGCTCTCAGAGGACGAGCATAAAGCACTCACCGTGCAGAGTGCTGCTCCAGGAAAGTTTACGCCGCGTCCACCCCGGGCTCAACGGCGGGATTATGGTGTACAGCGCGTGCCGCCCTGGCTCCGACTGTCGAGGCCGCCCCGGAAGGTCTGCGTGGGCCCCAAGAGTAGCGAGTATGTCGAAGACTCGGACGCGTACACGGCCGGAAAAAAATCAGGAGGAATCCTATCAGCGGAGGTACCGTGTAATTTCGCGCAGTCCCACCTGTGAGCAGCCTGCGATCTGCATGCGATCTGCTTGCAATTCAAGGTCGGCGTTTTGCCCTCGGGTTACGTGTGCATATATCACAGAGTACTTTGATGGACCCGAGGGTACGGTACACCTACCTTTTTGGGTAGCGTCAGGTGACGCACTCGCAGCGACAACGAAGTCCGAGGCGAGGATAACTTACTGGAGTGGTGAGCAAGGCTGCAAGGGTACTGTGATCATAGAGACATTATGGATTTGCCCGAAATAAGATTTCCTATATCCTCACGTATTCTGACTTCCGCGTTGAGAACGCGCGATACATATGTAGCATGCTCAAGAGTCAAGCTAGTCAAGACCGGACTTGCACTTGAAGAGGTTGTATGGGCATGGATGTTATTGACATACATATACAAGCCGTTGAGTCTGCTAACAAAGCCAGCATGGCTCAGTTGGCTACGACGTTGCCTCCATCTATCTACCATACCGGGGTTCGACTCCCGCTATGTTTGATCTATTTTTACAGTTTCCCCTTGTCCTTATGGCCGGCTATGGTTCCCCTTTCTGGTGGGGATTATGTCACAGCGGCCCACGTGTAAGACCTACAAGCAAACCACAGGCCCGTCCTGCAGGTGCGACATCACCCTTGATTCACAGGACACCGTCAAGCTATCCGTCAAAATATCATCATTCCCCTGCGGGTGCCTCGTTACCCGCCCTACGGTTGCCTACTGGCAGATTTCTGCCCGTGTATGATTCCGAGGTTGAGGAGATCGAGAGTGTTGCGGGGGTGGCTGATGACGGTGGTCTATCGGAGATTGAGAGCGCGTCGGGATTTGATGACTGAATGTTACTGTGGAATTGAATGTTCTTTTTGCGCGGATGTATGCGAGTCGCCGTTAGACGCGGCCGCGCGTAGCTTGCGAGTCTGAAAGTCCGGGAGCAAGAGAAGGCAGTCGGCGCGGCAGCGCGCTAAGCCCGGTTGCCTCATTTGGGTGTGCCATGTGGCCGAGCCATACGGTGGCTGACAGCGCGTTGACAGGCCTTCGTCTCGACGTGCCAACGTCGCCCTGACTTGGTGAGGAGTCTTGCAGCCCAACCAGGCTTGCAGAGAGCCATTCCCATGTCATAGGAAGCCATATATTGCATTTTTCGTGCAGAAACAGTGCTTTCACGCATGTTCCAGCCGAGTCACGGTTGTTGTTCCGGCCGTGCACGCTGCAAATCGGACGACAGGAGCTAACCTCAGCTTAACCTAACCTCTGTAAACCACAGTCCCTGTCTGTACTTGTCCCCTGTCAATATGGCATTGCCACGGACATTTAGCAATGATGTTTGGTGCGCGCAGATACCCTGAGAGCTTCAGACGGTCATATATTGACCTGGGCCGAGAGTATGATCCCTGGTGCCCTCAGCTGCCAAATGGGGTTAGGTTAGGTTAGGTTAAGCGAGCCTGGTGCCTCCGGCGGAACACACCGTGCAGGCAGCATCCGCCGACGGCACACAACCATACAGGTCCGCCGTCGCGTACAACTGTGGTATACCCTCACCCCAATGATCCTCACCTGATCATAGATAGAACGACATTGCTTATGTCGTCCCTGAGAACACCAAAAGTCATGACATTGGCCTGGACTACAGACAGCATTCCAGATTATAATGAGGATTCCTCGTTACAGTCTGGTATGCTGTCTGAGAATCCAGCCAATACAGGCTTTGAGCTCAAGCCAGCTCTGTCAGACTGATGAGCAATAGATCTCACCAGGAAATCCATAGCCGACGGCTCATAGCAATGTCCGATCAGTTACAGACCACAGACTTAACACCGGTACAGCGCTCAACTCAGTCTCAGATCTAGTAGATGTCCTCATCCCGTTGATGGCAACATGTCTGACATTCAGCTGTCCAGACTCAAATTCATATGAATGCCGTTGGTTTGCTCATCTCAATAGCTTACTTCATGTCCCTGGCACTCTCATTGTACATACCTGTCGACACTCCCACTGTCCCAGCATCTACCACGCACTCATCTACCTATGCAGTTCCTTGCTCGCCATCCCGTCCCTCCCGCCTTCACCCACATCTTCTACCATTCACATCCTACAGTCACTGCCATTTCGGTCACCACCATATGCCTATAGCTCCCCCTGTTCTTGTCCTTGCGTCTGCAACGCTCACGCTGCTCACCTTCGACACCGGCTCGTCCATGCACAGGAGCAACCAGCAGCCCCATCTCTCATCCGCGTACGCGTGTTCGTTTCGTTTGTCTTTGTCACGCCACGATCTCACGCGCTGGTCCATAGCAGCTCGCGACTGCTCGCGTCGGACACCACTAGCCACGCCTAAACATCAGCAGCGATGGTCACACAAAATGCGGACCAGCTCTATGTCCCTCCATAGCAGGGCGCGCGCGCCGCTGCCCGGTTGTCGGGACGTCAGCCCCGACGACACAGCATCTGCGCACCTCGCCCGGCTCGCTCACCCATGGCGGTCTACGTTCACGGCCGGCACGACAGTGTGCCCGGTAACTGCTAACACCGATCCTGCACCCACATTGCCCGGCCCGTCGCGACTCGACGCCATGCCTTCAGCCACGAACGGTCACCTACAGCGCGGACGGTCTGCTCACCGCACCTGCCGATCCGCCCTCCGTTCCTCGCGCCGGTGCCGGTCCTCGCGCCTACTGCACGTCGCGGCCCGCAACGCGACGTTACTTCCGGTAGATGTTGCGCCGTCACGACAGCTTCAACGGTTGCTGGCGGGGACTCGTCTCATCCGCCAAGGACCCGCTGCCAAACCCTCCTGCTGGTCAATGCCACGAGCATGCGCCCGGTGGCCGCAAAGCCTCGCTCGCGCCCGTTCTGACGGGTTCCGCGAGAGTGCGTTCGAGGGCGATCGACGACAGAGACAAAGCCCTGCTTCGTACTTGGTTCACGGTGCAAGCGCGGCGGGTCCGCATCCCAGCTCGACCTTCGCGGCTGCTGATTGGCTCTCACCACGCGTCCTCCGCCTCGACACTCGTGCGCTCGACAATCATCCACGCCGACTATCTAGTCGTGTGTGGCTGCCACCGATCCTGCGCCTGCGCCCACACACGACATCTGCCCGCCGAAGACGGTGTCCGTGCACTCGAGAGGTAGCTCTTCTGGGCGTCCTCTGCGAGGCCCGCCCCGGTCACCTGCACGCGAACTCCGGGGCGACACTCTGCGCGGTGGTAGGCATTACCCGCCGGTCGAGACCGGACGCGCGCACGGGCACCGTACGCATCGTACGACGATCTCGCTGGGCATTCAAGCACCACAGTCGGTCCAGAACTCGAGCCGGCGCGCAAATGCTCGGCGACGGTCCCCAACGCGCTCGCGGCACCCGTGCTCAGTGGTGCAGCGCGCGGGCGTGTCTGTCTGATCTACGCCGTTGTCCGGGCGAAGGACCGTGGGCGGCACGCGTGTCACGTACCAAGATGCCAGCGGGCGGCGGCGGTGGCCTCTGGGTGGAGGAGTCGTGGCGGCGGAGTGAGCGAGATCGCGCGGTGGCCCACCATCCGCGTGATGTTGTCTGTCCGGCGGGCGGATGAGCAGTGAGGCATGACGAGGGGCGAACGGAGGCGGGGTGCGAAGACGTCGGCATCCTCGCGGACGGAGCGGCTTGGGACGAGTGCGGCGATGCGGACGGAGTGGCTTGAGACGAGTGCGGCGATGCGGACGGAGTGGCTTGAGACGAGTGTGGCGATGCGGACGGAGTGGCTTGGGACGAGTGCGGCGACGCGTCTGCACAACAGGCAGAACGGCGCATGGACGCGAGGGGAGGGGGCGCAAGGAGGACTTGTCGACTCACCTCGAGACGGGGCATTTCCCGCCGGCTGGATCGGAGCGAAAGGAGGCGGACTTGCGAAGACGTCGGCATCCTGGCGGGGATGCTCGTGCGAGACGGCGAGGCATGAGCGCGACCGGAGGAGGCACAAGGTCGACTGACCTGTAGGACGATTCCCGCGAGTTGGGTGGAGGCGAGGGGTCGCTGTGCACGGCTGGAGCTGGTCCGAGAGGGGAGAGGCGGGCGGGGCGATGTAGTATACACAGTACCTAGCGACGCTGAGCTGCGCGGCGGATGCACGGCGTCGACTTGGGCAAGCCGGGGCCGCGCAGCCGTCTGCAGCTCTCGCACTCTGTGTTGCAGGAGGAGCCCATACTGCCTTCCTGGCGCTTTACATACCAGAGACCGAGTCTTACTCACGAGATGTGCCCGGTCTTGTGCGTGCGGGCTGTCCGTGCGGGCTGTCCGTCGCGTCGGGGCGCGCGACAAGTCCGGAGGAGACGCGAGACGACGCAGACCCGCGACTCGGTGCGGAGCGAGAGGCCGCTCGGATGCATGGCCGTTCTCTGAGCGTGCACGGCTGGGTGAGCGTGGCCTGAGCCAGGCCTGGGCCAGAAGCGCGACGCTCGAGCTGCCCGCTCGATCACGAGCGCCACCCGACCGTCGGGCGGGGATGCGCCACCGCCTCGGGGGCCAATGACGTAGAGGCGCCGGGTGGGCTGTCGGAAGAGGAAAGCGAACCGCAGGCGGAGGCTTTGCGCTCCTTGTCGTCCTCTTCCATCAGCGCGGATGCCCCAGCCGCGCTTGAACGGCCCCAAGGCGTCGTCGCCGCCCCTTTCGCCGTCTTCGTCGTCCATTTCCCCGTCTTCGCCGTCCATTTCGCCGTCTTCGTCGTACGTCTATCCCGTCCGCTCGCTTCTCAGCGGAATCCGTCCTGCTCGAGCAGCCGCAGACACGCCAGGTGCGCATCTATCATCGCATTCGACGATCCCTAGCACATGCTCATATTCGTCGTAGATGTCTCCACGCCCGCGGCGTCTTTAGAGGAACACGGCAACGCCCCCATCGGATCCATTCCCGGAGAGGCGCCCCCCTCCAGTCGTTCTCTTACCGGCAGCGCCCTCCTTTCATCCACACCGTCCTTTAGCACCAAAGTCTCTGAGCCGCGGAAAGTCAGTACGCCAAACTTTCGCGACTTCTCTCCGGACGACGACCCGCTTTCCCGCCGTTCGTTTGTCTCTGCACACGCCGCTCTCCATCAGGCAATGATGGACACCGCGTTCAATGACGATGCTACGTCCAACGCAGAGGCGGATGCGCGCCATCCGCAACAGATCTCTGACTTCGCCTCCGAAGCGTTCCCTGAGGTCGCGTCCGAAGACATCCTGCCTGCACCAGACGATAGCGTCTCCAACTTCGACGCGGCATTACACGGTCGCTTCTCAACCTCGGGCATCGTTCACTTGGCGCCTGTCCACTCAGGGTCTAATCCATCTGCGCCCTCGACCATCTCCGCACAGTCCTCGCGCGGGCGCACGAGCCGCGACTCCGTGGACGGCTCGGATTGCTCGGCGATATACACGCCGCTGGGCGAGGAGGAGCTCGTGGAGGTGCCCTCCGTCCAGGAGCCGGACGCAACTTCCTCAGGGTTGAAGGCCGAAGACGCGAGCTTGTCGAGCAGTAACGGTGACAGTGGAGAGGGGCCACATATTGCGTTCAAGTACGCGCACATGGAGGATGAGCACGGACACCATCTCATTGTCGGGAGGGAGGGAAAGCTAGCTAAGTGTGAGGACGAGGTGCGTGCCCGAGTTCTGTGCGGCGGATTCGCGCTCACGATACGCAGCCGATCCGTACACCTGGTGCTGTCCAAGGCTATGGCATTCTCATCGCGGTGGAGGAGGATGAGGAGACAGGCGATCTTGTCGTGCGCCAGGTGTCAGAAGTGCGTGTGGCCCGCATCCTCCCATCAGTCTAGCATGCTGACAGCCTCGCAGAACTCGACAGAGCTGCTCGGGCTTTCACCGCAGCACCTCTTCTCCCTCGAGTGCTTCTCGCAGACCCTACCCGACCAACAGGCGGACGTGCTTTTCGACAACATCCAGTATTTGAACGACACCGCGCTCACACCCGAGGAGCAAGCCGAGAACCTACACGTCTTCATGTTGAGCGGCTGGGGCGAACCGGGCACCGTAGTCACGGAAGCCTTCTCGAAAGACCCCCAAAGGCGGCGCAGCTGGACCTGTTGGGTTGCAGCGCACCGGCCACAGATGACGGCCCCGGCGAACGTGGAGACGAAGTCGGATGGTACGTCCTCGAAGACGGATAGCAACATCATCATCCTGGAGTTCGAGCTCGAGCGCGACACGTTCAACCCGCTGTACCCGCCCCTCCCTACCGACGACACGTCGTCGATGTACTCGGGCGTGTCCTCGCCCTCGGAGGGCACCGCAGCCAGCTCGAACTCCCCGAGCAACTCTGCAACAGATAGCTCCGGCCGGACCTTGGTATCCTCCGGCAGCTCGCAGGATCAGCTGGCGAGCACACTGGAGGAGTCGCCTGGCCTGGCGTCAACGCCAAGCCTCGTGAGCAGCGGGAGCGACCTAGTTCCTCGTCAGACGGACAGCTCGCCTGCGCGCTCGGGGACGGGTGGAACATCCGCCTTCGATACCAACGCTGAGGATGACTGGATGCCCAGCCCGGAAGATATCCTGGAGAGCACGACGAGCCGATCGAAGCCTCTGCTAGCGCTTGAGCGCCTTCGGCGTACACGACGCGTCGTGGGTGACTCTTCTGCGTCCGGCAGCACCAGTACGTTTGGGTCATCGAGCTCTGGCTCTCCCAACGGGAACGCGGCACGGGAGTCACTGCGGCGGGGCCCGTCCCGCCGCCGCAGAGGCACGGGGGCTGTGGGCATGATGGACGTGTTTGCGGTCATGGCGCAGATCAACGAGCAGCTCGGAGCAGCGCCAGATCTGGATACGTTCATGAAGGTTGTGGTGGGTGTCATCAAGGACCTGACGCAGTTCCACCGGGTGCTGGTGTACCAGTTCGATGAGCTGTGGAACGGGCAGGTCGTTGCCGAGCTTGTGGACTGGAAGCAGACGCACGACCTGTTCAGAGGGCTGCACTTTCCGGCTACGGACATCCCCGCGCAGGTAAGTGGTCCACGCAGACATCCGTGGGATTGAACGTTAATCACAGTAGGCGAGGCATCTGTATGCGCTCAGTAGGTCTCTTTCGCGGTCTCTCGGTCATGGGTTCTTAGATTGTGTGCAGATAAAGTATGGCTGTTGTATGACCGTGTTGCCCCGACGGCGCGGTTGGTTGTCAGGAGGAAGCCCTTGAGAAGCCACTTGTATGTATGTCCTAGCCGTCTCTTCGGGTGGTGGATGTTCGCGAACGCGATGTGAGTGCACTGTACTGCGATGGTCGTTGGACGCACTGATCAGAAGTGTATCACCGAGCTGCACGGCCGCAGGCAATGTGCGGGCACGCTCGCGAACAGCAACGCCGCGGACAGCAAGATGCCGCGGGAGTCTTCGGCAGTAGCGGAAGTGTCGGATGACGAGGATCGACGGGGCGAGGTTCAGCGATGAGACGTTGTAGGGCGACGAACTGGAATTGGGCCGGACGAGCCAGCAGACTGCGTACAGGTGAGTACGTTGTCTCTCGTCGCCTCGTGAGTTTAGACAACAGGCCGCGGTGTTGTGATGTCGGCGCGGACTCTGACCTTGTACATACATTCATTGTCAATATATCTCGTTGCACACTCATCACGGCGCGTGCTGGGATGTGGGAGGCGCAAGAGGATACATGGCTTGCCTCAGTCGCCCTCGCCTCGCCTCGCTCCGTTAACGATTGCGTACAACTTGAGGATGACTCTGACATTGAGCTCGCTCGCCAGCTTCAACCCATCTGTCTTCATTAACTGGAGGATGACTGTAACAAGGAGCTCGCTCGCCAGCTTCAACCCATCTGTCCTAGGATGACTGTAACATTGAGCTTGCTCGCCAGCTTCAACCCATCTGTCCTCATTAACTCGAGGTTGACTGTGACATTGAGCTCGCTCGCCAGCTTCAACCCATTTGTCCTCATTAACTCAAGGATGACTGTAATATTGAGCTCGCTCGCCAGCTTCAACCCATCTGTCCTAGGATGACTGTAGCATTGAGCTTGCTCACCAACTTCAACCCATCTGTCCTCATTAACTCGAGGATGATTGTAATATTGAGCTCGCTCGCCAGCTTCAACCCATGATCTGTCCTCATTAACTCGTTATGTTACGTTGTATACATGCTTATTCTGTCTTCTGTACGAACTAAGCTCGCCGTGACTCTAGTAACTATGTTCTCATCTCTCTTGTACGTCAAGATTCAAGATCGCTCGCCTGTTCCAACCCTTTTGTCCTCATCAGCTCCGAGTCCATGGCTGACTGTGCAAGCTCATTGTGTCTAGTACTACGACCCGACTTCGGTAACCTTGTTTTCTTACGCTCGCTCGCCGATTCCAACTCTTCTGTCCCATTAACTCACATTGCCATGTACTAAGGTTTGACATTCATGTTCTCAAGGAACCACATCGAACATTAGATGACAGTGGGCCGGACTCGGAGACACTAGTACGCGCGCATTCTATCCAGCACTGGGTTGTGCATAGTAGTTTCAGACGAGATACATTGTGTACATAGTGTAGTCACCGTGCAATTGTACACTGGCATACTAAGCTATGTATCTCGACCGTACTGCACCGTCAGGTGCTACCACAGACAGAGGGCCGAGGTGCCGGATTCTGTCCTGCCGGCGAACATCCTGACAGTTCGAATTAACAACGAGGGGCCGCGCAAATACATCGAGTGCGCAGAGGCTCACGACCAGCCGACAGATGCCCGGACCACTATGTAGCCGCACTCGACCGAGCGCGTTGAGTGCGTGGTCGCCCTACTGGAACAAGAACGGGAAGACGTACCCGTGCAGTATGGCCGCGGCGTCGGTCACTCATCACGCCATAACGCATCGCCGCCTCGCATCACCAGCGAGACTCGCTGATCGACTGCGCAGTCATGAACAGACCGCCCCAGTGGGCACGACGCGCAGAGTCGCAACTTCTAGACGACGCGCAAGCCTTCGCAACTCATAATACCGGAGACTTCGATGTAATCCGGCGTGAATCTAATGAGCGCAGTCACTCGCGCATAGCTCCAATGCACGGCCGGGTTTCGGCGGTGAACGTGGTCAGACAAGTGAAGTGAACGCGCTGAGGTTTGATGCTTACCGCGCCGGAGGTGTCCTTGCTACTGGTGACCAGGGAACTCGCTTCGACACCGAGCCCAAGGTTTGGTGCAATGACGAACTTCTCGAGGGCTGACCGGTGCGCCGAATACACAACGCGGCGACCCGGAGTGCGGAAACATGCTGTTGAACACGGACGTCACCATCGACACATGAAAGTGGGCTATAGTGGAACGTACCATTGTCGCGACCATTCGCTGTCACTGAGACGTGAGGTGGCAGGAGCAAGGAACTGGATTGTCCTGGCTGCCTCTCCTCGCTTTATAGCCATCGTACATCAATGATCACATGGCGTTGCTGACCATCTTTACTAGCTGCACACGGCGTCCCGGAGTCTCGACAGCGGCCGTCGGGTTACAGACCGTTTGGCGGGAATTGAAACCGACACGACCCTGACTCGCGGCGTATTCAATTTTTCCTGTTGTCAGGGTGCATATGTATTGGATAACTTCACTCCGGGTGCCCGCGCGCTGGCCGCTTATGTACCCGAGATTGATGTATCTTCTGTACCTGAAATGTGGTCATTGTGAGCGTGCGAGGTAAACTCATTTGGCGGAACCGTACATTCTTCACAGTGTGTGAATCGGACACTTCACGAGGGATGTTCTTTACCATGTCGCGCCTGTGCGCATCGTGCACATTAGCTGAACATTGCTATGTGCATACCCTGGGCCTGAAACACTGCATCATTGCCGTCAACGTTCAGCTACCAGCTCCCAGACACAAAACCGCATCTGAATACATTCGGATGCGTCTCCTCTGGACGGCATTTACTCACCTGACGGGAACCGTCGTACGACAGCATCACACGCCGCGTAACAACGCACCGCTGGTGTGCCTTCGAATGTGTCATACTGCTCCACGGATCCAAGGAGAGGCCGCGAAGCTGTCACAGCGGCGAGCCGAATCCGTGTAGTACCCGTGCAGCGAGATCCATTGAGGTATCGCGGTCAGCTGTGTTCGTGCCAGTGTTCAAGCTGTGCAGCAAGACACCGAGTGTAATCCACTGGGAGCCCGGGCCCGCACTGCGATCGAACACTATGCATTACCAGAAGTCCCGCGACGAGTGCGGATTGACCCGCCATTGTTACCGCCCTGCGGTGTCATTGGTACTGCCTGAGGCAGCCCGACCGGCTTTGTTCATTGACGCAGACCGTCGTATGGAGACCTGGATATGACTCAGCGGAGACCGTGACAGGACGGTGCACCTTACACTAGGCATCGGGATACGCAGGCAGACCTGAACAACCGGGCACCTAACCTTCTCGGGATCTCGTGAACGGCAGAAGTAACATGACAAACTGTTGGTCCACACGATCAACATGTCGAAACGCGGCGAAGAGATCGGGATCCACACAAACGTACCTTTGGCGCCGCCCAACCGGCGTTGCTCGCCGGTACTGAGTTACAGTACGCGAGATCGGACAGAAAGCCAATCTGCCGATGAGCGCAGTTGCTTGCCGAGTGGAGTGATCTACATAGGGGGGATTGAGGCGCCAACCCTCCGCGGGGCGAGATATATGCCGAGTCTTCCATCGCGTTACATTGAGTCCTGGACTCTCAGGTCTGACCCTGATCAGTGCGCCTACCTGCATTGATGCACGCACCGCGGCATGCCGCATTGAGGTATACGTGGCCTCGGTAGCAGCCCGGGGATGTTCGTCGCCAGGTAAGGCTGGCAGTGACCCCGCCAGGCAACCAACACCGTGGGTCAATGGCTACAGTGAGCAGTGGCGGTCCTCTGGTGCTCACGGCGACACCATCGTGTGACCCTAGATGTCGCAGTACCTGGGTACGACGTGCTAGGGATCGGACTCTAAGCGGAGCGAATGCTCAACCGGATTGAAGGCTCGAAACAGGGTGTGTTTCGGGCCATACAGCGGCAGAGGTTACGCCCTTGATGCGCACGTCACGGCGTTGCAACCTGAGCTATCATTGTTCTATACTGAGGCGACCCTCGCAGCCAGGCTAACAGATCGATAATGGTGGTTGGAGCTCTGGGCGCGCACACACCTGTGGCCCAGAGTTCCTGGCGAGGTATTCCGTCCATACGTCATTGACCAGAGTGTTGCGGATCACTGAGCAGATTGCGTGGTGGAACGGTCGTCGAGAGGCGAGGAAAACGTGCATTGACACGCTCCAATGGCATCCATTGGACAGACACACGGACACGGACCGTCTGGATGTTCATGTCGGCAGTGCATGCGTTCTCCGTGCACGAATTGACCTGCACCAAGGCGGGTTGACATACTCGTACTTACCAAACGGCAAGACCGACCCTACAACCGAAGTAAATGTGTCTGCGCACCGTACGGAGAATGGAGGCAAGCATACGCGTACCTTGTGTGATATGCCGGAAGGAGTTCTGGACCGCGCGTGGGATCATGGACTCGGATACTCTGCCTGACCACATTACTGCGAGCTTAAGCCCAACGGCTACCTGACCGCTGGCCGTGCTTCTGCTTGGTTGTCTTGTTGTGCGCCTAGTCTTCGAACGCCTGCGACTCATGGCGATGTCGACGAACAAACCCACGTTTATGTGTCACCATCCGTGTTAGCTCAATAGCAAACACACAGAGGGAGGTCGAGCGAGCTTGCAATTTCCGCAATCTGTGCGATGCAACGTACTAGGGCAATGACAAATGATGTTGCTCCCGTTGGGCTGCAGTCACTCTTTCGGAGGATCGGCTTGTTTGCGGTTGCTCCTCGAAACCTGTGATGATGAATTCCGAGCTTCTGTGCTGCCAAAGGAGCAGACTCACAGGCACATAACTCAAGTGTTACGCGCCGGGACGGCAATCCCAGAACGGCGGGATACCGCGCCGCAGAATCAAGCCTGCGTTTGAGTGAAAATCCACGCCTAGTCCGAGTAAAACTCTGACCGGCTGCGCGCCGTCTATTGGACTTGCAATACATTGATCGGTAACACGGCGCTGCACCACGCCTGGTGCGCGAGACGGGTCGAACTGTGGTAAAGCTGCGAATAATTGATCTAGTGCGAAACACGAGTGGGAAAAACGGGAGACGTGCTGAGTATATGCAGCGGCCCATCATTACCGACAGACACAACTGCCGATGTACATAGGTCATCGGGAGGGCGCTCTCGCGAGATACAAGTAGGCCCCGTATATCCACTGGAGACGAATATCCGTGGCCTAGTAGCCCCTCCCTCCTCGCACGACCGCCAGTGCGAGTCATCATCCGATGCGCCTGCAGTACACCAAGCCTCCACAGCGGCGGAGCCTCTGGCCGGGACTCGTCCTGCCGAAGAAACGAATAAAGCACAAGACAACGTACGGTACTCGTTTTACAAGAGCGCGCGGCGAGATCCGGCAGCTACTCACAAAGCAGCTTCGTGCGCGCCGTCTCATCCGCATGCCTGCATCAAGTCTGACTGATCACATCTTGTAACCAGAGTCAATTTCCGGCAAGGAAACCGCCGCAATGAAATGGACCGCGGAGTCTTTCTACACTCACGTCGCCAAAGAGTACGCTGTGTGCCTCGACGGCTGGCCGCAGCATCTCGTCTTTGCGAATCTCAGTGATGTCCCGGGCGGCATCGCCATGTTACAGGATCTCCTCAGCCGCATCCACCGCGGTGTTCTCGTGTTCACAAAGCTCTCAGAGGACGAGCATAAAGCACTCACCGTGCAGAGTGCTGCTCCAGGAAAGTTTACGCCGCGTCCACCCCGGGCTCAACGGCGGGATTATGGTGTACAGCGCGTGCCGCCCTGGCTCCGACTGTCGAGGCCGCCCCGGAAGGTCTGCGTGGGCCCCAAGAGTAGCGAGTATGTCGAAGACTCGGACGCGTATGATTCCGAAGTTGAGGAGATCGAGAGTGTTGCGGGGGTGGCTGATGACGGTGGTCTATCGGAGATTGAGAGCGCGTCGGGATTTGATGACTGAATGTTACTGTGGAATTGAATGTTCTTTTTGCGCGGATGTATGCGAGTCGCCGTTAGACGCGGCCGCGCGTAGCTTGCAAGTCTGAAAGTCCGGGAGCAAGAGAAGGCAGTCGGCGCGGCAGCGCGCTAAGCCCGGTTGCCTCATTTGGGTGTGCCATGTGGCCGAGCCATACGGTGGCTGACAGCGCGTTGACACTGACAGGCCTTCGTCTCGACGTGCCAACGTCGCCCTGACTTGGTGAGGAGTCTTGCAGCCCAACCAGGCTTGCAGAGAGCCATTCCCATGTCATAGGAAGCCATATATTGCATTTTTCGTGCAGAAACAGTGCTTTCACGCATGTTCCAGCCGAGTCACGGTTGTTGTTCCGGCCGTGCACGCTGCAAATCGGACGACAGGAGCTAACCTCAGCTTAACCTAACCTCTGTAAACCACAGTCCCTGTCTGTACTTGTCCCCTGTCAATATGGCATTGCCACGGACATTTAGCAATGATGTTTGGTGCGCGCAGATACCCTGAGAGCTTCAGACGGTCATATATTGACCTGTATGATCCCTGGTGCCCTCAGCTGCCAAATGGGGTTAGGTTAGGTTAGGTTAAGCGAGCCTGGTGCCTCCGGCGGAACACACCGTGCAGGCAGCATCCGCCGACGGCACACAACCGTACAGGTCCGCCGTCGCGTACAACTGTGGTATACCCTCACCCCAATGATCCTCACCTGATCATAGATAGAACAACATTGCTTATGTCGTCCCTGAGAACACCAAAAGTCATGACATTGGCCTGGACTACAGACAGCATTCCAGATTATAATGAGGATTCCTCGTTACAGTCTGGTATGCTGTCTGAGAATCCAGCCAATACAGGCTTTGAGCTCAAGCCAGCTCTGTCAGACTGATGAGCAATAGATCTCACCAGGAAATCCATAGCCGACGGCTCATAGCAATGTCCGATCAGTTACAGACCACAGACTTAACACCGGTACAGCGCTCAACTCAGTCTCAGATCTAGTAGATGTCCTCATCCCGTTGATGGCAACATGTCTGACATTCAGCTGTCCAGACTCAAATTCATATGAATGCCGTTGGTTTGCTCATCTCGATAGCTTACTTCATGTCCCTGGCACTCTCATTGTACATACCTGTCGACACTCCCACTGTCCCAGCATCTACCACGCACTCATCTACCTATGCAGTTCCTTGCTCGCCATCCCGTCCCTCCCGCCTTCACCCACATCTTCTACCATTCACATCCTACAGTCACTGCCATTTTGGTCACCACCATATGCCTATAGCTCCCCCTGTTCTTGTCCTTGCGTCTGCAACGCTCACGCTGCTCACCTTCGACACCGACTCGTCCATGCACAGGAGCAACCAGCAGCCCCATCTCTCATCCGCGTACGCGTGTTCGTTTCGTTTGTCTTTGTCACGCCACGATCTCACGCGCTGGTCCATAGCAGCTCGCGACTGCTCGCGTCGGACACCACTAGCCACGCCTAAACATCAGCAGCGATGGTCACACAAAATGCGGACCAGCTCTATGTCCCTCCATAGCAGGGCGCGCGCGCCGCTGCCCGGTTGTCGGGACGTCAGCCCCGACGACACAGCATCTGCGCACCTCGCCCGGCTCGCTCACCCATGGCGGTCTACGTTCACGGCCGGCACGACAGTGTGCCCGGTAACTGCTAACACCGATCCTGCACCCACATTGCCCGGCCCGTCGCGACTCGACGCCATGCCTTCAGCCACGAACGGTCACCTACAGCGCGGACGGTCTGCTCACCGCACCTGCCGATCCGCCCTCCGTTCCTCGCGCCGGTGCCGGTCCTCGCGCCTACTGCACGTCGCGGCCCGCAACGCGACGTTACTTCCGGTAGATGTTGCGCCGTCACGACAGCTTCAACGGTTGCTGGCGGGGACTCGTCTCATCCGCCAAGGACCCGCTGCCAAACCCTCCTGCTGGTCAATGCCACGAGCATGCGCCCGGTGGCCGCAAAGCCTCGCTCGCGCCCGTTCTGACGGGTTCCGCGAGAGTGCGTTCGAGGGCGATCGACGACAGAGACAAAGCCCTGCTTCGTACTTGGTTCACGGTGCAAGCGCGGCGGGTCCGCATCCCAGCTCGACCTTCGCGGCTGCTGATTGGCTCTCACCACGCGTCCTCCGCCTCGACACTCGTGCGCTCGACAATCATCCACGCCGACTATCTAGTCGTGTGTGGCTGCCACCGATCCTGCGCCTGCGCCCACACACGACATCTGCCCGCCGAAGACGGTGTCCGTGCACTCGAGAGGTAGCTCTTCTGGGCGTCCTCTGCGAGGCCCGCCCCGGTCACCTGCACGCGAACTCCGGGGCGACACTCTGCGCGGTGGTAGGCATTACCCGCCGGTCGAGACCGGACGCGCGCACGGGCACCGTACGCATCGTACGACGATATCGCTGGGCATTCAAGCACCACAGTCGGTCCAGAACTCGAGCCGGCGCGCAAATGCTCGGCGACGGTCCCCAACGCGCTCGCGGCACCCGTGCTCAGTGGTGCAGCGCGCGGGCGTGTCTGTCTGATCTACGCCGTTGTCCGGGCGAAGGACCGTGGGCGGCACGCGTGTCACGTACCAAGATGCCAGCGGGCGGCGGCGGTGGCCTCTGGGTGGAGGAGTCGTGGCGGCGGAGTGAGCGAGATCGCGCGGTGGCCCACCATCCGCGTGATCTTGTCTGTCCGGCGGGCGGATGAGCAGTGAGGCATGACGAGGGGCGAACGGAGGCGGGGTGCGAAGACGTCGGCATCCTCGCGGACGGAGCGGCTTGGGACGAGTGCGGCGATGCGGACGGAGTGGCTTGAGACGAGTGCGGCGATGCGGACGGAGTGGCTTGAGACGAGTGCGGCGATGCGGACGGAGTGGCTTGGGACGAGTGCGGCGACGCGTCTGCACAACAGGCAGAACGGCGCATGGACGCGAGGGGAGGGGGCGCAAGGAGGACTCGTCGACTCACCTCGAGACGGGGCATTTCCCGCCGGCTGGATCGGAGCGAAAGGAGGCGGACTTGCGAAGACGTCGGCATCCTGGCGGGGATGCTCGTGCGAGACGGCGAGGCATGAGCGCGACCGGAGGAGGCACAAGGTCGACTGACCTGTAGGACGATTCCCGCGAGTTGGGTGGAGGCGAGGGGTCGCTGTGCACGGCTGGAGCTGGTCCGAGAGGGGAGAGGCGGGCGGGGCGATGTAGTATACACAGTACCTAGCGACGCTGAGCTGCGCGGCGGATGCACGGCGTCGACTTGGGCAAGCCGGGGCCGCGCAGCCGTCTGCAGCTCTCGCACTCTGTGTTGCAGGAGGAGCCCATACTGCCTTCCTGGCGCTTTACATACCAGAGACCGAGTCTTACTCACGAGATGTGCCCGGTCTTGTGCGTGCGGGCTGTCCGTGCGGGCTGTCCGTGCGGGCTGTCCGTGCGGGCTGTCCGTCGCGTGCGGATCGAGGTCGGGGCGCGCGACAAGTCCGGAGGAGACGCGAGACGACGCAGAGCCGCGACTCGGTGCGGAGCGAGAGGCCGCTCGGATGCATGGCCGTTCTCTGAGCGTGCACGCCAGGGCTGGGTGAGCGTGGTCTGAGCGTGGCCTGAGCCAGAAGCGCGACGCTCGAGCTGCCCGCTCGATCACGAGCGCCACCCGACCGTCGGGCGGGGATGCGCCACCGCCTCGGGGGCCAATGACGTAGAGGCGCCGGGTGGGCTGTCGAAAGAGGAAAGCGAACCGAGCTGCCGCAGGCGGAGGCTTTGCGCTCCTTGTCGTCCTCTTCCATCAGCGCGGATGCCCCAGCCGCGCTTGAACGGCCCCAAGGCGTCGTCGCCGCCCCTTTCGCCGTCTTCGTCGTCCATTTCCCCGTCTTCGCCGTCCATTTCGCCGTCTTCGTCGTACGTCTATCCCGTCCGCTCGCTTCTCAGCGGAATCCGTCCTGCTCGAGCAGCCGCAGACACGCCAGGTGCGCATCAACAGAGCTATCGTCGCGGTCGACGATCCCTAGCACATGCTCATATTCGTCGTAGATGTCTCCACGCCCGCGGCGTCTTTAGAGGCACACGGCAACGCCCCCATCGGATCCATTCCCGGAGAGGCGCCCCCCTCCAGTCGTTCTCTTACCGGCAGCGCCCTCCTTTCATCCACACCGTCCTTTGGCACCAAAGTCTCTGAGCCGCGGAAAGTCAGTACGCCAAACTTTCGCGACTTCTCTCCGGACGACGACCCGCTTTCCCGCCGTTCGTTTGTTTCTGCACACGCCGCTCTCCATCAGGCAATGATGGACACCGCGTTCAATGACGATGCTACGTCCAACGCAGAGGCGTTCTCTGACGTCGCGTCCGAAGACATCCTGCCTGCACCAGACGATAGCGTCTCCAACTTCGACGCGGCATTACACGGTCGCTTCTCAACCTCGGGCATCGTTCACTTGGCGCCTGTCCACTCAGGGTCTAATCCATCTGCGCCCTCGACCATCTCCGCACAGTCCTCGCGCGGGCGCACGAGCCGCGACTCCGTGGACGGCTCGGATTGCTCGGCGATACACACGCCGCTGGGCGAGGAGGAGCTCGTGGAGGTGCCCTCCGTCCAGGAGCCGGACGCAACTTCCTCAGGGTTGAAGGCCGAAGACGCGAGCTTGTCGAGCAGTAACGGTGACAGTGGAGAGGGGCCACATATTGCGTTCAAGTACGCGCACATGGAGGATGAGCACGGACACCATCTCATTGTCGGGAGGGAGGGAAAGCTAGCTAAGTGTGAGGACGAGGTGCGTGCCCGAGTTCTGTGCGGCGGATTCGCGCTCACGATACGCAGCCGATCCGTACACCTGGTGCTGTCCAAGGCTATGGTATTCTCATCGCGGTGGAGGAGGATGAGGAGACAGGCGATCTTGTCGTGCGCCAGGTGTCAGAAGTGCGTGTGGACCGCATCCTCCCATCAGTCTAGCATGCTGACAGTCTCGCAGAACTCGACAGAGCTGCTCGGGCTTTCACCGCAGCACCTCTTCTCCCTCGAGTGCTTCTCGCAGACCCTACCCGACCAACAGGCGGACGTGCTTTTCGACAATATCCAGTATCTGAACGACACCGCGCTCACACCCGAGGAGCAAGCCGAGAACCTACACGTCTTCATGTTGAGCGGCTGGGGCGAACCGGGCACCGTAGTCACAGAAGCCTTCTCGAAAGACCCCCAAAGGCGGCGCAGCTGGACCTGCTGGGTTGCAGCGCACCGGCCACAGATGACGGCCCCGGCGAACGTGGAGACGAAGTCGGATGGTACGTCCTCGAAGACGGATAGCAACATCATCATCCTGGAGTTCGAGCTCGAGCGCGACACGTTCAACCCGCTGTACCCGCCCCTCCCTACCGACGACACGTCGTCGATGTACTCGGGCGTGTCCTCGCCCTCGGAGGGCACCGCAGCCAGCTCGAACTCCCCGAGCAACTCTGCAACAGATAGCTCCGGCCGGACCTTGGTATCCTCCGGCAGCTCGCAGGATCAGCTGGCGAGCACACTGGAGGAGTCGCCTGGCCTGGCGTCAACGCCAAGCCTCGTGAGCAGCGGGAGCGACCTAGTTCCTCGTCAGACGGACAGCTCGCCTGCGCGCTCGGGGACGGGTGGAACATCCGCCTTCGATACCAACGCTGAGGATGACTGGATGCCCAGCCCGGAAGATATCCTGGAGAGCACGACGAGCCGATCGAAGCCTCTGCTGGCGCTTGAGCGCCTTCGGCGTACACGACGCGTTGTGGGTGACTCTTCTGCGTCCGGCAGCACCAGTACGTTTGGGTCATCGAGCTCTGGCTCTCCCAACGGGAACGCGGCACGGGAGTCACTGCGGCGGGGCCCGTCTCGCCGCCGCAGAGGCACGGGGGCTGTAGGGATGATGGACGTGTTTGCGGTCATGGCGCAGATCAACGAGCAGCTCGGAGCAGCGCCAGATCTGGATACGTTCATGAAGGTCGTGGTGGGTGTCATCAAGGACCTGACGCAGTTCCACCGGGTGCTGGTGTACCAGTTCGATGAGCTGTGGAACGGGCAGGTCGTTGCCGAGCTTGTGGACTGGAAGCAGACGCACGACCTGTTCAGAGGGCTGCACTTTCCGGCTACGGACATCCCCGCGCAGGTAAGTGGTCCACGCAGACATCCGTGGGATTGAACGTTAATCACAGTAGGCGAGGCATCTGTATGCGCTCAGTAGGTCTCCTTCGCCGGTCTCTTGGTCATGGTTTCTTAGATTGTGTGCAGATAAAGTACGGCTGTTGTATGATCGCGCTGCCCCGACGGCGCGGTTGGTTGTCAGGAGTAAGAGAGACCTTGAAACGCCACTGGTACGTAGCCCCCACCGGGCCCGCGAGACATCTCATGAGAGCTTTTCAGGACATGACCCACTGTTATCTTCGCGCCATGAGTCCGATCCATTTGAAATGTCCGTCGTTCCCCCCTCGTCTTTGCGAAGGGGAATTCATATCCTGTGTATAGACCTCGAGAACATGCAAGTCCGCGCGTCCATGTCCGTTGTACGTATCGTTTCGTGTTGTAAATTGATTCGGTTGCTCATGAGGCGTATGTAGTCCATCATTGCTTTCGGTCAACTGTGGGGTCTCGTCGCATGCCACTCCTACGGGAATCACGGGATGCGTGTCTCTTTCCCTGTGCGGCAGATGCTTCGCCTACTCAGTCAGTCGATATCCCGCAATGTGGAGCGGCTCAGCTACGCTCAGCGCTTGCATACTCGGAAACTGGTATGTCAAACTCGCTGCCCTTTCCGGACGTGTCCGCTGAAGAGTATGGCCGCAGATCAATACGATGCCTAGCGAGCAACACCCGTCAGGCTACATCGTCTCGAACGCGGATGACCTCCTTGGTTTGTTTGACGCTGACTATGGTGTGCTCGTCATTGGCGAAGGCGCCAAGATCCTAGGCCCGAACCAGCACGGTCAGGAGATCCTGATTGTCGCGGAATACCTCCGGCTCAAACAGTTCGAGTGAGTCGCTTACTGCGTTGCCTGAAGTACACGTCGCCTTATTATTTATCCGGACATCCACAGCACAATCCAGGTGTCACAAGCGGTGACCCAGGATTACCCCGATCTCCACCTCAATACCGGGCTCGAGGTCATCGCCGGTCTCCTGTATGTGCCATTGTCAACTGGTGGGCGGGACTTCATCGCGTTCCTGCGCAAAGGTCAGCCTCGCGAGGTGCGCTGGGCAGGGCGGCCGTACAAGGATGGGGAGTCGCGCAGTGTGCTCGAGCCCCGGGCGTCGTTCCGCTTGTGGTCGGAGATTGTGGCTGGCCGTTGTCGTGCATGGTCGGATGAGCATCTAGAGACGGCTGGTGTGCTCGCACTTGTCTATGGCAAGGTACATTGGAATGGGGCCGTTTGTAGACATGTGCTGATCGATCTGTACCAGTTTATTGAAGTCTGGAGGCAAAAGGAGAGCGCGTTGCAGACGACGAAACTCACGAATCTGTTGTTATCGAACGCTAGTCATGAAGGTACGTGCGCCTATTCTGCTCAGTCGCGTCGCCCTGACACCAGCCAGTACGGACACCATTGAATCATATCATAAAGTGAGTCCAATCAGCTTTGTTTGCTGCATGAGACTCATAGATGTAATGCTTTAGTTATTTGGAGATGGCTCTTAATGGACCACTGGATATCGAGACACGTGAAAACCTTAGTCAATCGCATGCTGCATCAAAAGTCAGTCACCGCGTCTAGACCTTCTGTCGCCATTATTTGACCTTGTATACAGAGCTTATTATTCACGATCAATGACCTGCTGGTACGTATTGCTGATTCCCACAGAGGTGGAACACTGGATACGATGAACATCACATCTCAGGATCTTACACGCCTCGAGAGCGGCCACGAAACATCTTTCTACGAAGTCTTTGATTTGCATCGTGCTATCGAAGACGCAGTCGTCCTATACAGGAACGAAGCGTTCCGCAGAGGGTTGTTCTTCTCTGTAGACCTGTCTAATTCCCCGAGACTAGTGGTCGGCGACTCTCGCAAGATCCGGACGGTCGTGGCCAACCTCACTGCGAACGCTTGTAGGTCGCCCGTGCCGGTGGGTTCACGAGATTATTAACAGAGTTTTTCAGTGAAATACACGGACCGCGGAGGCATCTCCGTGGAGTGTCATGCATATGAGGAGCCAGCAGGACTCCGCGATGCTCACAATGTCGCTGTCGAGATCATCGTCTCAGACACCGGGTGCGGCATTACGGGAGAGAAGCTGGAATGCATCTTCCGAGAGTTCGAGCAGGTAGAGAGTGCGCCGCCTCGAGCTCCCACTCAGGGCCTCGGTGAGTATCTATTCGTCGATCGCCCATGTCTTGAGCTTATGTGTCGACCTAGGATTGGGACTGGCTATTGTCGCTCGCATAGTGGAGCAACTCGGCGGTCAACTTCGAGTGGACTCACGGACCGGGGAAGGGAGTCGCTTCTCCTTTCTTATTCCGTTCACCACGGATACCGACAACAGCATCACCCCTCAAGACTCACGATCCCCTTCATCGCGTTCCATGAACTCTGCGGATGACACTCGAGGAAACGAGATGGATAACCTGGTGCAGGCGCTCTCGAACCACCACCTCAGTCAGAGTCAGAGGATGTACTCCGAAAGCGTGACGCCCGCGGATTCCGAGATCTCCAGGTTAGACGTAGGGCGAAATAGGGCTGAGAGTACCGAACCGGAGCCGAGGTTGCTCACCCCGGAAGGAGAATCGAATGTCGTCCGCCGGAAGTCAAGTCGGGCACACGTGACTCCTTCGAAAGTCTCCTCTCGGCCGCGCTCGGGTCCACGGTCATCTACATCTCGCAGTAATCGTTCAGATGGCGAATTCACTACTAAGCTGCGTTTGCTGATCGTTGAGGTAAATCGAATCGGCTCGTCATCCAGGGCATAGAGCTGAGCCATCTGGACAGGACAACGACATTAACCGGATGATTCTTGCCAAACGGCTGTCGCTGGATGGTCACAACGTTGTCAACACCACCAACGGCCAGGAAGGCCTTGACATGCTAGAGGCGGACTTCGAGTTCGATGCGGTCCTCATGGATATTCAGTAAGGGATACATATCTTCTATATTGACCATGTACTCATGTCTCCCGCAGGATGCCTCTATTGAACGGGTTCGAAGCTACGGAGCGCATCCGCGGGCTGGAGGCATCGAGAGCGAACCATTTCCACCGGTCTTCACATAAGCTCAACGGTCGAATACCCATATTCGCAGTGTCCGCTTCGTTGTTCGAGGACCAGCAGGAGGAACTCTTCAAGCTTGGGTTTGACGGGTGGATATTGAAGCCAATCGACTTCAAGCGCTTGAGGGTCATCCTCCGCGGTGTCGTCGATACCGTGCAGCGAGCCAAGGACGTTTATCAGCCACATAACTGGGAAGTCGGGGGCTGGCTGAGGAAACTTGACAAAGTCCTTGAGGACGACGTGTCAGTGTAACTGCGAGTATTCGAATTCGCTTGGTTTGTAGTCGTATCTTATTGTGTCCATATCATATTCCACAAGACAACCACGGTCCCCTGCATCAACAATCACATTCCACACTGTATTAGTATTCATTCCTCGCACTTTGTAGCCATACGCAGAAATATACGAGTGCCTGCGATCCATGGTTCGTCTAATCCCTCTATTGTATTGGCCAGTTGGGACCGCGCAGGTGCGATTGGTGTCTATGTCATGACGGTCTACATACGTGTATTCGATATCATATACCAGCTACACTTCGGATACAGTTTCTGGATTCGGATACTCGTACGAAGCACTTCGACCATGGAAGATCCGCCCGCGCTCAACGCACAAAGACAGTATACATAAGAGAATGCACGACGAACCCGTGATAGATTACAGATTGGATACAGAAGCTCGCGACTCTATCAGTGAGAACCTGTAGCATCACTAGCCATGGCATACAACGTCTCCTTGTCGCCGCTCTCGTCGACGAGCGCACGGAGCATACCCTGTTCATTTTTCAGAAGCTCGCTGGGCTTGCCGAATTCAGCCTATAGAGTACTCAGTGTCCAAACCAATGATCAGCATGTGATGTTCACGTACAATATTGCCAGCGTCGAGCACCATCTGAATGGTATTTATGAGCAGCGAAGTCAACTGAAAGGCAGCACAACTCACGATTTTGTCGGCGTCCATGATGGTCTGCAGGCGATGAGCGACGATGAGCAGAGTGACGCCCGTGTCCAGCTCTTGGCGGAGCGATGACTGTATCACAGCATCTGTTGCATAGTCTGAAGGCAACCGCGTCAGCCTAATTCTCAACCTCTAGGAACACTCTCACCGATGGCAGACGTAGCTGGATGAGCGACAATATAATGGTTAGATAACTAACACTACGATGAACACGGCACCGACCTTCATCCAGAATCAGCAGCTTGCTCTGCCGCACGATGGCTCTTGCAAGGGCCAAGATCTGACGTTGCCCAACGGAGAGGTTCGTTCCACCGCTTGCGATGGGCGTGTCGAGAGTGATGCGACCCTCGGTCATGTCGCTCTGCAACGAGAACAGGCCGGCAGACCGAAGGGCATCGTTCAAAACGGCGTCGTCATACTGCTGGAAGGGATCTAGGTTTTGACGCAACGTCCCGCTCAAGAGCTCGGGCTGATACCACAGTCAGGCTAATGCAAGCATCTACCGAGGAAGAATGACGCACCACTTGCGGAATGATCGTAATATTCGAGCGGAGAGCGTCCAGGTTAATGTTGTCTGTCGGTAGACCATCATAATACACTTTGCCTTCGGTGATAATACACCGTAAGAGAGCCAGAGTCAAAGAGCTCTGAAGGCATAGCATCAGCATGCGAACGTCTCACATACATGGCACGGTGCTTACCTTTCCACTACCGGTGCGACCGACTAGATAGCAGGGTTAATGATGGATTCGCAACTCGGAATGATTTCCACTCACCGATGCCAACGCGCTGTCCTGACCTCACCTCAAACGAGATCTCGTGCAGTACGCGAGGCCCGTCCTAGATTTACTTACTAAGCATATGCTTGCTCGCGCATCAGAGGAGACGTACTGGAGAGTATCGAGCGGAGAGCTTCTCGACTTTGAGGTCTCCGCTCGCCGGCCAGTATGCGGGCGGAACACCTTCTGGCGTAGCTTTGGGTTCGTGCTCGATCTCCATGTATTGTTTGATACGCTCGAGGCTACAGCAATCATAAGTAGAGTCTCATGTCTGCATACCACCGTCTCTTACCTGTTGCCTGAAGGGAAGAACATGGTCAGAGACAATTTCCACCTGCTCATGTTGCGACGTACCTGATACCTCCAATTCATTGAAAATCCTCACCCACCAAAGAATCATGCTGCTAAATCCAACTGCATGATATCAGAACGGTGTGGGGACATCCATATCCGACCCTCCTGACCTGCCATGTTCAGGGAGAAACCGGTATTGGACGCGGTGATTGACTTCCCGTACACCAAGTAGGCCGCGAGAGCGGCAGAATAAACGGATCCTAGGGCGGTAATACGGACAGTTACCCAGCTACGAGGCGATCAGATTGTCTGATCAGTCATCTGCAGTATTCAACGCACCGATTGAGACCCCAGAAAGCTCTTGTAGCACGAGTATATCTGTTGATGCGTACGTATGACTCCTTCTTGAACGCTTCCTGTGCACCGTAGGCGCGGATAGAGGCTGTCAAATCCGTCAGCTAGAACCCTAGGTAATCGAGCAATACGTTACATACTGAGACCCGCAAACGCGGCCCCGAAGTGGCCGAGCACTGGGGCCTTTGCATTACTTCTTTCACGTTTGACCGCGAGTTGGGCCTTCATGTAGACCTCGCCGATCCAACCACCGACAGCGGCAATGAACACACCGGGGATAAGGAAGATAGGCGATATCACCACCACGACACCAAGCTTCATGAGCATCTCGAGCGACATCTCTGTAAGGACACTGAACAATCTCGCAACGGGACCGTCAACTTCGTCAAATTTGTTAGTTGAGGACATGCTATGTACAGGGTAGACTTACCTTCTTGAATGTCTTGTGTGCATCGAGCAATAATCCGAGATGTAGGTGTTTTGTCAAGCCACCTACGAAATGATTTAGTGATGTGTCACGAAAGTAGTGTTTTGAACTTACCGCAATGTTGTAGCCAGAATCGAACGCATTAGCTCGTTGTGAATGACTCTCGATGCTCTCAGCGTCCCGTACATGTAGACATAGAAGGCCGCCACGTAGAACAGGGTCGATATGATCATGATCAACCCGTATACACCCAGGAAGCTATCAGAGATTGTGGTCAGAAATGTCGCTCGTATCAGCGTGGGAGACATACTATGGAACATTGACTTCAGACGCGGGCACTTCTTCGTATTGCCTCGCCCAAAAGCCCAGGAACCAGGTCTCAAGGATGTTGAAGACCATGTACAGCATGAGACCGCCGATAAAGCTGAACCAGAAAAAGACTTGGTGGTTCCCTCCGAGCGCGCCGAAGAGAAGCCGCACTGTTGTGTTCGTTAGAAAGACACTATGACCAGCAGAAACATGAGACGTACTCGCTTGCCAACCGACATGCCCGACTGCGACCTCTTCTTCGACGACAAGTTTGCCATCCTCCTTCGGAACCTCTTCCGGAGCTTGCTCGTCAACGGTAGCTTCTGCTTTCTCTATCTCGGCCTCTTCCTTGGCTACTTCAGCGGCCAGCTTCCTGTCACGCTCTAGCGCGTTGGCTATGGATCCTTGACTGGATATTCTGCCGTCTGTGCCGAGAGCGACAACGTAGTCGGCAATTGGGCTGGCCATCGAAACATTGTGCGTCTACGATTGATACCATGAGGAGCTTGCAAAGTTCAGGACAAATGTGGACTTACAACGAGTAGCACCGTTCGGCCACGTACAAGGTCGCCTTTGAAGCACTTCTCGACGATCCATCGTGATGTGTGGACGTCTAGCGCGGCGAGTACCTAGCAAACAGTTCACTCCTCCAAACCCATGGAAGGTGACTCATCGCTTACATCATCCAACAACAGTGTCTGCGCCTGCGAGTATATAGCACGGGCAAGCGTGATGCGTGCCTACGATGGGTGTGAGTACAATGGCATCGCCCAAACGGACCACCGAATACCTTCTGACCGCCACTGGTGTCAAAAGAGTCAATGATTGCAATTGAAAACATCCCAAGTCGAACTTGTACCTGAGTGTAATACCCCTTTCGCCCACCTCCGTCTCATCACCCGCAGCGAACAGCTCGAGATCGCGTTTGAGAGCGCACTGTTCGAGGACTATATGCGCAGTTAAGTAATCTGCTCTCTACGGCGGGATGCGTCAACGTACCTTTCTGGTAGCGTTCCTCATTGTATGGTGCCCCGAAGAGGATGTTGTCCTACTCAGACACATATGATTATGATGCACCATTCCCGCGATGAAGCACCTACCCTGATAGTCTCATTCTGTACCCACGACTCCTGCGCAGCATAGGCGATACCTCCGCTACGGGGAAGATTGAAGAACGAATCAGGACCCGCCGGTATGTAGTGCATCTCGCCCAACAACGCCATCAACAACGAGCTCTTTCCCGAGCCAGTAGGGCCGATGACGAGGTTGATGCTTCCTTTCTTGAAGATCAGGTCGCCGTCGATGCGCAAGGCGAAGTTACTTCGCCCACTTCCAGGAGTCGATGCAGCCGAACCACTGGCTGTGTTTGCCCATGTGAAAGAAGTGTTGCGGAAACCGATCACGTCTTCCTCGGGCTGCGCGCCGATCTGAGTCTGGATCTCGCCAGGCTGCTCCGAGTACTCATCAAGGAGCTCTGTCTATGGCATGACATATTCCCATCAATCATCTCGGAATGCGAGGCAGAGAGTACCAACCTTCTGCAAGAACTCATTCACTCGGTCCAACGATACCTTGGCTGTAATACAGAACTCAGTCTTCTAAACGTATCTCGTCGGTCTGTTTCATGACCCTACCTCGGATCAGCTCAGGCACGAAGCCGAGAACCATATGCATCAAACTGCTGAAAGTGTCGAATACTGCACATCCGTGAGTACCATGCAAACCGCCAAGACTCACAGGACGTACCGGTGATAGACGAGAAGACGGCAGAGGCTAAATGCCAGGGTGAGATTTACGCGCATACAGGGAGGAGTCATCTCACCAGTGAGCTCTCGTTTCATGACCATGGTCTATAGGCTGATGTCAGTTTGTAGTCGACATCCATTTTGATGGGGCGAACTCACGTATGTCGCATAGGTCGCTATCATAGTCACCAAAGGAATGACGTGGCTTCAGGTGGTTCAGTGTCAGCTGTATGGGTGCAGAAGACTGCATACGCACTTCAGGTTACCATTGATAAGGTCGAGCAGCTTGTTCTTCTTCACGAGCTCCAGCTCTTCCTCACGCTTTTCAGCCAGTTGCTCGGTAACCCTGGGCTCCCAACCGAACAGCTTTATCATGCGGATGACGTTCATAGCTGACAGGAGTCAGCGAGAGTACACCGGTGGATATTTGTTGAGCCCACTTTCTGTCGCAGTCTGTACGCGAGCATCGGTCTAGAACGGTATGCGTCAGCAGCTTGCACGCCCAATTATACTCGTGAACGTTACCTTCTTCATTTTGGCGACCTGGATCTTGCGAATCATCGTTGCAATCAAACCAGGGACGGGGAATAGTATGACGATGCAAGCGAGACCGACGAATGCACTGTGAGGCTATCAGATGTGCTGGGTTGCCTCTCATGGTACAGCTACTGACCTCCAGCCCAAGACGGCGTACAAGAACCAGACACAGCAGATGATCTCGACCGGCAGCTTGACCACTGTGGGGAGGTAAAGTTGAACGAGGAACGCAAGCATCGAGACGCGCCAAGCACACACAGATCACCACGAAATCCCTGCCGTTTCCGAGAGAGGCAAGGTCGGACGAGATCAAGTTGTTGATCTTGCCGACGACGTTCTTGCCCTTCTTCTCGTCGTCTTTCGGCTTCCCCGTCTCCTCCTTCCCGACGATCTCTGGGCGCTGCGCGGGCGCGGGCACCGTCTGCGCAGTCGCAGTGGACTTCTGCTTGCCCTTGCCTGCTGACGAGTCGCTGTCATTGTCGTTGCCATTCTCCTGGGCAGTGGTCGCGCTTGAATCCGCGACGGATGCCGTATCAGGTGTGCCGGCGACGGTCGTGTCGCCCTCGCTCTTGGCAGATTCGTCAGAGGCATCCGCCTTTATGCGCATGCGCAGGGCGTGCTCGAACACAAGCTGCGTGATGATCGCCTCGACGCGGGTCAGCAATCTCGTCTACATGTGTGCTAATTAGTCACAGTACGAGAGGATAGGAGGCTAGACGCACGGAGATGAATGAGAGAGCGGCCATGAAGATGTAGTCGAAGATCGGCCCGAAGAACAGTGTCGCGATCCAGAACCAGGGCCGCACGGTAGCACCCACGCCCTCGGTCTCGAGGTACCTGAGGGGGAGATGTCAGAGGGCCAGGCTTCAATGCGACAATGATATGCTCACATCAGGATGTACCGGATAGCGAGCGGACCGATGAACTCCGTAGTGGTCTGCCGAATAGAAAGTGAGCCTGCATAGCGGACCGAGGGGATTGCAGACGTACGTCCACAGTGGTCAGGATGGTCAGGATGATCCAGTCCGCTCCTGTTCAATCTACATAAGTACACATGTGCGCAGCCACGCAGACGCGCATGAACGTACGAAAAACACGCAGAAGACCCCACATGAGATGCCTTCCCTTCGTCTTGACTCTGAAAGGATCGAGTTCCTTCCGAGCACATCAATAAATGCAGCACCCATGCTAAGAGACAGACATACATCAACGCTGCTTTTCATCAGGTTGTGCGCTTCATCGTAGTCGGCCAGAGGGGGCAGCATGTCGATCGTGAGATGCTCGACGCGCGACGCGAGCCTTATTGTCGGATCGAGCCAAATGTACAGCCAGAGTGACAAGATGGAACTGGTTTGCTCTGGGTGCGGGTCGGGCCATGGGTTCTACAACACCATTGGTTTTCGCCCTTTCTACGTTGTCCGCGTGGCTGCAGCGACGTACCTCCGGGTCAAAGGGAATGTACAGCCGAGGGATTAGGAGAGGAACGAAGACAGCACTGAGAGTCAGCAGGGCTAATCTGGTCCAGAGCAGCGCACCCTCATCGAGATCTATGGGCTCGAGCGTGAATGTTGCCAAGGGCCAGAGATCGCGGTACGCGTAAGCCGCCCACTCCAAGACCAGGATACAGTTCAGGTGGCGAACGACAGTTGTGCTGAGAATCGGACCGGAAAGCACCGAGGCGATGCTGAGGGCTGATGCGTACAACTGGATGACGCGTTCAGTTTCGTTGGGCACGTAAGAACAAGCAGGGGAAAGTGCTCACGTAGGTTATGCAGGTACCGACGTGGATAACGATCTGGGAGTTCTGGGGCTCCAGAGTCGCCGTGTGTCCGAGAGCTTTGGTTGCGCTGTACATGGACATGCCTAGTAAAGCCAGAGTTGAACCAGATCGTACAAGGTTGAACGCGATTATGACGGCGCCTCCATGCTCCTTGACGTGTTTTGCGAGCGCGGACGCATTCTCGCTCTCCTCTGGTGCATGGAGAGGCTCAGCTAATGGTGAAGGCCCTGACTCAGCAGGTTTCGTGTACGCGTTTCGCTGGGTTCGAAGATGGAAGGCTAGCTGCACCAGCAGTACTAGGACCGAAAGCGCAGCAACCCCAACAGGATAGAGCAGTGTGGAATCCGCGAAGCTGGGTTGCATGTAGTTTCAGCTTGAAATGAATGCGACATGGAACTTACTCGATTTCATCTCGTGCAGCACTCAGCACCGAGACACTTTGGTTGCCAGCCTTGTGTGCCTGAGCGAAGACATATTGCGCAGTTCCCGGTAGGTTCACGGACCAACTGGAATGACTGAAGAACGGGTCTCTTCCTGTGTCCATCGTGCCTGGGACAGATAAGACACTCGAAGGACGTGGAGGAGGAGGAAGACGCACGGCTAACGCTGATTCAGAGAGTCGATCTACCGTTACAAGCGCGCGGGATAATTCTGGGCAACTCGAACTGGCAGACGCTGTGTACATTGTATATGGAGGAACCTCCATCAAGAAGCCACCGGCACCGAACCTTCAGCTTCCTCCTCGACAACCATGCGTTCCAGTGCGTTCCCTGTGTTTTGAACGAGTCATTCCGGCAGTATCGGAGCAGGCCGTGTGACGCGTTATTGATCTGTGTCCCAATAACCCAGGGTTCGGCGCCTCGGCCCCGGAGCTTGCAAAGAGTCAGTCGGCAGTCAGATCTTCAGAGCGAGTCCGCGCCTGGGAATTGCGAGGTATGACAGGTAACGGATCGAATTCAACCCCGCGTTGATAGGCTATTCGTAGTATTCGTGTCAGATGTCTCGAGTCAGCGAAGGTCTGCGACAGCATGCGATCATATCCCTGCAATGGCCTTCCAGCTGTGAGACGTCTCAGACTCGGTGTGCATTCGCCGGTGCAATGCCTCGCCGACAGCGTGCGAGGGCGAGGTGACGGCGCTGCCAATTGCTGTTGTGACTGTCGTCGCGCCACCGCCGGTCTGCGCGGCCGGTATTTGATTGGATCGGCCACTGATTGGTCGGACAACCGGACTTACCGTTTCATATGTCCGTTCACGTGCGATGACCTGCAAACGGAGACTCGGATAGTGAAAGTGCAGTTGCTCACCACCATCTCTTCTGGTCACTTCAGTCCCATGTCCTCAACGTCCCTCGTCTCGAGCCTCGGAGAGTTGGTCTACTGACCTTTCGGACATGTGAGGCGATATGTGATGCGGTATGACGGTATCAGTGTCCACTCAACAGTGTCAACACCCGTTGCGCGACTCGGACGCGCACAGAATTGCTGAATACGTACCTGGTTTTTTCGCTTTCTAGGGTAAACGCTTCGATACATACTCACTTCTTGCAGCTATACAGGAGGCCCATAGGCACGATGTTATCGTGCCTCGTGCTTTGGGGTAGGGGAGGCACGCAACGAGCCACTGCGGAGGACTCCGCACAATGGACATGTTCTGCAACATAATTGATGAGCATCTCTGTCTCATCTCTGTCTCCAATGGCGTCTTGCTTTCTTGAGTGCAGAAATGTATGACTTTGGGACGTGGTGAAGGTAAGCTCACCCGTATCTGATGATTAGACTAGCAATGACATGACTGCTTTGTTCGCAGGGCGGCCCCGATGCTCACTAGTACCCCGTGTCGGCCTCTATTGAGGGCCTATGCATGGGCTCCGGTGTATAATCCATCGGTGACAGGGGAGCTTGGGTGTCGTATGAGTGTGCAACCCAATGGGCGCGGCGCGGCACTGGAATCTGAGGACGACCACTCTTATATGGAACTGATCCTGCGACCTTACTCATAGCACTTATCTTGCTACTCACGGCACTACACGACAGGGACGATCTCCAGCCGGGGAACTCAACCTCGGTCGCCGCTGTCCACGTTTGGGATCAGCGACTCATGGCTGGTCGCATAAGCGCTTGCTTATTGTTACCTCAGGAAGACTCGCAACTATCGTGACATTGCTGTGATTCCCCTGATTCCCGCATGTTCAGCTCTTTTGTCTGTCGGGCGCGTCCTCGCCACGCCCCTTCCTTGCTTTTTGTCTCCGCGGCGGCTGGCCGCGCACCATAACCCACGCGTCCCGAATAGGCAAGTTTCCCCAAATATATTCTGACTCTTCCCTTCGGATGTTGACCGGAGCTGTCCAGGATCACCTTGGTAGCAGTCCGAATTGTCTCAGCCCGATGAGCCTGGGAATGTGTAATTGTACAGGCGATCATCATAAGGCGGCCTTTGTCTTGGGTGGCCTTGCAACTTGGACCCTTCGCCCCTGTGTTGGGCCATGATCTCGCCGCCCACCGTTCTCCTTAGCCCCTGTCAAGTCTTGACGACTGAACAGGCAGATAGCAGAGTCCAGACAGTGATCGATCTTTACCGCGAGAGTGAGTCATTTGTCCGTGTGACGTGGTTTGGTCGGACTGAAGTGCGGCGACGAAGGAGAGGAGACATCTTGGACGCTGCCGACGAATCATCGTCGCCAGACAAACGACGCGTTTGAAGTCTTGCGTCGTTGTGTCGGGGTAGTGGAAGGGATGCTGATAAAGATCTGTATGTTCTTCGACGATACTGTGCTACACAATGTCGTTGCGATTGTGAGTGCCTTGCACGTCAGGTGCATCCCACGTCTAACATCTCTTCCGCGCGTAGGTAGTATGTGCTCACACTCAGCGGGAGCTGTACGCGGTGTCCTATCCCAACGAAGCCTCTACTCAGTACATCATGCTCCACACCGTCATGGAGGACATGACGCGCTATCTCGACAGCGTGGTCACCAAGCTCGACGATGCCCTGGTGTGGCTCCAGTCCGTCGAGGGCAAGGACCATATCCGAACCTCCAATGAAACCATCCGCGACATGCACCTATCGTTACGCCGGTTCAGCTGCCGAAAGGTCTGCGCACCTGATGCCGCTCCCTCCGCGCCCTTCCCCGTACCCGAGTTCGGCGGTCATATGATGCCCATTCTGCCTGACTGCCGTGGGCTCTGCGAGCCGTACTTCGGGATCAAGGGCTGGCCGCAGAACTTCGAGCACATGCACTCAATCGACTTGAACGCGTTGCCGGACTGGACGCTCCGCGACCGGAACTGGGTGCCCATGTCCGTGCCTCTCGAGGAGTACATCGTGCAGCGCAGGGAGCTTCGGCGTCAGCGCGACGCTACCCAAAAATGTACCACATCTCCATTACAGAGGTTTCTCGTCTCTACTTCGCGGGACTCGCCTATTGATATCCCGCCCACCTCGTGCAGGCGCCCGCCAGTGGCTCCGACCTCGACCGACACGGGCTATGTGTCGGGCCCGCCTGGAACATTGCTGGATGACACAGATACCTCGCGTTCGGCGTCGACGTCGGATTCGAAGAAACGGCGGCGACTCGTAGACGATCCTGCTGGCTCCTCGCTCTCTGAGGCGGGGGCGACGGTCTCCGAGTCGCCTCGCGATACCAAGAGGATCCGGCGCCATTACTCGTGGCCGAACGACATACCTCCTCCTCCTCGGAGAACGATACGGCGCCGATTCACGACACCGGCCCCGCTGAGTGTCACATGCGTCTCCCCGTCTGCGGACGAGGCGATGGACGTTGACCGTGAATCGCCGGACGCTCTCTCTGGGCCTACTCAGTTCGGACCACCCGGACTAGACGACAGCTCTGGTGACGGATCTAGTATCTCGGCGTCGGACGTGCTGGACGAGACGGAGGTCGCTCAGCGCGATACGTCTGCGGAGCGACACGATACCCCACGTTGGCATGGTGCCACTGCCGCCACTGACAAGCCAACCGACCACCATGGACCGGGGCCGTCGACTTGGCTCAGGAAGCTGTGGAGGATATTTGGCTGGAGGGGATGATGCTACTTTGACATGACGTGTGAGTACGCGTGTCATACCAGTCCTTTTCGTGCGTCTAATCCAACACCAGCGGGGAACCGTATCATCCCTCGAACTCGTTCGATGGGCCACATATCTGGCAGCGCGCTGCTTACCTCTCGGTTCGCGCGTAGCGCGTCGGCACCCGACGTAGTCTTGATGTGCGTGGGGGTAATCAACGCCCTCTGCGGGGACGCAAGACGCGTTCAGGGTCAACATATAGGACATAGGACAACCCCGCAAGGCGCGCCCAACGCAAATGCAATAGCTTTCGATCTCTGCACCCTGCTTTCGACGATCTGTGCACGTGAAGATCGGGTCCGACCTTCACCATGCTGTGTATAGGCTTGTTATCACCGTGTTGTGTGTATGTACTTATGACTAGGTAATATTTGGAAATGCTATGCTTGTCTATGCCGAATGAAAGCGATATTGATCGACGTGACCACTCACTTTGACATCCACGTCGGGATATCGTATCTTAGTCTTGACTTCAATTTGTCTCGGGCGGCCGCAGTGGCAGCGCTATCTCGCCAGCATGCGGACGGACACTGAGAAGGCGATATGAATTCATTGCTTGGTGTACAGAACATTTGCTTGTGCTACTCGTTGAGCTGTTATTCGATGTTGTTGTCGTATGAAGAGAGTTGCAATGACTATGACTCAACACATTAATGCATTCGGTGCAGGCCATAAGGTAGAATAGATAAACTGTCATTCTTTGCTAACCCGCTTGTGCGACCATTTGTTCTATTTTCGAGGCCTGTGCTGCTACGGAACGTCGATAGATGAGCGACAGACCAATGGAGCCTGAGCTGACACTCACCCATGAGCGGGCATCCGGGACTCAGCGCCGACATCAGCGCTGTGATTGTTGCTAGAGCCGCGACGACCCTGGAGTGCTCGCCTTCGACGATCTGCAAGTCATTATGTGCAACTTGTACGGACGTCGACGCCCATAAACTGCGCAATCGAACCATCTCAGCGATCAAGATTCGGCTGACGGACGTCCATAGGATCTGTAAGGCATCATGCGTCAATAACACTCACGCAGAGAAGTGTGCCAGGAACTTACAGCGAGGATGGGGTTGACGAATGACACCTGCGCGGGGTTGATGGCGTCCAGCGCTGCTGTGACATTCAACGCCGCAGCGTAGTCCTTGTTCGCTATCGGGATGTCTCCCTCGCGGAAGCTCTTGTGCAGCTGGATTGACGCGACGCAGGCTAGGGTATGTACCAGCAGCAGTTTGCTCGCGGTCTGCTGATCGGGCGCGGTCTCGACGGGGGCGAGCGAGTGAATGAAGCGATCTGTTAGGTTATCGAGATTCACGAACTCCGCAGCGAACTGCTCTGGGTCCGCGGCGGCTGCGTCGTTTGCAAGTACAAGAAAGGAAGGTCAGAAGGACATGGTCGTTAGCGCGCGTAGGATGAGACTGAGGCAGAGACCTACTCGAAGACCACTGCATCGAGAGCACCGTCGACCTCCCAACAAGCGTGGCGGCCTTGGCATAAAGGGCTGCGCGGGAGGCGCCTCCGCGATCGTTTTGCGGGTTTCCGCGTAGGAACTCGTCGACAGTGCGCGAGCCCATGATATGTGGCGGAAAGCGGCCCTGCAGATTGACTAGGGTCAGCCAAGCATCACAGCGCCAGTCAATAGATGCCTACGTTGGCATAGTCATCCGCCTCCATAGGCCAGGGGGTGTCGACCAGCGGCCCAGTGGGCGCATCAAAGCGCGACGGGGTTTTGCACGCGAAGGACCACATCTGGTCGAGCATGTAGACGTGCCAGAATGCGCGTATGCACTCGCCCTCCTCAATGGCATCGTTTGGCGGGGGCAAGTCGAAGTCCATGGCGTGGAACGAACCAGAGCGCTGCGGGGCCTGCATCGTCCGGATGTTGTACAGGCGGCAGCTCAAGGCCAGAGCGACCGCGGCGTTGCAGTGATGCTGGCCCTCCAGCATGCGGCCCATCGCGAAGTGGTAGTTCGCGAGGAGGACGTTGGCTTGGATGGTGTGAATGATCGTGCTCGCGGACATGTTCGCGAGCGGGTGCTTGAGGGCCTGCACCGCGCGTGACAGGAACACTGGTTCGTAGACGAGCATCGCCTCTGTGTTCGCGAAGCGTACGCCCCACAGATAGACCGCATTCGTAAGCGCCGGGGCGAGTAGTGCCGACGGTGTTGACGGAGACTGCATCGCCATCTGGATCATGGTCAGGAAACGCGCGCGGTGCAAGAAGAAGGCGACCTGATCTGCGTGGGCAAGGAACGCATTGACACTGTGACTCGGATTAACATCGGCGCCAAGTGGGACCAGCTAACGCGACGAACATCATTCGTACCACTCCTGGGGAGGGATCAGGGACTGTTTGAGGCGGTGTTCCTTGATTGCCCGAGGAGCGTCGGACGAAGGCGTTTGACAGTTCTGCCATCCTAGTATCCCTTTGTGGCTGTGATCGTGGAACGGAGCCTTCCGAGGCTGCGAAGGACTCAGTTATAGTAAAGTGAACAGGGTGGGAAAGTCACTGACAAGGCGATGCAGGCGAAGGTACGGGTGAGTCGCCTGGGGCTCCGGGGCTGCTTCCCCCGCCGGCTTCCTCTAATTGTTGCACCCGCTCTTGAAGGCGAGCGATCTGGTCTTCGAGGACTTGTTTGCGGCTCGGTCGTGGACCGTCGAGGTATTCGCATTCTGTTTCCCTGTGGGAGCGGATGCATGGCCCACAGACTGGTCTTCCGCCGTCGCATTTCTGCAGCAAAGACGGGTCAGCGTGCAGGGAGGAGTCAATGACAGACAGTCACGTACATGTTTGCGTCGCTTGCAGCCGAGACAGGCGGAACCGCGGGGAGCTCTGCGCTGTTTGACCGCAAGGTTGGACGGGCCTGCCTCTGGGGACTCGGAAGACATGCCTGAATAGAAGAGCAAGTTCTGAATTCACAGTGGGCAGACGCAGTCTGCCATGTCTTAAGGGCCCGCAGTGCGCTGCCTGCGCAGCGAGGTGTCAGGTTAACCAGTTCGGCATAGATCAGCATATCGGACGCCTGCCATTCACTCCGTAGCCGTGCACAGCAGAGCGTAAGGTCAGAGTGTACCACATGGTGAGGGACCGAGTGTCGGGAGCGCGCAGTTCTATGTGTGCGCGAAGTCGATGCTGCGGCGCTCGTGAGGTGTTGGGTGTACGACCTTCCTCGGAATCCTTGTAATCTATTGATATGTCCAGCCTCTTTCCGGCATATCGCTGTCGACCGCGTTTATGTGAAACCCCTGCAACGGGCTGTCCGAATCAAGTCCGAATAGAGATAAATGTGTTGGAAGGTGCATCCTGTACAATTACATTAGCTGCAACGGCATCAAACGGCGCAACCAAGGCCGAGGTGTGGCTCGGTTATGATCACTGCTCGCCAGAAGAACTTTGGATGATAGGCATTGCGAAACGGCAACGTGAACGGTCCCGCAGCTGCCAGAGGCCATATGGCTGGACGCAAGCTGGACGCGGTCGACAACCAACGCCACCAAGCGAGTCACGACATTGTTTACGCTTGTGTTGCTACAACTCCGTCCTTCACCGCTACATTTGGCAACTGTCCTCAGACTCGTCCTACACCGTCGTGCGCCTCTATCCTTGCGCATTGGATCATAGTCCAGGTCCAGCAAAAGCGCCAAACTTGTCGTGTCTGCTCGAGGCCTCTGCGCATGCTCCTACGAACCGAGGCACGCCGCACGCCTTGGCAGGCTATCGCGCGCAGCGATGATGAAACTGCCGTCATCCGGCCACCGTACCGTACCAACCTCAAGCGAATAGAAGAGAGACGATCCTGATGAGCACTCACTGCACTCATGGACCCACTGTTGAGCTGAGAGCTCTGTTTTCAGGAGCCACGCCCTCGCACTCGACGTGGACATGGTTGGGGACGCCGCGCGCCTCACCGACTCGGTACAGCTACGGATGCGAGATGGTGTATCACGGAAGTGAACGGCATTCTACGCTCCGCAGCACCGCTGCTGCTCCTCGACGCGGACGCTAAGATCGATCAACATGATTGTCCTTCAGTTCCTCGATCGCGCAGCCCCACTTGCCCACATATGGGCCGTGTGCTTGTTCAGGGTGCTGCGCATGATTACCGAGGCCTGTCGGAGACGGAAGCTGACGAAGCAGTGGGTCCACAAGACTGGCTAAACCATCAGTTTTGACTTACTCGAACCACAGAAGCATCGTCGGCGCTCGTTCTCCGCAGCACCCACTGGGGTCATCGGAGGGGCAGGGCCGTTTCTGCGGTGCCATATCCCGCGTCGTCCCACGCTCTCAGGTGGTCTGAACCTTCTACGTCAACCATGTAGCCCTGCGGCACAGTTTCCCGCCCGCGAGGCACGCCCCGAGGCAGCTCGTTGACGTCTCCGTGTCGCAGACAGGAGGTCGACCATCGCGTGAATAGGCACGCGCGATGATATAATATCTCAACAATATCATAATCTGACAAACTCTCATTGAGATGTACGTCATGCTAGGTTGCGTTCTGAATATCAATGTATAGCCCCACCGTCCAAGTCAGAAGGCCAGTCAGTCAGTCCTGAGGGTCGTTTACTTCCTGAGGGTCGTTTACTTCTTAACAATATTTGACAGATAGACCGCCGTATGATGGTACATTAGATCTCCGGAGTTGACTGTTATTCCGGAGGCGGTGGTTCCCATTCAGATGGTAAGGCAGCCGACAAGAGCTCCAGAAGGTGACCTCGACCGCGAGCACCGCAAGGCTGACTTATATCATTGGCATAGCAGCGTCGACAGGTACAGTTCACCAACGTCATCAGTGAATATTCATCGAGGATCTGGTTAGTTCTCTCGGTCGCAGACATCTCCACAAATACATAGTCTCTTCGTGTGATCTAGCAAGCCCTTGCGCACCCTTCCCTCCACATCCTCCACGGCCTCGCGAGGAACAATATATTCCTAGGCTACAGCTCCCATAAGCTCGTGTTCACCCATCTCGTCCTCCGTGACGATCTTTATCAGTTCGTAGACATCGCACTAGACGGCGATGCGAACAAAACGTGCGCAGCGCGGTGGACAACCTGAGCCTCAGGTAGCGTTCGGTGAATTTGATGATCACGCGCGTTTCGTTCGCGTCGGTCAATCCAGTATGAAGGGTGCTCGTGTCCTCCAGAGCCGGAGTATAATTGGAGTGGTATTCGTTGTCGGCCACGTAGTGATCATGGAAGGAGAGACACGGCCTAGCTGGCTGTGAGCGGACGCGGCAGTCAGGTAGCGAGCGCACATAGCGGTAAGTGGGAACACTCCTTCAAGTTGTTCGCGCTCCCAGTCATGTTACGGAGCTGGTGGAATGCGCGCGGAAATGGAAGGTGATCCATGCGAGATGCTCGACGCAGCGGCTGCGGCGATCGTGATGGCAGGGTACGACCGTCTCCTGGTAGTCAGCGCGAAGTATCAACATCAACAAGACCGAAGGGAAGGGACAAGCACTACGGGATATCTGGATTTGAGCCTTCAACCTCGTCGCGGTGGGTTCTTGGAGCTGCTTTCCAATCGTCCCGGATATTACGGACATGATGATGTTCAAGACAGCGGTGTATAGCTTCGACGAAGGGGACCGATGACCACATGCCTCTTTCTTCATATAGACGTAATAGAGCGCAGTGCAGCTATATGGTCGAACTGGAGTTTCGGCAGTGTTCTTCAAGGGCAATTTCCCTGGATCAGCGTCGAAGGACATGCTGAGTTGGCAGCTACGATAAGTATCGGTTCGAAGGTCATGTCTGCCGCCGGACTTCATGAAAATGCATGGAGAACAGTGAAGCGAGATAAGTCCACCTGCTGTCACGACTACGAGATGGTCATGCCGTCGACATCTTGCAACTAGTCCAGCGGCACGTCCGGCGTTAGGCGGATGAGTTCAATCGATATATGCCCCACAACGAAGCAGCAGCGTACATACGTCAGTCAGTCAGACTGAGACTTTGTGCGCTCTGTAGAGAGCAAACTTATAAAGTTGCGATGGGAATTGTACATGAAAGGTAATCGGACATCCGAGTCAACCAGTCGAACGCACAAGGTAAATGTCCCCGAAGCCCGGGGCCCGGAGCTTGGACTTTCTCCTCTTTTTCGGATTATGAAGCATGAACGAAGGCTGGATTTTAGGATTCGGAAGGAGCGAATGCTTGCCGCGATGAAAGGCCTCCAGGAAGAGATCGACTGGAGCGGGTTCAACCGCCATGATGACGGCTGGAAGCAGGTCGATGCCACTGAGAAGTTGGGTGCAGGCTCGTCCTCATCGGGGGGGGGGGGCCTTTGTTGAAAGATGATTTGAGCCGAGAGTGCGAAGCACCAGCCCATGTTGCCTCCGCAGTCCTGTGTTGAAACGCTTAAGTAGATCATACTGCAGCCTGCTTGCTCAGCGAGTTTCGTTTGTTGAATGTGATGTTTACCCACTTATACAAGATCCGATGCCAATCATGGCATACTTGTTACAGCCAGTGTTATGAGACGTGCATGATTCTTCGAACTTTGCAATGAAGTCGCCTATTGCCTCGGTTTGAATGTCGTTACAGTCTCGCGCCAGAGAGCAGTTAGCTAGTTATAAATGACTTCAGCGAAGGAGTGGCAATTGTGATCATGACCGAGTCTCAGGCGCCCAGTCGCACCGGCGCCTCCTGCTCCTTCTGCTTTCGGCAAGCCCCGGCCACGCCGCGCAAAACCTCCCATTCCTCGTCGATCCACACAACACAGGGCGGCATTCGTCAAGGTGAGCACCATTCTCTCGAATCTACGCATGGACGGTGGGCGACGGGTGTCTGGGATGCATGCTGGACGGTTTCGGGCGTGCTGGGGTGCGCTGGAGGGGTGGATTGCAACGGGTGCGGCTGGATGAGGGTGGATGGCGCTTGGAGGGAGGGTTGGGTTGGGCTGCTGGAGGAGGGCTTCACTGTGGGCTGGAGCGGGCTTGCGCTCAGAATGGGGAAGGCGTCGTGCGCCCCATTGCGCAGCGTTGTGCGATTGGAACACTCCAGCGCAGCACCCAGCTACACCCGCTCGACCACCGCCCGTGTTTGGTCCATATTCTCGCGTACTGACATTCCTTTCTGCAGACTAGGCAGCAATGGCCCCCACGAAGAGCACCAAGGGTAAGCAGGCAACGAAGGGTGCGTGCACACTCGTCCATTTCTCTCGTAAGCTGACTTTCTTTGCAGCCTCCTCGAAGGATGGCAAGGCCAAGGCAGCGAAGAAGGCCGCGCTGCACGGCACGCATGCGCACGCCCCGCGCAAAGTGCGCTACTCCGTCTCCTTCCACCGCCCCAAGACCCTCCGCCTCCCCCGCGAGCCCAAGTACCCCCGCAAGTCGATTCCTCATGTACCGCGGATGGACCAGTTCAGGACGATCGTCTCGTGCGTTTTCCCTCAGCGTATGCGAAGGCGAGACGGCTGATGGATTTTGGCAGGCCGCTGAACACGGAGAGCGCAATGAAGCAGATTGAGGAGCACAACACGCTCGTGTTCATCGTTGACCTCCGGTCAAACAAGCGTCAGATCAAGGACGCGGTGAAGAAGTTGTACGACGTGCAGGCCGCAAAAATCAACACTCTGATCCGGTACGTCTTGCGAAGTCGGATGCTCTATGCCTGATTTTGACTCGGGTGCTCTGCAGGCCCGATGGCAAGAAAAAGGCATACGTCCGCCTGACAGCAGACCACGATGCCTTGGATGTGGCGAACAAGGTTCGTGGATGGTTTTGGCTGTTGGTGATGTTCACTGACTGGGATTGACAGATTGGCTTCATCTAAATCCCCCGTGGCATCTCTGCCTCCCTCCGTGTCCTGGCTGTGTGCGCCGCTGCATTGCTGCCTGTCCTCCTCTTCCTTGCATCGAACCGGTGTTGTCATGTTGTGTATGCATCTATCCATGCCTACGTACGAAACCAGCTATGCTATTCTTACATGAGAAAGTGACTGTCGCCGGGCTGTATGACATCAGACGCGAACGTTGTGGCGAGGGAATGGAGGGTCGAGGCCCTGGCGAAAGCGCGGCTGAGAATTTCGGCATCCTCGTGGATACGAGATGGCCCTGCCAGTGAGACGGACGCGTTGCCAACAGCGAAACGCGTGAGTCGCGTGTGGCTGCGCAGGCCGTGGCGCTGAGACGAGTGCACACCCTGCACACCGGCGGTAAGAATCCGAGCAGCCATCGCTCGCTGCCGGCAGCGACGCGCTCGACGACGATCTGAAGCCCGCCTGGAATATCAGCGACGTCGGGAAGGCTGATTAGTGCGGGCGTGCGAGCCGGCGGAGACTGTTCGAGCGCCGGCTTGGCGGCAAAATAAAGACAAAGGGCGGGCGCTCGCCTGGGGATCCGAGTCGCGCGCAGGCCTCTGGTCTAACTTATTCCTCGTCCGCACAGGCAGCCTGCCGCCCCCCGTCCCTGCCCACCATAGCAGCACCACGCTCCTTCCCTCTGGCGGACGCTCTCCCAGCAGTGTCGCGCCGTCCCCGCTCACCCGCAGCATAGCAACACCGCCCTCGCCCGTAACCACGCGCCCCTCCAATGTTTTCTTCCTCCCCCTCTCGTCTGCTCGCCCTCCGCCTCTTCGTCTTCGCTCTCGTCCTGCAGATCTCTTACGCTCATGCCTTCACGCACTCCTCCTGGAAGTCCTCGCACGCCCGCCGCTCCTTGCTCCACAAAATCCAGGACAAGATCTCCGGTCTTGACCCCCGCCAGGATGGTGGTCTCTTTGGAGGTGGTCCCTGTGAGTCGCCTCGTTTCTTTCGCTCTGTGAGCCTGAGCTGTCTGTCTATGTCGTGTCACCGCTGTGGCGACTGATCGCTCTTCACGTCGATGCCTTCCGCCACGTTGTGCGCGGCCGATCCCGCAATGACGAGTCTCGCAAACGCGCCGTCGAGTGACAGAACTGTCAGACTGCTGCAGTTGTCGCCCCCGACACCGCGGTCGTAACTATGGCCTCGACCCCTTGCGAGATCTTATTTCGGCCCCTGCTTCCGCCATGAACGGTGGAGGCATCTGTTCGGTTCTCTGTGCTTCTTCGGGGTTCACTCAGTGGGCGCTTAATGCGGTATGTCTGATTTTGTGCACTGCCCCCCGTGGGCAGACGTATGTCCAGTTCCTTGATTCGTCATTTGTGGTCTTCGGAGAGTTATATCACTGACCATACACTCCTTTCGCCAGCATCATCCGGTGGAGGAAATGGCGGACTTTGTTTGCCGTCCCTAGGAATAACGGATGGTTGTTCCAGCTCATCTGGGACAACCGCCTTGGTGCCCGCGACGTCGACGTCGGTAGGCTCATCATCTGCGTCAAGTTCGAGCGCTTCATCTTCTGCTTCATCCTCGTCTGGCGGCTGTGTGGACCTCCTCGGTATCGAAATTGGTTGCTCGAGCAGCTCCGACAGCGCCTCATCCACCGCTGCTGCCTCGACCACGGCAAGCGCGACGGACTCGAGTACTGCGAGTGCCTCACCCAGCTCGACCGCGAGTGTCGCGTCGTCTACGGGCTCAGCCAGTGCCAGCACCACGGACGCGTCGTCCTCGTCTGCGAGCAGCTCGGCTGACCCCAGTAGTACCTCGAGCGGCGGCGGGATCTGTCTCCTCGGTATCGGCGACTGCTCGACCAGTGACAGCGCGTCGTCGACCGCGTCGGCTTCCTCGGCTAGCGCAAGTGACTCGTCCAGTGCAACTGATACTTCAAGCGCGACCGACTCGTCTAGCTCTGCTAGCGCGACGTCCAGCGGCGGGGTCTGTCTCCTCGGCATTGGTGACGGTTGCTCGACCAGCAGCGACAGCGCATCCTCGACTGCGTCTGCTTCTTCGGCCAGCGCGACGGATTCAACCACTGCGACAGACTCCTCTAGTGCAAGTGACTCGGCTACCGCGAGTGACTCTTCCAGCTCTGCGAGTGCGACGTCTTCTGGCGTCTGCCTCCTCGGTCTTGGTGATGGCTGCTCATCGAGCAGTGACAGCGCGTCGTCTACCGCGTCCGCAACCGCTACGGACTCGTCGACGGCCTCTGCGACGGCCACAGACTCGAGCAGCGGCACCGCATCGACTGGCTCTGCCAGCGCGACGACGACGGACTCCGCCAGTGCGAGCTCGACCTCTTCCGGCGTCTGCATCCTCGGCATCGGTGATGGCTGCTCGTCCTCCACGGACTCGGCCTCCTCCACTGTATCGGCCTCCTCGACTGGCTCTGCGAACGTCTCTACGACCACGACGGATTCGTTGAGTGCAACGTCGTCGTCTACGGACTCGGCGAGCGCGTCATCTTCCAGCGCGACTTCGTCGGGTCTTTGTGTCTTCGGTATCGGTGAGGGCTGCTCCTCGAGCACCGCGAGCGCGTCGAGCACGGGCTCGGCCAACGCCACCATAACCTCCAGCGCGTCGACGACGACGGACATCGGGAACGCGACGACGACGATCTCCAGTGTGACTACTATCACGACGGTATCGGGTAATCAGACTATCACAACTACGTCGACCAGCGCTATTACGACGGTGACGTCGCTCAACGGTACTAGGTGAGTACCTTCCGCATCCTGGTATTAATGGTGTTCGGGTTCTGAGTATGTGCACACAGCTCTGCGACAATCACCTCGAGTGCCGCGAACGCGACCTCCTCTGCGAACATCACGAGCTCCGCAATCATCAGCTTCCCGTCGCAGAACAGCTCGACGTCGCTCTCGTTCACGTCGCTCTCGACACTCACGTCGACGACCTCGTTCTCGCGCATCACGCCCTCCGCGAACTCGGAGAGCTTCCTCACGCAGTCGACGCTCATCCTCGCGTCACAGACGTCCACGAGCTCGTCGCCGACTAGCAGCATGACCGACCCCGACCAGGCGACCTCGACCTCGTCGATCCCGAGCAGTGTCGCGTCCGCGACGGCGAGCCCGTCCCAGGCCGCGCTGCCGACCAACCTCCCCGTCCGTATATACCCCTCGTCGCAGGCGGAGCCTACGCAGATTGGTACCGAATACTCGCTAGTCAGCCTGTTGTTCAAGTCGACGCTGAACTGGGTGACCGTCGCGAACAACACCGAGTCGTCGGCGCAGATCTTCCAGTATCTGCCGGTGGTCCTAGAGTATGCACTCAACCTGACGTGTGAGTAGTTTGAGGTTTGACTGTGCCCTGAGTGAACTGACTCGAGATGCAATTGTAGCGGCGCAGATTCAGCAGTACGCCCTGCAGCCGTACGAGCCGTCCACTTACACCGGCCCGGAGGATGAGGATCTGCTCTTGACTGTCTGGCTGGGGTATATCCCATCGACCCAAGTCAGCAACCTCGCGGAGCAGATCAAGGTGTCCACGTCGCAGTTCTACAATGCGCTCGTCGCGCCATACAGCACCCTCGCGGAGCAGGTAGACCCCTCGTTCGCCGTCGACTCCGTCTCCATCTCTGGGGACAATGGTAGCGGCGGCGGCGGTGGCGGCACCGGTTCGTCCAGTAGCAACGCCGCCACCTCCAGCGGCTCGTCGTCGTCGAACACCCGCAAGGACGCAATTATCGGCGTCGTCACCTCGCTCGGCGCAGTCACCCTCATCGCACTCGCGTTCCTGTCCATCCGCGCGATCAAAAAGCGCAGGGAGCTCGCGCACCAGCGCTTGAATGAGCCCGCGGATATGTACGAAGGCGCGCGCCCTGATGGCCAAGAGTTCGATCGGGACAGCGTCGGTGGCCAGCGCAGGCGCAGCTTCTACTACGCCGCGGACTCGCTGCGCGGGTTCTCCGAGGTAGCCAACACCGCTGCGACGTTTGACCAGGGCGCGTCGCCCGACAGCGGCATGCGCGAGCGCAGGGGCGTCATGGCCGGCGCGATCTCGACGCCGATTCTGCGGGAGAACACGATGAACTGGTGACCGGGTAGCACGCGCTGGACCTCCTACTCCACACCGCCGTGACGATCTGCAGAACTTTTTTTCGTCCTTGCTAGTTGATGCGCGCGTGTCTTGCGCCGAGGACGGTCCAATATACCAGAGCCACCACTGTGTCAGTTATAGGTGACTTATCCCAGTTTGTTTTTCGTTGCTTGTGTGATTTGGGCCTGTTGGTATGAATCGGAATGATGTATGTGTAAACGGTAGATCGACCACGATGCTCCTGTACCCCGTCCGACAGCTTTAGATCGGGCTGGCAGTGCTTGGGAGGTGCGTGTCCTGGACAGTCCTTCTTGGTGTCGTCGCACGTACCTCCCTCTGCACAACGGACTTCTCTTTCGTTTTCTTGGAACTTCTTTTCTTATTTATCGTATTCAGACCCGGCGGAACGTTCCGCTTCTTGCTGTCGTCTCTTAATCGTCTTTCTGTTGTCATTCTCCCGCGCTGGCTGCCCCTGTAAATAACTCCTGTGATATGTTTTAGTGGTAGCTGGCTCATATAGGGTGTGGAATGTGTGCTAAGGCTGTATACACGTCGGCCGATATGCAGGCGAATTCGCCTATTATGCTCAGTGGTAGTTGCAACGCGACGTCTTGCCTGACTTGGCCATCGTGAATGATGTTTCCGAACTGCAATCCTGTCGTGCAGGCGACAAGACACGCTGGCTCGTGTGACTCTTTACTATTCTGTTGGTGAGTTCTCGTCAGTGAGAGGTTCGAGGGATTGTGAGACTGTTTGATGAAGAAACCTGAGAGGGACGGTTATCGACCAGCAAGCAAGGTATTGCATTCACCGAGAGTCGAGACGGACGCGATGCACATCACTCGTAAGATATATGCCTCAGCCGAACACCAAGGACGCACTGACGCGCCCTGCACGCATACGCACACATTTGCGCACCCCGCCAACTACTACACACAGACACCCAGAGACTACGATCATCCATACTAGACAGGACTTGCGGAACGTAAGTGGCGCATTGTAATGCCCACTACGGCTCTGAGTCGCACCATCATATTCCACTCGTGTAAGCATGCCATTGCAGACAATGTTTTATGATCGATACCTGACACAAGAAGTACAAGTATATATGCAACACTCATCCGAATGACCTAGGAGCAATAACCCAAGCACGTCTTCGTAAATTCACCGATGAGTCGGCTGAGCTCAAGTCATCCAGCTAAGATTCAATGTTCGCCTCTACGCACCCCTGCGTGATCCCTAGACTTCGCCGTCCCACGCTCCGATATCAGGCGGGTCCATTGGAGAATACTCGATAATGTTGAACTTAAGCTCTTGTACAAATTTCGCCATGCGCTGCCCACTAATCGTCATCGTCTTTGGGACCCAACGGACGAAGTTGGGCGTGTCGAGGAAGCCCCGGACTGCCGTGAGAGTCAGCTTCTCGAGTGGATGGCCACGCTTCGCCCGTCCGATCGCGAGGCCCATCGCCCAGAACGGCTTGTACCATGTAGGGAGCTCCCCGACGAACTGAAGTGACTTCAGTTGAGGGAGAGGAACCATGTACTCGGACTTCAGACAGGTGCGCCAGTATTTTTTATCCACTTCGCGGTCGACCCAGATCGTGCAGGACTCGACCGCGTAGAGGGATTGCAGCAACACTACGACGGCGGGAGGCCAGACGGGCTTGTATCCACCGAGTGCAAGGCGAAGATCGAAGATGTGTTGGATAGGGAGGATGCTCGGGAGTTCCGTGACCAGAACCGCCACGAGGGTGTTGCAGACGGACGACGGTGCCTCATCGTCCATTTGCACAGCGACCGTCAGAGAGGCAGAGGGGCCATTGCACGCAAGGCATGCCACCCTTTCTCCACACCAGAGGCATAACTGTGTCATGTCGTTGGTGTGGTTCATGAATGCCGCGCCCTGAGCGAAGATGCAGAGGAGCTCGTGAGCACGACGTAGTTGCCTGAGCTCGGTGATCTGGACCGCGGCCTGAGTAGAGGGGACGACATGCCGCAGGACGCACGCAACGACCTCCCATTGGCATAGATCGAAGACAAGAGTCCGAAGGCGGCTTAGGTTCACGTAACGAGATATCGGGAAGACTGGAAAGAGGTCCGGGACAACGCATGGCCCCGCACGATGAAGTATGATGTGTTCCAGCTGCGGCGATCCTTCCAGGAAGTCAAGGAAATCGATGAGCGATGCGGGGCTGAACATGTACTGCGCCTTGAGATATAGGTGAGTCAGGTTGGGAAGCCGATTTGTAGTCCAGGCAAAGTGCTGGTCGAGAAAGAGGCGAGAAAGCCGAGGCGCGTCCCCCTCGAACAACATCGGCGTCTGTATGTGGTCGTCTACATCGTCGTACGCGGAGAGGTGCAGGCCTTCGAGGAGCGGGGCGGGTCGGAACAGGAGCGAGGTTCGGTGCGAGGGTTGCATGTCTAACATGGGGCTTGTTCTGAATGTGATGTCCAGCTTTCGCATTTGAGGCATGTAGGGATCGATATGCTTCAGCAGGTCATCCGCGCAGAAGGCGGAAACCTCCAGCGGGATAGCGCCGCCCCTACGTAGGAGTTCGTGGAGCGTACTTGGTGTTGTCCGCTCGTCGAGGTCGATCTCCCACCAAAGCGCTGGGCAGCTCATTGCTACCTGGCGCCATAGCTGACACACGGCTTGGATAGTCCGGAGGTCTTTACGTGAGCGATGTTGTGAATGTCGCGGGTCGACGATGACATGTACAAAGATCATGCAGAGAATCTCGGCGGGAAGGCGGTCCGTTGAAGCCAGGGCATTGTGAACGTTCTGCGTGTACATCAACGCTTGACGTAGTTGGTCTTCAATCCGTTCTAGCGTAGCTAGGTGTTCACTAGCAATAGCATGTCAGCTAGCAAGTTCGCGCGAGCAACACGAAACAAATAGACTCACTATCGAAAACTCGACGCATGTTGACCGACAGAACGGGATAGCGCAAGGAGCCTTGCCGTAGCATCTCTGAGGGAGTCCAGGTTCTGTACGGAAGTGCTCATTGTACAATTTGTACGCGAGTGTAAAGGTACTAGTGGGGTAGCGGCTTACCGATCGTCGGAGTGTGCAGTATAAATGCAACTTGCATAGCGCGGCCACACAAAGCTCGACCCAGATTCGTCAAAGCAAAAATGGGAATTGATCGCTCAGTGACGGCCGTGGCACAAGCGACCATGTCACCTTGTCCATTGTGGGCATAGGCCGGGTCGTGGTCCCGAGGCACAATGCTTCTCCAGCCAATGATCGCTGTGTTGCCTAGTTGCGAGCGGAGCGAGCATACATTGCCTATGGAGCGGTTCACTTAGACACCGCTACTTTTGTATAAGGAAACCACGCACCCGTACAGAGCGCCGGCCAACAATTCCTCTTGCCAAACGACTTCGATTGACCAGAGGAACAAAACCTCTAGACGGATTTCCCATAGCTTCAAATCCTCCAAAAATGGGCATATCGATTTGGCCACTCACGTGACACCTTCCATACATAGTATGTTTAGCGCTGATATGCTTATGTAACTAATCCTAATGTGATCACTCTCCGTATGGGTTTGACCTTTGTGAGGGGCATCTGGCAGATAAAAACAACATCTAGAGCTCTTACGTACTAAATCACAACAGAGGAAGCATTTCTGCATGCTGAACTGCCCAGATGTTCTCAGGGAATGTCGGTGACCGACCAGGTTGGCCAGCTTACGTAAGGCGCTTAGCTTGTACGAAAGTGGCGGCGTCTAAGTGAACCGCTCCATAGGGGGTGCAGCCCGGAGCCAAACAACTACAAATTTCACGTAACCCAGATCATTATTTCCTGCGATGCTGCAAAGACTGCCGTCCCGCGCATTCAAACATGCCCTAGTATTCTCGAAAAAATGCCCATAATTTGCGCAATGCAGTACTACCCTTAGAAGTGCCCTCCTTTGTGGCTCTGCGGGCAATGCTTCGCAGTCGTGCTCTCGAAAATGGTGGCGCGCGCGATGTTCAACTTAAGCGCTCATCGACCAGCAGCGGCCACCGTGTCGTGTCTCTCCATTCCTTTCGCTTTTCATGTGCAGGCTAGTGCGTATAGCAATCCACATGAACGACCCTCTAAATTTTGCCTCCTTTGTGGTTCCGCGTGCAGTATGTCGCAGTCGTGCTCTTGAGAAAGGTGGCGCGCGCGATGTTCGAGTAAGCGCTCACCGACCAGCAGCGGCCACCGCGTCGCGTCCCTCTAGGAGGTTGAATGAATTGGATACTCTGCCCACAGGAGACTTACGTGTCCACACGGGGCTCGCTATGAATCTGACGTACTGTACTGCGCCCTCGGATTGTAGCGAGCCCCTTTTCACGGAAAAAGTATGTTTATGGTAGGTCAATGCTGCACAAATCTGGAAATGTCTCGCTTTGATGGCCGGGCGGACCATTTCAGCGCTGCCAGGTCCTGTGTAGTGGGCACTGGGCCACGATGGGGTTGGGCGTCTCCGGTGTGGCCCCATAACCCGATCCCCATCTGTGGCAGATGCAGCGCCACAGTGGCTGTCAGTGTCTACGCGTCTACCGGCGTACTGCAGCCTGCGCCTACTGCCATCATTGCGACGTTCAGGAGCATTCAGGTCGCTTCACGCTGTCAAGTGATTTACAGAGCCAAGAGTCTCTTGATTTGGAATGGACGATTGAAGATCAAGCAACGCCACTTGCCATACGCTTTGGCTGACAGCGCTTTGACCACGCGCCGGGCCAGGCCCATGTTTCAGTACTATGCAGCGGCCTTGGCATGCCCACCGCCGGGATCGCGCCCAAGACCCTCCCGACGCTATTCCAAGGCACCGCCCCTCGACTCTCGCGTCTGTGCTGCATCGGACTGTCGCCACACCTGCACAACCGCTTCCCAAACCTGACGCACCTCTATCTGTATGAGGGGTCCGTCTTTCCGGGGAGAGGCGACCATGCGGCCACTAGCTGGCACGGGGTCCACGACGCAACGCCGTTCCTCCCCGCGTTCCTCGACTTTCTGGAGGGCGCGCCAGGCCTCGAGGAGCTCGTGCTCGTGCACAGGTCTGCCGCTTCCTGGTGCACGTGCGGTAAGTGCAGGAAGGACCCTGAGGAGCTCGCGGGGCGGCGCGTGCGCATGCCTCGGCTGCGGCGGATCACCTTCGGGGAGTATGCCTGGGCGAACGCGGGCCGCATCCTGCGGTACGTCGTGCCCGCAAAGAGGGTGACCGTGCAGACGGACGGCGCGGAGGGGCATACGGGGAACTTCATGTACGACGTGTTGTCCTTGCTCACGCCCGATGCGGGCTTCTTGGGACACCTCGCGGGGATCACGGAGGTGGCGTTGTGGTTGAGGGAGGGCCAGCATTGCGTGAGGCGCAGAGGCCCGGAGTGCGAGCTGACGCTCAACCTCGTGCATGCAGAGGGTCACTTGGTATGCGGTTACCCTGCGGCGCGAGTACCCCGCGATGTTCGTGCACGCCGTCGCGGCGGCGCTGGACCTGCGGAGGGTCGTGGACTTGAGCGTGCAGATGGACTCTTGGGGGTTGCTCTCCGTGCAGGACGCCCAGGCGCTGTTCTCGAGTATGCCCGCGGTGCAGAGGTGCACCTTCTGGATGGACTCGCGTATACATAGGAGTTATTGGCAGAGGTGTCTGTCGAAGGCGGACGTACCTTTCCCTGACCTGAGGACACTGCACTTCGTGTGCAATATGCCTAAGGATTGGAGGCCATGGGAGATCCTGGGACTTGCCATCCGGCGGGCGAAACGCGGGCGTCGTTTGGAGGAGGTGAAGCTCACCGCGGTAGCAAGTGAGGGCTCGGTCCCCAGCTTCGTACGGTGGGATGTGGATGCGTTGCAAGTGGGCGGGAAACGACTGCTTGACTATGTCGGCTCGTTACGCTTCGAGCAGGTAACCATCACCTCGCTGATGAAAGCTCCCGTGCTTAAGCATTGGGATGGATGTTTGCTGTAGAATTTGTCGCTTACTTCGGACCTTTGCTTTCTGCATGATGCCCGAAGGGTCCTGTGTATTAGTGTATAGTTTTTGACTAAGTATAATGGAAAGGGCCCGGAACACCTACCTCACGACTCTCGCTGGTCGCGATCATTTCGGTAGAGGTATAGTAACTTAAACGCGCTTCGTCACAGGCTGCTGCCGCGATTGTGGTCAGAAGTGCTGGGGACTGGATATCATCGCGAAGGCAGCTATGCATGGGAATCGCTCACCGGGTCACTGCCATCATAATCGTACTCGAAGCTTCCGCTCTCGGTTTGAAGTGCTCGAGCTTGAACGACCTCGGCGATGCGATGGATGAACCATCAATTGGTCGGGTGCCTGTGTCGCGGAGCGCTGTCGATGACAGTACTTATCAACGGCAGGATGCGCGCTCCTGTCTGCTCCTGTCTACGTCGGAAGGCATCATATGTGGCTTTACGACTGCATCCCAACAGACGCGTGACGGAAATGTGTGCATACACGAATGCACGGTGGGGCTGCTGCCAGTGCTGGCTGCTGGTCGTGCGGACATACATACTTGGCCCGTGCGTCGAAGTCAGGCCCGATCTACCTCGATCGCATCACCTGTATCGGTCCGGGAGGTCAAGATCCCGGCCGAGATCCCGGCCGGAGACAGCCAGAGGCGCACCTTCTACTCTGTAGTTCGTCGGGTGCCACACCTCATATATAAGAGCTGCAGCTCATCCACAGAGCTAGTGTCCTTTCTCTCGAACCATCCCCATCGTAATCGCATGCTCTGCGCATTCGAACCAAGGTCTGACACCCTGCTCGGTATAGGCGTCTCCGCGGCACATCGATCGACGCTCCGGAGTCCGGCCGGCCGTCGGCGGCATCAGCGCGCGCCCGACGCTCGAATAGCTTCGGTGTTTGTTGTTCCCCCATGGGCCATACGACTCGCCGGAATGGGTTCCCCACTCGACTCGGATAGGCACCTCTGAGGCACCTAGGCGTCTTGCACGCTCGAAGGTTTGGTGGCCTCTTCATTACTTCGCAACTGCAGCGGACAGACGTGGATGCACTGCATATGGGCGGGTGGATGGACGCAAGATGGCACGCGAGCAGTCGGGCGGCGGTGTGCGGAGAGCGTGTGCCGGGCGGCAGAGGCTAATTATAGGGCTCAAGTCGAACACCCAGTGCCAAACAGCGCAGTCGCCACCGCAGCATATCATGTTTCTCCCCTGAGGCTATAGCTGCTTACGCCTCCCTCTTCGCCTCCCCCGCATGCCCGCCCGCCACTCGCATGGCGAAGTACGTCCCAGCCTACTATCTCCGTCGGCGTTTCGTGCTGGCCACCGCATTCGCCGCCTCCCTCCTTTTCCTCTTTGTTTATCTCCGCCATGCCTTTCAAGACCTCGACGACGAGCTCGGCCTCACCGCCCGCCTCGAGTCTACATCCTATATCCCCTTCCAGCTCCCCCGCCTGCCCCTTCCGCCACCGCTACGCACACCATTGCGCCCCGTCCGCGATCTACGCGCGTCATGTCTCGATCCCCACTTCAGTCTTGGCGAGCAATGTCTTGGCGACCACGTTGATCCGCTCGACGTGCTCTGGACGTGGGTCAACGGCTCCGACTTCCTCCTCGAGGAGGCCAAGGAGCTCGCCCAGTCCCACTACGACAAAAACGACCCGTTTAGGCCTGTGAAGACGGTCACTCAGGCACGCCTGTACCGGTGCGTGTGCTGCTTCGCCTCTGTATAGCCGTGTTGACCCAGCCCTTCGTTCCAACTTCCCAGCGATCATGACGAGCTAAAGTACTCGATACGATCGGTCGTCGAGAACTTCAAGTCGCCGGGTTCTCGGTTCCGATTGCTCACGACCGATTTCCCAGTGCCCGATGCGTACGCCAACAAGAGCAACCTCACAACGCCAGAGGTCTGGCGGCTTGGTCAGCTGCCACAATGGCTTGACTGCGATCGACGTGTGGGTGCTGGGCGGTGGAGAGATGGGGACATGGAGCTCGTTGTTACGCATCATGGGCAATTCTTCGGGCCGTACAATGGAACGGTGTTCAACAGGTGCGTCGCGCGTGAATATGCCATGGACTAGACGGTGACGATCATCACCAAGTCTTGCTATCGAGTCGCAACTCGGTCACGTCCCGGAGATGTCAAACTACTTGTGAGCGATTTCATATAATGCCACCGATCTTTACTCAACAGCCACTGGCAGCATCTACATGGTTAGCATCATCTGTTCGAGTTTCAAGGCGTTGCTGTCAAACTTACCTCTCGATCTGTCTTGTCCAGAATGACGATCTTTTCATGCTCAATCCCGTTACCCCAGCAACATTCTACACATCTGCATATGGCATCGTCCTGCACCTCCAGCCTGACCTCCTCGTCAAGCCCGATCGGCCTACTACGAAGGTCAAGGGTGAATGGCGCTCTCTCGGCGAGAGCAATTGGCTTCTCAGTGCGTCTCACTGTATCTATCTCCTGTCAACATTCTCACAATCCATCTGCGCCTCGCCAGGTAATCGCTTCGGCGCACGCTCACGGCCGTACGTCGCGCATGAGGCGAAGCCCGCAGGTATGCACCTTCTGCACGAGTTGCATACGATCTGGCCGGAGGTTTTCGCCTCTTCCGCGCTGCATAAGTTCCGTGAGACGGTGATGGGCGACGGGGACGTGAACACGATGTTCATGAGCGCGCACTTCGTCGTCGAGCGCGCGCGCGAGGCTCTCCTCTGGGCGTGGGTCGTCGGGACCCTGGGAGGTACCGACGATGCGTGGGGCCCCGCGGAGGCACAGCGTGCGTGGCGTGAGGTTGGGGGTGCGTTTGCGGAGGACCTGGCGGCGGTGGATGACCTTGTCGTGACGAGCGCACATCGGGAGACGTTGGAGACGGAGAGGGTCAGAGAGACGTTGCTCGCTCACGGGTATGAGCCAGATCAGCTGACGTCGTATGTCTTCTGTGCGTATTGAGTACTCTCATCTTTGGGCTTCTATCGCTTACTGTCCGGACGATGCCAGCCTCCCTCGACGGCTTCCCGTACCTGAACCTGGGTCCCAATGGGAAGCCGAGTTTCCCAGCGCTCACGCCGGATATCGCGGAGATGGCCCTCCCGCGGTGCAGATTGTCCTACTCGCAGTGCTTCGTTGTGGATAAAATGGTCGGTGACGGGTCCAAGGCGAGCGAAGTCTTCAAGCACCTCGCGTTCCGGGATCCGCGATGCGGGGATTGCGGTGCGTCCATCTCTTTGCCTCCATCACACATTCACTGACGTACACCTCGCGTTCGCCCCCTCCAGTCATCAGCGGACTCGTGAAGGCGAGCGGTTCGCTGGGCCTGTCGGCGTTCCTTCCGCCGGCGGAACGCGTCGTACCAACGACACCTCCGTTGGATTCTGATGTGGACGCGGATGTACCGCACCTACCGCTCGTGGATAACTGGCAGAAAGGCGACTTCTCGCTGCAGGCAGTCATGGCGAACAGCCGGGAGACGAATGTGCGACAGTGGACGTTACAACTGCTCCATCGATATCGCTACGTCCTCGGTGCGCTCCTCCTTCCGCTCTCCAGGTCTCTGCACGGACACTTATTGTGCCTCGCATAGGGTCGACGCCGATGATGTTCGAGCGGATCGTCTCCGGCCCGCAGACGTCCATGACCGTTCGTAAGATCGACGCCACGAAAGATGTTGCGCTACTCTGCATGAATGATGACGTCTCGAGACCGAATCAGGACGCGGAGGTTAGCCGCGTGCTCCGCATGTGGTTTGACCGCCGATGGGGCCGCGCGACCGCTTGGGAGCGGGAGTAGCAGTTAGCGCCGGGCGCAGGCAGGCGGGGAAGGGGCGTGTGTGGACTTTGGGAGGTTGTTGGTCCTGCGAGCCGGCTGGATGACGGTGTTGCTGGAGAGAGGAGGGAGGGGGCATCTAGTGTTAGTTGATAAATTATTGTATTTTTACTGTTGCGTGTGGTCGATGCGTCGCTGTTGTCTGAGTTGCTGTTGTTCTGTCTGGCTCTGTAGACATACTTACGTGGGAGTGAGAATATGTAGCGCGACTAATCGAATTGGATACCCGGGGCGCTTTGCGTCGTTAGGCACTCTGCCAAAATCGGTTCTTAGCGCGGTGTTGAGTAGTGGATGCTGACGGATTAGGAAGGCGGAGGCTTTGGATCCTAATACAGACAAACACGGACTGCCACAGGTGTGGCGGCTGACATCAACCCAACAATGGCATTGACAACATCAACCTCTTGAACGTTGAACTCTAAACTAAGCGGCACCATCTCTATGTACCTGTATGTGTGCAATGAATGCCATGGCGACTGACAAACGTACCCTTATCAATCCTCACCACCGACGCGGTGGACTACGTACTACTTAGTACTACTACTAGTAGGAACTCACACCGAGAGTTTCAACATTTAATCCATGTCTTACGTTTGGTGCCAATGCAGTTGCTGGTCTCACACTACGATATGCTATGTGAGTGGCGGTTTGTCTCTAGGGTCTATGCTCCGTAAAGGTATCTAATTTTTGAGAGATCAGGCAGTCAAGCAGCGGGGCGCATGGCTGGCAAGGTATCGAACACCATCTCGGAAGAGGCCATCGGCTTCTCCCATTCTGCATGGAGCGTTAGCTCTCCTTTATACACCACAGAGTTTGACAGAGCGGTACGTGCCGTGCGCATTCTTCCAGAATATCTCGATCCCTGGAGCGAAGTTGTTCCCGAACAGCGCAAGCTTGACGGCGTAGAGGGTGGGCGTCGCGTCGGATTCGACCCACAGCGGAGTGCCGCAGTCCCCGCAGAAGTAGCGGGTGACCTGTTTGCCGGAGAGGTTCGTGTTCGGTGGCTGCTTGTATGCTTTCGGCTGACCCTGGATGACTTGCAGGTGCTGGCGGTCGACCTTGGTAGCGTAGGCAAACACTGCGCGAACGGTCGATAATTAGATTCCAATTACGTTTGTGTGTATGAAGGACGGGTCACGCATACAGCTTCCGGCGAATATCTGGCACTCTTTGCAGTGGCAAATACCTGCCTTGGTGTCCTCGGTGAACCCGCCGAGTATACGCATTTGAACAGCGCCGCAATGGCAGCTTCCTGTTGGTGAGATGTGATCAATGCCGAAGGGAGGCGGTCTCTATCGCGAGTGAAGTACCTTCAAAATCGGGTGTCATCGGATGTGGATGGGATGCACGGTACGTATGCCCTCCGAGTGGAGCTGCTGCGACGCTCATATACGATGTGCAGTACAGCCTGCTTTGACGGTATCACCCGAGATTGTCAAGCTCGGGCTGCGTTGGGACTCGGACATACGTCTTCTTGTTCGGCAATGTGCTACTGTCCATGCGTCCACCCACTGGCAGCAGCGCCAAGTCTGCCCGAGCTCGCTTGACCATCGTAACCTACAAGTTGACGAGCGGATTGCACAGCAATGATGATGCCCTTTTGGTTCTGAAACGACGCCTTCCCGCAACCTTCCCGTCATTGCAACTTCTGGTGCCGCTAAGACAAGCATCATCATGATCTCAAGAAGTCGGACTCCCCTTTGACTCCCCTTGTCTCCTACTGGCATCCCTTCCCGTACTACTCAATTAGTCTCCAAGGTACTCGGAACCACCCTCTCCGCTACCATCACACGGCCTTCCTCTACATCCGAATCGAGTTCAGCCACGCTTACTGCCACGTATACCGTCACTAGTGCATCGTACTTGCCTGCCCCAGGAGGCACATCAATGCGCACTCGGAAGTCACCCGCATTGATGACTGGAATAGCCGTTGGTTCTGGCGGCGCGGTGGCCCTTATTCTCTTCCTCTTCTGCTTGCATCGTCGGCGTAGGCAGGGCGAGTATGCTACAAGCCACCCCGTCCGCGCGGAACACGATGGGCGAGACAAGCAAGTTGAGATTGAATATTGAGCCGTTCGCGCTCATTCGGGAACTCGACCGACCGTTGACTCACAAGCAGAAGTCATACGCATCGTTGTTGTCTACGCATGGTGTACAACGCGTCGTCGCTCCTCCTGACGACACAGGACGACGTGTTACAGAGCCAACAAAGCCCCCGCAGCCTTCAAACGGGGCACTTCAGAACGGCGACAGGACCTCGCTTGAGGCTCCGAACAACGCACATCCTCCAAACGAGCGAGGCGGCCTGTCGAGTCAAATGCTGGACATGGAGGGACGCTACCTCTGTCTGTCGAGAGACACGAGGAGACGATTTCGTCCCCTGAGGGACCAGCACCCGGAGTACTCGAAGGTAGCGCCATCTCAATGGGGGAGGGGGGGGCGAAAACCCGGCGATGGAGAAGCAGCTGGAGGGTCTATATGTCAGAGGGAAGGACTGGTGTCGGCGAGGAGCCGCCGCCGGCGTACCAGGACGAAGCCTTGGACGAAGCCCAGTGGTGAAATCGAGTGCGGGGCGACTCGGAGTAAGTCTGTGGAGAACATCGAGTTGCTTCTGGCAGAAAGGGAATGTTCGTTCAGTAGGTTTCGCTATGCGGCTACGTAAGGATGTGCTGCACAAGGGATCTGTGTACTGTGTAAGCTATCCGTGCTCGAAGACGATCATGAAGAACACGTACTGATGTGATACTCATCAGAGTGTGGGCTCTGACTTGTTGCATACTCGGTTCATTATGCGCTACCGCTGGCGCAGCTATACGATACCTGTCTGTTCCGACATAACAACCCAACGCCTGACCATGCCCCGGAATGTGCTGTGTCTTCCACGCACGCTAGCAAAGATAAGTCTAGCATTACCCAAAGTCTAACCAGAGATGCAATCATGGTGACACGGCCTCTGCGTGCCCGCTTTCTTGCCGCCACTGACTGAGCCAACTGTAGTCGCCCTTCTTGCCCAGCGCCTTCTCCTTGCCCAGCGCCTGCTCCACGGCAGCCAAACTACGCGCAACCCAGCGCTTCTCATTTGTCTCCCCCTTCATATATTCCCGCGCGTCCTTCGGGACCTCCATCTCCTTCGGGTCGGTGTTCGTCAGGAGCTCCTTCAACTGAGGGACCATCTCGCGTGCGACAGTGAGCGATTGTGATGTACGGTGTTTTAAGCACGCGGCGGTGAACATCGCGCAAGTAACGAGGTCAGAAGAGATGGGCGGGAGCTTATACACGCCGAAGAGCGCGGCGAGGGTGATGGTGGCCTGCAGGGGGTACTCTTCGTGCAGAGCATGCAGGAGCTTTCGGGCGGCGCGGGGCGAGGCGAGGTCGAAGCCATATTTTGGGTGGTCAGCGAAAACTTGGAGGGCGAGGTCGGGGCACTTCAGTTGCTCGCAGCGGTCTACAGTCGGTTGTCAGGTTCATTCAGCGCGCATGCTTGAGACGACTCACAAACAAACTGCTCTGCGTTATTTACAGTGAACGTACGCCTCGGCTTCGAGTCTCTCCACTTTGGGAACAGCTGGACGACCGCCGCCATCTGCTCCTTCGTCGTCGCGAGCGCAAACAGGTGTTGCCACGCCGTATTGCGTACCGGAGGTAGTATCTCCTTTGGTTGGCGGCCTATCCTCAGTGCCACGAACTTCAGCAGATCGTTGAAGCGTTTTCGGCGTTCCTCCGGGTCCATCGTACGCGAAGGCGTGACAGCCTCGAGCGGAGCGGAAGGTATTGCAACAACCTCTTCCGCTACATCCTTGCTTGGCGAGAAGAGGTCCTCCGAAGACTCGCCCTCCTGAGAACCACCGAAAAGGTCACCCTGTTCCGGGATGTGTGCCTTTTGCTTCTTGAAGGCTGGAGTGTACTCAGCTGGTCGCTGATGCTCCATAAAGTCAATACGCCGTACCTATGGGAGTCTGGTGAATCTCCCGCCGCATACATGCTCTACGAGCGAATGCATGCGCAAGTCCGGGTCTGCATCCTCGCTGGAGGGAGAAGAGAATGCTCGCCATGTGCGCGGAGAGTGTATCCCGGTTTGACTTGGTGGCAGACGAGCGACCCGTGTCCAGCCACTGGGATCAAATAGTCGCAAACAACGCGCTTCGTCCAAGTACCCGCGAAATTCTCATATCCTCACTTTCGAACGACCATCATCCCTAGCAGACTCGCACCATCTCAAACCCCCTCACGTATCGCGCTCCTGCGGTTTCGATGATCCGAGTAACATTCAGTCCAGTGAATCAGTGAGTCTTGTCTCCATGTCTTTTCGATGATGAGCTTTTTGCTGTGCACCAGTCGGAGTTCAAGACGACAAAATCCCTGATCCTCTATTTACGCTTGAGGATCCTGAACAATTCATCTACGCCTGTAGCTCTCTGGATCATCAGATACTAACCAACCGTTCTGTTTTCAGGTCATTCATGCTTTCGGAGACGAGCATCATTGCAACGGGTCAGTGCACTAGTACAGTCTGTCAACGTCGAGTCCCTTGGACCCATGTATTCATGTACAAACCAATTTCTGCAATACATATGCTCTCATGCAACACGAATGAACGATCGAGCTCATGTCGAGATGTCCTGCGGCAACATTATGTTGCATTACTCATTACATTACATGTGTTACAACAAAACCCAACGGCGCGGCCGCAGTGCATAGGTGCTGGATGGAGGTCGGTGCTACGGTGCAACACGTCGTATGTTCAAGGGCATCTGGTTCCCCATGTGCGGTTCTGTCTTGACCGCTGGTCGAGTGACCACACTGCAAAACGGCACCTTCAGCGCTAGACAACAAGGACTGTAAAGAGACGACCACGTACATGACCTTCTTCTCGATGTGTATCGTCGGGTCTATCGAGAAGTCTATGTCGCGCAACAAGACATACAAGAAGATCTTAATCCTGTGGGCACTCTGAGCAATCCTCATTGTAGAACATCTAGCGGAGGACTCACTCATTTATCGCAAAGCGGAACCCGATGCACGCCCGATTCCCATTAAGAGGGTTACCGTTCCCGAACGTCAGCATGTTCCCCCACAGCCCCGGTGCCCCCGCCTTCTTCTGGCCCCTACCGGGCCTGCCCTCTCGTCCCAGGCTACTCCCCTCTCCCTCATCGTCAGACTCACCCTCCTCGCCGCTCAGGAGCCATCGCTCCGGCCGGAACACCTCCGCGTCCTCGCCCCACACCTCCTTGCTCTTGTTCATCGCCTGGATCGGCACGGTTATGATGTCACCCTTGCGCACATGTATCTCGCTGCACGCGCGGCCGCGTCGGTCAATGACCGGCCTCGCGACGGGGACGACGTCGTCCACGCCCGCGACGCGCATCGTCAACGTTACAGGCGCGTGCAGCCGGAGCGTCTCGCGCACGACCGCATCGAGGTACGGGTGGTCCAGCACCGCAGCGATCGTCGACGCAGGCGGCACATCGGCGTTCGCGGGGAACGGAATGGCACGCAGCTCGCGCCGGAGTTGCGCTTGAATGTCGGGTGCGCGTGCGAGGGCGTAGAGCGTCCATGTCATGGCGGAGGAGGACGTCTCGTGGCCCGCAGAGAGAAAGGTCGAGATCTGGCAGAGCGTTTCTTCCAGGGACAAACGCTGCGACGGTACGGATGAGAGGCTCGAGCGGATGAGGACACTCAGCAGGTCCCGCCCGTCAGTAGGGTGCTCGATTGTTGACGCTAGCTGCTGTTTGTGTTGCGCATCTGCGCTGCGAAGGGTCGCGGCTTGCTCCTTTGTCGCTTCGGCATGTCGCTGTTCAACGAGAGACAGGCCAATGCGGCGCATCGTCTCGCGTGCCTCGCGCTCGGCTGCACCTTCTCGACCCTGTTATTTGGTCAGCTCATGATCAGCAGAGTAGGAGACAAATGCACTTACGTATCTCCGCAACTCTGGGAACCACGCCTGCAGCACTGTGATCACCCTGAACTTGCGCGCGGAGCTGAAGATGACGCCGAAGGCGCGTGCGAGCTCATTCCCCTTCTCACCGCCCTTCTTGGCGGCGGATGCGAGAGAATTGAACTGGTACCCAAACCCAGCCTCTCCGATTACGTCGAGGGTCGCACGAGCTAGCCATGCAAGCACGTCTACCCGCGTAGACGACGCGCTGTCGGGAGATACAACTGGCGTCTTCTCGTACTGAGATGAAGAGGAGCCTTTGGCTTGTCTCCGAGAGGTGGCTTTACCAGGGATGAAGGACGAAAATGGGTTCGGCAGGATGGAGGTAGTGGTCGCGAATGCACGAGCGGGTAAGTCATCTCTGGCAGCCTGCGGAGACGGTGTGACAAGGAAAGGGTCTGTAGGAGCAGCGAGATCTCGTGAAGAAGACGCAATGTCAAGCCAGATGTCGCAGAGCTGTGATTCGAAGAGGGACTACTCAGAGGCAGCACAGGTGATGTGCTGGATACGTACCTCCATGGCTTTCTGCCAGAATACAGGGCTGAGCGATTTAATGTGGGCTGACGTGAAGGCCGGACTCTATCGGAGAGTATAAGCGTACATACAACGGAAACCGATCATGAGGTGCAAGATATTTGAGGGTAGTAGGACCAGAATGCTACGCATTGCCTAGCCCATCTCTGGCAGTCTGTGCGAGCCTTGTCCGTTGCCTGGCATGGTGACGCGAACCCACAATCCACGTGATCGTGTATTCTATCGAGTGCTGGCAAGTGTGCCTGTACATCGCGGTTGCGAGACAGGGAAGCAGGAGTCCAGCAGGTGCGGATGCCACTTACCAGTATCCGGCGCTACAGGATTTCAGAGAACGGGAAATCCACGGGTCAGATATAGTCCGCCTACGAACAAGAAAGATATACGCACCTGCCTCCTATGGTCCTCGCCCTCGACGATGAGCAAACCGTGTTCGCCCGCGGCCATGCTCGACAAATTGTCCCGCACGAACTCGGGCTTGGGGTAGTCATAGCCGCGTCCCAAGATGTGCGCCACTGCGGCTGGGTCCGTCGTCATCAGCCGTGCCCCACCCATAAAACCACGGTAGACGAAAGTGCTCCCGAACTGCTCCTCCCAGCGGGCGATGAGGTTGGTGTTCTCCTGGTCATGCATCTCACGGAGGTTTCCCATAAAGAATGACGGAGACGGAGGACCGCGGAGGTACCGCAACGGCGAGAGGGCCTGCCGGACCAGGAGAAGTAAGAAGGTGGACACCACATAGAACACGAGTGCGACAGCGAGGAGGACGCATCCTAGGAGGATGCCATAGAGCATCGCAAGGGTGGGTGTGGGAAGGAGGAGTCAAGGAGACTGAGGGCTTGACGGAGGAGAACAACTGCAGCCGTTCTCATGGGCAAGCGGTGTTGACACTGTGATATTTTGAGGAGGCCGAACAGGCGCGAGTATATAGCAACGCAGGGGCGCCCGAGACCAGCGGGAGCCAAGAAGAGTAGCGAAGAAGGACCGAGTATAGAGGAAGATAGAAAGGGAAATTGAGCAGCTGAAAACACCGACGGCTGCCCGCAGAGCAGATGGTCGTGGTCAACTGTGGTCAACGCATGCGGCCCGGTCAATGTCGCTGCAGCAGCCGTGGGAAGATCATCCCGGCCACGGATCATCGAGTTCGGTCTCGTCGGGCTGCGTCGGCGTCTCCTTGGGGGCGCGGGCGCTCCGAGCTCCCCGCCGTCCATGGATCTTGATCAGATCCGCGCACATCCCGATCCGCCAGATCTACTGCACCGATGATGATGATGATAAATTCAGCACTTATATGACGCAACAAGCAAACAAAGTTGTGCTAAGAATCAGACGTGGTCCTACTATGCTGAGTATAGTCGGCTTATCTACTGGATCGAGTTCAACCCAGCAGGTCGAGTCCGGTGACATTGCGCGTTCTGCGCAATGGCTTGGCATTCGATTTGCATAGCTACTAGTATGCTCCCACTGACCTGGAAGTCGATGCCCAGGACTTTGAGACAGTGAACTAGTGATGTGGGTGGATTTCCTCAACTGCCAAGTGACAGCGTACATTTCAAGGCACGATTAGTAGCAAAGTCTCTCAGACGCTGCAGTCTCAGTCTCAGTCTCAGACATGCTACACTACTTCACGATATTGGATTGAGGCAGCCGATCCAGTGCGGCGTGACCTCGGAACAGAGTTTGGTACGGATTCTCTTCAAATTCCTTACCGGCACGAACACCAGTTGATTAGTGCCCGAGCAAACCGAAGGAAGCACACGTAGGTGTGATCCTTTAGACGACGAAATTGGAGGTTGACATTCAGATCATATGCCTCGGGGCCAAGAGTTGCTCGGGACTGGAACCCCGCGGCGGCGTTTCACTCAACGTCCCATGCGAAGAATGATCTCAAAGACGGCCTACACTCGCAAAAGCTGTTCCCTTTTCGATCTGGTGTCCTGGGGCCAAGCGTCTATCATCTGCCATGCCGCCTCAAGAGGCCATTGGCCGCCTTTGATGCAAGTCAACAGCATTCCAGGGCTCGTCATAGGTATGATGCGCCGAAGAACTTACGAGAGGGCGGGGCGCCACGAGGATCTTTATGCAATTGTTCCAACGAATCTTCAGACGATGCTGAACCGCTCTTTCCGGGGATCTCGGTCATGGCCCAATCTCCTTCATGATCGATCTCGCTGTTCAAGTTCTTTAGATGACGGATTCTTGGTACCTGCGGACCACCACCAGCATCGTGCCACAAATAGTGCCTTCGCTATGCGCTGGTTAACATTCGATAGATCATATTTCTGTTCCTGACCAAGGCAATGGCTGCCTTGGGACACGTTCACAAAAACGATTGCAAGTGGTGCCTACGGATAGAGCCTGGGAACGGGGTCAGTGAACTTTCGAAGACACATCAAGAAATCTACTTTCCATACCCCGTTGACCTTCTGAGATGCCCTTGCGAGTGAATAGATCAGAAGGCAAGAAGCTATCGACATCGCCGAGCTACCCAGAGGAAGTCTATTCGTCCACGATGTACGCAATGACGTCTAGGGTATCGACATCGTGCCCATATTTCATTTTACGGGACGGCCTTGAGATAGATCGGACAAAATTCAACATTTGCAGAGGGTGCTCACCCATCTGTGAATGGATAGATTAACCCGAGAGGCGCGGGCCCGGAGGCGTATGCACCGCACGATTGGCTGGGTTCTATTTCTTGCACTGCAGCTGTAGTATGTACGCACCTGCCGTCAGCGCCACAGCAGGGAGTGAACAGGAAAATGACTTTCTCTGAACATACTGGTATTCTCCGGCGCCGGACATACCGCGCGAAGGGGCCGGATCACAGCGTGAGGGGTCTGTAGGATTACTACGTTAGGTTTCATTGCGTGCGTCAGGGGCGGAGCATACGTGAGTGTGCTAGTTCCCGATCAGGGAGGTGGTTGGCCTGCCGAAGTGTCCGTAGTGGTTTGTATACGTTCGTCGACAGATTCAATTAGTAGAGACTACTCCGAAGAGGACTTGGACAAGTTTCTCGAGTGCGCTCGGGCAACGGTAGGCCTCGCTGGTAATCACTTACGTCACCGTATTGGATGCTTTGCTCTGGGCCCCTTACTGCTAGTCTCGACGATGCGCGGAGGCCACAGGCGTATGGCCATGTATTGGACGTACTTATCTCGTATGACTCGGAATACTCCAGACGAAAGAATGTGTCTTGGCGATGTTGAGACCTATATAGAAGAGATCGATCATGTGCATGATGCCGGGGCGCATAAGTATGGACAGAAATGTGTCCGTTGCGTGCGGTGACATGGCGGAGCCATGCAACCTGGGCACCATAAGCAATCGTGCTTGAAAGCAAAGAGGCTAGTGAATTTTGGTGAGCCGTCGCGGAGTGAGGTGCGTGGATGAATTCGAATCCTTTAATATAGATCAACAGGTGGCCAATTCGCGTCAAGCGACGGATGCGAAACGTGGAGAGGCCCATATGGCCATCGAAGGATCATCCATCTCTGCTTCCCCTAGGCTCCGGACAAACTCCACTTGAAGACGTCCTTCCCAATCTTGACGTGCACCTCGCGGGCGTAGAAGGTCCCGACGTGCCGCGCGCGGAGCCTCTCGCCGAACTCGGCGTTTAGGGAAGGTACCAGACTCGGCGGGAAGCGAGCGATGGTAGGGAAATCTTCGATGCCTCGAGGGGACACAGCGGGCGACTCTGTCGATGGCCGTGCATCGTCCGAAGGGACCGAGACCCTTGGTGGGAGTGGAAGCACTGGGCTGGGGGACGATATTGCCGCTGGAGATGTAGACGGCGAATATCCTTCGACTGTGGAAAGAGAGGAGCGATGCAAAAGGGCCCAAGCGAAGGAGGCGTGAAATCGCGGCTCGGCATAGAATCCCTTCTGTTTGAGGGATCGCAGCGTAGGAATGAGCTCATCTGACATAGACTTCAGCTAGGACGAGCGCACATCTCAGTATCAGGACAGATACAAGTAAATTAAACGAAACACGCACTTGGTCATGTCCCGCGCCCACATCGACCGCGAGGAAGGTGCGGGTTCGCTCATCGTTCATAAGCTCTGAAAGAGATGCGAGAGACGCAGAAAAGCTAGAACAAAAAAACAGTCAGTACGACATGGCTACTTATAACGAGTCATGAAGCCACAGACAGCGGGCCCATGACTGCCGATGGCAGTCTCGTTGCCCAAAGTCCAGCTATTTGCATGATGATAAACACCATCGCGGCGAGATAGACCGTTATCACGAGCACGATAGTGCATTAGCTCACTCGTAGCGCGACAATGCCGTCTGGATACTAATCCTCGCCTCCTCGGACGAGACAAGTCATCTATGTGGAGTGCTCTGCCGGTGTTGTCGATGTTGCCGACGCTGAAAATAACCTACACAGAATGGGACTTCGCAATTGCTTTGACCCCGCGTTTCAAGTCCTCGCGTTGATGTGCTCTGAGGTAGATTGGTCGTGTAAGCGAAACGTGAAGCTCGATATCTAACCCGTTGTCGTCTTTGGATTGATCCGACTGCGCCTGGTGGTATCCTGCTCGCTGTTGGTCGGGCAGTCCGATCGGTTGCAATGGTGGCACCGCATTCTTCGCGAAAGCGAATGCCTTCGTCAATAGGTTGCAAAGCGGGGATCTTCGCTCCACGATCAGAGGTAGGTAGACATACGCTGCGTATTGACCCTCAACGTGAGGAGAGGTACGGACTCTCCCTTGGTGAAGAGCTGGGTTGTCGATTGGAATGTTTGGCCGCAAGGTATCCGGAAGTCTCGGTAGCTTTCTATCATGACTAGCGTTAGCGGCATGTTATGCTAACATCGGATCAAGTGCGCGCCTCACCGTCTCTTCGCTGGCGGCGGGGAGCATTGGGACGCTTCCTCGTCCGAGCTTCCATATTGAGCAAGATCCCCGAGCCTCTGCATCGTGCTGCGCGTGGAGAAGATACACCTCGGTGGCGGCGGATATGAATGGTTGGTCGCGGAGGACCAAGAGGTCGCGTGGAGAGGTGTGACGGAGGCGAAGGCCACGAGTCGGGCGCTGCCCAGGCGCTGCGCAAAGCCGAGCCCTAATCGGTCTCGTGACCGTGTCTGCGACGCGTTCGGGCGTCTCGGCGGCTCGCGGCGGCTCACCCACGGTGGTCAGCTGCCCACCGTCGCATTGCGTATTTCGAGGTACTTTCTTGCCGAGAGTCATCTGCGTTATAACATGGGACGCGCTGCTCGCCCGCCTCCTCCTTTCCATCATCTCACACAACGGCCCCAACCGCTCCTGCAGCCATGAGTGAGATCCAGGGCCCTGGTGGGCCTTTGCCTACAATACCGGATGACTTGACGCTTGTGCAATTCATGCTGGACTATCAGCATCCTTCGCGACCTCCGATAGCTCAGCAGGATGCATGGCTAATTGAGGACGCGACAGGAAGGCGAGTGAATGTCGATGAGGTATGGTTCCCCACTACACTTCACTTCCCAAAGGTCTAACAGCATACCGCGCCTCGATAGGTACATACGCGCGTGCAGGCACTAGCTAATGCCTTCAGGCTGCGATGGAACATTGGTGCGTATGAGGGCTCGCTGTCACAGGCTTTGCGCTAATCTCCGTCGCAGAGGATAACGACGTGATTTGTATCTTCAGTCCAAATCACATTGGTGAGCTTTATATTACTGCACCGTGCCGAATGGCAACTGAATGACTCGGTCAGACTACCCAATAGCAATATGGTACAAACCTAGCCCCCCCCCCTCCCTCATGTATGATGAGTACTGAAGGATACTATACAGGGCGGCACATAGATTAGGAGCGACACTGACGTGAGTATTCTGTCTGAACACCCGATACCTTGTAACACTGACTGCTCCCTAGCACGTCAAACCCCACGTTCACATCGGAAGAGCTGCAATACCAACTCAATATGACCAAAGCCAATGCGATCATTGTACACCCCTCGAATCTGCACGTTGCCCTGGATGCTGCTCGCGCGGTAGGCATACCAGCTGAGCGCATCATACTCTTCGACGTCCCTGGGGTTGCGATCGGCTCACAAACCACGATCAGCGAGTTTGTTGGCGAAGGGATGTCCAAACCGCTAAGCTTCACAGAACGTCGATTGAAGCCTGGCGAGGCAAGGACGAAGCTAGCGTTCTTGAGCTTGTCCAGCGGGACGACTGGGAAACCCAAGGTAAGCTTTGTCGGTCATGAGATTCAAGCGACGACTCATGCAACGTACACGAAATCCTAGGCTGTTTGCATACCTCATATTTCGCCGATAGCGAACGTTATCATGATGGCACATACAGGCAATCTACAGACAGCACCTATGAAGAAGCGTTCGTATAGACCAGGAGATGTAGGGATGGCTTGTGCGTGAATCCAGTCCAGCGTGCTGTCACTTATAGCTGAAGAGTCTTGCAGTGCTTCCCTTCTACCGTGAGCGATTCGCTTGCATCAGTCATTATGTCGCGTACCGACTTGTATGCACCTAGATATATATGGTCTAGTGGTCGTAATGCACTTCGCTATCTTCTTTGGGGTATGGCAAGGCCACTTCTAGAAGATGCTGTTCTCTGACCATTCCTTGCAGATGTCCATGGTCGTAATACCCAAATTCAACTTCACGGACATGCTGAAGAGCATAGAGCGTCATCGAATTAACTATATCCCGTAGGCGTGTCACTTACTCTATCATACCCTCGCTGATCGTGTCTGTGATCAGTGTCGTGCCCCCCATTGTAGTGTTGCTGTGCAAGGTGAATCTCTTCCGTAGGGCACTCGATATCATTGACCGATGCTATGTCTCTGAAGCACCCGGATGCCCTGAAGTACGATCTGAGCTCGCTTCGCGCCTTGAAGAGCGGCGCAGCTCCCCTTTCAGCAGAAGCCATTAAACAGCTGAGCGAACGCCTCCCTAAGATGAGCATCGGCCAGTCCTACGGTACGCCGATCCCAAAGCCCCTCACATGACTTTCCTGAGATGGCCATATCACCTAGGTATGACAGAGACTTGCACGACGGTCACCTTCCCACAGCTCGATATGCATATCGGTACTCCTGGTAGCGCGGGCAGGCTCCTACCAGGTGTCCGCGCAAAGGTGATGGATCCCGATGGCAAGCTGCTAGGCTATAACCAGCCGGGTCAGTTGGTTGTCTGGAGTCCGGCGAATGCACTCGGATATTTGAGTAACGAACAAGCGTGAGTACGGATGCACAAGCATGTTGTTACCATGCTCGAGCTTACATGTACACTTCCTGTAGCACGAAGGAGACTTTCGTAGATGGGTGAGTACGTTCAGGGACGGCGCGTCATGGGGCTTTGCTGAACAGCCCGAAAGTTGGATATACACTGGTGATGAGGTCATCATCAACGAGCAGAAGGATGTCTTTGTTGTCGATCGGATCAAGGTGCGCGTAGAGTATAGTTGCGACCGAAGGTATTCACATATTCACTTTGTTACTTCAAGGAATTGCTGAAGGTCCGAGGCTTCCAAGGTCAGTCATGTCTGCTATTTGTCTCGCACTATGATTTCTCATGGGGTATCCTTCAAACGTACAGTGGCTCCTGCAGAGCTCGAAGGCCACCTCCTCGACCACCCCGATGTCACGGACGTCTGTGTCGTTGGTCTCCCAGACGAGTACAGCGGCGAAGTTCCCCTCGCTTTCATCGTCCCCACACCTGCTGCCGTAGAACGCATAAAGAAGGATCCTCAGGAGGAGGCACGAACCAAACTATCTATCATGAAGGTGTGTTGCGTACGCTCTCCGCTCGGCACGTTGAGCTTTGACCTGTACACAACGTCATCTCTAGCACGTCGCCGATGCGAAGGTAAACTATAAACAGCTTGCCGGCGGTGTGGAATTCGTCGATGCCATCCCGAAGAACCCTAGCGGGAAGTTGCTACGCCGGTTCTTGCGCGAGCGAGCAAAGGAACTGCAGGCAGCAGGGAAGCTCTCCTCGTCAGTCAGCTCGAAGGCCAGACTGTAGATGTGTCGTTCCTCTCGGAGGCGCTGGAGAAATTCTGTATAGGTTCTCCTAAACGTATGTAGAGAAGATATCACCATGTCGCTACGCACTGTGTAAATGCTAGGAAGCTTTGTAGTATACCTTCAATATGTAGTAAGTATCCTGCCGCCGGATCCGAGATCATTCATGTTGCCGCGATCCCGCCTGAATCGTGCCCCTCCCTTGATCCCCAGCCCCCGCTCAGAGTGTCGTTTCTTGTGACTCTTGTCCCCCCTAAGACTTGTTGTACTTAAGCTTGGACCGTACTGCTAAGTGCCCGCAAGTTCCACGTGGAAGTATTGTCTCAAATGACAACAGTCCTTGAAAGGCAATTGACTCTCCGTTAGAAACGTAATCGCCCGTCATTGTCATGTGAGGGCCATGTAACGCCCGCTCGCGCGGTGGCGACGCCAGCACCCCTTCACTGCCGACGACGACGACGACGCTTCCACTTTTCGACGCTGCGCTACTTTACGACCCAGGAGCCTGAACCTACCTAGTCTCTCTTTACTTTTCCCACTCAATGGGCCAGTCTGTCTCAAGACATCTCCCATCTCGCTCGCCTCAACCTGTCCGCGAAGATAACACGCCTCCCGAGCCTGGCAGCGGCAGCAGGCCGTCTCCAGCAGGCTCAAGAACTGCTTCTGCCACTAGCAAACGTTCTCGAAGATCTTCATTTCGGCGCAGCCTCCTAGGCTTGGTCCCGCGCTCGGACTCGTCAACGTCCGTACGCAGTAGCACACCGCCGTCGAGTGCAGAGAGCAGTCAATCGCCGAAGAAACGATGGCGCTCCTCGTTTGCAAGACGTAGCTCAAAGGCACCGATACCTCCCCAGCTGACAGAGCTGCGGCAGGATGAACCGCACACAGAGGCAGCAGTGGAGGTTGGAAGCAGTCAGACTGAGGAGCACGCGCCTGGTACGCACACACATCCACCGATTCCTGACATCGTCATATCGGGCGAGCCTCCGCCCGAGGCGGAGACTGTCGCGGCGGCCGAAGAGCTACAGGACGTCGATGAGGATGTGAAGGAGTGGCTGGGCGAGCAGGAGGAGCAAGGCATCCCGAGCGATGCTGTCCCTCGGGCCGACGGCGATGCGACACTAGAGCCTACGTCGCCGTCTGAGATGCACGTAGACGACGCCACAATCCCCATAGCTGCGAGCCCGCCTCCAGCATCGACCGAGCCAAACCCGGACTCGCCGCCGGAAGCCGAGGCGCCCCCACAGGCACCGCGTCAATTTCCACCTCCTGGCACGCTGGTGGTCGTACAAGGCGTCGTAAACACCACCGATGTCCCCTCCTCCGATCGCGCAGCATCGTCGTCTCGACGCCCATCACGCTCGACGACACCACGCCCGTCTGGCCTGCAGGCTGTAGCTGGGCAGCGCCAGGGGGATTCTACATCAGTTTCTGCGGCTCGTGATGGCGAGCGGCATGGTACGAGGAATAGGCTGTCCTCGTTCATTAATCGCTCGAGGCTATCACCCGATTCTCGGTCGGCCGAGCCTCCATCGTCGAATCGCAGCTCAGCAGTCTCCTCAGATCTGTCATCGAGTATCGCTGGCCAGGACACAGTCTCTGCGGAGGAATCATCGATCGCGGATGACCACGACTCTGACCACGACGACGGCGATGCACACCCAAGACCACTGTCGCAGGGCAGCATTGATGTATTGGGAACATTGCTCAGGTAAGCTCACCAGGCATACAATCAAGACGATTGTTGACATTTCCGACACAGCGTTGCTGCGGCTGCCACTGCCGCTTCGCTGTTCTCCCCAGGTTTTGCTTTTCCCGGAGCGAACAACAGCGGTAACAGCTCAGATGCAGTACGGCCCATGTCACCAACCCCGACAGCGGGCCTGGGTAACCTTGCTGGCTTGGGTGCTCTTGCCGGATTAGGCATGGATCCGTCTGGTGCCAGCGTAGGTCAGGGCCAGGGAGCCTCACAACCCAGGGACGGACGTGACCGTATCCGGAACGTCTGGGAGAGTGTGCGCGACCGCCTAGGGCTTCAACCTCGTGGACAGTCAGACGGTAACGCTTCAGCTGAGGGTGACAATCCGAATGAGATCCGTATGCGTCCTGGCGACATGTTCGCTGAGATGGCGCGCGCTCTCAACATCGGCCTCGGGCTCGGGGATGGGAACGTTCCTGGGACTCGCCAGTCGGACTCGAATGACGGAGACGACGTGCCTGCGACCGAGGAAGGTGCTGATACTGCAGATGCTGCCGCCGGTGATCATGCCGAGCGACCACCGCCGCCTGAAGACAGCTTTGAGCGATTCCTGTTGAACCTCCAGGCGGATCTCAGGGCAGCATTGTCTGACGATGGCGCTGGTCACGGGGAATCAAGGAGAGAGAGGAACAGCGTGCTCTCTTCTGTTCCTTCCACCTTTGCTTCTTCCGAAGACCAGCAGCCCGTAGCAGGGCCTTCAAATCCCCGCCCATCGGCCGACTCTGCGCAGATGGCTGAGGCTGCAGCGCAGACCTCTGACAGTTGTGCTGAGGGCGAAGATGACCTTCCTCCGCTTCAGGACGTGTCCGATTCCGATTCTGACTCTGACAACGAGGGCGATGATGACGATGACGATGCTTCGCACGACAACCATGCTGAACGCTCAGACGCGCCTCGCTCACCACGGACACCGACTCCAATACCTACCGGGCCGTTCCCGTTCGGACCCGACACCCGGCATGCAGGCGATGGCGAGCGGAGACCGCCAGGCGTCAACCTATGGCGGTTATACCGCTTTGCGCCTATTCCTGCTTCTCATACTGCTGGGCATGCGGCCGGCACGAGTGCTGTCCCTACAAACCCGCCTGCAGACGCTCATGCCACACCCTCGCCTGGAGCTCCTACTAGTACCACAGCCGACGAACCCGACACCGCTGCACCTACTCACGCAGAGGACGTGGAAGACAGTGCGACGCCGTCGACAGCACCTGCGACAGATCCGAACGCGAACGTCGTTGTGCCTGTCATCGTAGTCGGCCTCCAGTCCGTCGACATGAATCGCAACAACGATAATGCGCATACACATGGCCCTGACGTCCAGACCCAAGATGACACACGGTCATCGGAGAGTGATTCGCGTTCGTTAGATGAGTGGCGGGACAGTCCTACCCCCGGAGCAGGTGCTGGCCAGTCGCAATCGCGTGGAAGGACGTGGCAATCCCGTGCGGCAAGTGCACTCAGGGGCTTGCGGCCTGGACGTCGTACGTCGAGGAACAGGCAAAACAGGGATACTGGTGCGAGGACGTTCTTGATCTATGTCATCGGAGGTACGTATCTTGTATTCTCCCTATACTCTTGCTACAGCGGTTATTTGTATAGGTTACTACCCGCCGAATCACCACATGGTCACTGGCTCGGACAGCCTCGACTCCTATGAGGCTTTATGGTATGTCTCTGACGCTTCAGATACAAATCGAACGATCATCTGACAACGTTCCACAGGGAACTTGCTGAGCTGTTGGGCCAAGTGAAGCCGCCCGTCGCGACACGGGAAGACATCGACAATTCTGGCCTGCAGATCATCAAGTCCTCCGAGCTTGCACGTTATGAGGAAGAAGGTCGCGTTGCGTCCAACTGTGTCGAGCGAGTGAGTAATACATCGATATGTATGCATGCTCATTGGTTACTGACTTCCCTGGTCAGTGCCTGATCTGCCTCGAGGACTATGAGCCGGAAGATGCCCTACGCCTCATGTCATGCAAACATGCTTACCACCAGGAGTGCGTCGATAGATGGCTGCAAGTTGGCCGGAACAACTGTCCTGCTTGTCGGTCTAAGGTTTGTCACGCATGATACTGTCCAGACAAGACGTAACCTGACATTCTTTGTCAGGGTGTCTCCACTGTCGGTGATTCTCCGTCTTCATAGTATTCTCGTCAGTCGAGGTGCATTTGTAACATAAAAGCCATACATGGTCACCGTCTCTCCTTCTCATTTCTCATGGACAATTTCTCAGGCTCCGGTTCAGCATTCATTCGCCTATTCCACTGTATAGTTTCGCATCGATATCTGCTCTCACATGTAGCGTCGTTCATCCCCTGCTCCGTTTGACTGACATCGAATCATTTGCTCCCGACGTTGTCATTGTCAAGTATAATATGCGTGAATTCGAGATGGTTTACAGTCTGCGTCAATATGAATACTGTACGTTATTATTTGATCCATTCTTCAGCCTGGCGACATAGCCCGTCAGCGCGTCAGCCATCAGCTGCTATAACTTACAACACAACAACTGACAGAAGGTCAGGAAGACTTATACGGGCGTCTCCGACTAAGTACCGTGGGCTCTAGCGTCAATTCGCGGATCGGGTCTCCTCACGCTACTACTACGTACCAACACCGAGTGACTGAAGTACTGAAGGCCTCCGCGACCCATACGTGGATGCTAGACATGAGTCTTCGTCGTCGCTTTGGGGTGTTCGTGATCTATGCTGGCCTCGCGTTGGCGATCCAAAGACCGTTTTCTACGCGGCCTCGCACCGCACCGCCGGTTCCACAGCCAGATCCATGGTCCCTCGCAGGTGCCATGGGCAGTTATGATACAGGTCTTTTTACGCCGTTCGAAGATCTGAATGCTCTTTCGGCTTCTGAGTTTACGGTACTACACCACCCGGCCTTCCCTAGGCACGGTGTAAGGATCAAGAAATCCGACTTCTGTGACGGATCCGTCGGGTAGGGAGACACCGAACAACCTCTCACAACGTCCTCGCTGACGCGTGTGTCGCGGACTAGAGCCTACACCGGATACATTGACGTCCAGGCTCGCCACCTGTTCTTCTATTTCTTCGAGAGCAGGAATGATCCCGACAAGGACGATGTGATATTCTGGACCAACGGAGGACCAGGATGCTCGTCATCCTTGGGACTGTTCATGGAGTTGGGTACGCGACGAAGTCTTTGTCCCACAGGATACTTATTGACTGGATGCTGTAGGGCCCTGCAGGGTTACGAACCCGGACAACGCAACATACAACCCTTACTCCTGGAACGAGAAGGCCAATATTTTCTTCATAGATCAGCCCATAGGCGTTGGATTCTCCTATGCCGAATTTGGGGAAACTGTTGTACGTTTTTGACTGCTCGTCCGCGAAAGCGTTGGGAGTAATCGACGCTCAACGCCCTCTTGCCAGGGTAACACAGTGGACGCGGCGAAAGACATAGCTGCCTTTGTGGCTATATTCTTCGAACATTTCCACAAGTTCAAGGGTAGATCATTCCACATGGCTGGAGAATCTTATGGGGTAACATTATCCACGACTCGGGAAGAACGACGCAGCTCATGCTGTCCGTGCAGGGTCGTTATATTCCTGTTTTCGCCTCGGAAGTTTATGATCAAAATGTCAAGCTCGAAGCGGTGGGGATGACCCCTATAAACCTTACGTCTGTGATGATAGGTATGCGATCTCTGAGTCTGTTGGTCTGTGCGCCGTTCTAAAACGTTTACGGCGCAGGCAACGGATGTACGGACTGGTCCGGTATGACGGCCGCCTATTTCGATATGCAGTGCAGGCCCATGTCTCAACCACCAATTATGGATATCAAGTAAGCGTCACTTGTCGGCACGCGACGAGGTCCATTCACCGCCTGCAGGTCCTGTGTTCGGATGAAACAGGCCGTACGTGCCCATTTGTGGTACTGGTTTGCTGATCTAACTTTTCTCCCAGTTACCTCGTTGCCAGCATATGATGAAGGAGTCTTGCCTAGATCGGTTCGATAGTATCGACTGCGAGGCAGCCAACAATTTCTGCAATGCAGAGCTGTATGATCCGTTTTTCGCGACAGGTGAGTTCTTCCGGCCAAGACGACGCCACAGTAAAATGTAAATTTTCGTCAGGATACAACCCATACGATATAAGCAAGCCCTGGTGCGTCTCCCGACGCTACTTGCAGGTAATAAATGACTCAAAGACTCACATAGTGACGGGAGAATCGAAGATACACTTTGTTATCCTGTTACTAAGTACGTCACTCTGACACGGACTGATTGCGTGCTATTCGTTATACAAGACACTCCACAGAGCCATTGGCCAGTACTTGGACAAGCCCGACGTTCGGTCGCTGCTTGGCGTAGATCCGGCCGTCGGTGCCAACTTCTCCAGCTGCGACGACGATGTCGCTGACGCCTTCGACGCGTCCCAAGATTTTCTCTTCCCCACGGAGCTTTACCTCTCTGCCCTCCTGGAGAGGGGTGTCCGCGTGCTCATCTACGTCGGGGCGAACGACTGGATCTGCAACTGGGTTGGTGCTTGCCTACCTGTACTGCGAACGATCTCTGACTATTAGGCGATGGACTGCAGGTGGGAAACGATCGGATGACACTAGGGTTGAATTGGCATGGAAAAGCCGACTTCGTGTCGCAGCCGCTGAGAGAATGGAAGGTGGACGGCGAAGTGGCAGGCTTGGCTAGGAGTGCAGGACCTCTGACATTCGTGACGATCGATGGGGCAGGGCATATGGTGAGACTGCCTGCGCCGAATACGCTGGCATTGAGACATGGTCTAACTTGCGAGCAACTACTAGGTTCCATATGACAAGCCGCTACAATCCCTTGAGTTGACCAAGCGGTGGCTTGCCGGCCGAGATCCTTGATTTCTCTTTGGTAACAAATGAACTACGTGCGGACCAGAATGGAAGTGCTGAAGGTACGCAAGCTTTAGTCGTCTCATACATGAAGAACACACTGACCAGAGCTACTGATAGCCAGATAAATTTCTCTTGCGTAATGGCATATCACAGGCTCACTTGTCTACAGCCTTGATGCTTACCCCTACGTAGTCTAGGCAACTGCTGGAGCAAAGACAATTTTTTGTTGCTGTCCAAGTCGCCCTCTTGAATCCACTGCCAGAGAATGCGCCACACCAGTGGTCGTTAAGTTCAGCCATACCTCAGCGCCATATCGTTGCACACACGCTGGTGGACGAAAGCCCCACTTTGCCTCGAAAACATTCGATAATCAGACTAAGTAACTTACTTATGTAAGTAAGAGCCTGTGGCCATTGCATTGACTAGGGGCAACGCCATTCTGGAACGCGTCCCCCGTCACGTGACCCAGACGCGTCGAAAAGGTGGACGCGCCGTCCCTCGATGCCTTTAGCTAACGGGTACAGGGCATGTAAAATGATCATTATATTCTCCAGGACTGCTATACACATAAAGAAGGTATAGGTAGCATTACAGAGCTATATACTGCTCGCGTTGTGAGCAATTAGGTCAAATATAGAAGGTATTTTCTACAACGGAGGAGTGTATCATATGTACAGCGTGTTCATGGGCGCGATTAACCTCTTTGAGGTGCTGATACTTACTAGTCTATAGCTACAAGTAAATGAATGGTCAGTCCGTGGAAAGCTCGTTGACCCCCTTTCGATGACAAGCCCCAGAGGATGCTCACTAGACCTTGCAGGCGGTCCATCTTCAAGTTCTTTGCGCCAGCAAGCCCGGGGGTCACACGGACGCCTCGCACACGTAGCCACGCGAGCTGGAGCTTGATATCATCGCGTGTAATGCCCTTGAAGTTAGCAGGATCGCTCCAATAGTTTGGATCGAGACGGACGGCGATCACATTGACTCTGGCCGGCCTTGTAGTCCGAGCTGCAGAACCGAGTGGTTGGACACCAAGAACTTGCGCCCTTTGAGCTCTACTCGGTCGTCTAGAGTCAAACCCGAAGAAGAAATGACCCATAGAGCCATAGGTCTGTGTCGGATGTTCAGAGCGCGTTCCGGCCTGCGTAGAACAGAGCAAACGCGAACGAAGCAGGCGTTTGAGCGCGTCGCGTCGCGCGCGTTCTGCTTACGTAATGCGCGTCGCCCTCGCACGAAAAGGTGCACTTTTCGAGTACTCGCTGCGAACTCGATGTCGCAACAAGCGCGTCACAATCACCTTGAACATCCATTCCGTCTAACGTTCAGGACAGAATAATTTTATGCACATCGATCTTCCCCCTGCCAGAACAAAGCCGTCCGAACGAGGTATCCAGAAATTCTGTCCAGAAGACTCTCTCAAGTATGATTTTACATGATTTGTGGTTGTGTTATCCGAATATTTTGTGTAGGAGAAGGGAGAGTAAAGTGCACCTCTTTTCGCGCCCACCTTTGGGACACGGTAGGCGCGTCGCGCGCGGACGCGTCGGAGTTTGAACTGTATGGCGTTGCCCCTAGTCAATTGCATTCGACGGGGTGTGACATGTGACATACGGCACGTGCAGAGAACGCGTCGCGTCAACGAGGCGCGCGCCGCGCGAGATTGAACTCAACAGCCTCTACCTGAGCATGTGCATGAGCGACAACTGCACGCGGTGTCACTGCAGTGATAGAAGTGAGACCGCAACGAAGTATGTCTGTGTCATCCCTCGCTGTCTCACTGGCTGGTAATAATACACCCTCTTCCTGTGCCTTTTTCAAGTGATCAACCATGCGCAAATGTCTGATCTGCCCCGAGCGCGATAAGACGGCCTGCAATAAGTAGCCACCGGTTCATGTCAGCGAGAGCTGTCCGGCCTGCAAAGTCTTTGCGTTGCTTGCTAACTGCACCGTCAACTCGCTGCCCGGCTAGCATGCACTTCCTTGGTCCGTTACTCGCATGCGCATTGTGGTTTAGATCAGCTGCTGCTTGGCCTCAGGGACTGTGGTCCAGGTACGATGGCGAGGTCCTGGAGAGGGCCTACGGGAAGGCTCTGTTCTCCCCGAAGGTTGTCGTCGTTAGCATGGTAAGTAGTCGCGTGGATCGTCTCTGTCCAAGAATTGATCCTCTGTAGTTCTCGCCCGAGGCGGAAGTGTGGTACGGAATCCCGGAGTTCAACATCTTGGCAATCAACATCTCCGTCCCCGGCCTCTCGATGCTGTACCCCGACGTTCACTGCACCGCTGACGGCGAGATATGCCAGGTGACGACGGGCGAATCCGGTGAGCGACGCGCTGAGCGGGCACACGACCGCCCTCTGTCACGTCCCACGATTCTGACAACCCCTCCCACAGAGATCAATGCGGCCACGACCATCGGCTCCCTCGTCGCGTCGCCGTACTTCAACTTCTCCCAGACGTATTTCATGATCGCGGGCATCGCTGGCGTGAACCCGGAGGTCGCCACGCTCGGATCCGTCACCTTTGCAAAGTACGCCGTCCAGGTCGCCCTGCAGTACGAATTTGATGCCCGCGAGATGCCTGAGAACTTCACCACGGGTTATGTGCCCTTGGGCGCCACCGCGCCAGGCCAGTATCCCACGTCAATCTATGGCACTGAGGTATTTGAGGTGAACGAAGCTCTGCGAGACTTGGTGAGTACCCCATTCGGACTAAATCACCGTAACAAGACTGACAAGTGCCACCTGCAGGCCATAGCATTTGCCAATGCCGCCGACCTGACCGACTCGGACGCCGCAGTTTCCTATCGTGCGAAGTACGCCGCAGCGACAAGATACGCCGCGGGTGCGACAGGCCCGAGCGTCGTCCCGTGCGACGTCGCCACCTCGGACGTGTACTACTCCGGCACGCTCCTCTCCGAGGCGTTCGCAAACACCACCACGCTCTTGACGAACGGCAGCGGGATCTATTGCACGACCGCGCAGGAGGACAACGCGAGCCTCGAGGCGCTCCTCCGCGGCGCGATGCATGGGCGCGTCGACTTCAGCCGGATCATCGTGATGCGCACGGCGAGTGACTTTGACAGGCCGTACCCCGGCGAGGCGGCCTCGTTCAACTTACTCTGGGCGGACCAGGGTGGGTTCGAGCCTGCCATTCAGAACATATACAAGGCGGGTATCAAGGTATTGGAGGGGATCATCGAGGGCTGGGAGGGGTCCTTCAAGAAGGGCATCGCGCCGACGAATTACGTCGGGGACATATTTGGCACTCTGGGCGGCACGCCCGACTTTGGGTGAGACCGCCTTCGTAGCATATATGATGGACTTTGCTGATGTCGAGGTCGCAACACAGACCATACTCCGGTGGCGAGAGCTTGTCGAAGAGGAGCGTTGATGCGACGATGCCCATGCGCCGGCGTGCGCGTAGAGGCGCTTCTGCGATGATGAAGGCACTGTGAGCCTCGAGCTAGACAGCGAAGGACCCTGGTGGGCGAAAAGTATCTAATGATGATAACCCATTCACAATTAGTCTGCTGGCACATTGACGCGTCAATGCTAGAGTACACACGTGATCGCGTTGGTATGCAGCGCAGACTGGTTCGAAGTCGAAGAGAACTTTGGATGTCTCCCAGGCACGAATCAGATATCACAGCGACGGAACTCCACGCACGATGCAGCCCACAACCGGAGGTTGACTCCACGCCGGATTAGGCCGGGTTGCCCTCACCAACAAAAAACCGCTTCGCCACGACGTACCCACAGCTCTCGTAGAACTTCACGTTGTGAGCTGAGGTAACAACGTACGACTCTACGCCGAGTTCGTCTGCCTGCAAGAATCCACGTCGCAGTGTCATCAGCACGATGGGCTAGCGCGATAGGACTATTTGCAACAAACGTACCTCAGCGTTGGCCATGGCCATGAGCATGTTGCCGTAGCCTCTGCGCTGCCTGTCTGGACGAGTCCCGGGGCCGTGGACCTGGAACATGCGTTCAGACTCGTCACCGAACGCCTCCTTCACTGCGGCCTCCTCTTTGTCGGACGTCTCCTTGATACGCTGAGAGGACACCGTTAGCTGCGGGGCAGCGAGAGATCAGCCCGCGAGACATGCCCGTTTCTGTTCAGCCGATGCACCGAATGTGGTCATGAACGTCGACCAAGTGGCAAGTGTGCACAAGCGCCTACGAGCGAGGCCTGATCGAGATCCCACGAAATCCTCGCGCCTGTGGCTGAAGCACGTCTTGCCAATCGACCGTCATGTCCGCCGACCTGTACGGGTTCCTCTCCTCGTCGCGCACCGACAGTATTCTGGCAACCCATCCGAACAGATTATTTTCTACGCTTGACGTTCCATCTGAATGGGATCCTTGGTGGGCTTGGGCAGGCGAGGCGCCGCCAGACAATTCATCTGAGCCCAAATGGCTCCTTCTTTTGCGATACTATGCACGAACTCAGAACGAGCAGGGAGATGAGGCGCGCTACTCGATCCCCAAAGAGGTGGAATTGTTCATCGATATGGCACGGCGGTTGCAAGTCTCTCGTGAAATGGGCGGGCAGGCACTGTCGGTTTGTCTCTGATCACCTATGCTCATCAAAAACGACGCTGAAGTATGCTATGCCAGATACTCTGATGCAGCTGTCAAACCCTCAAATCATGACGAGTCACAAGCCCCCACATCCTCGCAGGATCGAATGTTCGGCATGTCCCCCAAGAAAGCACATGAAATCACCCGCATGTCAGGATTCGTCGCCCAGTTTCTTTTATCATCGCCAGAGCTAGCCAGTCTGAGGCATGCAGTCGACGTTGGAGCGGGACAGGTTCGTTCTATCTTTTCTGTGAGAGGTGCCCTCTGGGCTCGTCTCCTACACATGTGCTGGAGCAATGCTCATGATCGCTTGTTGTCGGCTAGGCATATCTCTCGCGCGCGATGAGGGACGAACTGGGCCTCCATGTCCTTGCCCTAGATTGGAGTGACGTTCAAAGCAAAGGCGCGGCTCGTAGAGAAAACATCGGGCCGAAGAAGAGAAAGAAGGCGCCTGGTCGACCAGCGGACGGTCCCAGCTCCGACGAAAAGAAGGCAGATTCATCAACAGGAGGAGGAGTATTAGATGAGCACGGGGCACCGAAAGGCTCTTTAACATACAAGACACTCGAGATACGGTCAGACTCCTTATTGTCCGCCGTCGACGAATGGGCCGAAGAGATGCAGGGAACGCGCGAGGCAGATGCCCCGCCCCTCCCAATGCTTTTCGTCGCCTTACACGCATGCGGCTCTCTGACGCCAAACGTCCTGCGTGCTCTCATCTCCCGTCTGCATTCGACCGAGCCGAGACGACTGTGGATCCCGTGTGCAGCAGTCATCGTTGGGTGCTGCTACAACCTGTTAGAGGCGGATGGTCAGTAATAACATCGCAGCTTCGATAAATTTGGTTCTCACATCCGGTCGTAGACTTCCCGTTATCTGGGCGTCTTGTTGCACTGTCCAAGGAACTACCTTTAATCTTCACGCCGAACCATCTGCACCTCGCCGCACAGACTCCAGGGCAATGGCTCCGCACGACAGAGACCCTCGACGCTGCCAAGCTCGCCGTCCGCAAGGTTGTCTGGCGTGCCCTTCTCCAAGGCATCCTCGAGAAGCACGACGCGTCGTCTACACCTTCCGACAGCCACACTGACCTAGACGAAACCGCCGTCATCAACGGCGAGACGCCCGCCCTGAGGCGTCTGGGGAGGCTCAACGACTCGGCGTACGTGGACTGGGAGACGTTCGTGGAGCGCGCGCAGGATCGCCTTGGTGTGAGGCTGGATCCGGCTTCGTGCACGAAGGACGCTACTATGGAGAGCCGGCTGGAGGTGTTCCAGGTCTTGCGGTGTATATTGGGGCCTGTGACTGAGAGCCTTATACTGCTTGATAGAGAGGAATGGTTGCGGGATCAGTTGGAGGTCAGTAGCATTGAAACATCATGACTGAATTATTCACTGATTATATACTAGGGTACGGGCATGGACGTGCGTTTGGTGAATCTGTTCGATCAAGCCTCCGGAAGCGCACGGAATGTGGCAGCAGTCATCTCTCCCGAAAGGACAAACGTAATTGAGGTGCGTCTTGTGACGATTGTGTATGCAACCCGTCATCGCTCACGTGTTACCAGGATCGTAGGAAAGCCCGCAAGCACATTGTTGAGTATTAGGCAGAGACAAGATATTAAAGCACTAGTTCGCTAAGGGTTCATTTTGACGGACGTAATCATCATCGCACCCCCGTTCGTATGATCCGCCACAGAGCCCTCGGCCATGGCAGACCATCTTTTCACATCGGTCGGCGCCTCGCCTGGATGCTCCTCTTGGTAGCGGGGGCGCCTGAAGCGTACGGCCTGCACGACTCCATTCAGTACAGGCAAACCTATGCTGGTGATGATTACTCACCCGAAGTCGGGCGTACCACCCAAAGTCCCGAAGATGTCCCCGACGTAGTTCGTCGGGGTGATGCCCGCCGCGTAGGTCTTATCCCAGTCATTCACGATGCCCTGCACGATCTTCACGCCAGCCAAGTAGATGTTCGTAACAGATGGTATGTGTCCATTCTGGTGGTCATACAGCAGGTGCTGCGTGGCCGTCTCGCCGGGATACTGCCTGTCGAAGTCGCTGCCCGTGCGCATGACGATGATCCGGGCAAAGTCGACGAGATGATGCATCGCCGCGCGGAGGAACGCCTCGAGGCTCGCGTTGTCCTCCTGCGCGCTCGAGCAGTACTTCCCCGTACCGTTCGTCAGCAGTGTCGTCGTGTTGGCGAAAGCCTCCGAGAGCAGGATGCCAGAGTAGTACACGTCTGCGGTGGCGACGTCGCAGGGGACGATCGTCGGTCCGCTCGCGCCCGCGGCGTATTCGGGATCTGCGGCGTAATTGGCGCGGTAGGCTGCCGCTGCATCCGTGTCGTTCAGTGTCGCAGTGCTGGCCAGTTCAATTGCCTACGTGCCGGATCCTGTCAGCCTGGAGGTGTTTGACCCCGTTGAGGTACGTACCCTGTCGCGCAGAGCCGCGTTGACTTCAAACACCTCAGTACCGTAGATGGACGTGGGGTACTGCCCCGGCGCCGTGGTCCCGAACGGAACGTAGCCGGTGCTGAAGTTTTCCGGGATCTCGCGCGCGTCGAACTCGTCCTGCAGCGCGACCTGGACCGCAAAACGCGCGAAGGTCACCGAGCCGAGCGTGGCGACCTCGGGGCTCACGCCGCCGATGCCGGCGATCATAAAGTACGTCTGCGTCAGATTGAAGTGCGGGGACACGACGAGCGAGGCGATCGTCGTTGCAGCATTGATCTCTATAGGGAGCCTCGTTAGTGCCATGTCATGCACTGAAGGACGCTGGGTGACGTACCGCCTTCACCAGTGGTAAGCTGGCAGATCTCACCATCGTCGGTGCAGTGAACGTCGGGGAAGAGCATGGACAGGCCAGGAACCGTGATGTTGATAGCCAGAAGATCGAACTCTGGAATGCCGTACCATGTCTCAGCCTCCGGCGTGAACTGTGCACGATATCAGTGCCATTTTCCTTCTGCAGAATTCGTAATGTTCGGTGACTTACCATACTGATGATGAATACCTTGGGACTGACGGTAAAGCTAGCAGCGGTGGCGGCAGCTGTGTCCCTCGACCACAGATCCTGAGGCAAGGCTGCTACGCTTTGCAGGGCAGTCGCACCGGCGAGGACCGAGCTGAGGACGTTGGAGAGACGCATCACGACCTGGGGTAGGGGCTGAGGGCAGGTAAGAGTAATCAACGGATGCTACCCGAGGACTGGCTCTCACAAGCGATTCAGCCTCTCTTTTATATGCTCGCAGGGAACACGCACGGTCGTGCTTTACGGGCGAATCTTCCAGAGCTGTGCACAATTTGGACGATCCGCCGCTGAGTCTGGCAGGACGCGAAGTACTCTGCTGCTTCCATGATTTCCCTTCTTACATCGCACTGGATGTTAATCATCGAGACACCGGCAGACAAGCGAACTGTGGCAATACCACAGAGGTCAGCGCTTGATGCCCGCGGTACCACTGCTTGACAGCTTGCTCGGATTGGTGATGTTCAGAGCCAACATTGGACCTCTGAGTAGCTGCTGCTTAGGAGTTGTCGGACATCGACGAAACCAGGAAACCCCTGCTTGTGGGCGCTCTGTACAGCCCTTCAACAGTGTTTGGAGGTTGAGTCTTTCTATGAGACTTGAGTGTTCGACCCATTAATTCCCCGGCTGGCACAAGGAACCCTTACTCGCGTCCGTGCCCGTACGACGACGTCACCCATTGCGTGTCAATGGTGCGTGACTGTGGAACGTGCTCGACACCTTGCGCTGAAGTGTTCTCGTGATGCAGCGATGCCTGGGGAAATATTTTTATGGTGCACCTATGTACATCTATGTGCATTCATCCGCTGTGAGCGACACGGACAGTCGGGGTGCGTTTCGGGCTGTAGATCTTCATGAGAAGAGTACATCGCATTAGGTGAATTGTGCTTCCGCGTGACCGCATGTGCTCACGTACGAACGTAGGATGATGGGGAGGATTCATGGCCAGGGGCTTCGTTAGGGAATCGATTCCTCGGATACACCTGGATAGCTTCGCCTCGGTCACCGCTCCCTCTTCAGGCCACCCGCGTGTGATCCTTTCCTGGGATAGTGACCGACGAACTGGACGTTGCATGGAAGCGCGTCTGTCGCTCGGGAAGCGCCTTATGTTCTTGGACACTATCAGTTCGCGCAACCACATCTCATCAATGACGGATGCCGTACAATTGCATCGGAACCCGCTCGAATTCGTGTATGAGTACTTGAGTACTTGAGTTCTCATTGGAGGCGCCGCTGGAAGCAAGCAGCAGACCAGGGGTCGGCATTCTGAAGTTCTAGATATTGGATAGTAGCCGTCATATCCCACGAATGACAGAATTCTGCCTTCTACAGAGGATGTCGTCAAGTTCATGATATTAATCATGACTCTGCTTCCGAAAGTCCACAGACAGAAAACATGTTTACAATCCCATATAGTCCCATACGAAGTGCGCACCCCTCTACGGTATATATGAGCAACGTGCTAGGGACGTGTCGGACCGAACGTCGTTAAGTAAGGGCCTACCAATCCCTGACACGTGCTCATGTGGTACTACTAGCGACCACTTGATGCCGCCCCGATACTGAATTACAACGTGCAACGCACTAGAACGACGCCCCGTAACTTTGTGGTCCATGCCTCGTCATTGCGTACACTAGGCAGAAAAAACATTCATGCATCGTCACCAGAAGACATCAATCGCGGCAACCATAGGACGCCACGAGTCCTTCGCGGATCTTGGTTCCAGTCCATCGAGAGAGCCCCCTCAGCACCGGAGTACCATCGGCTGACCGAGGTGGTACACGATACCAGCTTCGTTCGGAGACGTCCCATTCCGCGGGATCCATCATTGCCGAGTGCGGTCTCTCCGAGGGTTCGTAGTGGTCGATACCGACAAGCTCAAGTGAAGGAATGGCAGCGGCAAACATCTCAGCGTAGGTTGCTTCGTCACTGCAAGTGGCATAGTTGCTGAGGGGTATATCGAGCGTAAGGGCGAGGAGGGGTATCGCCCTGAGAGCCGTCGCGAGCGAAACCTAGAGCCAGGTCAGCTATACTACAAACAGGGTGCGATATTACGACCTACCAGTATAGAATGCATGGGTAAGTCCAATGGGACGTTGCCCGCATCCACGTGGAGAACCTTAAGGTCACGCAGATGCTCCGCCATGTATTCGAATAGCGCAACGCTTGCGTAACAACTCAGCACCGTCGGCGATGCGCGGCGCAACATCTCGAGCGACCGTTGAATATACGATGCGGAGGCCCTTTCGCAGTCGACGTTGAGCTGTACGTGTCGCACACGGCATTGGAGGGGAATGGGGTCTGTGGTCGACAGGAAGCGCAACTCTGGCCATTCGGCGGGAATCGTTGGATCCGCCAACTGCACGTTCCGGATGCGCAGGTCACGAAGGTTGGGGAACGCGCAGGACACCGTGCGCACGTTGGTGAAGGTGCCAGACGTGACCGAGAGTTCGCGCACGGAGGGCCAAACGGTATCCGGCATCAGCTCCTCGATGGGGTTCGAGAGGTGGCCAAGTTCCAGCGTAGTGACGGAGTCGGCGAAGTTGCTCAGGAAGCTTGGTTGTCCCCCCTCGCACGGACCGGGTTTCCCCACCAAGCTGAAACGCCAGACAGGAATGAGGTCGCAGCGCAACGTGCGCGGGCGGCACTTCATCCGCGAGAGCAGGCGGACGAGAGGGAGGTCCATTCCACGGATGTCAATGACGTCGAGAGACTCGACAGAAGCCAGGGCATCCTCAAAGGAGGGACAGTCCTCCATAGCGAATGCTACGTCCCAGGTAAGCGTGATCTTCCGCAGGGCGAGAGCGGAGCGAAGGACGTCTGCGAGAGAGTTGAACGCAGATAGGTCACCTCTTGGTATGGATGTGATGGAGAGCGACCTCAGGCAGCGTGGACGGGACTTGGCGTCTGCGAGCATGTAGTTGCAGTACTGTAGGAGCCTGTCGTTGCTCCAGCCACTGTCAACACTGATGTGAGACAAGAGGCGCTGTACCGCCGGCGCATACAGTGATCGACAGGTGGTCGCCAGTCTCAGGGCGTCTTGAGATCCGGAATAGGTAAGGATCGTCTCGATGACATCGTAGTTGAGCGACGCTAACGACATGAGGGCGACAAGCTGCAAGACGCGACTTTGAGCACAGAGGTCACGGATACGACGTGTGGGCACTCACTGGCTGGCGAACAAGAGCTGCGCAGGCTGTAGGCTTGAACCGGTGCTACACTCCGACTATCTGTAACAAGTGAGTTTCTCGACCGCAAGCCAGCTGGACTTCCGAGTCGCTTACACTGTGAGCTCGTCGAGGGCGTGGACCAAGATGCGTGTTTGCGACTGCCTCCGCTGCGGCTCCGCATATATGAACCTACTGGATTCGGAGCGGAGTTGGACTCGAGTGACGACTCGGATCGCGAGGAGTGACGGTGGCACCATCGTGGCACCGTCATCTCGCCCGAACACGCTGCAACGGTGGGATGAATGCGGCACGTGGCAACCTGTAATGGCTTGCTCTCATCCTCTTCAGACTCTGGCCAACTTAGCTTGCGTCCGAGCCTGAGGCCAGGGTATGTCCTCCACTGTGCCTAGGATGGGGTGTCGATGGAGGAGCGGTCCAAGATTCGCGACGGCTTAGCGCATAAGGGTTGCGCTTATGTATATACCGCCGCGCGTTACTGCAATGTTCGCGCCTATTCGACTAAGTTATTCAAGAACAACTCCAAGCGCTCGTACAAAGCTGGTATAAACCGTGATACCAGTACAAAGGAAACATAAAAGGACGGTGCGAAGTGAATGTGGCATCATACGCTCGTAGGTACTCTTCACCGCCGATGTTCCACTTCTGCAGGTCGAGCACACATTTTGGTCAGCAACGGAGACTAGCACACATTAGTACTTTAGTTGCGGCGCCGCCTGAGATCGCCGGGTCAAGGGGGCTGGGGCGCTCTGCTACATACTGAGCAATGCAGTTGCATCCAGTCTCTGTCAGGGATGTACTCACGCTAGCCATCGCAGGATTATCCATCCGTAGCATCAGCTGTCGACGCCGGCGTAGGCCCCGCCTCAAATGCTCCAGCGGCCAGTTGTGTAGAGTTCGAGGTACCCGGCTGTCTTTCATCCCGAGCAGCACCCATTGACTGCATCCTTTGTTTGACTGCCGCAGAAACGAACAAGGAGTCGAAATAGACCAAGTACCTGTCGTAGATGTTCCGCAGATGCTGCGCGACGTCGGGGCTTGACATAGCTGGCCTATTCCAGGCGTCTTTAGGGATCTGCACGAAACCTAGCCTCGCGCCAATATCGGGCCACACACCGAACTGGGAGATCTATTTCGAAGTAGACCGAACATGACCGGGAGCTGGAGCGACGTCCTGAGAGACGTACCAACGTTTCACCACCGTGGCACAGAACCTCACAATGCAAAGCGTACAGCGAAATGGGGTTTCCGTTCCATTGCAGCAGGTTTAGATCCACATTTACGCCGGTCCGTAGGCAGAACGCAGGATGTGTGATGTTGAACGCTTCCGCGCGCATGATTGGCATCAGGATCTGCTCCGCCCGCGGTGTCTCCGGCGATTCCGATGTACGAGCGGTTCGTATTCTTGGAGAGATGCTGGGCGCCGCACTTGAAGCACTTGAAGGCTGCCGCGCAGGAATCTCCATGATGTGCTGGCCCCGGCAGATATATGCATCTGCCGTCATGAGGAGGTTCGCCATCTCTATGAAGTCCACCACGATCTGCCCTCTGACACTCCAGTTCTGAGGATCACCCGTGTTCCACGCTGCCAGCCGCTGGCGCAGCTCCAGGGCGATCGTGGCCCTATGCTGCTCCAGTCTCCCCAGCACATCCAATATCTGTTGATGCATCGCGGGGTTTGCTGGTGCCTCGGAATGTGCTTGTGGTGGATGAGGGCACGACATAGTCCCGCGGATAGTTGAGATTCGGAACGGGGGCACAGCGACGTCTCTTGTCCATGGTCCGCGTGCGAGGCTGAGGGTGCTTGAAAGCCTCGTCGACGTGAGTTTTTGGGCCAGTATCGACGCAATCGGACAAACATACCACTAAATCGTGCGCCGCCCCCTGGCCATCGCCCTCCTCGTTTGTGGGTAGCATACAGTGCTGCAACACTGGGCCTCGGTCTGGAGAGGCGTCGTCCATGGTGCCACTTGAATCGCGTTGGCTGGTAGGTGCCAGAGAGAATGGGGACGGCGACCCAACAACGTATATAGGCACATACATGATGCAAGCTCAAAGAGTAGGCCATCACGCGCACGCCGAACTAGAGTAACAAAGCGATTACATTGTATGGCATTGCGCGCATTCGGCCTTCGAAGTTGACAGAGATAAGTTAATGCAATCTTGACTACTTAGGCGAATCCCACTGGAATGTACCAGAATATCGGTGACGATTCTGGAGAGGAACAGCTGAAACGCCGAATATCGAATACTGAGCGACTTTCAAAATCAGGAACGCGGCGTGCTGGGAGAAGGGGTAAACGCGGTCAGGTGACAGACGCGTGAGTCTTAAACGCGTCGCAGCCTTACCTCCTCAGACGCGCCACCTTTGGTCTTGCCATTTTTTGGAGTACGTGAACACCGCGGCCTTCACACAGACTCTCGATGTCGACCAAATGGATGATACCACCCAGGCGATAATCCTGTCAAAAACATGTGCATTTGGCGCCAGTGTTCGCTTCTGCGACCCCGGGGTGATCGCCGCGCGCAAGTTGCGTGCGGTGACAAGGACACACTGGCATCAACAAGATTCGAAATCCACATCTGTCACGGAGAAATGGATGGTACTCGTACCCGTAAGCACGCACATCGGAGGTAGCAAATGAATACGTGCAGCGAAAGTTCCGCACGTCTGTCGGTCGCGAGGAGTAGAGGGCATTCTGCTCGTCGTATAATGTATCAAACGAAGCTATATTGAATGGAACGCGAGTCCCGCTATTAGTGAGGTGACGACGCTACTGACGCACCGACATCCTGCAGCTCCAATTCTTACTCGGGAGCGCTCTAGCCTACCGACGCTGTAATTGCATATGGAAATTCCCTGCCGAACAGCGTCTTCGGAGGCCTGCTGCCATCGGTCACCGCGAGATGTTGTGTGACGAGATGCGACCAGCTTCCCTGGCAGGCGCATGTCCCATTTGGGAAAACCCGACGGCCTCCGCAGGCCGCGGGTCGCTGAATAGATTTGGCTGTAATTGCCAGCGTCTTTAGAAGGGCATCAGTCAAAATGACACGGTGAAGGAACGCACCTCTGTGAAGGCCGTGGGTCGAGACCGCGGTGCCAACAGGTGGTGGCGACATGTTCCATCAACGTCAGCTTGCACGGAATCACATTATGTGCGTGCTGCAGGTGCCGTCAAGTACAGACGGCCGTCAAGAGACGGTTAGTGTCGCATTGAATGCAGGAATAAATAAGTAGATCAATCCGCGGCAGAGCAGACAAACGCGTCTGAACATACGAGCGGCGTTTTACAGATGCAAGACGCCGCAACCCGGGCGCGCTGCGTACTCGCGGGGTGACATGGTGCAGTCTCGCACTCACGAATGTATCACGATGTGAACGGAGCGAGGCGATATGACGCAGAAGGGGCTACCGCTCGGGCGCTCGAGGATGTGAAGTGCTCGGTGCATGGTGCGCAGAGCAGGGCGGAGAAGGGCGTAATTGGCCCGAAATGGCAGGATGCTGGCTATGCTCTGAGCGGACGTCGTGGATGCCGCATGGGCCAGACGGGGAGGGCAGACAGGGAAGGCGAGGCTGCCACTGGGCTGCCACAAGGCTGCCATATATCGAGTCAACGTCGACGGGAATGGCGGACAGACGCCGCCGGACGCCGCCACCCATCAGCGCGTCGGGTGCGTGGGAATCGCTGGCAGGCGGGGTACGCGCCCAGGCGTCTCTTTTCCCCCATATATACTCCAGGTCGTCCGAGGCGGCGACGGCCTGCGTGTCGCGCTCTCCTCGTCCTGCTCCCCCACCCCCGCCGAGCGAGTGCACAACACACATAGCTACGGTCGCCAGAGCCCCAGCCCCAGCCTGACAGCGCCCAATTGTCATCTATTGTTGTTCCCACCGTGCATCGCGAAACGCGCTCATCTCCGGGCTGTCCAGCACTCTTAAAATTTGTCCGTGTCTGCGGACACTGTCCAAACACCCATTCTTGCCACCCTACCTACCCGCGTTCTCTGCGACGCAGTCTTCTCCCAGTCTGCTCGTAGGCCCGTCGACTCAACGCCAGTCACTCACCCGAGTACCCTTCGGGTTGCGGACCGACCCTTCAGCCACCCCTTCAAAAGCTGAGCGGGCCTGCTCTTGACCTTCGCTGTTTCGGCACCGTCAGCGAGTATCGGTTATTGGAGATCGTGGATTGGCAACAGTAAACGCTACCCTGCATCCTTTTCAGCGTGAGTGTGCATATAGTCACTCTGCATGACATACTCAGACTCTCATGTAGACCCCCAATGGACGTGAGGAAGGTCTTTCCCTCTTCCCTCTACCGCAAAAGTAAGCGCGACCAGTCCGCCAACGCAGGCGTTGCCTCGTCACCCCCTCAAAATGCCGTCACCTCACCGGTTCAGAAGCCCACGATGCCCATCACCATCCCACGCCGAAAAGCTGTGCGGCCACCTCCCTGCTCTCCCATTCGCCAACAACCTTCACCGGACATCGTCTTCAACTTCGACTTCTCGTTCTCGCCGTGTTCGTTCCAAGGTCATGGCCAGATCATTGCGCGGAAGGATGACTGGGCGCCGCAAACACAGTTCTTGCAGCAGCGCGGCCGCACGAGCATTCTCCTCGCTCAACAGTGCCACCAGCAGCAGAAAGCCCTCTGCGGCCTGACCCGTCGCAGCTCCAGCACTCGGCGCGGCGCCGAGGCACTGTACTGCAGCCAGCCCCTGCGCCACGGTCTCCTCGCCCAGGCACTACGGACGAACGAGCGCGCATATAGCCAGGGTCCGGGCGGTTATATGGAGGATGAAGCGTCAGAGGACCTCACGAATTGCGACAGGGATATCGTCGAGTCTGAGGAGCTGGCGTCGGCTTATGCTTCCCCGGTGTCGTCGGGATGCTCCTCAGTTGTGTTCGCTGCCCCTCCTCGCGACGCCCCGAGCCCAGGCAAGCGCCGCCGCTACGAGGACGAGGAAGAAGGCTTCGCTGACCCCGGTCTCACGTCCGCGTTCCAACGTTCTGTTGGCTCTGCGTCTGTCTCGGCCCGGAGCACTTCACCCGTCCCCTCGTCTTTCAGCTCGCCCGCCCCTCCCATGTTGCCCGCGCTGCCCTCTCCTCCGACTACCTCTCGCACGCCCTCTGCACCTTCCTCTCCGTCGTTCCGCCGCCCTCTGCGTCCCCTTTTCCCCCACAATCGCTCTAGCATGCACCTGCGTACCGCCGCAGAGCCCGTCGTCTGCCTTAAGGTCGCGGAGGCCGATCGGCCGGCCCGTACTCGCGGGCGCTCGCCGTACCCGGACACAGGACGAATGTTTCGTGCACGCCGGACGTCAAGCGTGGGCAGCCGTCCGACTGTCACGACGCTCGGCCGGACGCGGTCGTCTCTGGTCCTCAGCAATGAGGAGTTGGAGCGCTCATTGGAGAAGGAGGACCACCGTGAGGAACGGGGTTGCGGCCTGGAGCATGGGCCGGACGAGATGGACGAGAAGGAGATGATCAGAGGGTGGGAGCTGGAGTACGAGCGCGGGCGGACGCGAGGCCGGACCAGGGGTCGTGGCATCGCTGTTGCGCGTGCACCCCCGGCGCATATGTGAACTGTTCTAGGTGTGTTGAGTATCACCTTGTATGTTGGATGTGGTGCTGACCGGTCGTTCCCTGAGCAGAGTTGAAAATCGTGCAGGGCAGCGGGTGATCATCGGGCGTTTGCAAGTGCGATGTCTTGCTCCTCGGACTCCCCGTTTGCCTTCGCCGTCACTGACTGGTCTCGGCGACCGGCGAAGCTTCGTGCGCCCTGTATATGGCAGCGGCGGCCGTTTGTTGGTCCGTCGATCCTTGTCCCTCACTTCGTGGATCCTGGTTTGTTCTGTGTTATTGTTCCTTCTATTCCTCACGCAAGCACGGACCACGCACGCATCACTCGTATATATCCATGCAATCATCCGCATTTTCTTCCTTTTCTCTCACTCGGACATCGGCTCACCATGGCTCGCACCACTCATCATCATTCATCGCATTCACAATCCTCCCCTCATCTGCATCATCGCATCGTGTTCGCATCCCAAACCCAAATTCTGATCCATATACAATAACATACACTACGCTCGAATCCAATCGCATAGTCTTCTCTTCTTCTGGCGTCGTCTCTTACTCATGGGGTTTACTTCTTCAGTCTTGGTAGCGCAACCGTTGATCACTGTCCCATGTTTCCTTCTCTTTTCGCTGTGCTCCCTGGTCCCGACTTTTCCTTCGACGTTGCAGACTACTGCGTGCAGTCCGTCTCCCCTCTTCCTTCTCCGTGTGACCTCGGGCATCCGTGCATCGCCCGAGCCTGCTCGAGCACCGCAGTTGCTTCGCTCTGGGTGTTCCGCATCATCTTCTTGACCATCTCCTACCCTACGCTCTTCTTTCAATGCGCTTGTCTTCCCTTCGCGAAAGGGATGCCTAATCGGTCTCGGACTGGTGTCTCCTAGATTTCTCATCCACCTCATCTGGCATTGTCATCCTCCCAATCGCAACCTACTAGACTACTACCTTACTATACTATAACTGTGTCTCTCTCGTCGAACTCAATCAATAGAAGTGCATCGCATCTTTGTGATTATGAACAGATGGCGTTGTCATGGGCTGGTTTTAGCACGGTGGTCTCCGGAGTGTGAATAGAAGGGGTGAGTACGTATCGATATCACTAAGCCATGCGGTGCCAATCCGCTCCTTCAGCTTCCTTCAGGCTGCGTACGACTCAGAAATCATCGAGTACCAATGGGGATGAGCCACACTGCATGTGAAGACGAAGATAGAACCGTTGACAATCATGCCTGACAGGCTTCGGGATCATCATCGAGGTGGAGATGTCGACACTTCCGCCGGCGGCACTTCTGCCAGTCAATTGGAAGTGAAACGGATGATGAGCAGCGTGCAGGACGCGACTTCGAGCATTATGCTGACTGTGTATGGTCGTCCATGGAGCTCCGACCTTTGCGGCTTCGTAGTCAGATGCGTAAAGCCCGGAAGGTTGATATCATACGTGGCGGAACAAAGAGCTGGTTGATGCGGATGGTCGTTATCTGTATATCGAGCGTGTATGGCATGCGTGGTTGTGGATACCCTGAGGGCTGGTAGGTTTCCTAGTCGCCGGTTAGATGTCCGTTCAATTCTTGCCAAGAAAGATGGTAGGAGCACTACTAGTTTTGCATTGACAGCTTCTGCTGGAAGTGTCACTTTTTAGTTTTCGACTGACGGCGGGCGACACTCGAGACAAACATAGTGACATCTCCATACCTGCCGATGTCTGCGGGTCCACGACCTTGAAACAGTGACCAATGTCGAGGAACAGATTGGGTCCACCCGTGCCGACGCAGTCGTGGGGCTGATTGACGGCGCGCGTTCGTATACGACTATTTCTTAGAGGAGATCACCTTGTCAATGTTGGTGAGTCCAGCAACTGTGCCAGTACAAGCAGTAGGCAAATCACCATACTTGGAAATTGAGCGTGAGACTAGGTAATAAGTGCGGCGCGGTTTGATACACCGTCGTCGTCGCTATGATGGCACTCGCCCGGGGCATGGCCGCGACGTCCCGGAGTACTGCTGACAGTTATACTACGCGGATTGGTCGCGGTTGATTTGCGCCACACGCACCGTTTCCCGCGTCTAGTAGGGCGCTCAACCTCGCTCCCCGCCACCGGCGCGTTCATGTTTTAAACCTCCTTTGCCTAGCTTTCTACAGGTGTGGGCTGTGAGCATGGCAGGAAAATTTTAGAACTCACTCAGAATTTCATAAAGATGCAGGTGAGGACACCCAAAGGCCTACGAAGGCCGAGGGAGACTCTTTCTGAGGAGAGCAAATAGAGCCAAACATGTGCAATGCACGGTCACGCTTGTCACGGCCACAGCTCTCCCCGGTGGCTGGGCACATGCTTTGACCTCGTATATTGACCTCTCATTCAACGCCAACAATCATGTGTATTGAGAGTTTTTGTTATTGTACATTGATGTTGCATTGATGTCATATTTGCGGCAATCCACAATTACTGTGAAGACCGCATCACAGTGGCTCGCCAGCCTCTTAGCGCCCGTGACCTCCGAGAGGGACTCATCGAATTAATCCGCACACTGCGAGTATGCAGCTGGACATGGGCAAACAGAGACCTATACACCTTCCATTGCGTTTCTAGGTGCTTAAGTATCTCCTACTAACTCGCGAGAAGGCCGTGGCGTTCAATTCGAACCGCTTTGGCCCTCTCAGTCGTGTGAAGAGCGTAGCGCTAGCGCGCATGCAACGCACAATTGAACCGCGACCAATCCGCGTACGTTAGCAAACAGAGATTCATACACCTTCCATTGCGTTTCTAGGTGCTTAACTATCTCCACCTAACTTGCGAGACGGCCGTGGCGTTCAATTCGAATCGCTTTGGCCCTCCTAAGTCGTGGGAAGAGCGTAGCGCTGAGATGATAGCGCGCGTGCAACGCACAATTGAACCGCGACCAATCCGCGTACGTTAGACAGTCCACCGAGTCTGCAGGAAGCGCAGCGTGAGCTGATCAAAACGTGATCATAGTGTTCTACGCATTCGTCTCGTAGGCCTTTTTTCAATGGCACTCATGACCTCCGCGCTTGTAGAGTCTGATACGCCAGCGGGAGTCTATCGTCATTTTCCGAATCCGAATTATGACCTAGTACTCACCCTAGCTACTATTCATGGAGATGCTCTTGCGATGACGAGGCTGCGCGCTGTAGACTACGTCAGAGCCCGGGTTGGCAGTGTTTACACCAACATGACGACCGGAAGACACTTACAATGGAAAATGACAGCTGTTGCTTCGTCACCCCGGGAGTGAGATTGTGGTTAGCAGTGCGCGCCGCGCCATTGGTATGGAGACTTCCGCGGTTCACGGGGCAGAGCTGCCTTGATTATCGGGCTCAGCGGAAAGCACAGCTTCGCCACAGTGAGCTAGACCTTCAGCTGAATCTTACCGCTGCCGGAACAGCAGCTGAGGTGACGCACTTAATGACTCACCAACTGGGGCAGCGCACCGCGGCATCTAATCAATAAGGGGGCCGAACTCGACCGGCCTTGGAGAAATACCCGAAGTCGCTCGAGACGACACCTGTGCGAAACGGTCAAATTACCCCTCCTCGACGATGAGAGGACTTTGTATTGCTTTCTGTTGCCAGTTGTATCGCTAAGTCTGAGCCGGGTAAAGTTCTTCAAGCCGACAATGGACCGCAACGATAGGAACCAAAGTGACCCTGTTCATGGAGTAGCAACGGCCAGTGCTTGTGTACGAATGCCATAGCATCTACACATGGCCTGTCAGTGCGTCCTGAGATTATGTCAGTTGGTAGCTGTGCTTCATATACCAAAAGCGTTACAAGAACGTTGGACGCACCTACGCATGGCCGTGAGCGGCCTTTGCTACTCTACCTGATGGCAGAGTCGTGTCCCAAACTGTGATGTGAACCGTGGTTCCCAGAGACCACAATTAGTAGCGTGATTTCCCCGCCGGAGCACACCCGTTATGTGGCGAACAATGAGTCGAAGCTTTCCTTTGTTGAATACTGATATATGAGAATACGTACGAACACCGCATATGTAGCGACCGCACATACGCCGATCTACCTAGACGTAAGAGCGCCTCAGTGATGCCGGAAGGAAATCGGCTGCCGCTCACCAGACAGTCAACGATCCCATCACCATCATGAGTTGATTGGCCATTCGTCACGATGCTACTCCTTGTTGGTCAAACTAAATCTGAATATAATCGAGATGATCGGACAAACGTACGGTCGTTCGTATGAAATGGTGCATCCCTGTATCACGGGATCCACTGCTTCGACGACTGGACACTGAAATTGTGCGTCGAGGTGTCGAGTTCCCTGATCACCCCTACACCCTGAGACATGCATGTTAGCCCTGACGTACGGGCGGTTACCGGCGCCGACACTTTCAGTAGTCGTCTTCACATGTTGAGTCCCCTCGCCGCCGGCCAGGCGTCGAGTTAAGAATGGAAGCGGAAGAGACTATTGATGCATGTGCTTTGCAACGGCGAATGTATTCATGGAAGCCAGCCTCGCACGCACAGCCTGCGCCAATGAGGGGTTCTATGATCACTGTGATGCTCCATTCGTGAACAGAGTAATGTGATCAGTACTCACCTATTGTTGGTTCGTAGTGAGAGATATGCGGTGGCCCTTGAACTTCAGGAGTACAATGCCGTACAGATTGCTGCGTTGTAGTTGATTGATGTGATTCCTCACTCCAATAGGCAGCGGACATGTGCCTGAGCACACTGACGCCCGCCAGTCTGACACGCCGTCAGCAGTCACTTCGCGCTTCCATGCTACACAGGTGCGTCCCCATAGTCACAGCAGCGGTCGAAGCAGAGCAAGTACATACAACCGGCACAACACTGCATCTCGTGAGTTTCAAGCGATTGAGCACGTAGGACAGGTATGGGTTTGACGATGCGGCAATGCAGCATACTTGGCGATTTCAGGATAGCGGCTAGAGCACAGCTAGTCGTCAAATGCAACGCTGGCGTGCTGCGTTAGCGAAAATGCAGCCCTCCGCTCGCTAGGGTTAACAGTGGCTAGTCGGGAACGGGGAAGTCCCTGCACCCGGCGTATTAGACCTGACAATAGGTGTCAACTTGTGATTATTTACCGGGTTCCGTGTGCGCGTCCGCAGGGATAGACTTGTACCCTGTTGAAATGAGGCTAATAGCGCTACCTGCGGCCAAAGTATAAACCCCACAGGTGATGCACTGTGTGGTCTGCCGGCGGCCTATATAAAATCCCAATATCGGCGGTGACTGCAACAAACACAACTTGAACACAGATGGCCGGCCGAGGGTGACGTACTAGTCAGAACACAACTCCAGACTCGGAGTTGCGCCAACGAGCGAGATTGAGCACATTGAGCGCAGAAAAATCTCGGTATGAGCTCACTTCACGATTTGAACGATTTCCGGCGAAGTCCTAGCAGTAATGTAAGAGGAAGCGACTCGTTCTCAATATATCTGCCACATACGCGTTACATTCAGATCTAGTCCACAATGACGTGGAGATCCTGGCCGCAAGGAACACCGGCACACTGTATATACCGAACAGCGATTCTTGAGCAAGTAGGAGGTCGCGCGCCTCATGGGCATATAATATCTATGTCGGTCTAACTGCCACTTTGGTCAGGTTCAATTTGGTAGGCCGCAAAACACGGCTGTCAGCGTCAAATACATGTCAGCTCCGTCATGACCGTGGAATCTTTCAGTGTCCAGTTAATGCATCCGTGACTTGCGAATATCCTGATAGCGGCTCCTTGCCACCGGCGGGAAATTTGACCCACAGGTAAACAGTGTGCGAGGACCATCGATCAAGTGGCCTGTTCACCGCGCCGAGGTCTCGGCAGCAACAGGAAGTAGCGCGGCCTCCTGGCACCTTAGCACACCGCGAATGGAGTGGCGGTGGACATTGTGTCAGCTTGATCCGGAAGCATGACCACCGTATACGGTGACGACGTACCCATGATAGTATACCACGGCGGACTTGGATACTTTGTACCATACGCCGTCCATGAGATACCTATGTTTTCCCGCAAGTCGCAGCATTCGCAACATTCAACGCATCAACGGCGCCTCTGTAGCTTCAGTACGGCGGCCAACAACATTAAAAAAGACGAATGCCGTACTGCCAAGCTCGCGCTGACTTAGGCTGTAGAGCATACCATACTCATGTTTCCTTCTGAGTGGGTAGTTCCAAAACGATGTTAAAACGATGTTGAGAATGTGCTGTAGAGCTCTTTTCAAGTGGTGGTGTCATTTGTAGAGTGTGAAGGCCTGTGTAGGCCCGATTGAAGCTGAGTGTCTGAGTGTCGAGATAAGGAAATGCCAGCTCAAAGAGGTTTGTTTGTCAGGAACAAACAAGGACCCACAGTTGGATCAACACCCGCGATCACGTGTGACGACGCGACCCATTCCCGCAACTGAACGCGACCTTGCTTGCGCTGCTTCTCTCTGTTCGATCATCTACTGTGCGCGTTTCTGGAGCATACACCTAACTTTTTGTAGGGAGACGCAAATGAGCGGTGGTGGCGCGGTGGCAAGGCCTGCTTGGCAGACGGACGAGCTCGAAGACGAATGGATCGATCAGGAGGCCAGCGACGATTCGCATGCTACACTCTCACTTCATGCGCATTCCAGCTCAGACATCTCGTTCACGCAGCCACTAGGATCAGTCATAGTGCGTAACAGTCAACTGACAACTGACACTCGTACGGCAGAACAGGATGCGGGTGGCACCTTTTTGATCAGGGAAGATGTTCCTGCTGCGCCTGTGCTACCCAAAACACCCGGCCGAGGGAAGAACGCTTTCGGGAAAGACTTCTTTAGTCCGCTTGCTCTTGAGCGTATGTTCGAGCCACCATCTCCGCCTATTGGAAATCCGCATCCGCTGCCAGCTGTCCAGACAAGCGTACCCTCCGTACCTTCGCGCCTCTCACAGGCATATGTGCCAGTTGAAGGAGACACAGAGATTATTGGGGATATCTCTGAGGGGAATATCCGGGATGGAGAAGGAGGGGATGGTCTAAGTATGCAGGGCGGCGGCGGCGGCGCACTGGATTGTCAGTTTACCTTCGAAGCCCCTCGGCCAAGCCCCTTCAACCCCAATGGCGTCGTCCCGGCAGCGCAGAGCACACCAGGACATCCTAGAATGCATTCGGCGATGCTCAATCCCCCTGGAACAGATCCGCGTTTACGCCTCTTCCAATTCCAGTACGACACGTTTACCCGCGAGCACCTCTCCGCGATGGTCGATTCAATCGCTGTCAACACGCCCTCTGCAGGCAGCGGTGCTGCGACTACCACTGGCCTTACACCATCTACTGGTTTATCCCCTGTCCGCGAGGTCAGCTCTGTGCGGCTCCGTAGCGCGAAGCGTATCAAGCTCAGCCCGACGAGCGAGTTCTCCCGCAGCGGTGATGGCGAGGCTATGATCCATCGACCGAAACGGAGAGACTACGTGGGCGAGTCGAAATCACTCATGGACAAGATAAGGCGAGCGCGAGATTTCTCGACGGTGTCCACCGTCGCGAGTGCAAGATCTCCTGTGCCTCAAGACAGGGACTCCTCGCCGGAAGAACCAGCGGATACCAGTGTGTCTCGTGAGTACGTTTTGGTCAATTAGCCTCAATTAATGCCGATGCGTGATCATATCAGCTTTGCCGCCTGTAACATCATCCCTGGGCGTTCGCAACGCTAATGCCAGCCGGACGCCTTCCTCGAGCTGGACTGTGGCATCGTCGCGGCGTGGAGCATATTCATCTTTAGGCTATCGGGAACAGGCCGCGAATCTCATGGCCCAAATCAGAAGTGACATGAAGGGCTCGAAGCGTATATTTTCTGGGGACACTGAGCCGTCCCACATTATCGCGGACGAGCCTAGCAGACGAGATAGCGCTGGAATGCAGCATGGACTCCCCTCCCGCGTCTCGTCGAATAGGCGGGTCAGTGTACAGATCCGGGACGTCGACTACAACAAGCTCGCTGGGACGACGAGAGGAAAGCGCAAGTTAAGCCCCCCACACTATGATACCGACGAGGACGCCACCGACGTAGACGATGTGCTCGCGGAGGACATGACGCATATGTCTCTCGACTCTCAGCGCCTTTTGGAACAGTTCCCTGACCCTCCTGTTCGGCTGACCGTGACAGCTGAGGACGCGCCCCCGGCGCCCACCAGCGGAGGCACCCAATCACGACTGAAGCCTGAACCTAATCCCGCTCTCCTCGCCCCTACCGCTGGCGGGGCTCCAGCGCATCCCTCGTCCTCGCTGCGCACGGGGCGACATGAGGATCTCACACGATTCGTCTCGTCGAGCACGGCCTCGGGGACGACACTCACGCAGGGCAGCGCAGCGTCGTTTGTCAAACACCCTGGGCCCAAGCAGATTACGCGCATTGCCCCGGAGGATGTGCCTGCTCTTCCGGATAGGGTCGGGAAGATGGTGTTTGATAGAGTCATGATGAAGTGGGTCAAAGACACCGCGGCGGCCACGGCTGGAATGGCCGAGGTTGAGAGGCGCCTCGCCGTCGATACAAGTGACGGGAACGAGAGCGAAGACCCTTTCCGTGACTTCGAGAGCCTAAGGGAAGATGATTCGAGCGGACAGCCTGCTGATGCAGAAGTCGTCGTTGACCGTGATCAAGACGAGGACGCTGGCGAGGAATCGATGGATGCCGATGAAGATAGGTTCCAAGAGGTGGATGAGAGCTCCGAGGTGGAAGATGAAGAAGAGATAGAGCTCACGTCCTTCTCCTTCGATGGTCCTCAAGCAGGAGAAGATGAAACTGACGCCTCTGAGATCACAGAGTCGGATGGTGACAATGATGAAGAAGAGGGCTCAGAGGACGCCACAAACACGACCGAGCTGTCCCTACCTGCGGACACTGTCTCGAACGATTCGGATGGGGAGTACGACACTGGTCAAGCTGCAGCAGCCTCACGACAACCACCTGCTTTGCAAGACACACCGCCTCATCATCTCATCCCTCAGCCTTATGCGTCATCTTCCTTGACCACACCAAATGCGTTGCGCGCCGGCGCTCAGGCGACGCCTGCGTCTACCGGTACGCTACGCTCTGCGATGAAGAGCTCCAGTGTGACGCCGGTGTCAGCTATGAAAGATCCCAACAAGAGCAAGATTTCGACGCCGGCGGTTCGTCTCGGACATCGTCGGTCGGTCAGCTTTTCTGATGGCAAAAGGGACGGACCGATTCGCGGGATTGGTCGAAACGTGCCCACATCGACTGACACCGAGGGCACTGAGGACGAAGACGACAGTCCCTTGGCCAGCGGTGCTGGTAAGGCAGGCTCCGTATTCGTGCCTTCCGCGAGATCGAAGCGTATTGCGGAGATGTTGGGCAACTTGGAGGACCCTGGTAAGCGTGGTGATTGTGTTAGTGATTCTGCATTGACTCAGATAAACAAGCAGGCATAGAGGACGATTCCCCATCCAAAGCAAGTAGCTCAGGACGGCCGCCGACCGAGGAGCTTCAGCCGCTCAAGGCACGGCGGCCAAGCAGCGCTAAGACGAGCCCCAGTCGTGAGGTCTCGAGGAGAGTGTTCTCCCGGCCACACTCGAAGACTCCCGTTTCCGCCGGTAGGCACGCCAATGCAACGTTCCTTACGGAATGCTCCTTTGGCGTGGCCCATGATCGTCTCGTACAAGTCATCACGGACGTGCAACCCTTCGAACCGTACTGGGAGGATCTGACGTCTATTGATCTGTCAGCGCACAACATAGACAGTGTCGCAAGGCTGAAGGAGTTTCTGCCCCGATTGGATTCATTGACACTGTGAGTCAAGATTCGCAGCCTGCTCATTCACCGGCGGCAACAGATGATCCAATGGGAGACCTTGTGCTTGACCGGTGCTGGCAGGACGCAGCTGACGGATTGAATTGTCTCGTAGGAACCACAACCAGCTGTCTTGGCTGAGCGGTATCCCAGGGACGGTACGCTCATTGTCAGTAGTGTCAAATGCGTGAGTTCTTCTCTGCCTGTCCTGAAGCTGGTACTGAATTATCGTGGATGCACCTGTCTTTGGACGACTTCGGACAGCTTGACAGGGCTTACGTCCTTCAACCACTTACTGAACATCGAGTACCTTGACCTGAGTCGCAACCAGATAGACACTCTGCGGCGTGAGTTGCGGCCTTATCTCTGTTGTGAAGCTGTGGCATGGGCCTGACCTGTCTACTTGAAACAGAGCTTGCATGCCTCCGACATCTGCGAGAGCTCCGAGCCGATGGGAACAGGATCGACAGCGTTGACGGTCTACAGAAGATGGACGGCCTCGTGAAGCTCAGCCTACAGGAGAACGTTGTACGAAGCCTTGATCTACAGGACTATCACTGGTACGTCTCATCGTCAACACAGCATGCACGTGCTGTCCTGGTCGGCGGTGAATCCGTTGAGCTCCTTCGAGTGTCTCGATCAATCAAACTCACGGTCATTAATCTCCTTCCTGACAGGACCCGCCTGGAAATGCTCAATGTGAGCCATAATCGGGTTTCGGACGTGTCTGGGCTCGCATCAGTTCCGGCACTGGTAGCCCTGAACCTAGGTGCGTGCGCCTAGTCCCAACGTCACGATCACGCCAGGAGCGGTAATCCTCCCCGGGGAGCCTACTTGATGTTCTCCGTCAACTGGTGATAAGCGCACAGTTTGATCCCGCGATGCGTATGCGGCTCACTTCGTGCTATTATCGGTGCTGCTTCTTGTGAAATCCTCACTGAATTACATTATCGCAGACAACAACGCGCTAGACGAGCTAGACCCTGATGGTGCAATGCCCAGACTAAGGATACTCCGTCTATCTGGCAATCGGCTGAAGCAGCTGGATGCCTCTGCATTTCCTGGCCTTCGCACGCTCTATGCCGACAACAACTATCTCGGACCTATTCACAAGGCACACCGGCTGACGAAATTGGAAAACCTGAGCCTGCGGAATCAAGGTGGCAAATCTGGACTGTGAGTTTCAGCGTCCGTTCCTATTTCATCGGGTCGTGCTCACGGCAGGTGACCACTTCCTTCGTCCGACGTGCTCGTAAATTTCAACCATTGCCACCGGTAACTGATCTGGGCGTTTGTGCGCATCAGGTCCATCTCGCTGCGCGATGTTCGCGACGTAAAACGACTGTATCTCTCTGGTGAGTCTGGCCCATCCGTCTTTCATTGAACGCACCCAGTGCCCCGGGTCGCGTGCCTGGCCCATCGTGATTCGTCCGGGGTGATATCCTCGGTGGAACCCCGAGGCTATCGTGTATCGCTTCTGACCTCATTCCGTATTTTGCACAGGCAATCCGCTCAAGGACGGCTTCATTGCGGACCCATGCTATAATCTCGTCTACCTCGAGCTGGCCGCGTGCCGGCTGACGGCGCTCCCGACTGGGCTCGCGCGCCTGATTCCGAACGTGCGGGTGCTGAATCTGAACTATAACTTTATCGAGGACCCGCGCCCGCTCGAGGGCTTGACGCGCCTCCGCAAGCTTACCCTCATCGGCTCACGGATCAAACATGCAAGGCTCCTTGTCCGCATACTTCGGGGGATGACTGACATTGAGATGCTGGATTTCAGGTATGTTCTGCCGCAGTCTTGGTACCACAAAGTTCTTCTTTGTTCTATTTTTCATAAGTGCCGCTGCACCACGCTTCAGTTCTACGTGCCTCGGCGCTTGATTCCCTCCGGTGGGCTGCGCATTGCCTCGACACTTCGACTGCTTTGTGGCGGCATGCTGGGCCATGTGGGGTGTTTCGAACCTTGTGCAGTCTGCCTCCGGTGCACGGGGACAATCCCCCTTGCCGGGGCACATCTGGCCTCGTCTCGTGCGCGTGCACTTCCGCACCGGAGGCTAAGTGTGCCGAGGGGTTTTACAGGTACTCGTCGCACCAAACGCGGCCCACCACCTTCTTTTCATTCTGACTGCTGACTGAAAGTGTCCATCGGATCGCTGACAACCTCATGCGTGCGCGCGCCTGCGCGGTGTTTGTTTTTGGTTACAGGATGAATCCGTGCACGCTCGGATGGTACCTTCCCCTCCTCGTACGGGACGTGCCTGGTGCGCTGCAACCCTCCGACGGCGATCGCGCGGGGCCCAGCTCGGGAGGAAATGCGTTCGCCGGATTCGCAGGTGCTGCCCGCGGGCCTGCATCCCAGGTGGGCAGCGCAGCCCACGACCACAACCCGAACGGGCGCAGAACCAGGGGCGGGCCGCATTCGCACGAACCACAACAACAAGGTTCAGGTTCAGGTTCAGGCTTTGCTGGTGCTGCTAGTGCGCCCGCGCGTGCAGGCGCGGAGGCCGCCGTAAGCCCCGGTGGGCACGGAGAAGCCACAAGTGGGCTTCGCGCGGGCACGGGCGAGGCTCCCCCGGCTGGGCCGCGTGGGCAGAGCGGGCCTCCGCCTGCGCTGGCTTCTGTGGCGGGCTCTGCGTCCCCGGGCGCGGGCGCGGCGACGTGGAAGGAACTGGACGCAAAGTTCCGGCGGGACCTCCCCGACGAGGCGTATGTGGGCCGGCTGGCGTACCGCGGGCTCGTCATGCGCGCCTGCCCGGGGATCCGCCTCCTCGACGGCGTGGAGACATCAGCCAAGGAGCGCGAGAAGGCGGAGAAGCTGCTCGTGAGCCTCGGGCTTGGGCGCGATCGCGCGCGGGGGACCGGGGCGAGTGCGGGTGCTAGTGCTGCTCCTGCAGCTTCTCTGCCCGACCCGGGAGACGCACAGGGAGGCCTCACGCGGGAGAAGGCGAAGGCGAGGGAGGCCCTGCGCACGGGTGCGCAGTGAACGCGCTGGCGCTGCGAGGGACGAGTCAGAGGTGACGAGGAGCGGGGCCGCTATGATCACACTACTGCTGGTTTGGTGCAGCGCATTGGTTTGGATTGGATGCATGGTCTTGAGTTGCGATGCGCGTTGGTGGAATGGTCCTTTGCTCGTAGTGATCCCGCGGGTGGAGGGGCGCCCGGCATTGTCTCCATCTTACCAAGCGCATCTGTGCGCGCGAGATTAGCTTTTTCCTTTTTCACGCTCCGCGACGAGCGGGCACCCCCGCTAGCAGTCGGCCAGGGGGCGGCGATGATGGCTATGGAGGGTGTAACTTTGCATTTTTCTGTTGCGCGATCTTTCTCTCTGCATTGCAGTCGGCTTGACGATGTACACGACTCGCACGCACACACGGACGGTTTATTCGATTTGCAGGGATGTATCTATCATACGAAAGATTAGGTTGGTGGGCATGTTTGGGTGATGCGTCGACATCAGTCCGATGAACAGCGGGGCATGGTGCAGGCCAAGACGGTGCTGTTGCCGGCACGATGGATAGGGGAAGCCCTGCGGCGGAGGGGATATGGGGGTTTAGACTGGAGGTAGCGCCCCTGTGTGAGCATCTGATGGTGAGGATGATGTGATGATAGAGCGAGAAAGGAGAGGATCAAGGGCACAGGAAGCACTGGACGGTGGTGTTGAGAACAGTCAAAGACACCTAGCTAGCGCGGCGGGGCGCGGTGGGCGCAGCGGAGTCGCCACTGGGCGGGTGGCAACCGGGCAGCCGCCGGGGACGCGACGACAGGCATCCTCGCAGCACAGCACACTGTCGTCCGGGGCGGCCGCGCGGGCCGCTCACGAGGCGGGGAGGGACAGCAAGTCGCGTGTGGGAGCGGCGGCGTGCTATCATCCACGCGCGCCGGATGATAGTAGCGCTTGCCGCCGCCGTCGTATGGCTGGGAACCGTGCCTGGTCCACAACGCGTTCGCAGGCCTTGCCAGTGGTTCGCACTGCTGGCGCCATCCGCACCCCACCGGTGAATATCGCCGCTTGCGCAGAGCGCGCCCGGCACGCCCCCGCTGCGCCCCGGGGCGGGCGGCGGGCGGGCGGTGGCGGGCGCAGCGGCGGGTGGCGCACACGCGTCGCCGCCGAGGCACGCGCGCCGAGGCGGCGAGTCAGACGCAGGCACCGAGCAACTCGCGGCGGGCAGTGGTCGGGGTCTGGGCGGGGAGGCGCTTGCACTGCAAAGGGATCCCAGATTGGGACGCATCAATCGGTTGGCCGCGGTAATTAAAGGGCACCGGATAAGGCAAGAGGGGGCATTTGGGGGTAAAATACGATCTGGATCTGTGATTAATTGGGAGCACAGCACGGAGACGGAGGGCTGGGGCGCATTTGCCCCGGGCGGACGAAGCGACGGGGATGCGATTGGCGGAGGCGTTCCCAGAGGATCTCGGATGGCGATTAGGCAGGACTGGCACCGCTCCCTGGGCCGCGCGCCCTCGGTATAAGACCCGCCCACTCGATCGCTGCTGGGCCTCGTCGCCGCGCCCTCCGCACCCATGCTCGATACTGCTGCCCCCTTGTTCGACGTCCAGCCGCTCAACAGCTACAACGTCGCGCAGCTCCGATACGCGTTGTGAGTGTCCTTCTGCGACTCGGGGCGGGAGACGCGGTGGTCCGCGACGCGTCGGGCTGCCCCTTCGAGCGAAGCAGGCGGGCTGTCACCTGTCAACTGCCAAACTGCTCGCGTCCCCGGAACACCTGCGCGCCTCCCGCGCTCCCTCTTTTCTTATTTATTATTCTCGCCGGCCATTGCTGACGGCGGCCCCCTCCAGCGAAGACGGCAAGTCCCTCGCCCTCGACGCCCTCCCCGACGCCCACGCCGTCCCCTTCGCGTCGCCCCTCTTGTCCGTCTCTGTCTCTCCGCCCATGTCCCCCGCTGACCCTCCTTCTCCCTGCTCCAGCTCCGCCCACGACTACGACGCCCGCCGCATGTCCACGTCCGCCACCTCTGACAGCAGCCTCCAGTCGCGCCCAGAAAAGCGCGGTCCGTCGCCCTCCAGCTCCCCGCTTCCCAAGAGGTCCCGCCCAGACATCTCGCTCGACCCCAACGCCTGGTCAAACCCGAACACGCCCTCGCCACACCCGCCCACAGAGCCTGAAGAGCGCCCCGACGCAGACCCCGCACGCGTCCAGCTCCCGTCGCTCGCGTCCACCTTCCAGGACCGCTACGAACGGCGCGCCTCGCTCCCGACCCTCTACTCAGACAACCCCGCGTCGCGCCTCCGCCTCCCGCCGCCGGGTCACCGCCCGAGCCAGTCCTCGTCCGGTCTCGCGTCGTACCAATTTCCCAACTCAGATAGCATAGACAGCACCCGCTCGTCCGCCATCTACGATTACCCCGCCTCCGGCCTCTCCCAGTCGGGCTCGAGCTCGTCCTACAACTTCTCGCCACTCCAGACGGACTACTCGCGCTCGTCCGGGCTCTCGTCGTCGATCTCCTCCGAGTCGGACTGGTCCGCAGGAGGCATTGTGCGGCCCAATTCGACGCCCGGCAACCTTGCAGGCGTGCCTGGCCTCAAATACGACGACGCGCTCCGCCACCCCTCCCTTGGTTCGCAGGATCTGTTCGGGGGTGTCACCCGGATCTCGGGCCATCACGCCTCGACAGATCGCAGTGCGCGTCAATCGTCCGGCATTAAGAGCGAGGAGTGGTCCTTCCCCTCCAACGACTTCAATATGAACCCGCCCTCCAGCGCGCCGTCCTACCCCTCCACTCCGTCCACTTCGGCGTCTGCAATGACCTCCTCCGCACCCAACATGTCTGGCACGAGCTCCCCTAACCGCTCGCCCCAGTCCGCCTCTGCCGCGAGTCTCGTCGAGCGTCCTCCGCGCAAGCGTGGTAAGCTCCCCAAGCCCGTCACCGACTTCCTCAAGGACTGGCTCCATCGACACTCGGACCACCCGTACCCTAGCGAGGAGGAGAAAAAGCAGCTGTGTAACGCTACTGGTCTCAGTATGAGCCAGGTGTCCAATTGGATGATCAACGTCAGTGACCATTTCTATTCCCGATATTGCCCCCATGTCTTCCCTTCCTGTCCTCCCTTCACACTCCTCGCGCTTGAGCTTGAGCTAAAGCTAATATGCTTTCATGACCTCATAGGCACGGCGACGCATTCTCGCGCCAGCGCACCGCGCCGCACAAGGTCCGACGACGACGACGCCGTTTAGCTCGCGTCCGGGCCCCGGCGTCGTCCCCAGCGTGCTCGACACCGGGCGGCGCGCGTCGATGCCGACGGACAGCCTGCAGCTGTATTATCCGATGTCGCTGCAGAGCCTTGGCGGCGACCCACACATGCCCGCGAGTACGCGGCATATGGTGAGCATGTCGCGCAGCCTATCGAGCAGTAATGCCACGGCGGGTAGCCTCAGCCAAGGTCACCATGGCCACGGCAGCAGCCCATATGCGCTTGATGGAGGGTACTCCACGAGCCACTCGCGGATGGGCTACGGCTCGAGTGGCTTGAGCCACGGGCACTCTTCGCATGGGAGCTCAGGCTACGGGATGGGTATGTCGATGAGCTCGAGCAGCGGACTGTCGGGAAGCTCGAGCTTCCTCGGCTCGTCGCAAAACCAGCTCTACGGCCACTCGTCCGGCGGGTACACGCAGAGCCCGCAGAGCGGCACGCGGATGACGATCCAGCAGGAGGACAGCCAGGCGCGGTATACGTTCCCCGACCACTCTGTCTCGCCACAGCCTGGTCCCGGCTCGGGCTACGGCACCCCGCAATAGTCGCGGGTCGCTGTATGCGCGGGTGGACACCCCCACTGACGGCCACTGCGCCTGAGGCGTCCATCTACGCCCGGGGCCGACCCCGCGCTCGGCCCACACGCTGCTTCGCGAGTTCGGCTTCGCACAAGCCTCGCGGGTGCACCTCCACGTACGTTCCATACCCTGTTTATCGCCTCGCCTCGCTCGACACCCTCGCAAGCTGCAAGCGCGCACGACGTCACGTTCCCCATCCTGCCCTGCCTGTGCTCACATGTCCGCAAGTAGACCTATCAGACAGCCCTCCTAATCGCCCGCGCGCCCCTGGCCGAGGCGCACACATTCTTGGTCGTTCGTTCCCACTCTCCTGCCGTCGCACGGACGCGCATTGCATTGCACAACGCCACTCTCGAGTGCGTCGTTGTCCCCCACGAACGTGTATCCAACCTTCCGTACGTATCCGTATCCGTATTGTATTTAACGCAAAATGCCCCTCTGCCCCGTCGGCCCTGTTTTCTTGGTATCGCGCGCTGCCGCTGCTCTGCATCTGCATCTGTGCTCTCTACGTCTACTACCCATCGCATATTTCCAGTCTCGTGTCTCTGTTGGGCTCCGGCTATGGACAGCGTGTTTATCTGCCTCGTCTCCTCTATCCGCCTGTGTTCTTTGTAATCATTGTCGACTCGTAACGCCTACTCGTCTGTTCGCTCGCACGATGTATGTATGTAACGTAAGATAACGTAAGGTACTGTACGCACTAGTAGTCACACCCAACCACTGCATCGCATCAGCCCCGCTGGTCGATGCGAGCGCCGCAATAAATACGCATCGAGAATGCACAGAGGAAGGGAGAGTTCGCGCTGATGATGGAGTGGTGCCTGCACCGTGATCCTGGGCGGATTCCAGTGCTGGACACGGAGCGCGTGCGAGCGAGCGCGTCTGGATTGGGACGCGTCCATTCGTGGGTTGCTGGCCTCGGCTAGCGGGCGATACATTGCACCCACCCATCAGCGTCCCAGGAGGAAGCTGGGACGCCCCAGGCTCAGAGCCCCGGGCCCGGAGGGGCGAGGACGAGCCGCGGGGTGCGCACCATACGGATGCGGGGCTCCCAGGAACGCCTCGTGCGGGCGTGCGAGCGGGACGCGCTCGAGGGCGCACAGGTGACGGCTGCGTCCGCCTCTCTTTGTACGTCCGTTTGTCCGCCCGCGAGCGAAGCCTGATGGGCGCGCGTGCGCGACGGTGCTCTTGCGTAACGGCACGTAGCTGCGAAGCCTCCTGGGCGCACGCGCAAGACACAGACGCAGAGGAAGACGGGGACGAATTCATCGATTGCGGCGGCGGGGATCGCGCCCGGAAGCTTTCGCTGGGTGCGTTCGTATTTGATGCCGTGGACGGTGCAATGAGACTGAATGCGTGGTTGCTGCCTTTTGCCGCCTTTTGCCAATCCATACCGCAGCATGCTCCGTTCGTGCGCCATGCGCGCGCGCGCCTTCCCTCCCTCTCTAGGCGGGCGAATGCCTTACTCGCCGTGGATCCTCGCAGCCCTGAGACCATGCATGCGCCATTTGGTATGTAACCGGTTTTGAAGGTTTCTGATTAAGTGGACACCCGGATACTGCAGGCCGCCGCCGGAGCTGCTGGAGGCGAGGCGCGAGGCGCCGATGCGCATGCCGCACGCGGAACGGCCGGCCGGTCGTGTTGACGGTGCCAGTGGGCCTCGAGAGGCATCTGCAGCTGAGATTCAGTGCGGAGGGCGACGAGATTGCATCAGCATCGCAGACGAGATCGCAGTGATGTTCCTCGCATGCGAACTCAAACGGCTGCGTACTTGTTCGAGACTCGAGATGCTAGCCTTCCTTGTGTCCTGCAGCCAGCCTGCGTGCGTTTTGTGCGCAACTCGCAGATGCACAACGGCGGCGATACGTCACCGGATGCCCATATATGGCATACTCTGGGCGTGGGACCCCGGCCCGCGCCTACCGCTCGGTGGCTGGAGATAGATTGCGAGGGCAGTGCGCCGTGCAAGGTTGGGCGCGCGCACACCGGCGCAACCACTCTCAGCCGCAGCGCTGCGTGGCCCGAGCGTGGCCTCCACTCCGAGGCAGTCCTCCATGTTACACAGTATCCTCAAACCCGTCGCGAGCCACAATTCCACACATGCCTCCCGAATAGGCGTGATGATGCTCCGGCCTTCAGGCTCAGGCCCCGCTGATTAAGGTTCCGAGGGTAGGCGGACCTTGGAGAAGCACAGCTAAGGCTTTGATACGGCGATGTCCTTTGACTTCGTGAAGATGGAGAATATCATATCAAGGGTAAGCACAGAACATGACTCCATTCATTCATTCACATGAGCGGCTTCGCATAGCCCGGCGGCACACCGAATGGGTTCGCTCGCCCGATGACCAAGGCGTGTGTGTTTAGGCCCCGCGGAAGTAGGTGTAAGAGTGCCACTAGCGTCGCACTCCAGGAGACGTTGCGGTGTCTGAGATCTGAGAAGCGTCGAAGCGGAGCAGCTGTCGTCCCCGGGGCGGCTGCTTCTTTGTCATTTTCTGCCAATGTCTAATGTCAGTGCGTCACTTGTCTGGGCGATCTTGATAGACAGAGAAGTCGCCAGCTGTCGTCCTCGAGTCGGGAGGCGGGAGGTGGTTTGGGTGACAGAACCACTCAACGTCCTGACCTCCAGGCGGTTAGGAACGCCTGCGGCGTGGCGTTGCCGTCATCGTATGTTCCTCCGAGATTTGTGCAAACTCAAACTCAGGGATATCGATAGACGCTATCCGACGGAATCGGCACTTTGCATCCCCTTGGGACCTGAAGGAGGAGTGCGCGGGGGGATACCAGTCAGTCTTGCTTCGGAAGCAAGTCCGGTGCACTATTCAGCAGTGCGTTGTGAAACGATGCTCAAAGTAATGCCCATAACGGTATGATACAGACTGATTACCGTACTACGCGCGCTTACCATGACTCAGGACGGCGAGACAGGGATGATTCCCTCCAACTCAGTTCCGGCAGTATGATCGTAACAACACACTAGCATTTCGCCATCGGTACACGAATACAAGCATAGTAAGTCGATAATTGTAACCCTTCGTCGAAGTATAGCGCTACTACACCATACCATCAGCCTGAGCGCCCACTCACACTTAGTCGAGCTCGTCAAGCTCGAAGCCGCGCTCGAACAGCTCGCCGTCCATGTCGAAGTCGCCACGAGCGAAGAGCTCGTAGTCGACCTCGCGGGGCCGGCGCGCAGGGCTGGGCGGGGGCGCCGGGGGTGGGGGGCCCGGACGAGGACGAGGACGAGGCTGCGGCCGCGGAAGAGGTGGGGGGCGGGGGCGTGGCTCCATTCTGCCGTGATCACGAGCGAAGAGCTCCTCCTGGAACTCGCGCTCGGCAAGCTCGTCGTACTCGCGTTCAAACAAGGCCCCGTCATCCTCGCGGGGGCGGCGCGTATGGTCCCTTGGCGGCACGCGTGGCGGTGGGCCCGGGCGAGGACGAGGGCGAGGGCCCGGGCGGGGAATAGGGCGCGGCTCTGGATTGTAGTGGCCGACGGTACGAGCGACGAGATCTTCCTCGAACTCGCGGGGCCGGCGCGCAGGGCTGGGCGGGGGCGCCGGGGGTGGTGGGCCCGGACGAGGACGAGGACGAGGCTGCGGCCGCGGAAGAGGTGGGGGGCGGGGGCGTGGCTCCATTCTGCCGTGATCACGAGCGAGGAGCTCCTCCTGGAACTCGCGCTCGGAAAGCTCGTCGTACTCGCGTTCGAATAGAGCCTCCTGATCTTCGCGAGGGCGGTGCGCAGGGCTGGGCGGGGGCGCCGGGGGTGGAGGGCCCGGACGAGGACGAGGACGAGGCTGTGGCCGCGGGAGAGGCGGGGGACGGGGGCGTGGCTCCTGTCTGCCGTGATCACGAACGACGAGGTCCTCCTGGAACTCGCGCTCGATCAAAGCGGCGTCCTCAGGCTCATATGAGCGACTGTGCGGAGATGTCAGAATGAGTGCATAGAGTTAGTGACAGGAGGCACTCACGTCGTGACTGGACGAGCAAGCCCGGGGGCAGCGATGGCCGCGATGAGCGCGGCTTTCGCAAGCGCAGAGTAGCGCATAGTAAGGCTAGGACGGAAGGTCGTTACAGATGCTTGGGGCAGAAAGATCGCGGGTCGTTACAAAGAAGAAAAAACAGAGCTAGTAGAAGTATTTCGTCAGAGGCCCGTTTTCCGCCATTAGCATTGGAGTGAGACTTACCGGCCAGCACCCTAGTCGTTAAGCTCGTAGAAAACGAATGAGCTGAGGGACAGTGCTGAGCATACGCATCCTCTTATACTCTGGAGTGAAGGGCAAAGGTACCCGGGTGAACACTCTAGATAGTTTCTCCGTTGACACTGACAGAACCCGACAGGGGATCTTCCACCTTGACATCTGTGATCAGATGTTCAGTGTCATTCCGATGATGCATCATTGAGAGCTGTCCTGCTTCATCGCCGGTCATGAATAAGTCCCTTCGCTGGGCTGGGATGGTACACACTGGCAGTCGTCTCTGGCACACAGTAACTGGTAGGCCGTAGGCGAGACCACCCCTAGTTGATTACACGAGCGAGGACTCCGTCAACGTAATTCCTTTGCAGATCGGCGAGAGTGGTACTAGTAGTCTTACGAACACTTGGGATGCACTTCATGCCCGTGTTCTTCCGGCCATCGTGCCGGCCATCAACTGCATCTTGTGCGTTGGCAGTTGACTAAATCCTGATTGCTCACGTATATACCTATGTCGCGCGCGGTATGCCAACGGTAGTCACGATTGAATTTACTCAGCAAAGATTCGGCCGGACCCCAACATCCCCAATTGAGCTCTGGTCGCAGGGCCAGAAGCAGAGTCGTCTGCAGTAAGGTGATCCGCAGTAGATAGTAAATCTAAACGATGAGGGGGCCCGTGGTAAGGATGAGGTCTGGAAGGCCCGGAGCGTGGTGCACCGCATGAAAACGTCAGTGTCGGACAAGTGTCGGGAGCACTCCTTGCCTTCACATCACAGCACAACCGGTCTAGCTGATTTATTAAGCTTCGAGTCTGATAAAGTGCGAATGTGGATGGAGATGGATGAAAAACGCATGCTGTGGCTGTCACATGGTATAAGTCGCGCGACCGCCGCAGGCGGCAGAACTACCAGACCTACCAGCAGTTCTAGTCAACGCTCGCTAGCAACGTCTCGGAACCGACAACGAATATCTGCGCGAGCGATCTCAGCCGTTGCGCTCCACGAATCGCCAGGTGGGGATCGGCGTGTTCGAGAGATCTGATCCAGGAACTGATCCGGGCTACGAGCTGTCACTGCGATCAACGCGCAGCCTCGGCGGACCAGTCAGGGACCAGCCGAGGCCGTGCGTTGAACCCGAGCTCAGCCTACGATGCGGCCCATCACGGCCGGTGAACAGTTTACTTGCAGTTTACCGAGCGCACTCGTCATGACAGGTCGGGTAACTCGGCGGAGCCCTGAGGAGATCTACCAGGCGATCAAGGTGCTCATGCTGTGCGTGTTCAAATCGAGATTCGAGCCTGGTTGTAGGTTCGCAACCAATTCATCATTCGAGTAAATCGGTTCTGAAGCAACGAGCCACGCGTACCCAGTATCGAAAGGGACTCGAGAAGAGCCAGAACCACGCGCAGTGAGGCGAGCCGAGCGGAATGAATCTTCCATACACAGAGGCGACTGCCACATATACTCACAGTAACGTCGATGCGGTGGGCAAACGTAAACGAGCAGAAAGCCTTTCGATCAGTCTTTGTTACTTTGAGGAGGACGCCGCCGGAGACCGCTGGGAAACTCAAGGGAAACTGCCCATATTTCCATATTAGGTAATTTAGACGCTGCCGCAACGTTGTCGGCGCCTATCGCCGCATCACCACCCTTGCCCCTCCTTGCCCTCTCTTTCATTGACCATCGCGACGCTGCACCAAGCTTGACTTGGACAGCCAATCTTCCCCCGACGTTGGGGTTCAAACTCCTGTACAAGTCGTGCGGCGGCAAAGCAACGTTCGATCTCACGCCAACCGATCTCACTCCAACCGAGATCAAGTCGTCTATCCGTGTTACTTAAGTGCGTATGAACATGGGTGCGCTATGTAGAGCAACTCATGACCGAAAGGCTTTTTAATTCAGCGAGCCAGCATGTCCATACAATCTCTCAATTACGATGTCATGGAGGCCATTCTATCCTTCGTCGAACCGCGGGATGCTCTACCTCTGACTGCTACCTGTCAGGCGCTACACGTGCCCGCGACGCGTAGACTCTTGTCCGAAGTCTTCATCGACTGGGAAGTCGGTGCTGGTGGCAGCAGTCAGATGGAGAAGAAAGCCCCGGCAGCTGACACGGGAGTGTACAACATGAAGGGCTTGCTGTTCTGCGAGTACATGCTCCGCGACATCCAGAATCGCCCTCAATGTTTGAAAGCGCTGTACTTGCACCGCTCCGAACGCCCCTCGTGGCGGAAGTCGGTGCGCCGCCCGAAGCTCGTGCCCTTTCACGAGCGCATTACCGAAGTCATCCCCCACGCAACGACCTTGCGCACGCTCTACCTCGATGCCCGGGATGCCAGGAAGACATCTTTCACCGAGAATCGTCCCTCGCTGGCGGATGCACTCGCCAATGTCCAGTCACTTGAGACTATCCGATTCCACTGTCGTCATACCAGCGATCTTGCACTGCTATGTCGTATGAAAAGCCAGCCGCGGACAGTGTGGTGCTCATCTTCGTGGCAGAGCTTTGAACCATCCAGACAACTGAGCAGATTTTTGCACAATTTCGTCGAACGGCTCACTACATTGAGGATCCGTGGCGTACACGACATAATGCTTGCGAATGCGCAGTTGGGCTTGGTCTGGCCTCGGGTCAAGGAGCTCGCGATCCAAGATCAATTCATCATGGACAAATACTGGCAGATCCTCCCCCGCGCATTTCCCAATCTTCGTAGTCTCCGTGTCGTCCCATGGTCGGTCACAACTGTGGATGCCGACCTTGAATGGTCCGAATTGGACGTCGTTTGTACGAGGAGCCTATTGCCCCTACGATGCCGCGTACGCAGCCTTGAGCTTGCATCCGACCTCAATCCCCATATACTTCCGGCTCATCGCTACGTCGCCTCTCAATTCGACATGCTTCGTCGTGCTATGCCCGTCGTGTTGACTTGCCATTACGAACGCCAGATCCTGGAGTTGGTACCGAAACATCTGGGGTCCTTGAAGGTTCTTCATCTGACGGAGTACGCTGGCTGGTGGCGAGCGACCGGCGCGAACGATCACCGGCACCTCCCAGAATGGACAAGCACTACCTTAGTGAGTCCCTCCGTGCATCTAACACATCTGAATTGTGAAAACAAGTCTATTTAGCGGCATATCGCGTCCGCCCTCGCCTCGTCGCGGATCCGTGCTGTCATCATCGAGCTCCCCCACAACGCCACTATCCGCAAAGCTCAGCTTCGATCGCACGCTGAGAACATTGCCACGCACGCTGGGTCCCTCGAACTCATAGGTATTCATCTTTATGGCTTCAGAAACCGACGTCTCTGGCCGATAGAACGCCTTCAAGACTGGAGGACTTCACTCTGCAACTGGTACCATGTAACGTCCAGAAATACCGACGGGACACCGTGTCTCACCATAGTTCCCAAAGAGGATGTGCTGCTCGTAGTCCCACAGCTTCTTCAATCATTTCAGGGTGTTCCTTGATGTTCTGCATGTACCTTCGTCCTATATTGAAGTGCTTGCTTCGGTCAACAGCGATGCTGGACTGTTGGAGTTGAAAAGATCGAAACAGCATGCATTGCCTGGCCCTGGCTAGTAGGATGTATGTGCCATCTGCGATGATATCATGTTTATCGCGTCGCTGCTGTCCAACGTGACCCGGTTCGACTTAAAGGTGTGCGCATGCGTCGAGTCACCCGGCCCGGCGAGTCAGAATGTGAACTACATAGGGGGCCTGTCATTCGACTAAGTACGATGAATACGATAAAACCGGCGACCGGACTCTACGTGAATCGCATCGAAACCACCGCACCTCAAGCTCAAGCTCGACTCATCCTCCCTCGAGTTTCCTTCAGCCAACTGGACGCACGCGGTTTGACGGACTCGGACAATGGCAACAGATACTCGGCCAGAAAAGAAACAAGATACATGGTCTGCTTCTAACTATCAAACGACCGCCTCATTCGTGTATTCCAATAAGTTCACTGCCCCCGTCCTCACGCTGTTGGATGCCAAACCGGGAGAAAAGATCATAGACGTCGGCTGCGGGAGCGGCGAAGTGACAGTGCAGATCAAACAGCTGGTAGGAGAATCGGGGTTGGTAGTGGGACTGGATAGTAGCGAGAGCATGGTGGGTGATTCCTCATCTCTACGATGTGCTCTTGGACGCCCATCACTGCCCTCAGATCGTTCAATGCAACGAAGTCGGGCTCGAGCACGCGTTCGTAGGCGATGCGCAGGCCATAGAGATCCCGTCTTCATGGGATGCCTCTCTGCAAGGCGGATATGACGCGGTATTCTCCAATGCGGCCCTGCACTGGTGCAAGCAGAACCCGAAGGGCGTGGTCGAGAGCGCGAAGCGCCTGCTGAAGCCTGGGGGCCGTTTCGTCGTCGAGATGGGAGGACAAATGAACTGCATCGGTGAGCATGACATGCTGTGATACGAACGTACCACTGAAGATGGCCACGTCCGCAGGGGTGAGGGCGGCCCTGCACCACGTCCTCCGGAGCCGGGGCTATGACCCCGAACTGCTTGACCCGTGGTACTTCCCATCCGTCGCGGACTATAGTGCAGTACGTCGTTCCAATAGAGACTGTTCACTGTGATTGACGTACTAATCGCCCGCCTCGCAGCTGCTCGAATCTGCTGGCTTCGACGTGCAAACCATCTCCCTCCATCCCCGCATCACCCCACTCAATGGCGCTGTGATTGACTGGCTACGCCTCTTTGCGAGGCCGCATTTCCTGGGAACGATGGATGACAAGGCGGCGGAGGAGATCATGGAGGCCGTGCAGGAGATGTGCGCGGTCGACTGCCGGGACTCGGAGGGGAGATGGAGCATGGTGTATATCCGCCTGAGATTCGTTGCCATTTCGCGGGCGTAGATATGCAGCTGCGCTTGCAGAGAACTGCTCAATGATACGACAAGGAATAGGAGGGCTTTGCGCAACAGTCCTTGCCAGTAATGAGCAAGAGAAAGACGCGTCGGGCATGCGACGCGATTCGGATAAGATCTTGAGATCCGCGGTACCGAGCGATGTTCTACCAACCGTCCGGCGCTTGATCGTGCATCGACCTTGCACTCTTCAAGTCAGTTGCAGGGCTCATTCGCAACGACGCTACGAACCATGAGCACAGTACAGTTCATCAACAACCTCTCCGCGAACGCGTCGGGTCAGCCGACTCACTCGCATTCACACGACGGCGGGGCGTCGCACACACACGGCCCAGGTGAACACGGGCACACGCACGAACACCTGGACCATCCGGGTAAGCAGACTACCACAAGAAATGGAATGGAAGGTTAAGTTTTGATTTCTGGCCAGGGAAGTTTGCGGAGCGCGACCTGCCGGACTACTCTTCGCGCAACTTCGAAGAACGCGGCTTCACAATCGGGATCGGAGGGTGTGTCCGTTTTGCTTTCCCCCGCCGTGTGTGACCCTCATGCGGCTTCTGTGCCTCTACGAAGGCCCGTAGGCTCAGGAAAGACTGCACTCACGCTCGCTCTCTGCAAGGCGCTCCGCCAGGAGTACAACATCGGTTCGGGACCTGTTCCTCCTGTTCCCTTCTCTCTCTGATGCCACCACTGCAGCGACGGTCACGAACGACATCTTCACGCGTGAGGATCAGGAGTTCCTGATCAAGAACAAGGCCCTCCCCGAGTCGCGCATCCTCGCCATCGAGACTGGCGGCTGCCCGCACGCCGCCATTCGCGAGGACATCAGCGCGAACATGGGCGCGCTCGAGACACTGCAGGCTAAGTATGGCTGCCAGCTCCTGTTCGTCGAGAGTGGTGGCGACAACCTCGCCGCCAACTACTCGCGCGAGCTAGCGGACTACATCATATACGTGATCGATGTCTCGGTGCGTCATTGTTGGCGAATATGAGGGGTGAATATTGCTCGCTGATGGCGCGTTGTTGGCAGGGAGGGGACAAGATCCCGCGTAAAGGCGGTCCGGGTATATCGCAATCGGACTTGTTGACCATCAATAAGGTGGGTGCCCCACCGTATCATAGGGCCAAACGGCATCGCCAAACGGTCACCCACAGATCGATCTCGCGCCGTTCGTGAACGCTTCGCTCGAAGTCATGGACCGCGACTCGAAGCTCATGAGGGGAGACGGACCCACCGTCTTCGCAAGTGTCAAGGAAGGCAAAGGCGTGCAAGACATCATTGACCTGATTCTGGCGGCGTGGAGAGCTGCAGGAAGCCCAGGAAAGCCGGGGGCTGTTGGGGACTTCTGACGGCAGTGGTGGACGCAAATAAAGAATGAGATAATCTCGTGTAATACTATACCGACATCAGAAGCTGCTGGTTGGCGAAGAAATGCTGCTCCTGCTGTACTACATGTGCATATGGGACGTCGTCTATGATCCAGAGAAAGTGAATCATATTGCGAGCATACGGTCCGTCATAAGCAAGTATGGCAAGAAGGGGTCCAGAACCAAGGCATCATAGAATGCGGGAGGAAGAAATAGAAGGGAACAGAAAGGATGAATGTCGTGTATGGAAAGGAATAATGGGGCATAGAGTAGGGAAAGTAACGTAGAATGCAGGAGGATGAAATAAAAGAGAGTAGAGGATGGATGTCGTGTATGGGGAGGGGGAAGGAACAATGGGCCATAGAGTAAAAGTAGATCAAGCAACATCGAAGCCAATGAATAAGAAACCAGTAACCAGAATGATATCGAAGACTCGTGATCCAAAAGAAGATGAACCGTTCAAGAAGAATTGATAATGTAAACTGAGGATGATGGGGTTGTGACGGTGTAGCAAGACTTTCGAGCTTCAAAACAGGCCTTCGAATCCGGCAGGGCGGTTGCGGAACTGGCCAGCTTGTAGGTCTGCGTTTCCAGAAGCGTCGAGCACGGAGGAATCGAGGCGAGGAGCGGTCCACATTGTCTCGGGAACGCGGAGGTGCTGAGAAGACGCGCTCTTGGTGTCTATGTTCTGGAGCATCTCGAGAGATGGTTCCTCAGCGAGCACGGTGCCATCAGGATAGTCATCGTGGTTGTAATAGTCGTCGTAAAGCGTCACCACCTTGCCGGTGTCGCAGTCTTCGATGTTGATCTCGAGGCCGACTGCGATGGCAGCTGCGACGCTGAAGTCGTACCCGTTGTAGAAGGACATGAGGAGCTTGGAGAACCGCCCCGGCCGAGTGGCTTGGTCCATGATGGATACGCCAGAATCAGAGACCAGAGAGTCACTTCGCTGGGCAGACTGGCGAACAAGAGCTTGGAAGGAGCCCGAGCGGGACATTTCTTGCGAGGCCATGTCTTCCTGATGAGGATCCGCAGTCGGCGACGCAGCCATTGGCTCGGGGGCTTGGCCACAAGACCGTTGACCATCATCACTGATCGTCTCGCAGGAATATGCCGAGCTCAGGGTGTCGTCGCCTGGTCCGAGGTCGCTTCCGTGGTTGCCGGGTATATCCGCAGGTTCCGTACGTTGTTGCTTCTTCTGTCCTTCAGCCACTGCTTTTGCGACTTCGAACTCGAGGCGCCGTCTCTTCGAGGTCTTCTCGCATTCCTTCATGAGTAGATTGCGAAGAGCCTGCGTCGAGTAAGAGATCCCGAACTCGTAGAAGTTCCGCTCGGCGTTCTCGTCCAGGTGCTCTTCGACGACCAAGATCGGCTTCATCTCGTCGCTGGGAGACGTTTCTAAGACCCGGCGAGGAGGGAGAGGCACGTCGTCGCCTACGTCGTATTCGAGCTGGAGCGCAAGGCCGCAGAGGTTGCCAGAGGCGGAGACCGCAAAGCCAGTGTCGCCAGCTGTGTTACCAGGCAAGAACTTCCAGGTGTCGGTCGTCGCAGCAGAGGTCCCCTTTGTGATTGTTGGAGCATGAGCAGTGTCGGGCCAGAAACCAAGAGCAGGAGTTGCGGGAGACGAAGAACCCGAGTCGGAGTCGCCAGAGTCATACGCGTGCCCGTGATAGTTGGCAAGATCTGGACTCAAAGGAGGCGTGTAGGCAGTCGCAGCACCGTCGTTCAGGTGCCCCTCGTGGAAGGACGAGTAGAGCTTGTCTATCTCCTCGCACCGCTTCCGCTGCTCTTCCTGGCGCTGTGCAAAGCTCCGCTCGACGTTCTTCATGACTAGGTTGCGGAGCGCCTGGGTCGAGTACGAGATCCCGAGTTCGTAGAAGTTGCGGTCTGCGTCCTCGTCGAGGTGGTTTTCGTATACAATGATCGGCTTGCAGTCCTCATCGTCGACGTTCAGGGCTGAGATGGGTGGCGAGCCGGTAGGATGGCACTCGGAGCTTGCCTCCGTCGCGAGGGCAGGTCCACCGCGCTCAGCCGTAGATAACGCAAGGGGGCCACAAGATCCAACAATGTCGGCGATTTGATCGGCCGAGCCATGAGTAGGCTCGGTGAGAGATGGGGAAGGAAGGTCAGAGAGAGAACCACTAGAGAGCGGAGGCAGCGTGGCGATGGAGTCGGCAACCTTGACCTTGAGGTAACCGGCTGTCACATTGTAGCTGATACGGCAGCGGTCGCCGACCTCCGCGTTGAAGTCTCCAGCAAAGCGGACCTGTCCGCGGAGTGAGCAGTCTCCATTGCCTGCGAGAGCACCCAACTCACCCCCTTCCTGGGCTTCCCATGAGATAAAGCACTTGAGAAGTCCGATGTGACCGTGTCATCAGCCGCAGTCTTGGCAGTGCGGCATCCGAAGGCGGGTACAGACGTCCCGGACGACGCGAACTTGTCGCCCGGCAACGACGTACCGCCAATTGAGGGTTCCGGCGGATTTGCCTGTGCACACCGTCTTTGGTCAGAGTTCAGCGACAAGAAAACTCGACTCACTATTTCGTAATGCGTAGTGTGATCAGGTTTCCTAACTTCTTGATCATCGATAGGGTCCTCGAGTACGCGAGTAGGTTCGCGGATGGGGGGGTTGTCTGCATCAATGTCGTCGAGCGAGACATGACGGGCGAGACGGTCGAGAGCTGCCGCCCACAGATCACCCCGGCGAGGCTGTATCGATGCCGCCTGTGCTGAGCAGAATCTCGAAGCTGCAATGCAACATACACGCACCTCTTGTCGGAAAGAAAGGAGACCACACTTCGCGGAATTCGACGAAACTTGCGTTACGCTGGTATTACCCTCGGGGCCGAGCATCATCTCGATGTGGCGAGGGGACTTCGCACCGGCAGAGGGCGCCGGCGCGGGGGACTTCTGCGCCCTGTGTAAGTGCCGTGCATGGGAGCAGAAGTGCTACTCACGAGTGCCTTAGGGGAAGACAGTGTTTTTACCATCTGAAGGAAGGTGTTGCCGATGTTTGCCGCAACTTCATCGGCAAATTTGCTGTCGCCATCGATTTCACTGGGATCGTGCTTGTCGAGGGGGCCCGGTGGCTTGTTCATATCGAAAGTGAGGATCATCATGTCGGCCTGCCGGCCAGAGTCAACCCATGAATCATGAGGCGGCTTTAGATCGACTCACTATGTCAGCCTCAACTTTGAGAGCGGGGTCGGTTTGAAGCCACTTCGTCTTGCTTCCGACGGGGTCGGGGATGATCTCAGGCTCGGTAGGGACGGTCTCCTCCGCCGCCTCGGTCGTAGCCTTGGGGCCTACGATAGAGTCGGCTTGATCTTCGGGCAGGGCGTTCGTAGGGCGCTCGCCAGGTGTGACGATGGGAACACACGAAACCTGACTCTGCTCGGAAGCGACCGGAAGAGGGTCAATGTGAACATGTTGACGCTGGATGCAAGTCAGCCACTGTTGGTGAGAACACGATGGAGTGATCACGAACCAGAGGACTAGGAGCACTGCCCGAACGCTTGGCGGGAGGTGGGCAGTTCTGCGGAGGTGTGGCGCATCCGACGAGGGTAGATGTGCTGCTTGAGGTGCGTTGCTGAACCATTCCCGGGAGGAGGAGCCGAAGAGGCGGGCGAGGGGTGGAGGTGTTGTGCGATTCTTCGTCTTCCGATTCTGGAGAAGCATTGTAGAGCCGGAGGATGTAGATGGCTGCGAAGAGGAAAATGGCAAATAAGATTACGACGATAGCAGCATAGACGATGATCTGCTTTCTGTCTCCGATGGACGCGAAGAGAGAGGACATTCCAGAAGGAGCGGACGGAGGCGAGGACAGGACGGGAGCCATCCTGGCCAACCCCGTGGAGGGTAAGGACTCAGCTTGAGGACGTCGGACTGGTGAGAGGAGCAGACAAGGAGTGATTGCGCAGAGGGCTCACATTTATACTGTATTCGTGGGCTGACATGGTTGCGTTCGCCAGCCGCTAGGCTTATTCAAAATGTCGCCCATTCTTCTGTCAGCTCCCAGATTGGACCCTGTCGAATGGAATAAAATGGGGGTTAGTTCACTGAGCGGGGCCCAATGGTAGAACGTAGTATCAGGAATCCTCAAGTTACTAGCCACACCGTTGCGCACTGGCAGATCTGGCCAGTATTCCGCAGCATTGGCAGGGTACAGCATATAGACAGCTGCGATGATCTTTCCATCAAGCATGAGCAAAATGAATCACAGACATACTTGAATGCGCTGGGTTGCTAAGTATGCAGACGGGATTCGTGTCTCCCCATGGCACTACCAGACCGCGGTTGGCCGCCGTCGGGTTGGACGAGGGCGCGTACAATGCACGTGCTGGGAGAGACAGGAGACTGGTTCATCTAGCAATCAACGAACCGGATCGGCTACGTGTGTCATCGCGGGGCGCGGTTGTCAGCACGTCTGACAGCGCACCGCACCAACGACGCACACTGTGCGCACAGAAGTGCTTGCCTTTCTTCGCTCGGAAAGGACATCTTATGCCCCACTTTCTCAGCGAGGCTGCAGAGCATCTCAGACCCCGGCCCTCTCTAAGCTTAGAAACTTTGGATTTAAATTGCGACGCGTCCACTGGCAACGCCCATCACATAAATGAAGGGGTCCTGCCGCCGCATCTGTGCTCTCGACAGAAGACCGGCATGTGTTTCCTGCTTCGCGTCATCCCGGTGAGAATCGTTCGACACAGACTCCGCTGATATATAAATCCCAGCGTTCGTACCTCGCTTGAGCTGCTCATATCGCCTGCTCTGCTGCTCATTCTAATCCGCGACGGGTCTGTCGGTCTGCACATACAGCACACATGGAGCAACCGTTCACCTTGTCCGTGCCGGACTCGGAGATCGAGCTGCTGCGCAAGAAGCTCGAGTTAACGCGTCTGCCCGACGAGCTAGATGATGCCAGCTGGAACTATGGCGTACCATTGGCAGATGTCCGGAGGATGGTTGAGTACTGGAAGGACGGCTATGACTGGAGAAAAGCCGAGGCCGAGATCAACACCCTGCCACAATACACCAGAGACATCGAGGTAGACGGGTTCAGCGCGCTGAATATTCACTACGTCCACCAGAAGAGCACGGTCGAGAACGCAGTACCTCTGCTCTTCGTCCATGGATGTAAGCATCCAAGGACCTCTGATACGTAGCTAATTGATACACTTCGCAGGGCCAGGACACTTCCTCGAAGCCAAGAAGATGCTCCCACTGCTGACTGCTGCGTCGAAAGAGCACCCTGCCTTCCACGTTGTCGCACTCAGCTTGCCAAACTTTGGCTTCTCGGAGGCCGTGACAAAGAAAGGCTTTGGCGCACACCACTACGCGGAGGTACGCGTGCTCGTCGGTCGCCGTGCAGAGATACTTGATGCATCACCGAATGTTACATCCCCAGGTATGCAACAAACTCATGCTCGCACTGGGATACAAGGAGTATGGTAGGTCAACAGATCCCTCACCTGTCTACGCTATTTGGGCTCAATCATTATCATCCGACAGTCGTGCAGGGCGGTGACTGGGGCTACTTCGTGAATGGCATCTCTTGACGAATCTACGCACCGAGCACTGATACAGTGTGACCCAGATCGGTAAAGTATTGGCCGCTGATTATGGCCACAAAACCGTCAAAGCCTGGCATACCAACATGCCCGTGTACGTCCCTATCCTTCCTATACCTATACTTATAACCACCTGCTCACCCACTCACCCTCCCACGATCCAGAGCAGGCCCCCCAAGCGTCTGGACACATCCCGGGCGCTTCCTCGCCTTCCTCGGGTCTCTCGCACTGCCCTGGTCCGCGCGCGACAAGGCCGGGATCGCGCGCACGCTGAACACACGAAAACGGGGCATGGGCTACTTCAAGGAGCAGTCCACGCAGCCGCAGACGCTGGGCTACAGCCTCGCAGACTCGCCCGCGGGCCTGCTCGCGTGGATCTACGAGAAGCTTGTCCACTGGACGGATGAGTACCCGTGGACGGACGACGAAGGTGCGTGTTTCGCGCCATCGACGGCGGAGACGGATGCTGAGCACGGAAGTTAGTGCTCACCTGGATATCCGTCTACTGGTTCTCGCGTGCGGGGCCCGCTGCATCCGTGCGGATCTACTACGAAGTCGCTGGCAAGGGTGCCATCCCTGTCACCGACGTACCCTGGAGCTCTATCCCCCTCGGGCTCTCTTACTTCCCCAAGGAGTTGGCGGTCGTCCCCAAGCTGTGCGTGTCTTTCCTTCCTGCTACACCCCGCCCTCAGTCCTGCACACTGATCACGTTCCGATGGTATTGGCAGGTGGGCACGCGCGCTCGGCAACGTCGTGCACGAGTCGGACCACGAGCGCGGCGGGCACTTTGCTGCGTTCGAGCGGCCGGAGGACCTCGCGAACGACGTGCGCGCGATGTTTGGGAAGGGTGGTCCAGCGTATGGTGTCGTGCCAGGAAAGGATGGTTTTGCGTAATTGCGTTCAATCTCTTGCGTACTACTTGGCTCTGTTGACCGTCCGTGTGCTTGTTATCTAGCCCTGTTATCCGTTCGAAGCTGTAGCACTGGAGGGATTGAGGCCTGCCCTTATGAAGGACATCCTTCGAAGCGCACTCTGGCATCTTGTCAATTAAATGATACGTGACGCGAAGCCTATGTACAGTAGTCCATGAAGGCAGCACGCAGAAGGCCATCCAGGTTTCCCTAGCAACAAAGATACAACGACTGTGTTATACGACTATGACTCTGCTTTTGCGCGTTTTGCCATCGCGTACAATGCGTCGTGATCTGGGCTTTCATCCACGAGAGCGCGGAACATCCCATCCTGACGTTCGAGTAGCGCGCTAGGTTCTCCATACTCGACCTGCCGGTACGGTGTCAGTTGTCGTGCACATGCGGGCACCTATATAATGCCACTCACTATATGACCAGCGTCGAGGACCATCTGAACAACATGTGAGCATGTCACAAAGAGTAATGAAGAATGCGCTCACAATCTTGTCGGCATCCATGATAGTCTGCAGTCTGTGAGCTACGATGAGCACCGTTGCACCCCTATCCAATTCCTTGCGCAGCGACGATTGAATGGCAGTATCCGTTGCGTAGTCTGTCAAACGAGTGTTACAGACATGGAAGACAGGAATCCTATGTGCACGCACCGATTGCCGATGTAGCTGGACACGCACGATGTCAGCCAGAGATGACCTACTGACAGAACCAAGTACATACCTTCGTCTAGGATGAGTAGCTTGCTCTGACGTATGATAGCTCTGGCCAATGCGACGATCTGGCGCTGGCCCACGGAGAGGTTGTTCCCTCCACCGGCAATTGAGGTGTCGAGTGTTATCTTCCCTTCAGTCAAGCCGTTTTGCAGGGAGAAGAGTCCGGCGGATTGAAGTGCGTCATTTAGCACTGCATCGTCGTACTGCTGAAACGGATCGAGATTCTGACGCAAGGTCCCGCTCAGAAGCTCCGGCTTGTTTGCGCGTGAGATATTGGAATGAACATCTACGTTTGCTGACATACCGACTGTGGAATGATGGTAATGCTGGATCGGAGAGCATCAAGGTTGACTTTGTCCGTCGCAACGCCGTCGTAGTACACCTTGCCCTCCGTTTGAATGCAGCGCAATAGCGCGAGTGCAAGGGTGCTCTGCAATTTATCTCATCAGTTGGGGGTCTTTCATAAATCACGACATTTACCCACCTTTCCACTGCCAGTTCGACCGACTAGCCAGATTGTAAGCTATGTGTCATGACGAAGAAGGGGGGAACATACCTATGCCGACACGTTCACCTGACCTTGCCTCGAATGAGAGCTCGTGAAGTACCCGTGGTCCGTTCTATGCCAGTCAGACGGAATTCAGGCTTCAAACGGGTCGGCGGACTGACTTCTGAATAGCGAGCGGATAGCTTGTCAACCCGCAGGTTACCGCTTGCAGGCCAGTAAGCCGGGGGGATGCCATCTGTCGTCGGCTTAGGTTCATGCTCTATGTCCAAATACTGCTTGATTCGCTCCAAACTTTCGTGACGTTGAGTAACACGCCCAACCGACAATATGTTGCATTTACCTGTTGCCTAGTTGATCTTAGTGTTAGTCACAACGTATCCGAGTAGCTAATCGCACGCATACCTGACACCTCCAGTCTGTTGAATATTCTGACAAACCAGAGAATTTGACCGCTGAAACCGACTACAGAGGTCATATGAGCATGGAATAAGTGGCATCGCCGATTACACACTGACCTGCCATTACCAAAGAGAAGCCGACGTTTGAGGCGGTATTCGTTATCCCGTATACAAGGTACGCTGCTAAACTTGAAGTGAAGAGTGCAGCTAGCGCGACCATTCGTATTCCCACCCAGCTGAGAGAATAGTGAGATAGAATGGAAGTCGTAGAGACGTCCAGCGTACCGGTTCAGATTCCAGAACGATCTAGCCGCGCGCGTGTAGCGGTTGATACGTACGTACGACTCCCTTTTGAATGATTCCTGGGCACCGTAGGCACGAATGGACGCTGTGATAGGTTATACTAAATGTCAAGACATTAGCAATGAAAAGACGGTCTATCACGTACTGATGCCTGCAAATGCAGCTGCGAAGTGACCCAGTACAGGTGACCTCGTATTGCTCATTTCACGTTTGACGGAAAGCTGGGCCTTCATGTACATCTTCCCGATCCAACTGCCCAAAAAAGCGATGATCATTCCAGGGATAGCGAAGATGGGCGATATCAGCATGACACCGCCGAGCTTCAGTAGCATGTAGGTGCCCATCTCGAGGATCACCCCTACCCATTTGCCGATCTCGTCATCCACTACCTGGAGTGAGTGATTAATTGCCGGATGGGCAACATTTCTGCTCACCAGCTTGGATATCTTGAGTACAACGTGCAATGACTCTGGCCGATGGTGTTTTGTCCAACCATCTGACAGCTGGTCAGCACCGATCCGTGAACGACGGTAATCAAGTCCATACCTCAGTGTCGCAGAAAAAACGGAAGAGACCAAGCTGCGATGCATGATCTTCGATGCTCGCAGAGTTCCCATAGTATAGACGGCGAATGCCGTTATGTAAAAGCCAATCGATGCTACCATTATGGCACAGTATCCGAGGAGGTAACTGTGAGTGGTATGAGCCATGACGTCGAAGCGGGAAACCTTTGAAAGCAACCTACAGTGGGGCACGCACTTCGGAGGCATCACGCTCCTCGTATTGCCGAGCCCAATATCCAAGGAACCAGGTTTGCAGGTTGCTGAGAATATTGAATACGACAAGGCTGGCCATGACACCGAGCCAGAAGAGCGACTGATGTCCTCCGCCAAGAGAATTGACATAGAGCTTCACTAATGTTCGGCGACGTTGAGAAAGCCCCTGGGGTCACGATTGGAATGCATGACATACTGGCTGACCAACCAACATGGCCGACTTCGACTTCCTCCTCGATCACTAATCTGCCATCGACCTTTTGCGCCGCCTCGTCTGGTATTTCTTCGACCTCAGATTCCCCTTTAGCCACTTCTTGGCCTTCTGTTGCGACCTCGGCGGCAAGTCTGCTGTCATGTTCTAGTGCGCTTGCAATGGAGTCTTCGCCAGAAACGCGGCCATCTAGCCCGACTGCAACAACATAGTCGGCGATGGGACTAGCCAATGTGACGTTGTGCGTCTGCTTATCAGTTGTACATCTACCCTTCTCTTTGAAGAAGAATGCAACGCACGACTAGGATGACCGTTCGCCCATGAACAAGTTCGCCTTTCAGACACTTCTCTATAATCCACCGGGATGTATGCACGTCTAAAGCTGCCAGAATCTGAGCGCGTTAGAGCGAGTCAGAAACTCGTATGCAAGTGTTGGACTCACATCATCCAAGAGCAAAATCTGTGCCTTCGAGTAGATAGCGCGAGCGAGCGTTATGCGCGCCTGCGAAGAGTATGTCAGGTCGAGCTTCCACGTATACGTGAGTAACTCAAAAAGGAGATACCTTCTGCCCGCCGCTAGTAAATATGTGTGAGCACTGAACATCGATGATTTGACGAACCATGAGGCGTACCTAAGAGTGATGCCTTTCTCTCCCACCTCTGTGAGATCGCCAGCGACGAACAATTCCAAATCGCGCTTTAGTGCACATTGCTCAAGCACTGTATAGGCAAATGAGAGGTGCACTATTGTTGATGTCCAGAGGTCACGCACCCGTTTGGTATCGCCGTTCCTCGTACGGAGCTCCGAAGAGGATGTTGTCCTGTCAATAAACCAGGCGTTAGATGACGAGGCAAACACTGACTGCGTAGTTACTCTGATCGTTTCATTTTGCACCCAGGACTCCTGAGCTGCATACGCAACACCGCCAGAACGTGGAAGACTACGCAAGGAATCAGCTGTCAAAGGAACATAGTGCATCTCTCCCAGGATGGCCATCAACAAGGATGTCTTGCCAGCTCCTGTCGGGCCTACGACGAGATTAACGCAACCTCGTTTGAAGAGGACGTCGCCATCGACACGTAACTTGAAATGCCTTCGTCCTAACCCCGATGCAGGGGCTACAGAGTCGTCCTGGGTCCAAGTGAAGGCCGCGTTCCTAACTCCGATCAGGTTTTCGTCGCCGCTGCTGGACAGTGCAAGGGACGATTGATTGTTCTCAGGCGCGTCTACGAAGTCGTCGAGAAGCTCCGTCTGTAGGATGAGTTGAGCCCCACCTGCCGTTCAGACTGCATGATGACTAACCGACCTTGTGCAAGAATTCATTCATGCGATCGAGCGCGACCTTGGCTGCGGATGGACGCCCTCAGCGACAGTACGCGCAAATTCAACGAGATACATACCTGATATGAACCCGGGAATCATACCCATCATATTGTGCATCAGTCCTGTGAATGTCTCAAAGACTAGAGTCGGTTAGCAAATGCTTCCAATTTGTTGACTTCTGTACATACCTGCTATGGAGGAAAACACAACGGATGCTGACGAACGTTTCATGAGATGGGTACGAGTAGCTCAGGTGATGAGCTCCTACCCGTCAATTCGCGCTTCATGCCCATCGTATACGTAGCATAGGTCACTATCATCGTCAACAAAGGGATTAGGTCGCTGGGTGAGTGCGCTAGTCAGTTTTCTGGTCATATCAGCTTCGCGGAAACGGACTTGAGGTTGTCATTGATGATGTTCAACAGCTTTGATCTCTTGATCCAAGCGAGTTCGTCGTTCCGCTTCTCTGAGAGCTGCTGTTCGATGTGTTCCTCCCACGCAAAGAACTTGATCATGCGGACAACATTCATCGCTAGGTATTACAATCTCAGTACCACTGACACCGTACAGAGTATGTTCACTTACCTTCAGTCACCGTCTGAACACGAGCATCCGTCTGTCCCACGTGGTCTCAGCAAATGTTTGATCTGCAGAGACAGTGAGGACTCACCTTCTTCATCTTCTCGACCACTGCATCGTGAATCGCACCAGACATCATCCCTGGCGCAGGCAGCAGGATGATAATCGTCGCCAGACCGACGAAAGCGCTAGTGACGTGCATTAGCAGCTATTGCATCACGTAGGTTCCTCAACGCACCTCCAGCCCAAGATCGAGTACAGGAACCAAATACAGAGGACAATCTCCAGAGGAAACTTGACCACTAGCGCGCCATGAGTCTTCAACAAGTATATAGGCGGAAAGGAGATACATACGGAAGTAGAGGAAGTCGACTCCCCGGGACACGGACGCGAAATCGGAGGTGACAAGATTGTTAACTTTACCGGTCAAGTTTCTTGTCTTTCCGCTGTCCTTCGAGGATTTTGCAGGCGCATCGCCTTCAGATGTGGGGGCGTCGGGGACCTCCGCCGTCATCCGCATGCGCAGGGCATGGTTGAAGATCAGTTGGGTGATAACGGCTTCGGCACGGACCAACAGCCTTGTCTATGGAATGATGCGTTGAGCGTGTGTGTGGATGAGAGACGTCGTACGCACTCCTTGGAAGGTGTACCCTTGGTGGCATATGTTTTCGGCAATTGGGCCACAGAACAGCGTCAATATCCAGAACCAAGGGTGGACGGGTGCACCCTTTCCACCAGTCTCGATATAACTGCACCGTTGTCAGACATACGACATTTGTTGGTTGATTTAGCTGAAGGACATACTCGAGAAGGTATCTGATACTGAGAGGTGAAACGAACTTGAAGATAGCCTGTGATCAGAGTCAGTCTACCATCGACGAGATGCAGGCTTCGTAGCATACGCTGCCTGCCAAAGGGAAGGCCATCGTGATCCACTGCACATCTGTTTGAAGTTTTAAATGAGCCATGGTATGAAGACTCGAAGCCGGGCTAATGATACGCACGCCACGCTTTCCAAATACTCCACAGTAGATGCCTCTTCTTCTTCGACTGGAGCGGGTCAAGTTCCTAAAAGACCATCCATGACTCTCATTTCTCGTGCACACAAGGACTGAACATACGTGAAGGCTCTCTTTCAATAGGTTCTCAGCATCGTCGGAGTCGGCCAGTGGCGGCAGCTTTTCCAGCGGAAGATGCTCTACGCGCGAAGCGTCCTTGATGGTCTCGTCAACAAAGAACCAAAAAACAAATGACAACCACGACGTCGTTTGCTCCGCTGCAGGATTGGGCCACGGGTTCTGCACACGGTTCAATCAGCTACGACAGGCTACATATGTCAGTCTGAAGTCAGCTTACCTGAGGGTCAACGGGCAAGTAGGGATGCGGGATGGTCAGAGGTATTATCACACCGCTGACGGTGAGCAGCGCGAAGCGAGCCCAGAACAGGGGTCCTTCTGGGGCGTCCAATGGTTCCAAGTTGTACGTCGCAAGAGGCCATATATCCCGATATGCGTATACGATCCAGGTGACGAGAAGTACGATGTTGAGGTGCCGTACAGCCACCACGCTGAGACGCGTTTTGAATAACGCGACCGCGAAACTGAGCACGCACGCATATAGCTAATGTGGCAGTGAGTCAATGACGGCCAGGGACGGGCGGGAGGCGAACGCACATAGACTGCAGGCACACCAGCATACAACGCCGCGAGGACGTCGTGCAGCTCGTTTGGGACGAGTAGATCCGGTCGCGCGCGGGCGGCAGACACCATCGACAACGCGAACAGAGCAAGACACGACAAGGCCCGGACGACGTTCAAAGCGAATATTGTGAGTCCTCCGCGCTCAGTTGTCCATCGCGAGAGCTCTGAGCGATTCTGCAGAGGGGCTGCGCGTGCTTCGTCCAGACTAGCCTATCAAGTCATGAGCATCAAAGAGCCTTGTGAGTTATGGCATGCCATACCTTGTTGACTCTTGTACGCCGCAAACGCAGAGCCAGTTGCAGGAGAAGTACTAGCAGCGACACGACCGCCGCGACGACAGGGAGTGCGAGCGACGCTTCTGCGGTGCTGACCCTGGTCTGTCAGGCATTGACACAATAACTAGGAGAAAGACGAACATACTCAGGCAGGGTGCTTGGCGCAATCGCCACGGTACCTGTTCCACCAAACGTTGAAGAGAGAGGCACTTGTTTCGCGACGCTCATGATGCTCTGGACTACTCTAGATCTGCAAAGAGCGGTTTCCTGAACGCAGTCAGTACTCAGGCTAGTGAGCCGCGTAATGCAGCTTGGCGGGCGTCGAGGATTAGACTGGTCCGTCAACTCTCGAAAGCGGGAGTTCACTCTTGGATGACGACGTCGTGCATGAGTCGAGGTTCCTACCAACAGTTAATAACACCCCGGAGCCGCGATGACCGCTAGTACATATCAATTGCGTGCGACTTCGCCGATGCATGAATTATTCAATTAATAATGTATCGCGCTGGCGATAACGATAGTATGACGGCCATCAATGACCGTCGCGGTGCCAGATCAAAATTCATGGCAGGTGTCGGAGATGTTGCAGTAACATAGATCAGGAGACGAACTGGCCTGTGCTGCGTGGCGGAAAAGGTTGCCTGGAATGTGAGTGCTGCGATAAATGATGGTTGTTTAGGTCGCGGGCATCGAGAGCGGCGTGGAGAAGAGAAACCAGGAGAAACGCCCTGAACACAGTGCTGAGTGAACTACATCCGTATGGTGCGCACCCCGCGGCTCGTCCTCGCCCCTCCGGGCCCGGGGCGTCCCAGCTTCCTCCTGGGACGCTGATGTAGTGGAAATAAGTACATGATCCTTGATTGATCCTAAGCGCGAATCTGAGAGTCCGGGATCGTCGGAGCCGCGCGACGCGTCGGTGGCTGTCACCTCCACTGCTGGCAGGGCGCGTCACTCCTCTCACCATGTAATAAACTGAGCTTTTTAAGTACTTAATAAAATCATAGGACAGGAAACAATTATTCAGCCCACGTGAATCTACCAAGCACAAGCACCATACACTGCAAATCGCTTCTCCAGGGGTAACTCATACATACATTTGTTTCCCAGCTTCTCACTTCAACGTGGTATCTCCTCAAACGAGCGGCTTCTCGGTCGACTGCACGGCGGGGTCGAGAGGGGGCGCAGTCGTGCCGACGCCAGTAGACGCAGTGCCGAAGTCCGCGGGCTTCGCAGTCTGGGTCTCCTTGAGGCGCTTCGCTTCCTCGTGAATGTCGAGAACCTGCTTCGACGTCGTTGTGTAGAATTGGAAGACCGTCTTGCCCCATGGCGAGGAGATCGCACGGGTATAGTACTGAGTCGAGCAGTCAGCACTATCAAATAGGGTGGGACTGTGAAGGTACGCACATCGGATGCCTGCTTGGAGTAGCCCTTCTGTTCATCGAGCGCCTTAGCCTGCTGCGTCGCCTGAGCGACCTTCTCCTGGACGTGCCCCGAGATGGTCTTGTCTTGCCCGACAACCTTCTGGCCGAGAGTGCCGTCGATTGACTTCATGTAGTTAAGGAAGCGCGACGAAATGCCGTGCTTGTTGTCGAGCTCGATTGCGCGCTGGAGGATGTGGTCGTGTAGCTGGTAGCCCTTAGCGAGGTACTCTGCGGCGACTGGGCGAACGTCAGCAACTGGAGACCCTTAACAGGATCACTCACTGGCTGCGCGAGGCTTATCGCTCTGCTCGATGTGAGCGCCCTCGCCTGCAGAAGTCGGCCTCTCATCGGTGTGCTCATTCTCACTCGTTACCGTCAGCGTTGAGCCGTCGAGGCTGCCGCCGTTGAGCATCAGCGCTGTCTTTGCAGCGGACGACTTCTCGAAGTGGACGGTAGCAGCCTGCTTCCCAGCATCGTGCTCGATGGAAGAGATCTTTCCGCAGAACCTATAATTTTTCTCTGAGCGGGAACACAGGATCGAAACGATCAGCTGGATACTCACGAGAAGAACTCATGGAGGTGCTCCTGAGTCGTGGATGGAGAGAGGTTGGAAACCTGTAAGCCGTCGTTAGATGTGCTGGTGCTACAGAAGAGGTAGAGATTTGCGCACTTGGACGGTGTAGGTAGACATGATGGTCGTTAGAAGAGGAAAGGATTGTGCCGGCCATGGCGACTGGGCTTGTCTTTTGAATCGACCAAGATCGCCTTGGGCGAGCCTCGCGCCACTGCCAGTGACGTCGTGTGTAGCGCCCCCACGTGGCACACAGGCGCCCAGTGGCGCCTGGGCCATGTCGGACAACGCCACCTCGCGTGCCGTCCTAGTCAACGTCCAACTTCCTCAGTCTGCTGCAAGAGTCATGGCAAGCAGAAAGACCCCACTGCGCGTCAGGGCAAATTTTCACGCCGGCTATCTGGAGGAAAGATTGGATATCCAACATATACTCACGAAGTATCCGCAGTGGAAAACGAAACGAGATCAGTAGAATAGCGTCGTTATCCGACACCTTTCTAAAGTGTTTTCTGTCACTTTCCACGGCATATCCACTGACACCCCGGGATGGCTGCACGCCCCTAGCTCTCACGCTCACTCACTGTTCCGAATGAGATCATTGTTGTGTACAGGATGTCATTTCCCAGCCGCGAACTAAGTGTGCTACATATACAATGTATTGTACAAATGGGGCCTGATTGGACTTCAGCGTATCTATGTCTCCAAGACGGGAACTCAATACTGCACGCAGAAACCCAATTACTGATCCAAAGTAGCGCTCCAGGTACACATTCCTTGAGCCAAGTGCGCACGTACCACATACTGAGTCTGTCTCGGCCACCTGGGTCGGGTACCGGTGCTATTTGCTCTGAGAGTGAGTGGCAGTCTGCAGCAATCAGTAAGACAACATCTGACCTTCATCCGTGCGTCGCAGTCGCCTCCGCAGGTGAGCTGCCGTCGTTGTCGCGCCCCCGTGACCGTGTGTTGCCGTTCCTGCCCCGCGCCTGGTCGCCGACCCCCGCTCCGAGTTGCCATTATCCCCGCTCCCGCCCCGCTGCCCCATCCATCTTCTCACGGCTGCTCACCCGCAACCTCCATCAGGACCACCCCCTTCTCTCTCCAGAATGCGGTCGCGCTCGTTCGCTCGACGGGCGCATGACATCCGCGCATGCCAACTGAAAGCCAATCTAACGAACCATCACGCTCCTCACTGATTATAAAGATGGAGAGCGTGACTTTACTGACCTCGGTGTTGAATGACCATCGCATTGTCGCTCTGCGTTGTATGCACCGCAATAAGAAGTCCTGTAGTACTACAGTAGTAGTAATCATAGGTTTCATCCAAACCATCGGTAGGACGTACCACTAGCCTCGATGTTCATCCCATACCTCATTCTGTGCTGGGTTCCTGCGCATATACCTTGATCCTGGTCCAATCCGGTGAGTTTTGATGTCTGTGTTTCATTCGAACTTACATGCGCAACGACCTCGCACTCTTGAGCCCCGCTGCAGCGGCTGCATTTGTTGTACGGTCGAACGGGTGGCTGTCGGCATGGTATCAGAGGACAGAACAGTAGATCATGATGTGCGGAGCTCGAGAAGACGGGACCGGTGCGGCCTTGCGACAGGATGGTTGTGGTGCAGGTCGAAGTTGTATGTGCATTGTGTGAGGCTGTATGCGCGGCGCGACGCGACGCGACGCGATGGGTGTGGTCACGGCCCCGTGCGACTGCGTTACATAACCTGAATATATAATTGATAGGGGGCGGAAAGCCAGCCAGCGGATATCCATTAGATACTTGTCGGAAAGCTCAAGTATCCTACAGCTATTCTCCGTGGAAAATCACGATCAACGTGCAGTGCCCTCTCTCGGCCACACGATTTGCCCCGCGCGCCGTACTGTGGCCTTTGCTTAGCTTTTGCTTCATCAACGCAACACATCTGCGCTCATATGATGCGGTCTCGCACGCGCGGGTGACGGGCGGTATAAGTAGAGGGTGGGCATGACGGGTTACTTCCCAACCCTCCTGATTGCTCGCCCAAGCAACGCTATGACAGAGCAGCCCTTCAAAATTGCTGTCCCGGACTCTGAGCTCGACTTTCTCCGCAAGAAGCTCGACCTCGTGCGTCTCCCGGACGAGCTGGACGAGGCCGGTTGGGACTACGGCGCGCCCCTTGCGGACATCAAGCGGCTCGTCGCGCGCTGGAAAGAGGGCTATGACTGGCGGGCGGCGGAGGCGGGCATTAACGAGATTCCGCAGTTCACGAGGGACATCGACGTCGACGGGTTCGGGACACTGAACATCCACTACATTCACCAGAAGAGCGCAGTGAAGAACGCAGTCCCGTTACTCTTTCTTCACGGATGTACGTAGGCTGTATGTCGCGCGTGCTCAATTAACATGTACATGCGTAGGGCCTGGACACTGCCTGGAGGTGAGGAAGATGCTCCCGCTGTTGACCGAAGCCTCTCCGGACCAACCAAGCTTCCATGTCGTCGCTCCCAACCTGCCCAATTTCGGCTTCTCGGAGGCAGCAAAGAAGCCCGGCTTCAGCGGTACCCAGTATGCGGAGGTAGCGAACAAGCTCATGTTGGCCCTGGGATACGACGAGTATGGTGCGTACACCCTGTTCTGCGTATATGCCCTTGTAATGATATGCAATCACTAGTCGTGCAGGGTGGAGATTGGGGTTCTTTCGTACGTGCGCTATGCAGCATACACCGTAGCTGAAGACGCTGAGGGACCATCTATATTAGATCGCTAGCAAGCTCGCCGCGGCGTACGGCCACCAGAGCGTCAAAGCCTGGCACACCAACTTTCCAAGGTACGATCCCTCATCCTACGCCTCACTCACTCCTCTCATCTCATCCCAAGAGTCCGCACCCCGCCATCCTTCACAAAGTTCCCGCGCCTCTGGCTGCAGCATGCGCTGACCGCGTATACGGACAAAGACCGCGCCCGCCTCGCGCGCGCGGCCTGGTTCATGCAGAAGGGCCGCGGCTACTTCCTCGAGCAGGCGACGCAGCCGCAGACGATCGGCTACTCCCTTGCGGACTCGCCCGTCGGCCTACTCGCGTGGGTGTACGAGAAGCTCGTGGCGTGGTCGGACGACTATCCTTGGGATGACGACGAAGGTGAGTTGGTTGCTTCTGAGCTGTGGATAGGGAGAGGCTCAAGGGCCGTTATAGTGTTGACGTGGATCTCGGTGTACTGGTTCTCGAAGCCGGGCCCGGCGGCATCCGTGAGGATCTACTATGAAGTGACCAACGCGAACGAGTACACGGATGTCCCGTGGAGCTCTATCCCATGCGGAATCTCGTTCTTCCCCAAGGAGCTCACCCCCTCGAAGACGTGCGTGTTCAGTCTCTCAGTCCCTCAGCAGCCTGGCCATACTGATGACGGCGCACTGCAGATGGTCGAGAACACTGGGAAACGTCGTGTTCGAGTCGGAGCATAGTGCAGGCGGCCACTTTGCTGCCCACGAGAGACCAGAGGACCTCACTGCGGACGTGCGCGCGATGTTCAGAAAGGGCGGGCCCGCCTTTGGGGTGGTCCCCGGGCGGATTGGGTACGATTGAACGCTGTACCCTGGTCGATTTGAACACGAATGCCTCATGAGCTGCGCTTCTGCCACTCGATTCACTCGGGATAGTCTGTGATAGGTTCCAGATCGTGACCGTTCTGGACGATGCGTCTTGGCGGCGCTATGACGCGTGACGTCATGCGTCATGGGGCGCATGTCTGCGCATGTCCACTGTCGCGTAGCGCGACGATCGCGTCTTGTGGCCGGATCGGCGAAAATGGTTGATCGGGCTTGCCAGACTTTGACAGTCTGACTCGACCACGAACAAGACCGCTTACGCCTATGGCTAGTAGGCCGGCAGCTCGTACTCCCGCTTCTCTTACTCATGATCAGCAGAGGGCATACGACAGTATAAAGGTGCACGCTCCTGTTGTTGCTAGCCAGCCAGTCGCTCCGCACACTTGGATTCGGATACCATGACCACCTCAGTGCCTCAACCCTTCAGTGTATCCGTCCCAGACGCCGACATCGCGTCCCTGCGCCAGAAACTTGCCCTGACGCGCTTCCCGGACGAGCTTGACGACGCGGCGTGGAACTACGGCGTGCCGCTTGCGGACGTGAAGAGACTTGTTGCGCGATGGAAGGATGGCTATGACTGGCGCGCTGCAGAGGCCAGCATCAACGAGATTCCGCAGTTCACGACAGACGTCGAGGTCGAGGGATTTGGCACGCTGAATGTGCACTTCATCCATCAGAAGAGCGAGGTGAAGGGCGCGATCCCGTTGCTGTTTGTGCATGGCTGTACGTGTTCCTTTCTGAAACGTTGTGCCAGATACTGACGGGGGTGCATCGCAGGGCCGGGTCACTTCCTTGAGGCCAGGAAGCTGCTCCCGTTGTTGACATCTGCTTCGCCGGACCACCCGAGTTTCCATGTTGTTGCTCCTAGTCTGCTGAATTTTGGCTTCTCTGAGAGTGTGAAGAAACCAGGGTTTGGGGTTGTCAAGCACGCAGAGGTACGCATGAACATAGGATGCATTTGATACAACGGTACTGAGTATGCTACCCCAAATGTAGGCCTGCCATAAGCTCATGCTCAGCCTTGGCTATACTGAATACGGTGCGTGACGTGAGTGGCCTTGTTCTATAGGCCCATACTGATAGCCCAGTCCATCAACAGTTGTGCAAGGAGGAGACTGGGGCTCATGGGTTAGTACTCCGTTGATCGTAAGCCCTCCAGGACTGATCAGATATACTAAGATCATAAGGACAATGGCGGCTACTTACGGTAGCTCCGTGAAAGCATGGCATACCAACTACGCTTCGTCAGTCTCCCCGTGTACATAAACCCTCTCCCACTGACCTTGTCGGGCTTGTAGTGCGGTTAGCCCGCCATCATTCTCACGCTACCCTCGGCTCTGGCTCAAAAATCTCGTTACTCCCTTGACTGAACGTGAACGAGCCAGTCTCAAGCGCCTCCCTGACTTCAATCGCACGGGGCGAGGGTATAGCACTCAGCAAGGCACACAGCCGCAGACGCTCGGGTACTCTCTCGCGGACTCACCCGCGGGCTTGCTGGCTTGGATATACGAGAAGCTTGTGCTCTGGTCGGATGAGTATCCGTGGGACGACGACGAAGGTGAGTATATCCGCTCGCTGCAACGCGCAGTACTCATGCCGGTTGTTCAGTCCTCACATGGATCTCGGTGTATTGGTTCTCGAGAGCCGGCCCCGCTGCCTCGGCAAGGATTTACTACGAAGACGCCAGAGCGAGGGAGGACCCGAAGCGGGTGGACCCTTGGTGCACATCCCCAGGCGGCGTGTCCTACTTCCCTAAGGAGATGATTGCCCCGCCGAAGACGTACGTTCTCCTCTGGATGTCATAACGAAGTACTGACGGGGATGCCGAACACAGATGGACGCGCATGATGGGCAATGTTGTCTTTGATTCTGAGCACGAGAGCGGTGGACACTTCGCTGCGCATGAGAAGCCAGATGGCCTCGCAGCGGACATACGTGCGATGTTTGGGAAGGGCGGGCCTGCGTTCGGCGTAGTGCCGGATAAAGTTGGCTATGATTGAACGTCGCTTGTCTGGTGTATGGTGTGCATGAAGTCACCCGGTAATGTAATTATCGTCTCCGCACTCTAGTCAACACCGTCCGCTATGCAGCACTTCCATCGACACGAGCTTGACTTCGTTCCCGTCCACCCGACTCCCAATCGTCCCAACACATCGAATGGACTGCGACGTCGAATCCGCACTGCCCAGAGCACCAATCGCCCTCACGCGGCAGATTCCCCACTCCGTTATTGTCTTTTTTGCTATAAGTCCACCGGTGGGTCCCTTCAACTTTGAAGCCGAGATTCAAAGCCAATTGGATCGAGGCTACGTTATCTGGGTGCGCGCCCCACTGGACGCGTCGCAGACCGAGGCCTGGAGGGGACGCGGTCGGAAGCTCCAGGCAGTAGTTGAGGAGGATCGCTGTGGCGTTCGTCGCGATCTTCTTGCGTTGGAACGCAGGGAAGACGACCGCGTACCCGATCTCGGTGCTCAGCTGAGCTCTCGATGTGCGGATGAGCCCGATGATCCCAGCAAAGGTGCCCCCGCCGAGCTCGGGGTGCGCATCGTCGGGCGTGGTCTTGTCCATGATCGCGAGGAGGACGCACTCGGGGTTCGCATGGTACGCTCGCTCGAAGAAGGCGAGGTTCTGCTCGAGGGTGGTGAAAAGGACGGGGTAGTAGCGGAATAGGTCGGGGAAGGTGGGCCCGACGGCATCCCAGAAAAGCGCGCCGTGCGCTCGGGGAATGAATGGGGTCAAGCGCACGCGATGGTTCTGTAGGAGTTGGAGATCGAGTGGATATACATAGTTGATATCATATGGGTCCGATCCGTACAGCTCGTCTGCTGTGGGAGTAGGCGGATCCGGAGGCGGTCTGTAGAGGTTTGTGAAAGACATGGTCGATAGCCTTGGCATTCAGAGCATCACGGTACGCTGCTTGGGACTCATACTTATATAGGGATTCAAAGCAGTGCGTATGCCGTACCAGGTGAGGATCGCCGAGTGTCTTGATCGGGCCGCCAGTGTCAGCCTGAGTCTTCAAGTTGTCGGTGATTAGCTACTAGTACTTCCGAGTCGATACGTAGTTTGAGAAGTTCAGTTGAGAGTACCAAGTTTTGACGGTGATGCGAAGCAATGCGGTATCCGACCATCTTCCACTGCCTTACTAGTCGATCAGTATGAGTGAGATCACTGGTCAACAAAGCGGAGACAACAAGTTGTTCAACAAGAGACAACGCCGAGAGTCACGGAGCTGGCAACGGGCGCTTACATATAATTGTGGACATGTGCCGATTCTAGAGCGCTACAGGCAGCTGCTAAGTACCTTGTACTTACCCCAATACCACGCAGTGACTATCAACAGTCTGCTATGCCTACCACCGCGCGTGTATATCTGTGTCTGCGACGGGAATCAGCGGCTACCTGCAAGGTCCATCGCCCATGCGGTCAGCATTTGAGTTCGCACTGCTCGAGGGCTCCGTGCTAGCTCGATCGACGGATATCATACAGAATCCAGAGGGTCTTTACAGTTGAGTCCGTTTCTGCTCAGAATAATCCAGCAGCCTGATCAATCAATATCAATCATTTGCGAAGCAGGAGGCGGCCGATGAGACTTGAAGTTAAGAAATCTGGGGAGCGACTCTCTTGATATCTATGTTCACGGTCAGCCACTGTGGGTACGAAGACGATGCGCCACTTCCACTGATCCGAACTTGCCAGCTGTGTACAAAATGACACGGCCCAATGACCATGCAAACGTTGGACTTGGCTGTCGTCAGCCTTGCTCCATGTACGCCGCTCTCGGTCAGGATTGAGACCCACACAGGATCAATAGCGTCTCTTTGACCCCTGCTCTTTACTTTCAACCTCAACCGTCTGGACGATATATCGCACCTTCGCTTTACTGTCACTGTCACTTTCCATTTTTGATCGCTATGTCTTCTGCTGGCATGAAGACTTTCCTCGCGGATGCTGTCCTCTTCGATATGGTGCGTTTCTCTTCTTACCTAGGATATACGGTGAATATATACTACATGCGCAGGACGGTACGTTGACCGACTCCATCGCGGCGGTCGAGGCTGCATGGGGCAAGGTCGCGAAGGACATGGGGCAAGACCCAGCCCTCGTGATCGCCGCTACCCACGGCAAGCGCGCCATCGACAATCTCGCGCAGTTCAAGCCCCATATCAGGGCTCACGAGATGGACGACGAGGTTCAAGCCTTCGAGGAATCGATCCTATTCTTCGCGGATGCGTACAACAAACACGGCCCTGGCTCGCGCCAGAACTCCCGTATCGCAACGCCCATCGACTCCAGTGTGGCTACGCCTGCACTCTCGTGCGACGGCTCGAAGGCGTCATCTATCATGTCCTCCAGGTCGTCTTCATTCGCGGGCGAGCAGAGCGCCTCCCGTCCCACGTTTCTTCAGCGCGTCAGCACCATTCTGGAGATCGGTCAGAGTCTTAGAGAGTCGGCCATCGAGCACGGTGGTATGTTCGACCCGGAGGAGGAAGAGAAGAATATGATTCATGCCCTGGAGGCCTGGCAACAGGAGGCCGCGGCTATCAATCGTTCAGTGCGCATCCTCCCAGGCGTAAAGAAAATGATCGCCTCCATTCCTGAGGGCCATTACGCAGTTGCGACATCCGGCGCGAGGACTTACGGTGAGTTACATGGCGCACGCTACACACCAACATCTGACAGCACGTTAACAGCCTACGGATGCATGACGCGTGTCGGGATCACCCCGCCTCCCGTCACCATCACCGCGGACGACAAGCGTCTGAAGGCCGGCAAGCCCGCGCCCGACCCGTTTCTGCTCGCCGCCGAGTGCCTCGGTTTCGACGCCAGGAATTGCGTCGTCTTCGAGGACTCGCCGTCCGGCATCAAGGCGGGCGTCGCGTCGGGCGCCACCGTCATCGCCGTCAGCACGTCGCACGAGCGCGCGAAGATCGAGAACTGTGGGGCGCACTACCTTGTGGAGAACATGGACAAGGCCAGGTGCGAGCCCGTGGACGTGGATGGGCAGTTGAAGCTGAAATTCACGGTTTACGAGTGATAATGCATTGATCAATTACTGTACATTCACGTAGTATCTGTACTTTAGATAGCTTGAAACGAGGAAAGCTTCTGCCACAAAAATGACGTACAGGGTATCGAGGATGCCATTGACAAGATAACTTGCCAGACAGTGACACGATCCTGATGAACTTTGCATGTACAGTGGTGAATCTCCTTCTACTCGTCAACAGGTCCCATCCCATAACTCAATGATGCACGCCTGCATCGGTGATTCCCTGAGTGACTCCAGTTGTACTGAATTGACGTAGTCCAGAATGCGACGCCGCTCGTGCATGAGGGCATCCACGTTCCAACCGACGAAGTCCGGCACAATATCGTCGTCCTCTATCGCGGTGCAAACCAGTTCTTCCAGCTTGTCACAGCCTTGATCGGAACGGCGAATGACGATAGACATCATCTGAGAGGGGACCCATGTCTTCGCGAAGCGACCGACGAACCGAAGGCGTTTGAGACGAGGGAATGGTGGAGCGGTGTCCCGTGGCGACAGACAACGGGTCCAATACTGTCTGTTGAGCGACGAGTCGATCCAGAGAGTACAAGATTGCACTGTGCGCATCTTGAGGAAGAAGCCTTGAACCACGCGCGTCGGCACAGGCGCAAGGTGGTCCGCGATGAGGCTGAGATCCTCGACCTGGCTGAGGTCGAGTGCTGCCGGGAGCAGCGTAAGCACCGAGGTAGCCCAGGCACTATGTACCTCATTGGTCAGCCTCGCACGGCGATGAGCACTCAGCTGAAGCTCCAGAGATCCTGTGGGGCCGGCGCACGATACGCAGATCTTGTGGGCATGCAGCCACAGAGACAGTTTGGTGGGCGGGCCGGTGTTCTGTAGGAAAGCGATGCGCGGAGGGAGCAGGGCGAAGAGCGGGGCGTGGCTGGCTACGCCCTCCATGGCCGACACCTCCACTGCGGTCGTCGCAGGCAGCACGAGGTGTTGCAGAACGCACGCCGCAACCCGCCAGGAGCATCCCCAGATGCTCACGGTGCGCAAGTGAGGCATAATCACGCGCACGCCCTGCGCTGTTCGGGGCCGGCCGCGTCGGTTCGAAATAGGTCCTGAGGTATCGAGGGTGAAGTGAGCCAAGTTCGGCGATGCCTCCATGAACGTAAGGAAGTCGGTCAGGAGGACAGGACGGACTCGACTCAGCCAGAGATGCGTGAGACTCGGGAATCGGTTATTGATCCACGGCACTATGCAGCGCAGGCAGAGGCGTCGCAAATCGGGCGCGTTGGTCTGAAATTGTTCTGGAAGCATCCCAGGTGCTACAGGGGCAATAAGCCCATCGATTTCTATGGACAGCCCCTCTAGGCGAGGAGCGACGCGGGCAAAGATGCGATGTTGGAGAACTGCGTCAGGGGCAGAAGCTTCGCTGCTGTACTCGATTCTGAGTCTACGCACACGATAAAGCTCTGCGTCCAGAACGTTGAGCAATGCGAGGACGCGAGGGACGGGGCCGAGGCGACTTGAGCTGGTGATTGCGATCTCCAGCGGCATGGCTGCGGAGCGCTCCAGTAAGGTTGACAGCAGGGTGGGCGACATCTTCGCTGGCACCTTCAGATTGGACCAGAGACCGGGGTACGACATGATGACTTGTCTCCAGGGTTGACAAACGAGTTGCAGGCGGAGGAACACTTCGGCTGGCGGATCTTCGCCGGATGCCACGCGCCGTCTGAGCTGGTCGGAAATAGCCATACGAAATATGCACTCCAGCAGTTCCGGCGGCAGTCGAGCCACAAAGGACGACCTATATGCCATCAGCAATGGTTCGAGGAATCCAGACGAAGAGACTTACTCCTTCAAAACCAGGTCGCCATCGTTGCCGGTCTGGCTGGCACTTGACGAGGCATGATCATGTATTGCCATCGACGAAGGGTGTGGGGAGGGAGAGAAACTACAGTATCGTCACAACGGTCGATGGCTTTATAAACTGCCCCAGGCGGGTTGTGGCCCAGACAAAACTGAGGGGTTGTAGTCGTCGTCAAAGCGAAGTCAAAGCGGCCACGTCGAAACTAAGCGCCACAGGTGGCCACGGGAACGAAATGTCCGCCACGATGTCTCTGATACCAAGATATCTAATCTGGTATGTTGTCTTGGATGAGGCATCGAGGATTCACTAGTGAGTGTGTGCGGACCACGCAACTTTCCTATAGTAAACATGTCGGAGGTGGTGATCATGTGTTTGATCCATGAAAGACCTGGCGTACATGATACAAATCAACGTGTGTTCCTGTTTTCAAGACCGCAGAATGCGGGAGTGGAATGCCAGTCGGGCGGAACATGAAGACTCAAAAGAGATTTCAAGTTTGCAAGGAGGTTCAATTGGCGGGCACGGCGGTGGCTCGACGGTGGATCTCCGATCTCCCTGCGGGAGCTCGGGCCGGACTTCTAGTACGCACCGGTCAAGCTGTGGCCATTGCCAGCGCATCTTGAATCTTTCCATGTACTTGACAATGGCAGTCACCAAATCGGCCATACAACCTTCAGACATGTTCATATGGCGAGCTGGAAGGGGAATGCATCTCTGGCTGTGATGCAAGAAACTGCCCCACAGTGGCAGGTTGTGCGGACGGTATACTACGTCACACCCACCTGTGTAGCTCGCTTTCGCGAACCTTATAGGCAATTATAGGTGGAAGAAATGCCTCATGGCCGCTACTGTCGTGATTATCAGGCTCAATGTCCGACAAGGCCGTGGGTAAGACACTGTCGTGAGTGGTTCGTCAAGAGAACTTGGCGCCGCAGGACCGCATAGTACTCACCGACGGTGCGTGGATTGTCCACTTCGAGCCGTGGACGTCTTCTTTCTTGACCATGAGGTAGCTCTCGTTATCTAAGGTTCACAGTCTACAGTAGCTGTCTACTTCGGCAACCCAAGGTCCGCCCAGAGTTTCAGCTTACTCCGAATGACAAAAGAGTCAACCACCGCTGCGAAGTCGACTCTTGCGGTCCGGCACGGCGTCGAACGATGTACCGCTTCAGCAAGACCATTCTGTTGAATTATTGGGAATATTCCGCTGTGAGTGTTCCGTTGGGTTGCTGTTGCCGCCTTGCGTGCTTGGTATAATCTCAATCTGTCGACCAGTGCAATACATTCGAGCAAAGACAAATGCCCGTGTATCCTTAGAAGCGGCTGCCTTCTGAACGTCGGGTCGATTATGCCAAAGACGTGAGGGTCAAGTGCTCGGTAGCATGCCTGCTTCCTTGAAGGACTGACACGGTTCATAGATTGACATCTATACGAAGAAAGGTTTGCCGACTGCTGTCTGCACGTATGCATGTGGCAAACCTTTGACAAGCGGACGGGTTCAGGTACAATGTAGCCTCTCAACGTCTGCTAAGTAAGCCGCGCTCGAGAACCGCGTCTCGGCGAAGCAAGGTTAGGCATGAATGCAAACGCCCGCATCGCTTCTCATCTACGGCTGCTGTGTGTGCCCGGAAGCTAGCATGGGCCACGCGTGTGTACTGTAAGTCTTTCAGATCTGTCGGGTGACCCGAGGCCTATCCTGACCAGCCACCATATCCGTCCCATCGGCAGTCCTGCGGCCATAGCCAGCAGCTCGGAGCCATTCATCGTGCACAGCAGTCCTGATATGTATGGCGTCTGAGCAGACCCTGTGTCGTCTCCCGCTTTCACCCTGGACTGTGGTCTGACAAGTGCGATCGCCCCCCTCCCCGTCGCCTGACGAATATTCTCAATGCTGCACCGTTCCATGACGACCATCCTCCCAGCAGCCATTGCGTTGCTTCTCACCTTGGGTTTCAGCCTCGCGGCGTCCGTGAATAGGACAATCGATGACTACTATGGCGATTCTGTGACAGGTGTTAAGCCAATCTATACGGATGGCTGGGCTTATGGTCCAAACTGTTCAACGTGCACCATCACGCCGTTCCTCAGCGACCTCTTCGATCGCTCGTGGCACGAAGTCACCGCATTGCTCAATGATCCGTATCCCGAGAACGTCACGATCACCTTCGAAGGTGCGTTGTTATGTCAACATGCCTGCATCTTGCCGCTGAACAACCTGCCCCATCAGGCACGGCTGTCTGGGTGTACTGTGTAGTCCCCAATTTCCTGAACCACAGTACTGGAGCGCTTACGTCTGTCAACATCACTTTTGAGGTCGATGGCAAGATGGACGGCTTCTATATCCACGAAGCCGATGGTACCAACAACTCGTTCTACTATAATGTCACCGTATACAGCAACACATCATTAGCGGCCGGAGAACACACAATAATCATGTCCCCGCAGCGCGTGAGCGGTGGGTCCTATATGGGACTTGACTGGGTACAATACACCACGTAGGTTCACATACAGCTTTGGATCAATGAGCATGCTGATCGGTGTGAATACGAAACAGCACAAACTCGTCAACGAGCCACCAGCCAAGTGTACCCCTATCAAGTGCGCCATCAAGTATCTCGACCACTATGGGCACTTCATCAATGACCCCACTTCCGCATACTCACACGCGAGTCGGTGCTATAATTGGCGGAGTGATCGGCGGGATAGTGGGCGTCCTGGCCATCTGCGGACTGGTTGTCTATCTACTATACCGGAGGAGACAGCAGAAGAGAGCAGTCAGAGACGAGATCGAGCCAGAAGAAGCGGTCCAAGAAGCCAAACCTAGCACCATCGATCCCTTCACGTACGCCAGCGTGAGCCAAGTCGCGAGCTCCAGCGAATCTAGACAGGTGTTGAACGTCGGCCATATGCGTTCTCTCAGCTCCCCGGAGCCTGAGACAAGCTCGCTTTCGCGTTCTGCCATCACCACGTCGACTGCACCACTCACGTCGAAGAAGGCCCGGGCGGAGACACCGTCGTCTGGTCTTCGATCTACTGCCACGTCGACAGAGCCACCATCTCCTCCACCAAACTCGGAGAGCTTCCGGACGTCACCGACAAGCGGGTACTATGGTGGTGCATCGCAATTCGGAGAGCTCTCTCGCCAGATCCGCGAGATGGAGCAGACGGTCGCCGAGTTGCGGCGGCGGCAATCGACGGACCACCGCGCGACTGCGTCGCTCATGGCATCCACTCAGCCGAGCATCATTGGCTCTGTCCCTCGGGATGACGTGGAAATCAGGAGGGAGATCGTGGCTCTCCAGGTGGAGGTCGAGAGACTTCGGGCGGAGCAAGCTTTGCTCAGCCAGGAGGCCCCGCCGGCTTACGAGCCTCGAGAGGATGAAGACGCAGGTGGTGAAGCGCAGTTAGAGTAGTCCTCGTAAGTTTTCCCTCAAATATCCCACAATGACAACTCAATTGGCTTCTACGCACTTCTAGGCTTATGCTTGGCTTATGCGCGTACGAATCCGATACGATGTAACGTTCATGTCATGTCATTCTTTGTCTAGTCACGTTTGGATAGTATGATTCGTGTTCACTAGTACATGACCACCGCTTCCTCTCACCCGAAAATGTCATACATAGGGATGCCTATAGGTATAGATTGGGACTCAAATTTGATCAGTTGCGTGTGTACCGCGATCTCGTCAGTCTCACTGGCATCTCACTGGCAGTTGTGTTGAACTTCGCCTCTCCGCATTGGACGCCGCTGTGCTAGGTCACCCATCGAAACGATCGCCACGTTCACGCGCGGATTTTGGCATTCGATATATCTGACGTGATGAAAGCATTGATCGTGGCTCGTGTTTGACTGCGATTCATGATATCTCCAAACCTCAGGCTGTGTAGTCCTCAGGCCTCACGCGCACGCGTCACCGTTTCGAGTCGCCATTCTGACCAACATCACCATGAGTTCTCCATTACAGTGTTACGGGCAACTGTGCGTGACACGATGAAATAATTCATGATCGTCACCAACACTCGAACGACATGACGAGTCTGAGGCTCAGGTACGGTGCCGTATGAACGAACTCATCATGGACAGGTGAACCGCAGTATCACCTCCCTCTGCGACTATCACGGTCTTCCATTCTTGTACCGTGTTCGCACCAAGTTTGCACTGGCAGTTTCCAGCGAAGTTGTCTGTGTGACTGCGTAAGTCATTACATGATTGCCAGTGCGCATTGAAGGTGGCCTTGAGGTGGCCTGTATTCGTATGTACACGTGATACTGCCATACCTGAACGATTGGATGATGGTGACCGGTGATACATGACTTAGTACTGCTCTGGACATCGTACTACAAGTACTGGGTACGGATAATCTGCCTACTCAATCTGATATTCATCTTCTCCCGGTGGCACTGACTGACAGATGTGTTCGATACGCATCTGACAGACGAGTTATGACTCAAGACCGAAGTCATGTACATGGCAGTAGCAAAGTTTCGGAGTACCAGGTACCTCACAATCTGGTTCGATTTGTTTTATAGGTCGAAAGGCCGGAGTAATAGCTGGCGCATTGTAAAACGCAACGTTGTGGTGAGTCTTAGCTCAGTGCTGTGTTCTGTGGTCCCGACTCCCCCCATCTAGGAGAATAGAACCTCTCGTCAGGGTGTGCGCCGCATCAGGTCATCAGGATCATGGCAGTGCGGCGGACAGTTGGTCAATGAAGAATGTACAGAAATGCTGCAAGTGAATCTATCGTGCCTTCGCTAGCTCCACAGGACCGTCGTCTCGTCTCTGGTCCCCTCTCGTTTCCTCTCCACGTTGGGCGTGAGCTGTCTAGCACTCGATGTCGTCTCGTCGCTCTTTACTCCGTCACTCTTTTACATACATCCTACTCGGCCACCACCTGATGCTCCTTCTATTCCTAGTGGGAATTCCGAGGATCGTGCAAGCGGGGGCAACGAACAGGACTATCGATGACCAGTACGGTGACTCTGTCACGAAAGCACTTCCTAAATACGGGAACCCCCCCAGTGCGGATTGGAATTATGGACCGAATTGTTCCTCCTGCAGCCTCACGCCGGATCCGGACAAGATGTTCAGAAATAGCTGGCATGATAACACGATGAGCGCCTCTGCCAGCAGTGCAAACACCATCTCCGTGAGCTTCAATGGTACGCATTTGTTTTCATATTGTGTATCCACAGACTTTCTGACAGACGACAGGTACTGCGGTGTGGGTGTACTGTGTCACGTCCCAGAAAGCAAACAGCACTGCCATGATTACCGGTACCAACATCCAATTCGAACTGGACGGAGAGAAAGTCAACTCGCCCTACGACTATGCTTCGACAAACCAGCAAGCGACTACAAGTGATTTCAACTATAACGTCGTTGTGTACAGTAACAAATTGCTAGCCAACAAAGAGCACACTCTGGTCATGACTATGCAGCCGAGTTCATGGATCGCTTTTGACTGGTTACAATACACGTGAGTGCAGATGTCGCAATGCATTGCAAGCTCCGAGTCCTGTCCGTACGCCACTGGACTGACGACGTTGACTACAGGTATGTAGACAGCGTAGACGTAGTGTCTGCAACGTCGCATACAAGTTCCACTGCATCGACCTCAAGTTCCACGACTAATATGCCAAGCACAATACCTTTCACTGGATCGTCTATCGGAGAGGGATCCAGCACTCCGCCAGCGAGTGATAGCATGGATCCTTCGGGCACGTCTAGCCTTACGGCTGGTTTCACGACTGTCACTACAGTATCTGGTCTGGCGACAACGGTCGTAAGCAGCGTCCTTCTCACCTCTCCGGCACCAACGACCTCCACTTCTGTCGCAGCCGACACGCCGAGCTCTCACCATCCATCCATCGCCATCATCCTAGGCGCAGTAGCTGGAGGGCTCGCTGCGTTGGTGCTCCTGTCCATCATCGTCTATGCGTGTCGCAACCACAAGTCCAAGAATATGGATGGTGATCCGCAGTCACTCTCCAGAGGGAGCGTATACCCTCTGTTGAAGGAAGATAGAGGATACCTCGCCACGGACGAGCCCAGTGCTGCGACAGCGAGCATCTACTCCTCGGCATCCCACCGCACCGACCTTTTGTCGCTGGATAATGTAGTGGAACCAGTTTCGCGCGCTTCATTGTCCCTCCCCGGCAATCGCTACGGCTCTGACGATTTCCTGCTAGTCAGCCCTGGGCTAACATCCTTCGCAAACGGCCATTCGAACGGCTCCTCCGCACGGCCTCTTCCAGTTCCTCCCATCACTGGTCCTGACTCCTATGGGCCCGAAGTCTCTCGAGTGTCACTCGGAGGGTACAGTGCCGCAATACCTGCCGCACATGTTGGCGGGTATGCCAGCCCTACCCGGGCCGGAACAGCGACCGACGATTCGCACTACCTGCGATTGGCATTCCAGCGAATCGTGGGATCATCGAATGCGATGTCTCCGCTGGGGGATCCGGAGGTGCCCTACATTCCCCGCGTCACTTCTCCTGCCAGCGAACACGATGTTGCCGAGTTGCAGAGACAATTAGGCGCACTGCAAATCCAAGTGGACAATATCAGGGCGGATCATGTTTCCCTGGGCGCGAAGACGCCCCCACCTGCCTACGAAGAAGCGGACGACAAGTAGGGACCCGCCATAGCCTACTGTAACTCGGGATCTTGGACCGAGGTACATGTTGGACTCGTCATGGGCGCGCTGTGTCTTCAGATTTCCTTCCTTCCACTCAGGTCATGGTATACTGGACTGACAGGGTTGACAACACTGTATGGGCCGAGCTAGTAGCGCGACTCGTCCGGCGTGAGACTCTAGCGCACATGGTGATTCGATGGAAACTCCGTTGAGTTGTACTGTTTGCTGCTTGTCAGTGTCCAAGGTCTCTGTACGGACTCTGTACCATTAGTAGATGTCTAGCACCGTAGTAGTTGGTCACTGAAGATTCTCAGCAAGTTTGCACTTGGTTTGCACCACTATCGGAGTCGGAAGCACGTACCGGCGTCTCCGACATGTACCCGATGCTTCTGCATTCCCGCATTTAACTTGACCGCCACTTGACCGCCACTACGAAGCGATTGCTACAATTTATTGCTCAACATCACGATCGCTGGAAGCACCACGCACCGCGACGGATCCGGGCCTTTCAAATGACGTTACAGCTCTGCTGTGCGTAGATGCACATTATTGTGGTATAGCACAGCATTGACATGACGAACCGCAAAGACCCACGGTGAGATAATTCGGAGATAATACTTGACAGTTGGTTGGTAGGCCCTTTGATCGCCGTGTCTCACGATGACGAGCAGCGATAGCACCGCAACTGGGGTGCTCAGCATTCTTGCCTGGCTCCACGCCGCTTGCAAAGTCCAGTCATCTTCCTTATTTTCCTCTGGGGGTCTGCCAGTGCCCAGGCTGGCGTACTATTCACGGCGTCCACTTCAGTTTCGCTCCTTCAAGATTCTTTTCATTTGACGTTCCCTGGACATCAATTCTTGATAAACTCTACTTTTCAAGCTACAATGAGCGTCGCACAGGCTCCTGGCACGCTGACGAACAGGACGATTGACGACTACTACGGTGATAGCGTGACTGGCTTGCAGCCGCAATACCGCTCGGGCAGCGCTTGGAACTACGGTCCTCAATGTCCAGGTTGCTTCATACAACCAGCCGCAGACGAGGCCTTTGATCAGTCATGGCATGATGTGACTGCGTCGCCGAACGACCCAGGGCCAAGCAATGTGACACTCACCTTTACCGGTACGTTTGAACTCGATCTCTCCAATTCAAGTCTAACAAGCAAGCGACTGCTCATGCAGGTACCGCCGTTTGGGTATACGGCGTTGTCCCAAACTATGTCCAATATGCGACGACGTTTGTCAATGTCAGCTTCGAGCTGGACGGCAAGGTGGCAGGGTTATACACGCACGTACCGTCGACATCTACAAGCTACGAGTACAATGTCACGCTGTTCAGCAACACCGGGTTAGCCAATACGCAGCACACGCTGGTTATATCGCCTCAACGAGAACCAGACACATCATATATGGCGTTTGATTGGGCGCAATACACGTATGTTGTTGAGACGCATCCATGATACACCTCTCGATGCTAACTAGTATACAAGACACGAGGATGTGACCACAAGCTCATCTACCGGCAGCAGCACCTCCTCGACTGCATCAGGAGGAGGATCATCATCGACATCTGTAGTACAGAGCCCTTCCCAGAGCGCGTCGGGTTTCACATCAACGTCGAGCCACGCACCCGTCGGAGCCATTGTCGGTGGGGTTATCGGCGGACTTGGCCTGCTCGCTCTCGTCATCCTCGTTCTCCTTCTGCATCGTCGATACCGACATGGCGGTCTGGACAAGATCAGGATTGTCCGCGGCGGCGAGGAGGGGCGTGGATGCATCGAGCCCGGGGCGCAAGTGGACCCATTCGTGGATCCGTCCATGAGCCAAGTCAACGCGCCCGGGGCTTCACTGTCCACCAGCATGCCGAACCAGTCGCGCACATCGCTGTGGACGTCATCCAACTCCACGTCAACTGCCCCGACGACTTCTACGTTCCTCCGTGTTGCCAACGCGCCCTCGACCATCATCTCCGAGGAGGAAGAGATCGAGCCCTCTGGGTCGTCGTCAACATCCTACACACGCCCCGCGGCTGCTAGTGGGCCTCAGAGAGGTCACAAGAAGGGAACCTCGTCGACGAGCCTGTATGTCCTCCCCGTGGACACCCCTGCCGCCTCTAGAGACGCCCTCGCTCTGCCCCCGTCAAACACTCCCGGGAGCGCCGCCCCCACTAGCGCCGCTCCTCCCACGGATTCTCCTGCATCTGCGATCCCTCGAAGCGCACGCCGCCCGAACGGACGAGGCCCAAAAGCATCCATGCGCCGCGAAGAGCTCTCTCGCCAGATGCGCGACATCGAGAGCGCCGTCGCCGACCTGCGGCGGCGCCAGTCAGCCCAGTCTGCGCGCACAGTCTCATCGCGGCCGGCGAGTGGTCCTATCCCGCCGCTGCCGGGCAGCCCAGAGCTGCCCCCGGAGTCCGACGACTCTGACGAGCTGAGGAGGCAGATTGAGGCGCTGCAGCTGGAGGTGGAGAGGCTAAGGATGGAGCAGGATGTGACGCTGAGCGAGCCGCCGCCGGCGTACGTGTACGAGCAGGAGGATCGGGAAGCTCGGGAGAGTTAGTCTCAGCTTATATTTATGATCATGGTGTACATGCTGCATTGGCGCATCCTTATTTTGATTCGCTTTGCGATTGATACCAACTACCACCTCCTGTTATACCAATGACAACCACGTTCTGAGCGGAGGGGCCCATGTTATGGTGCGAATGAAGAGAGGTGCTGAAAATACAGGGATAAGTGTATCCCAAATCCGTATTCGCGTGAGTCTACGTAGTGTTCCATCCCAACTCAGCGATGCCTCCCGGCGCCTTACACATCCAAGGACGTTCATCCGTTGCGCGACGGCTGATGAGGAACCCATTCTCCGACGCCGTCAGAAACGTATCCTCGAGTACCATAGTCTCCGCGTCGTCCCCGGCGTCACTATGCACGAGCTCCGCGGGTGCGACGGCAAATGCCATCCGGCGCAACCTTCCGTTCTCATTTGACGACAGTTTGTAGCGAGACAATGTATTGGGATTGGCGTGCGCGGGCGAGCGATAGATCTGCGCGAACGTGAGACACAGCTCTGGAAGCGAGGAGACATGATTTACCTGGACCGTCGCTCCTTGAGGCGCAGACTCGCTCTCCAACGCTAGCGAGCCGCGCGATGGGTCTCCGGAGGTTATGTGATAGACTTGACGTATCTTCGAGGCACCATGACCTGCATTGTCGTCGAGCACGCCCAGAAAGAACGAGTCGTCTTTCATGATCTTCAGAAGCTTCGCGCTCTGATCGTCTGTGGCAGAGAAGTTCTTCCCGCTTTCAATCGCTGCGAGGAGTATACGCGATGGGTTCTTGTCGTCGAGCGCTAGGATGAGGTTTCCTTCAGACCTTGTTACGAGATCAGTCCAATACTCAGTCATAGGAGCGGAACAAGGCGCACTCTGTCACGACCATGGGTTGTGTCAAGGCCTGAAGACCTGGAAATCCTACTTGCAGTTCAGGAGGGGTAGATGAATGGATGCAAAGTCCGACTGCGCCCGACGAATAGACTGATTTTCCGTGGAACAGCGTGTATGGTCGACCAGTGATGAACGGCGTTGAAGACGCAACCAAGCCTATCTTCAGGCGCCGTGAGGTCGAGTGCTCATGCTTCTCCAGAGGACTGTATGCGATAATGGCATACCTTGGTAGCCATGGGTAACGCTTGAAGCGAGTTGGAGAGACCTTCTGGAGAGCCGTCGGACAGATAGATGACTGTATGCGCTTCATCTGTCCTGCGATCCCCGTTGTTCGATGCGCAGCACGAGGACTAAGCAAACGACGTACGGTATACCCTGCAGCTCGGACGGCAAGAGAGGAACGTCGACATTCTTCGCCCATACATCCTCCCAATTGACGTTCTCCGTCTCTTCTTGGACGACCTCCCCTGTGCCGACGCCAGATTGATCCTTCTTGCGAAACGCATGCCATCGGCCGACTTGTGGTGCACTTCTTCCGGGGATGTCACTTCTGAAGGCTGTAGTGTGGTCCTTGGGAAACATTGACAGCGAGCATGCGATGCTAGCCTGCAGAGCCGGGTTGCTCGAGGGTATAGGCGCGGATAGACATCCTACTGAGTGCGGAGAAAGCGCACCAACGGTCGAGACAAGATCCTGCAGATGACTCGAGTCCACCTTGGAAGAGACTGAAAGAGAATAGAGAGGGATGTGGTCCGGGAAAGCGAGGTGTACCCGACTGACGTGGGTCAGGATGTCGGAGACTTTCCTGGAGATGATCGTGCTTGTGTGCAAAGCCATAGAGTCTCCCTTCAACTACAGAGCTCTGCGGTGCGTATTCGCGTTGTTCCGCAATCCTGAGGTAGCTCGACGGTTGTGGCTAGGCTTCTACAAGCCCGAGCGACCTCGTCTTGCGGCTTAAGACAGCACTTAGTAAAGTGGTCACTTCTAGCACGTCGAGCGTATGAGAGCGCCTGTAAGTTCGACGGGGAGAGAGCTTGGTTAAACCGTCGTTGAACCTGAGAGTATGCGAATGGCGCTGCAGACCTTGGAGTGACAGTGCGCGAGCGCAGCATGATGCTGCTGAGCATGTGACCGACGCGGTTGTGGCGCTTGCGCGCCTTTGCCAGTAACTGTCGTACTCAAGTCTCAGAGTCATTATATTTTTATGTAAAATATCTTTGGCTGTGTCAATGCACCGTGACCATCAGCTCGTGCCACGGCCTCGCTACTAGCCCCGTTCTGAAGCATCCATTTTCATCATGAGAGGCTCCGTCGAGGTGTAGTAAGTCTTGGCCAGCGCCGCACCGCCTGACTCGACGCAGAATCTACGATCTGCAATTGAACTGCCAGGCTCAGTCGTGCCTCGTCGTACGAGAATGGGACTACCCAGTAGGGACACTGTGGGATTGCTTATTCTACACGCAGCCCATCTGGGACCGCAGATTGCGCGATTGAGGCGGGACCAGGGCGAGGGCCAGGACTCGGAGTGGCCGACGTTCCTACCAAGTGATCGGGGCGCACACCGAGTCTGATAGGGAGGACTGATTTCCAGTAATGACATGTTATCCGAGTCAATGCTGTGTACATACAGGATCCCGTGAGTCAACATGCTCTCCAAACCGGTTCGTCCGCCTCTTGCCTTCGCTGCCCACCACGTCCTCTACGTCGCAGCCTGCAGTAAAGTCTGGCCATGACGAACCAGCTACTTAGCGAGGAAGCACCTCTCCTCGCACCGCCGAAGCCCGCGGACGCGCATGCCGCTCTCTACAGTCGCTTCTCCCCCGCACGCAAGCGTATCATCCTTGCGCTGGTCTCTTGCGCGGGTATTGTCCCTCGTGAGTAGGTTCTAGCTAGCGTTGTCTGTTGTGCGGTTGGCTAAAGATACGTACCTGGCTGGCATTCTGAACAGTCTTGGTCACCGGATCCTTCGTACCGGCTATACCGCAGCTAGTAGCGGACATGCAGTCAACACCATCCGTGATCAGGTATGTATGCATTGGATTCTCGAGATCTGTCCTTGCAAGATTCGCACTACTGATACCGCTACTATCAGCTTGACGATCAACATCGCCATGTTCTCCGTAGCATTCGGCAACTTGATATGGGCGGCATATTCGGGCTTCTGTGAGTTCTCACCTGATTCTCTCCTCCCGGTCTATCCTCCTCAAACGACACGGCTCGCAGACGGACGTAGACCCATCTATCTCTACTCCCTGCCAACATTATGCATAGGCTCCATCGGCGTCGCAGCCTCAACGTCGATTGCCCAGCTACTCGCATGGCGCGTCGTGCAAGCATTGGGCTGTTCGAGTGGCATGAGTGTAGGAGCGGCGGTGGTCGGCGACCTGTATGCACTCGAGGAACGCGGCAGCGCAATGGGCATCTTCTATGGAGTGAGTCTACACATGCTCCATGGGGAGTCACGGGCACTCATAGCTGCCCTTCCACTCAGGCCGCTCTCATTGGGCCCGCCATCGCTCCGCTCCTGGGAGGTTTGGCCGTGCATTTCGCCAGCTGGCGAGCGCTGCACATAATTTTCGCCCTCCTTTCCGTCTTCATGTTCGTCATCATGTACTGCTTCCTCCCGGAGACGTCGCACCCTGGCACCCGCGGCGCAGATCACAAGTTCGGCGACGAGAAATGGCGATGGCACTGGCTCAACCCGTTGAAGAGCCTCACTCTGCTGAGAGCCCCGAACTTGCTGGTGGTGGTAAGCATGCACTGCTTGAAAGAGAGCGACGAGATGCTGAGCCGAGCTGTTCACAGACTCTGGCGACCACGGTTGTACTGCTCACCGACTTCGGTACGTCTGCCACAGCGCGGGGAAATACACTCGCTGACGCGTGCATCAGTCATGAGCATCCCTATCGCATACACTCTAGTAGGTCTCATCCCGGTCTTCTGCACTACGCCATACCGAATGAGAGCAGGGTAAACGATACAACATCACGAACGAGGCCTTGGTTGGCCTCCTATTCCTCCCAGTGGGAATCGGCAACATCAGTCAGTCACTCCCTCTCGTGCACCCTTCACAGCTCACCCGTTTGTTCTCCAGTTGGCGCCCCATTGGCAGGCAGGCTCTCCGACGTAACAGTGGTACAGTGGCGCGCCAAGCGCAAGGGCGTCTGGGTACCAGAGGATCGCCTCCGCGCATCTCTCCTCGGAGCCATCCTCGCGCCAGCAAGCACTCTGGCATGTGGTCTCCTCACGGAATTCGTCCCCGGAAAACTCGGTATCGCGCTGAACGTGTTTGCCCTCTTCGTTAACGGCATTGGCGTGCGTATCGTTGCCGCACCTCGCGAGTTCGATGCAGAAGTAACTGACGTTTGGAAACAGGTGGACCTCGTGCTTAGCCCTGCATCTGCGTACAACGTTGATGTTCTGCACTCACGAAGCGCCGAGATCATGTCGGCGTCTGGGTGAGTCTCTGATTGTGTCCATCGCATACGGCTCACTGACTCCGTTCGTATACAGCGCTCTGCGCGCTATGTTAATGGCGATCATCACGACGGGGATCTTGCCCTCGCTTGAACGGTTCGGTCTCGTATGGACGAACTTGGCTGCAACGATCCTCGGATGGTCAGGGCTTTTGTAAGTGCTCGTGTCTGTTCTTTGCGGTTGTTCAAGATAGCTGAGCCATGCTTCAGGATGCTCCTGCTCACGATCCGCTATGGCGACCGTATGCGGGCATCTGTGAACATCAAATGGTCCACGGCGCGCGACAACTGAAAACATGCATAGTATGAAACGACGATCCATAATCTCATGAGTAGATTACGTTGCTTAACATGACAGAGGGCCAGTCAAGGCGGAGTATCATCATCATGCTCCTGGCTGCCAGACCCCCTTCAGATGACGTATAGACACGAGATAGGTGACGCCGGTGAATCCAAAGATCAACGAACAACGGAGCGTCCGCACTGGGTGGAGACAGAACAAAATCTGCGAAGCGGTAACATTAGACTCGGTCATAGAAACAAGTAGAGATGACAGATCACCTTTGTATTGGCATACTACCGTAGGCCGTGTAGGGAAAACCGGCTACCTTGGCTTATGATGTGATCAGCACGAAGTCAATGAGTTTGCTAGCAGTACACACCGTCTCTGGCAGCCAATCGGGCACAAAGGTAAGGAGGGAGAAAGAAAAGATGTCACGAAGACATCGAGGAGTGAAAAATTTGCTTCGAAAGCACCTTTACGCAGACAAGCTGCGTCGCACGTCATCTGTCAACACACTCTCGAAGAGGGCAGAGCCATGCCCTCTTCCCCCGCAGCGACACCAGCTCAGAGTGAGACCCGCATCCACACGCTCTCTCTCGGTTCTTGCTCCATAGTACTTCCCCTAGCGCCCGAGGGCTTCGGGTTTTCCACCACCATACCTGACCGCCCAAACACCATCCTTACCCATGAAGGGCCAAAGGACCATGCTTGATTGTGGGAGGCAAGCACCACCGAAGCATAAGACGCTTTCAGAACATCCCGACGCGTTCTCGCGAACCGAAGTCCGCGCCGACGCCCCGCTCGCTGCCTCCGAGCTCACCAACTGGACTGCTTCGCCTTCCTGCACGTATACACCATCCAGCACTCACACGCACCACCACAAACCGAGACACGAGTCCTCACCCGCAGCCTACTCGTCACTCGTCTGCACTCCCGCGCCCTATGGAGAGTAGCCAGCCGCCAGGGAACTGCGCCCACCAGCCGATTACACTGCCAGGCCCGAAGGCACTCATCGTCGTCAGACTCGAGCACGAAACTCTGTTGCGGCATCCCGGAGGAACCGCAACTCTGACAACAACGGGAGGAATCTGGATACCGGAGGGCCGTCCTTCACGGAGATCTGCATAGGGGAGAAGAACAGAGCGAGCGGTACCAGCCGCAGGATCGACGGACCTCGCACTGGGCAGTGACAATGGGGAGCTTTCCAAAGCCGAATGATATATGGAAGGGCGAGAACAGAACCAGCAGGACGAACTCGAGGAGACAGGTCTCCGCAGAACATCGAAGACGAAGTTGTCAAGGAGCCATCCGGACCGCCCCAGAGGCCTCGGCTGAGTACAGGCACAAGCCTGACCGCCACAGCATGATCAAAGATGGGTCAAGACGACGACAGCATAATGAGAACTGAGTTACTACCGCGTGGAGGGTGATCGCTGTCCGCCTTCCTGTGGTGGAAGGACAGGAGTTGGGGGCGGTTGAACAAACACGGGAGGACTATACGTCTAGCGGTTGAACCACCATCGTCACCCGCCCTCCCTACCATGCGGGCTTCCGGGCCCAACGACCGTCTCTTGTTTCGATGCAGTCCACACGCACCTGTACCCATATCCCTTCCCGGGACCCAAACTACCTCCACGACACTGCGCTACGCCTTCCCGTACGTCCCGTTAGCGTTCAGACAAAGACACGCCCGCTTCGTGCTCCAACCAACCACTTAGCCGCGAAGCCATACAGTTTCGCTGCGCCAGCCGACGCTTCTAGGCCCCGTCCCCTGCTCGCTGCCTTGGGGAAAGCAGCGGACACAGTGGTAGCCTACGGCGAGCAGAAATCCGCGTAAATATCGCCGGGGGTTGGGCCATGTCCTGCGACCTGGCCCTCGGAAGTGAGCCCAGAGGCTCGGGCTGCTCGTTCTCTGTGCGGAATACTCGTAATGGGAATACCGTCGAAGTCACCATATGAGATGAGGGTTCATGCTGTCTGAATGCGCTATCACCAGTATCGAGCAGCGGAAAGCGATGATAGGCAATGAAGACCTCGAAGAGGCCAGTACGTGACCTATCCGCCTGGTGCCACCCCTTGCACACCACTCGTCAGGCTGTACGTGGCTCGTTCACTCTGCGGCTATGCACCCAAACGTGAACCGCGACGCTTCTCTGGTGTCCATCCTGCAGCACGCCATCATCGCAGAAGGATCTCGCGCTTTCCGACGTCGCCTTCCCCACCTCAAGCCGGATGCACGCGCTTCCGCACGGCATCCTGTATGTGACGCAATGCGGCAAGAGGCGAAGGGTCCCGAGGCAAACGCTGGCGGGGATCTGTACGTACGAGTCTGGACGACGCGTCAACTGGGATTCAGGAATGGACACTTTCCGGAGATGCGATGAGGGCGCCGCGAGAGATCACCACGAGCAAAGAGCAAGAACGGGTTGGTAAGGATGACACCACGGCTACGGACTGCAAGATTCAGGCGACGAGAACGCGCACCATCGGGCAAGGCAACCCCATCCATAATGAGTGTCATCGCCTGGGGCACATCGCCGACTCCGACGTTGTATTCCCTGAGAAGAAAGAGAGAGCAGAGCAGCACCATAAACACTTAGGGTTAGATTCCACTCTGGTTAGAGAGCGTATCCTGTTGGCTGAAGGCAGCAACTCGGTGGTTGGCGAAGCGTGCGCGCGATGTCGTGAACCGGGGGCCTGGAGCGAAGAAGGCCATTGGAAGGACGCAGGAGTAGCCGCAGGAGTAGAGGGTCCGATATAGAAGAGGATTTCGGGGCTCGCGGGACCAGTTTGCATCGACATCGAGGTTGAGGTCTGAGTTGCGTTCGGCTCTGGCCTGTGGCTTAAGACTGTGGCTGAGTCGCGATCAACAGCATCACGTGACTGCGCGTCTGTGGCGTGGGAGTCTGGGCCGATGCACTGTGGCACTACTGTGGCTGCCTAACGCCGGCCCACGGCAATTGCCCTCAGTACCCGTCCTCGAAGGAACACTCCTACTTGGTCTTACCAGTTTCTAAGTTTATCGCCCTGCACAGCGTTGAACGCTCCAATAACCTGTTTCAGGTTTACGTGGCCACATACGCCCGCCATCTGCTAAGCGACGCCGTACGACAGGCTCCGATTGCAGAGACAGTGCAGTGAGTCGAGGCATTTGTGAAATTCAGTAGTCTTAGTGACCTAACAGTTTGTGGATGTCTGGCATGCAGTCGTGCGATGTTGGGTTCTCGCAGACTATCTGTCATTTTATGCAGCGCAGTTGGACATGATGATCCGACTAACTCCCTCCAGCATCTCTGACACTGGCCGAGACCACGATGCGGTATCGCACTCCCATTCGTTCACCGATCCTGGTGCAGCAGTCGCCGCGCACCCTGAGACATGGTCGTCCTGCCGCGACTAGGCGAGTGAACGGTTACCCGTCTATGCTCTCGTCTGTCCGTGCGCTCGTTCGTCGATGTTCGCCGCGCGGCCGACCGCGATCGACTCACGCGGCTCACGCCGCTGTAACAGTGACAAACTGTATGTGTACAAAATCGGGGGCTGACTGTTGGGTGATGTGAACAAAACACAGGCGCGAACTGACTACACTCTATGGCAGTATGATCACCCGCGAACCTTAACGCGTCTGGCGTCGTATGCGGTCGCAGGGTACCCGTGTATAAAGTCGCGAAAAGCTCGCAGACACTTCAAGTTCACGTTCCTGTACCTGAAATGGCGAGCTTCAGTATTGCTGGGTCTCTGGGCTCCCTCTTTGTGGGCATCTTGTTATCTAACCTGTGAGCGAGCATCTGTCTAAGTACTCGCCGACGGTTACCTACTGATTTCACTACAGTCTATATGGCATAACTTGTGCACAAACCCTATACTACTTCTACCACTACCGTGATGATAGATGGATTTTGAAGACTTGGGTATGGCGTATCAGTTGCTGCTGAGAGTTCCTGGCTCAAATGCATATCCCTTCATACAGGTAGCGTATATATGGTTGGTGGACATTAAGTATGCATTATGGCTATGTCTAATTACTCTGGGTCAGGCTTCTTGACACGGCTAAGCTCATGACGGAAGCACACGTAAGTAACCACGATCGACAACCTTCGATATACGAACCCTGGCTCATCATCGTGTGCTGTAGCAACTGTGGTTTTACTTCGTCGTGCGACATGACAATCTGTTCGGTTTGCTCCAGCTTGACTCGTGCGTTTTCCCATATTGCAGTTGAGATTTGAGGCGTGGTCGGCTAATTCTCGTGTCAGGTTTGTGGGGGTAAGATTGCTCTTACCCTTTGTATTCGCTTGGCCTTTATTAGAGTCCTAGGGTGAACAGATACTAGAGGTGGGTCCGAATAACAGTCTTCGTGACAATGCTCATACTGTCCCATAGGGGTTGTTGCAACTAACGGTACAATGGTAAATGACTGCTACTGTGGTTCCGTACGAGACGTCTCTGAGCCCATTACAGGTACTTTCTGCACAAGATCTACCGGCGTGAGTGTTCAAGGAGACCGGTGCCGGCATTTCTGATTCATCCCGTGGTGTTCTAAAGTCCTCAGGACAACGCGTTCGAGATTGTTCTTCGCAATCCCAGCGGTAAGTGCTACTCAAACCTCGTTTGTCCGTTGAATTCGTTGAATTCAATGCGTCATTGGAACATCAGGCAGCGTTCTTTGTGCTCTCAATAGGTGCGTTCCCGGAGGTTCGTCCTACGTTACCTCCGCGGATCATCTAACGATGAGCTGAATAGCTTCAACTATATGTGCGTAAGCCCCTGACAGCTCTCTGGTCTGTAACGGGTCCTGAAATAAACACCTGATGATTTGGCAATAGGGACGGTGTATAATTGGTAAGACATGGCATCGGATCTTGTGCTGCGAATGTCCGAACATGATCCTCTTGACGATCATGGTAGTTTCGCCCACCCCGATATTGGCGGCACCCTGACTAGCGAACTGGTGTGTGAGTTCACGACTGTGCGCCTGATAGTGGGTTGATCCCGGAAAGGACGCGGCTGTTCTCCTACTCGTCGCATCTGTGGTGACGGATGTTTACATCACGTTCGCGCTGTGCTACTGTCTACAACGAACCACGACTGCTTTCGACAGGCGAGTCCAAAATTTCACAGCACCGCACCAAGGACGTTTACCAGAGAGCTAGAACCAAACATATCATGTCCCGGTTGGTCACTTACCTGGTCAATCGAGGGGCACTGCTTTGGTACGAGACAATGACATTGAGGGGCTCGCTCAACTGACTCTCTTTGTGAAGCGTGACTACTCTCGTGCTGCTCATCATGGTATGCATACACTCGGCTGTGTAAGCCGTTGCTCAAGCTGAAGACCCATAGTATTGCCTGGATGCTCGAAACGGAACCTACTATTCCGAAATCCTACAAGCCCCGACGGGATCGTGTATGTACTGCTATTTATCTGCTATGATGCGTGCGTTTGTGCTTACAATCACCAACAGTGTACGCGAACTCTCTTCTCGCCATGTAAGTGCAAGCTAGTGCATTTTGCTTGCTCTTAACCAAAGAATGTGTCGAGCGACCAGGTTGAACGTCAGAAACCATCTTGGGCGAGCGGAGGTCAACGAATCCGCGCTGCTACCTCTTCGACTGCGGCGCTCGTGACATGTCACTGCTGAGTGCTGAGTGCTTGGCAACGTTGTCGGGAGGTACCGTCAATGCAGATCATCTCATCTCACAATGCTTCCGTGCACTACTGTATCCACTGGCAGATAGCGATAGTCTCAAGTCCATCATGACTTATAACAGTTGTACATTCAGTTTTCATCCTGCAGCTTTCAGTAGTAATACAAAGGACATTATACATTCGTGTTTCAAACATCGTATGCAATGCGCGCGCCAACCCAGGCGTATGGGTAGTTGTGCTGGTAGAAATTCCGCAGAGTGCGGCGCTCAGCAAGGCGCGGAATCGTCGCATAAGAGCCGCCGATCTAGACAGATGGATGTCAGGCACAATGCAATGACCGGGTGACTGAGGCCACTTACCACAACCTGGTGCTGTCCGTCAAAGAAGTCGACTGAATAGCTGTACAGACATCGTGCGTCAGACACTGTTCGATTATCAGCGACCGAGGGAACATCGTACCCAGGGTAGAGACGCGACGGGACAAAGCCCTCATGCCTTTCGAGAACAGTGGACGTCCACTCGAACACACCTCCGTTGTGCCCCTTCCCTCCATCCCGCTCCCCTCCCGTCGTGGCTCTAGACGATTATCAAGAAGTTAGGCATTAGGCGTCGCTGGTGACACTCATCACTTACGGGATGGGGTGCCAGTTCCTAAATCCGACGTTTCCTCCGCCCTCATAGCCGCACTCGAACATGTCGAGGAACAGGCGGAGCTCTGGCTCGGTAGGGATGCGTCCGCCCTTCACACTCGCGTATGTAGACAAGTTGTCGAAGGAGGTGATAATGGGCCAGTGCCAGGCGATCTTGATGGGTACCGGGCCATACAGCGTGCGGACCTTGGATATCCCATGTCAACTTGGGCAACAGGAGAACAACCTCGAGAGAACGTACGTTAACTTCGCCGTTTATCTCGACCCAACATGCAGGCAGCTTCACAGCATCCTTGCCCTTGTCGAGGTAATACTCATAGAACTCGCCGTTCGTGACGGGGTGCCACTCGATCTTGAACTGGCCAACGTCGACCTGCCTCTTCGGATGCTCGTTGTCCCAGCCGAACTCGTGCATCGCGACGTCAGTCGATGCGTCGTCCGCCTCGTCATCATCGTGTCCGAATGTGACCGTGGCCGGTCCGAGCGTCACAGTGCGATTCTTCGGCTGGGGAGCGCGGTCCCATGACTCAGCAAGGATGGACCAAACGGGGGGAGTGAAACCGCTCGGGGGAATAGTACCGGTGCCAGCACGTTGGAGGAGCATGTAAAGAAGCGTCTGGGTAGAACGTTCGTTTATCAAAGAAAGCGCACTGGAGCAGATGCCTCACCTCAGCATGGAACGCCTCGTGCTCGAGGGTCATGAACAGTACGCGGGCCATCTTCCTCGTGAGGATGACCGATCCGGACTCGACGTCGTCATACAACTTCATGATACGCTTGCGCACCTTGCTCTGGAACTCGAGGATATCGGCGACGGAGGGCCAGTCCTCGTCGCATGTCGGTACCTCAGAATGAGACTGCAGAGCGTCAGTGCACGAAGGTTACGTCATGTCATGGACGCGACGTACGTGGCACTGAGTAGGGTCGTCCACGTTGGGATCAATTCCTCGCTAGAAAGTACGTCAGGATCTCGCTTGTCCGGCACAAGTAAAGCAGATAAATATCTCTGCTTTGTCCTTACTTCGAATATGTACTGCGACAGCCATCAGTCCAACCCTCATCATGCTGCGTCAGGGATCTCACCTTGAAGTGCGCCGGCTCGGTATCAGGCTCACCAAGGAGCCTGCACAGATGGATCGACAAGAACGTCGGAATATGCCCCATGTAGAACAGGCAAATGTGCCGGAGGTCAATCGGCTTTTGGAACAGCATCGACGGCGGGATCATCCGCTGCGTGATGAAGTCCCACGCGGCCCACATCGTCTGCCACTCTTCCAACGACGGCACGCTGAACGGCGAGCGCTTCGACTCGGGTGACGAGATGACGGGGAAGAGGAATGGGGGTCGCTCGAGCAGCCACAGAGAGTAACGCGACGAGCTGTCGGTCCAGCGGTGGATGGGCCGCAGGTTCGCTTCGATGAAGAGGCGATAGGCATCGCGGTCGGAGTACTGTAGTACGTCGGTCAGCAGGATGCATATTGAAGCACATGCCGTGTACGCCGTGAACATATACCTTGTGTGATACCTCGACCTTGACGAGTTCATCTGCCTTGAATGAGTAGACCGCCTTACTAACAGGATCTATGATAGTCTGATCCTCGACAGACTTGTAGAAAGCCTCATGCCGACCTATCCGAATGTAAGATAAGTTTGACCAGACGTACAGTATTGGATACGTACGCTGTTCTTTGTTATATTGGCCAACATAGGCCCACTTGTTCTCAACGAACAAGCCTTCATCGCCGAGTGCTTGCCCAGCGCCTTTCAATCCATTCATAATGAAAGCCTCAGTAACACCCTGAGGGTCATTGTACGCAGTCTCGATATCATTCGGGTCGTTGTCATGGTCCAAACCAAGAAGTATCGTGTCTCCGGAGCCGGGGCGAAGCGGCAGGGATTGCAAGAACGTAGCGTCATCGCCTCGGGGGAAGTTGCCCAGAGACGATCCCAAGAATAGGATGTGGAGCGGCGAATGGTCGCCCGGCGTCGATGGTGGAGTTTCGTCGGTCCCGTCGCTGGCCCCTCCAGAGGACGTCTCAGAGTTCGAGCTGGGCGACACGTCCCTGCCCGACTTGTCCAGCTTGTAATGCTCAGGGAGTCGAGCAGACACGCGGTCCATCCCAGTGCGGCCCTCGAGACCGCCCTCGCGGATGAACTTGAGACCGTCGTCGTACGTAGCGCACAAGCCGCGGGTGGAGACCTTGCCGCGGATCTGCGCCCCCACGTCGGACGCGTTTAGCTCTTTCAGCGTGCGCGCGAGCTCACGCTCCTGGAGATCGAGGGCGTAGTAAGTGATCGGCGACTCCATGGTGGGCGAAACCAGGTCTGAGAGGGCTGATAAGATGTGCGAGGTCTTGCGCAGCGCCCTGCAGATAAAGATTAGTCTCCGCGCTTCGTTGCTACCAGCTGGGGATCGAAGTTGGGGCTGAGGTGCTACTGGGTCACACGTGATGCTGGGATGTGAGGGATAGCCACCGTCGAGGCCCGGGCGGCGGGCCTCGACGACGGATCCAGATAGTGAGATAGACGAGATCGTCGATCTACGGACATAGCTTGATACCCAATGATAGAAGGTGATCGACAGAGAGAACCGGGAGAACCAGCCTAGTGCCTGGAGGAAGGGGAAGACGACAGGCGTAACGACACTCACCCGGCACCGAGTTCAACGACGACTTCATCAGACTTGACTTCACCGTCGGCGGCATGCATGACGCGAGCGATTCCGTCAGCGTGGTTCTTGAGGATCTGCTCCTCGGCGGAGAAGAGGTAATACTCGGGGACTTTCGTGGTGATGTCGTCGTACAACCTCAGGCCGCGCTCGTCGTACAGCAGCATGGTCGGTAGGGACTTCTTGCCCGTAGGCTGGGATAGTCCCTCGACGATCTGAGCGCGGATAGACTCCCCGCCATCGGAGAGGCGCTTGTCCGCGCGGACATTGATGATGTCGACGCTTGCAGATGCAGACGCCATGGCGGTGGGTGTGGGTGGCCAGGAAAGGGTGCGGGAGGTGGCGGTGAGGGGGTGAATGAGGCGGCAACAATGAGGAGGGGCCGTATTTAAGCAGCGCGGGTTGGCGGAGGGGTCGCGGTGACGCTCGTCTGTGGCGGAGGCGCCCACAGCGCCGGCGAGGGCGTTATGTAAGCAGATGGATGACATCAAGTGAGGGCGACGCCTGACAGACGCCTGACCGGTTCACTGACCGGCTGCAACTGCATCTGCCTATTCCTTGTTTCTGCCAGTCACCCGCCTCCGCGCTGCCATACACAGCACTCCCGGTCACACGTAGCTGGGCTTGGGTTCAGATCCGTGTACGACACTCCCAACGCGGCGGACACGCTCACCTGCGCATGAGGTAACCCAAGGGTAGCCGTCGCACATGTGTCCACCCAACGAACGTGAACGCGTAGCGAAGAAGCCATCTTGGGGCCTAAGCGGACAGCGGACGCTGAACGTGAACCTTTAGTCGAGACATCCGCCTGCAGTAAGTGTCGCCGAGCTGAAGAAGGCCCGCCCGCGGAACTGTTGGGCTAGGTTGGGCTACATCCAAACTGCATGAGTGAACAAAGTGGCAAAGCACGGTCTGCCGATCAACTCCTCGGATGTCGGTGCGCAATCACTGCGGCTGAGCAAACACTTGCAGCACCGTACCTGAGCTGCATCTAAACACGCTTAGCAGTTCAAGGCAAGCTGAGTAATCTCGTCACATCGTACAAACATCGCCGAGACAACCAGCGGCGTACCTGACTCAACACATACTCACGCTGCCTCAGTTGAACAAGCGACGAAGGCGGCTCGTAGAATATCCCTCCGCTCTGACGGCGCAACTACGTCGCCCTCACATCGTGCTATGCCTTCTGGACCCATCAGAAGGCGCTAACACTCGTTCATTGCTCCGCGAACCCGCGGCCTCTAGTCGCGTGTTGAGGCCTTGAGGGCCACGGATGCAAACCGACTGCCGTAAGACCTCACACTGGGGTCCAAATGTATACCATCGTGCGTTGGGGGAGAGGATCATGTTGGGGAAGAAATGGAAGCTAGCTGCGCGAGGTCACCGGGACGACGGCGACGAACTCGCGCCTACAGTTACCGAATCGACCTGCAGAGCTCCACGTAGGTTAGTCGCTCGTTGTGGGGCAGCGTGGCAGGTGAAGAAACCACTCGCCTTGTGCGACAACGCTCCGATGACTCTTTCGCGCAGCCAGCGAGAGAGTCGGCGTAGAGCAACCTCGAGGACGATAGCCGACCAAGATCCCGGGGCACTGCCCGAGTGTGGACAATGAAAAGATTACGATCTGACTGCCCGCAAGCAATCACCCAAGAGGAGATATGAACACGCGGACAGACCCGTCTGTGAGGCAATAAGTGGGAGCCTGTAGAGACTTACCTTGACGCCATCAACGGCATGCCACACGGACAGTCTGAATGCTAGATTGGCAATAGCCATGGGCAACGCTTAGCAAGGCATTCGATGATTTCGCCGACGAGCAGGCATCCAGACGAGACGTCCATTCATTAGTCAGTGCATAATGTCCGCGGAAATAATAACTAGTCCTTGTCTATCGAGACCAATTCGTCGGCCAGGCGGGCCAGCATATCGTCCGCCCGCGGATTCCTAGGAAAAGTCTGCCCGTCGCCCTTGCTACAGAACGACGCCCGCACGGCCGTGTCACCTCGCCGCCCGACAGAGTAACAAATGAAAGCACTCACCATCCGCCCCCTACAAGCAGCCGGGGCACCCACCCCCACGGCCGGTCCCACCCCATCACTTGCGCCCAGTTCTTCCGCCAGCCGACGTCGTATGCCCGTATGTGGAAGTGAGCGTCGCGGACGAGGCGCCGCTGCGCGTGCGAGAGCTGGTGCTCGAGCGGCGGGTCGGAGAGGATCTGCGCGTCGGGCGGCGGGCGCGGGAGCGGCGGGAGGTGGCGCAGGAGCAGGAAGGGGGACACGTTCTCGAGCGTGGTCTGGTTCGTGCTGTGGGTATGTATACGGATGGGGAACGGGAGGTCAGGTGGCGGTGAGCACGATGAGCAGTGAGCACGTCATTTGAAGGCGCACGCACGTCGTGAGGTATATGTGGTACATCCAGAATGACCCGAACACGAGGGCCATGATGATTCCGTAAAATGCGAGGTATATGTCGTGTAGTGGTGTGTTTTCGTCCTACGCGACGGTTGAATTGCTACTCGGCTGGAGATGGCGGGCGCTACTCACGATGGCTAATGGGTTGGTGAAGGCAAAATACACCGCTTGTACACACAGGACGGCAATGTATACAGAGAGAAATACAATGCAGGTGAGTAGATGGATGAAGGCGGCGTATGTGCGGTGACCCTTGGACGGTGTCAGGAATTTCCGCAGTCAGTACTGAGCAAGCGGACGCTGGACTTACAATACATCTGTCGCCGAGCCAATAACAATGATGATCTTTCCTGCCAGTCACTACTAACGTCCCGGCAGCATACACGGACGTAAAGACTCACCCATTTTGAGGACACACCTCCCGCACGTACTGCAATGGTGTGTCCGCTCGGGCTTAGGCGCGGAACACTTCCGGCACCAGTTGCCCGGCCGCTTGTCGTCCTCCTCAGTCGCGAGCAGCGCTTGCATGAAGCTCATGTCTTCCCGTTCGTCGAGGCTATCCGCTGCCTCCGCCATCCTCGGAGATGTGACGGGTCCGGGGTCGCGTGCGAGGATAAGGATGAGAGAAGAGAAGGCCAGGAAGGTGAGGGTATATGTGGCCAAGAGGTGGAATAGAAAGCGTGCGGGAGATTTGAGCACTCGGAGGTGGTAGTTGACGAGGACAAGCAGGAGGGAGGGGTGCGGTATTAGCATGAGTAGCACAGCCACTACTCGGGCTCTGCATGAGCCTTCGGTCTAGTATGAACTTGCAGGGCGAGACTCACGGAGCACTGGAATATAGTGAAACCATCGTTTCTGACCGCGAGGGCTAGCATCGTCCTCATCCTCGTCGTCCCAGTGGGTTGTACGCGGAGCGGGCATGTCCGGAAGGTGTAGCAGCGTGTTCCGTCGGACTTCGGTCATGAAATGAAAGCTGCAAGCTGGTGCGAAGTATCGCGGGGTTAGCGGGTCTAGAGAGGTGAATGAGAGTGGGTGAAGGCAATTGACATGGCCAGGTTGCCCTGCGGGGAGCAGTACTTTGAGCCTGTTGGGAGGTGGGAGACACGATCGACGCCGGCTACTCACTTGCCGGGTTCTATGTCCGGACACGCCGCGCCGGGGGCCCGTGAGAAACTACGTTCGACGACGCGGCTTTCAGCGCTTCGAATTCAGTACGCTCGGCTGCAGCCTACAATGTGGTATGGCCGACCGCGGGCCTAAGTATGCATGTTCATATTATACATACGGCGGATGCCAGCCATCAGGTCGACGTAACCTCGAGCATACACATCAGACCAACGGCGACAAGTACTGCTACTGGACTCCTGACGGAGGCGTCGAAGAGTGGATCTCATATGATGAGGGTGGGTGCCGCGGCGAGCAATCTCCTCGTACGTGGGTAGACAACCGTTGGATCCGGATTGGAACTGGGTGGGTTAGGGCCTGATTATGAACAATCCCTCGCGGATTTATTGACAAACAACAGCGGGTAAGCTGCATCATCGGCACGGTTCTTTTCTACCTGCCAGTCCTATATTGGGTATGTAGGCCTGTCGATGACGACGGGAGAGACGAAATTGTCGTCACAGAATGTACCTTGTCGGACGGTAAAAACGCCCTACATACGAAGGTACCACCATGGTCTGGAAGTTGAATTTAATGCCGATCGCCCAGCTTCTGCCACAGTCATCAGTCAAAAGACATCTCAGGAGATATTACATAAAACAACCTCAGTCGGGGCTCCGCGCTCAGCTTTGACTTGATAAATGGCCACTTGCGAGATGGCCGCTATTTACGTGATAGGATGCCTAGATCTTGGATCTGCAAAGTGTCGGGCCAGTGTCCTAGTGCAGACGCGATGCACCCAATGCAGTGAGCGACAATGATGATACAATGCACGCAACACTTACTGCCAAATCCCTTGACATGGTGTGCGCCTGTATGCTCCCATCGCGTCGTTGCAGGGCACGATTGGTGCAGCCGATACTACAAAATGCATCATGACAAGAGAACGAAGGAGAACGAAAAAGAGGGACATGTGCATGATGCCTCGTGAAGGGTCTTCGATAACAGTCGAGTGAGGGAGGGGGCCAGCCGCGCTCAGGACATTGACGGTGCTTGTCGCGATCGTGCCTCTTATCCCGAAGAAATTCTGGACACTTCAACGGCTCTCATTGTTTCTCCGCACAGCCTGGCTGCCTGAGCGGGCGTGGTTCTGAAAGAAATCAAAGACTGCGTGTGCGCAACGTTGGCCGGAACCGACACAAGACACTATATAGTGTCGGGACGTGCAAGTAGCGAGTGACACCCGAGTTTGAGTACTCAGCGCTCAGAGGCCAACCTGTCCCCATCGAGCGAGATAACTGGACGAGGAAAGTATGCTCATCATGGATCCGGAACAATATAGGTACTTATGGACGTACGTACTGGCCATAGCGGTCCGACCGAGCATTGGCATTCTGGACCCCGTTTACTAGTCAGAGGATGCGGCCACCACCGATGTGCGCGAGTAGGAGACACCGTGCAGACAAAGATATGATCACCGTGGTGGTCTACATGAGTCTCACGGCCCTTGTGAACGATGGTGGAACATATGACAGGAACAAGTTGGCGGTGACCGTGTCACGGTTGCAGTAGTACTTAGATCCAATCGGTCCGAATCGCAGGTCACGAGCGCGGTTTTTCGCAAGCGCCTCCGCATTGCTCTCACACCGCGGGCAAACCAGTTTGTTCGAACTCCGAAAACCCCTACGAACATCGGTCCCGCCTGGGAACCTTTACGGACTCCGAATATTGTCAGAACATGCTGCGAACATGATGCGTTTCAGCCGATTTCAGCATGTTCGGAGGCCGAACATGCGTGTTTTCGGCGAACATGCTACGAACATGAGAAATGTAGGAGCATTTTCGGAGTCAGTCAAGCTCTCCGAAAAGGTTCCCATGGAGGACCGATGTTATTAGCATTTTCGGAGCCCGAAAAACCTGGTTTGCCCGCGGTGTCAGTCTGCTCTGCGCCGCTGCCCGCACCAGCTCCAGGGCAGCAACGCTCCCCGCTTTTCTTGCTCACCTCTCTTCTTTGAAAATGACCGAGGCGTCCACCTCGACCGCCGCCAGAGCGGCACCCACGCCCGCCTCCTTCAACGACTACAACACCGCGCTGCAGACCGCCGCGCTGAAAGCGACCAAGCACGCCGCACAACTCCCCGCCGACATCCCCTTCCACCGCTCCGTCGACCGCGCGTTCGCTAAAGACATCGACACCGCCTCCGCGCGCGTCCTCGCGCTCGCGAACCGCCTGCTCGCGCTTGCGGCTACGACCGACTCGAGCGCCGCGGCGAAGCGGAAGGGGAAGGCGAGGCTGGAAAGCGAGGAGGATGTGGTAGACAACTTCCATGCGGTGGTTGTGGACTCGATGGACCAGCTGTTAGAGCGTGCAGTAAGGAGTGCTTTCTGTGATATCGCATGTTGGCTCTCCGGGGCGCGGGACTGACGCTCGGTCTGTGCTTGCAGGACATTCGTCTGGACGAGTTCCTGGGACGCTCAAAGCCTCCTGCGATCGCTGTGAACCCTGCGCAGCCCACTGCGCAGAAGGCGAAGAAGACGAACGCGCTGCCCGGGAGGCTCGACCCTGCGCTCCAGCATGCGTCTACCCTCACTAAGCCTCAGCTCAGCTTCAAGCGCAGACCGGACAACAACAATATGTCAATATGGCATCCAACTCTGAAGCACAAATACAACGCGCAGGTACCTCTTGGATACAACCTCAGAGACGATGATACGGAAGAGAACCTCTCCGGACAGAGCGCGTGCGTGCACTATTTTTTGGGTTCGCGCCTTTGGCTAAGCGATCTAGTAGCCTCCACCCCTACCGCTACGAAATCCGCCACACGCCCTACCCAGCACATATGTTCGCCTCCACCGCGCCCGTTCCCCCGCGCTCCTTCGATGCGACGCCCTTCACCTGGGTGTCCGACTCCGCCGCGTTTGACGCGATGCTCGAAAAGCTGCGCGGCGCGCGAGAGATCGCGATCGACCTCGAGCACCACAGCTACCGCACGTTCGCGGGCTTCGTGTGCTTGATGCAGATTAGCACGAGGGAGGAGGATTGGGTTGTGGACACCCTTGCGCTGAGGGACGAGCTGGAGGCGCTGAATGAAGTGTTCACGGACCCGAGAATTGTCAAGGTATGTGGGCTTGCGCTGAATTTCGGGGATACGAGCGCTGAGGTGGGCAATCCCAGGTTCTGCACGGTGCTGAGAGCGATATTGTATGGCTCCAGCAAGACTTCAACCTGTATATTGTCAACTTATTCGATACATACCACGCATCCAAAGTGCTCGGTGCGTATATCACATCCTTGTACATAGCACGCGAGTCTCACACAACAGCTCAGACTTCCCTCGACACGGTCTGGCGACTCTGCTAGAAATGTACTGCGACTTCACCGCCGACAAAAAGTACCAGCTCGCCGATTGGCGGATCCGTCCGCTTCCCGAGGAGATGCTCGCTTACGCGCGTTCCGACACGCACTTCCTCCTCTACATCTACGACAACCTCCGGAACGCGTTGCTCGACCGCGGCCAGAGCCAGTCGCGCGCGGGCACCCCTCCCTCCTCGCAAACTCCCCACGAAAGTCAGAGTCAGACCCCGGCGGCGCACGCGCTCGTCCGCGAGGTGCTCGCGCGCTCAGAGGAGACAGCGCTGCGGGTGTACGAGAAGGAATTATATGACTACGCGGAGGGGGGCGGGCCCGGCGGCTGGGATACCCTGGCGAAAAAATGGAACAAGGGCGCGCTGACGGCGGGTGCGGAGACGCAGGCGGGGACTGGGAGCGTGTACGCGGTGCAGCGGGCGGTGTACCGCTGCGTGCATGCATGGCGTGATCGGGTGGCTAGGGAGGAGGACGAGAGTACGCGGTGAGTGGCTGAGGGTGTCTGTCTCGGGATGTGCTCATTCATTTGCTACGTGCGCTTCAGGTACGTGTTGCCGAACCACTACTTGTTCGTGCTCGCGGATAAGCCACCGGCGGACATGGCTGCGCTGCTGTCGGCATTTCACCCCGTGCCGCCAGTCATCCGGCGGCGCTCGAAGGAGCTGCTCGATGCGATCCGGCAGGCGGTCAAGGAGGCGCAGGGTGCCACGAAGACTGCGCCGGCGGACGCGCGCGCCAACGCGTCTGTGGCTCGAGCGGCCGCGGCAGCCACAGACGCGCCGGACGGGGACATCGAGATGTCTGCGGCCGGCGAGGTGGCCCTCGATCCAACGAGTGCGGGGCCCGCGAGTTCCACGGACCTGTGGGCGCATGGTGCGTGCCTGATCTAGGGTCGTGTGCCTAGTTTGACTGACGCTGTGAATGTGCGCGGTTTGATAGCGTCGCGGGCGCCCAAGGCGAGTGCTGCTGCGGGGTCGGCGCTGCTCGACAACCCCGTCGTCGCGAGGGTGGAGGTGAAGGGCACTGCGTCGTTCGCGGCGGCGGGCAGTGCGCTGTTCGGGGATGCATCGAAGATGGCCGCGGTGAGTGGTGACGAGTTCGAATGGTGAACGGATGAGCTGATGAATGTGTTGCTGTTGTTGGTAGCGACCATCGGGGGCGCCGGTCAGCACAGTACGGTTCAGGGAGGTGGTTGCACGGATTCACGGGACCCTTGTGATCGCGCCGTCCGTGCCGCGCGCACCCGCAGTGAAGAGCTCTGGGTCGCCTGGGCCAGATGTGAGCATGGATGGGGGTAATGCTGCGGACTCGGGTCCAGCCCTGGAAGGGGCAGTCGAAATACCGTTTGTCCCGGCTGCGCAGCGAGGGCGGCCGGAGGCGGTGGAGGACGATTCGATTGTAGTCGTGGGGCAGCGGCGGGCGAAGAAGCGGAAACGGGTGCCGAAGAGCTCGAAGGACGGAGACGAGGCTGAGGCGGTGGAGGCGTTCGACTATGGCGCGGTGTCGAACATCCTGGACGAGGAGCCGGAGCCGGAGCCGGAGGACGGGGGCGCGAAGAGGCGCAAGAAGAAACAAGGTGCGTGTGGTTGGATTGTGCGGTGTGCGGTGCGCTGAGATGCGTCGGTGGTGCAGTTGCAGGATACCAGTACGGCAACTTCCCCGCGCCCCCGCCTGCGCGCGCGCAACCCCAGAGCGGGAACCAGACACGGACGTTCCGGTAGACAGATGGCGTCACATGCATGTTATCAGATAAGTAACTTAGAGCAATGATATGGGGAGCCGCTTACTAAGCGACGGCTGTTTGGCGGCTCCGGGCGGATGCCAAGCCCACGGGGATCGGGCTGGATCTTGCGATCGGGCCTGCCGGGGTGCCGGGGCATGTTGCGGGTGGCTGCAGCTTGGCTTGGAGCAGGCTTGGGAGGGGAGCTGGACGGGCTGTTCGCCGCGCACGACCTCCTGCGCCCCCACCACCACCATCCCCGGCTCAGCGCCCCCGCCTCGCTGCCGTCCCCCGCCGGCCGTGCTGATAATCGCCCACGTCCCTGCTCTCCTCGTCACGAGTGTCCGGCCGCCAAGTGCTGCGGCGGCACCTACCTGCCAATCGCCCAGCGTCTTGTCACTATACAATACTTACAAGTTGCATGACCGCCTTTCTTCCCTTCACCCTTTCTTCTCTCCCTCCCGCATGCAACAATGAGACTCTCCGTCCCCCGTCTCAACATCCCTCGTTCCCGCCCCGACTCTGCCATCTACCTCCCCCTCACACCCTGGGCGGCCACCCCGTCGAAGAGCTTCGCGGAGTACTCTAGCTCCCTTCTCCGGCGTCGCGGCACCCTCCTCATCTTGTTCGCACCCGCGCTCGCCCTTCTCTTCTACGTCGTCCGCGTCTACGTCGGCGACTGGGACGACTATGAACTCGACTACGACGCCCTTGCATCCCTACACACATCTTATATGCCCTTTCAGGTACCTACTCAGACTTATACCCCTCCTGTTGTACCCCCGATCCCTACTCCTCCTTCATATTCACCCCCGGTCCCGTCGTTCGTGAGCTCACAGAACGTGACATACCAGGTCTTCCCGGAGGACACCCCGCCGCCACCGACCCTCCGTCCGCACTCCGACCCGCTGCCCCAAGAGTGCATCGATGCCCACTTTGCGCAGGGCGTGCCCTGCTTCGCGCCCGGCGCGCCCAAGTTCGACTTTGTCTGGACGTGGGTGAACGGCTCGGACCTCCTCGAGCAGCACGCCAAGAAAGCTGCCATGCACAGCTACGACTCCAAGGATCCTTGGCGGCCGTCCACCGCGGGCACGCCTGACCGCATGTATCGGTGCGTATCGTGTGCCCCCTCGTCCCCGCCTCGCTTCTCGTGCCGACCTCGGTTCACAGTGACCATGACGAGCTCCGGCATTCGTTCCGCTCTGTGCTCGCCTCCTTCCGCCCGTACCTCAACCGCATCCTCCTCCTTACCTCCGACTTCCCCGAACCGGCCGCCCTCAACCTCACCCTCTCGGCCTCCTGGCGACTCTCACAGATCCCTCAGTGGCTCGACCTCGCACAGCAGACCCGCGCAGGCTGGAAGGATGGCGATGTCCCACTCAACATCATTCACCACGCCGAGATATTCCGTCCATACGTGGGCACCAACTTCAACAGGTACGTGCTGTCCGCAGTAGTGCGTCAGTGGCGTGGTGCTGATGGGAGTGTCCGCAGCCTCGCGATAGAGTCGCAGCTTGGCCATGTAAAGGGCATCTCTGATCACTTGTGAGTTCCCGCCTTCATTACCGTTGCTCGGGTCCGGCGGAACTAACATTACGCTGCGCAATGATATAGTGTTTACATGGTGAGCCATTAAGGATGTTCACGTCACACGGTTATTAATAGTTATAACCAGAACGATGATTTGTACTTTGGCATACCACTGCAGCCTGCGACGTTCTATACGCCTGGTGAGTACATCCGTTGTTAACTCGCGACGCATATACTCAGGCAGACTCAGCATACGGCATCGTATTGCACTTCGATCCCGGCCTCATGGTGCCGCCGGATCCGCCCACCGTCCTGACGAAGGGCGAGTGGCGGGGCATGGGCGAGTCAAACTACATGCTCAGTACGTCAGTTCCTTCACCCTCACCTGCCAGCCACTAATCGGCTCCCTCAGGTCAACGTTTCGGCGCGCGTCACCGACCGTACGTCATGCACCAAGCGAAGGTCGTCTCCGCGCCCATCCTGTCCGAGGTCGAGACGATCTGGCCCGCCGCGTTCGCGCGCTCCGCGAGCCATCTCTTCCGCGAGACGGTCGGCCCCGCCACGCCGAGCGACATCAACACCATGCTCCTCCACGCGCACTTCATCGTCGAGCGCGCGAGGGAGGGCCTCTTGTGGAGCTGGGTCGTGGGCAAGCACGGTGCGATGGACGACCGGTGGGGCGTCGATGAGGATAGGCGGGCGTGGGCGGAGGTCAGCGCGGTCGGCGTGAATGCGGGCGGCTCGGAGGTGACGGTGAGAGCGGGCCATCGGTATACGGTGGAGAGGGAGAGGGTGGAGAATACGCTGAGGGAGAGCGGGATGGACGGTGGAATGGGGAAGACGTCGTATCTGTTTTGTGAGTGTCTCGTTGTCCTTAGGAATTTGAGTGGAGGCTGACGAACGGACAGCCTCGTTGGACGGGTACGCATACGCTGGGCTCGGCTTGGGCGGGCCTTTCAAGCAAGTGACGCCGGATGTTGCGGAGGATGATCTCCCGACGTGCACGATCAGCTTTGATGAGTGCTTCCCTGGCTACTCGCGTGCGTCCGACGTCTTCAAGTACGTCGCGTTCGAGAACCCTCAGTGCGGCGACTGTAGTACGTATTCCTTTGTCCACGATTCATTCTAAATACTGACTGCTTTGCCATCAAGTCATCACCGCCCTCTCACGAGCCAGCGGGCCTCTCGGCCTCTCGACCTTCCTCCCTCCCGCAGAACGCCAGCTCGCCGACCTCTCCGCCAAGATCCCCGACAGATCCGAGCCGATACCTCACCTGCCGCTTGTGGCCCGCTACGACGACGGCGACTTCTCGTTGCGCGGTGTCATGGGCGCGTCGGGCGAGCGCAACGTGCGTGCGTGGACGCTGCGCGTGCTGCAGCGCTACCGCTACGTCGTCGGGAGCACGCCCGCGGTGTTTGAGATGCTCTTGGACACTAACCAGGTGGCGGCGATGCTCCAGCGCGTGAACGAGATGTCGGACACGGCGCTCATATGCATCAACGACGACGTGCAGAAGGGCCACGAGACGACCGTCGCGCCGCTCTTCAGTGAGTGGCAGGAGAACCGGTGGCCGAGCCCTGCGGAGTGGGAGAGGCAGTGAGCGACGCTGTCCGAGGCCGACGACTGAAGACCGGCGGGCACCCTCCCGGTCGAGCAGCGGCTCACTCAAGTAATCGCAATGTTATCGAGAAGCTGATGAAACCCGAATAGGAGAAAGGAATAATAATATTACTCACTCACAGTAGCGCTGCGCTGCGGGCGGTGGGCCTACGCTCATCGTCATCGATGTGGACCTCAATTTACTTATTCGCTTACCTAGCCCTTCGCTTACTAGTACCACCTCCTCTGCATCGTGCTCGTGCAGAGCCGCACTTGCCACTGACTACTACTGCATACCATCCTTCACGGACCGCTGCGGACTAGCACCCCTCATCTATTCGTGATCTCGTATATTCATTGACAATCAACCAACAGTCCCTTGAGTACCCACCAAACGTGTATAATACGGAGTACATGCGACTGCTGAGTAGCAGCATAGAGCAGCATTGTATACCGCTGTGTAACAACTCGTGTCGGCTAATAGATCTTGACTTGCTTTGCTTGGCGTTCTTGGACTTCGTCGGGTGTGCATTCCTTTCTCCGCTGCTGTGTGATCGGCCAATTGAGACCTCCGGACGTCGTTGGCTGCATAAGTCTGCATAGGTGCGCTGTAGATTGACACCAACCTCATGGTACATGCGAGGTCTGACGTATGCATATGGAGTTGAACCAAGACAGAAGGGCCACGGCGGCCCACCCCGTCGTCCATCTGACGTGCGATCCCGCGCCGAGAAATATTCGAGCCTTGGCTTCGAGACGAGTCGTCCGAGCGGTCGGAAGACAGCCCCACAACCTCGAGCTCGGAAGCGCCGTCGTTCGTTCGAACCATGATCTGGATGTAGCAGAGAGGACCTGGATGAAAACATGCACGGTAGGGTAGCTTCAAATCGAACCATACTACTGTATGTGCTATGTACAAGCACAATCACAGCTCAGAAGTTCCACGTCGCTGCGTCGACGGCCTTTGCTTGGTGTCGAACTTGGGAAACCTGCACGATGTGCTGGACACTGGTCAACCTCCGCCACAAAGCTCGGTTACTCGACGCTGTGCAATGCCATTTTGGTGAAAATTGGTACTCATGTAAGTGATTTCTCAGGATGGGTCTCACATTATGGAAGAGCTGCAAAATGCACTGATCTCCCTCGAGCCCAACTCCAGTCCACGCTCATTCTGCCAGGGTCCCAGTCTGGTCCCAGCAGGCTTCAGTTCCCTGGGACGTTGGTCTCACAAGACTCAATGCGGTTTGACGTTAAGGCACACAGGCTGATGGATCGCACAACGCCTTCGAGTCGAATCAATAACAGACAGGTTGGTTCCGAATTACCTCCGCCATTAAAGACGCGGACAGCCAAGGAAGCATGCCGTGCACTCGACCACTAGTATACCCCAGCACTGCGACCAATGCGGAGACATCGTAATCGGTATGGACAGGTGGCATGCTTGACGATTCTCGCTCTGCTATCGACACCAGGCTCTTGTCAGACAACAGGGTACAGAACAATTGACGACTATTACGGAGACTCCGTCACGGGCCAGAAACCAGTGTATTCGGAAGGTTGGAACTATGGACCCACCTGCAGTGATTGTCTGGTCCGTCCCTACGCGGCATACACCTTTGAAGGGTCATGGCACGACGTGACCGCATCGCCCACGGACACATCTCCCAGGAATGTTACTCTCACATTCAACGGTGCGTCACGTTCACTCTATGCGTCCACGAATGGTCTATATCTATTAGCAGGAACGGCCATTTGGGTCTACTGTATCATACCGAACTACATCCCGTACGCTACGACACTAGTTGACCTCAGCTTTCAACTGGATGGCCTTGGACTCGCCACCTACTACGATGTACCGAATCCAAATGACACCTACTGGTACAACGCAACAGTCTTCAGCAGGACAGGCCTGTCCAATGAGGTGCATACCCTCGTGATGGTCGTCAATGGAGAAAGGAGCGCCTCGTACGCCGCGTTCGATTGGGCGGAATATTCGTCAGTCATTTCTCTGATGTCTCTCTCGCAGTAGACTGACAGTGATCGCTACCAAGATATGGCGAAAATGCGTCTGCATCGAGTGAACCCGAGGCGGTAGCATCCTCCTCTCACCACATGTCGGCGGCCATACCTGGAATCGCCGTCGCTGGTAGTGTGGCCCTCCTCATTCTCGGTTGTGCGCTTGAGACGCTATGGCTTCGGTCTCGCCGCCGTCGACGACTCGAGGCTACGCGTGCGAACCTTGTAGGGCTCCCTGGCGGCACGGCTGAAACCTCTGGAGCACCCCAGGCAGCCGACGGTGTCAGCGCGACGCAGGCGGAGTCTCCCGTGGCCCCCCTCATGACCCAGATGGCAGCTTCCAGCATGAGCACACCCGCGGCGGCAAGCTCTGCATCAGAGCTCGAGATTGTGGAGGTCCCGAGATGAAGGTAGATGAGATGCTTATTCTACGGTTCGAATCATGCACTGACGTCTCGTACCCTGACAGACACAATTGGGTTGTTGTGAGGGTCAGCCTGAGATCGAGAGTGAACGGTTGGCATAAGTAGTCTAGGTGGTCGGACCATTGGCCCATCGTGTCGGTGAGGCCAAGTCCCGCACCCAACAGAAAGGAAGTAAACAAAAGAATAGACCCAACGATCGTCCCCAAAGTGCAAGGGCTGGTAACGCCATACCAAAGAGAGGGTGTCGCTGCCGACAAGACCTAGGTTGCGCATTCACTCTGACAATCTGATGCTACAAGCTCGAGGTCAGCTTCATACGGCATACTATAGCCAGACAGTAAGAACATTGTCATTAATTAGCAGGGCGTACGTAATGCGACACAAAAGAAGATATCATACAACTGAATTTGTACACACATCCAATCCGAAAGTCCCATGAGGATGACTACTGTAAATGCGAGAACTCACGGATGCAAGAATGGCCAACAAGACTAGGAGGATCATACGATAACTTTCGTGTCAGCAACCCTTCACCTCCGGGAGCCGCATCATATTTGGAGACTTGGGGGCTCCGGATCAGTCGGTGAGCGGGGAAAGTCGGACTTGCCGACATTGAGCAGGAATCGCTCGACGACTTGCTTCCCCCGTCGGAGGTTGGATAGCGATATTCGCTCGTTCGGCAGATGCGCCTCGTCCTGGAGAGATGTCAGCATATGTGCAATGCGCGTTTGGCGTCGTTCTTACCGAGCTCTGACCAAGAGGTAGATGGAGCGCGTGGCACGCAAACTCCTTCTCCAGGTAAGGCACGGATGGTATAGACTGCATAACGACCGATCAGTACTCGGTCAGACTGAAGGACAATGCCACGACTTACCCCTCCTTCCCGGATACGCAAAGGCTCGACACCCCATTCTGACTGAACTGCGGTCTCGAGAGCGTGGAACCAGGGGCCCTCGAGGTCTCCGAGCCACCAGTCCGCTGTATGTTCGATGCTGACCTATGACGATGGCAACCAGGGTTAGTCTAGTCTACAAGAACCAAGTATAATCGAGCGCACCTTGAGCTTGTTCGGTGACTGCATCTTTTCGAACGCAGTGACCAGGTGTTCGCGGAGGCTGTTCGCGATAGTCTCGAGGTCCTGGTCAGGCACGATGCGCACTGAGACATGCGCTTTGACTGTAGCAGGGATGACAGTGGAGTCTGCGAACGGTGCTCAGCGCGACTACCGTCACACAATTCTTCAACAACTTACTTCTTGGGCCAGAGACCTCGACGTTATGCACGGTCAGCGACGGTTCACGCCAGCGCGACGCCAAAGAGGCAGCCGGCGTCTTCGTGATGTTTGCCAGAGTAGAGTAGAGCTGCGTCTCTTGCTCAGAGCAGGGCCGCACGCTGTCATCTGCACAGAGCGAATGGGTGGTCCGGACATCACTTAGGCGATAGACTGACTCACAGAAGCGAGGGATCGACACTGTGTTATGGCCGTCTGTCAGCGTTCCCAGAAGCTTGAGCCTATTCGGTGTCGGGGTCAGTGTGGCCCGAAAGGTGTTCACAATTTTCACTCACATATCGAACATAGGCTCCACTGTCACACCGCCGTCGACACCGGAATGGCGGTCGGGCCCTTCGCTGGAAATCTACACAGGACATAAGCAACCAAGCTCGCTCATCGACTCGTCCTCGACGATGGACCCACCTGGACATTGCAATGCACGACGCCGCGCAAGCCATAGGTGATGCACGGCGTGTCCTCCGCGATCCACGTGGAGTTGCTACGTCGATCCACCCAACGTCAGAACCTTGTCACATCCGCGCGAAGCAGAAGCACAGCACGCGCTCACCTCACAAGAATAGCATCGATAGGTCCGATCGCATTCTGTCACCGCAACAAACCACGATAACCTTCAGCTAACGAGAGTCTATCACGGATTCTCCGGCTACAGACCTTATTTCGCTTCACTGCCTCGACGAAGCCCCCGCTGCCCGCCTCTTCCTCTCCCTCGATCAGCATGACCAAATCCAGGTCGAGCGCACGCCGCCCGAGGAGCTCAGCGGCGGCGCACGCGACGGCCATAATCGGGCCCTTGTTGTCCGTCGCGCCGCGTCCGTACAGGTAGCCATTCCGGCCTGTCAGCGTGAACGGATCGGAGTACCACCCGCGGTGCGACGCCGCAATGACGTCGTAGTGACTGAGTAGAGGAGACAATCAGCGCTGTGTCAGTGGCGGAGGGATGGCGCGACGAGCTGACGCACCCGTAGAACAGGATTCGTGGCCGCCTGCGCTTCGTCTGGTTCCCACGGAAGTTGCCCAGCACGAGCGGGTTCGTGTTCTCGCCCGTGGGCAACTGCGTCCGAGGCACCGACAAACAGGCACCGCGTCAGCGTCTGCACGATGAAATCCGTACGCTCGCACAAATCGCGCGGGGTACCGCGGATCGTGGGGCAACGGGAAGGCAGGACGTACCAAGCAGGCTTCGGCGCCGAGCTGCGTGAAGCACTTGCGCAACCAGATCGCCGCCTGGCGACAGTCCTCGCGATGCGCCGGGGAGCAGCTCACGCTCGGGATGGACACGAACTTTGAGAGCCCGTACACCATCGTCTCTGAGACGCGTCGCGTTAGCAAGCCAGATGACCACTGGCATCGGAAGACGCGCACCGTTCCCAGAGTCGCCCCATTCCATGTCGACGTCGGTGACGAGCGACAGGTGTGCGCTCTTGCGGAGTTTCGGCGGCTCGACTTCCCAGATCTGCGAGTGCGTCCGCTCACGGTCAGGTGCCCGTCACTCGCGCTTTCGCACCGCACAAACGCACCTTCATCTGGTCGTCGTTCGCGCCCGTCACGAGCGCGAACTTTGCGTTGTCCGGGGTGCCGTCCAGAGGGGGGCGGTCGTCGGCGGCCGCCGGCGCGCCGAGCCGCGTGACGATCGACGTCAGCACGATCCCGGTGTGCGCCTTCCACGACGCGGTGTGCTCGAACTGCGCGGACCACCGCTGACGCCATTCATCAGCCCGCGGTCTAGGGCGGGAGAAGCGCCTGACATACCTGCATCTCGCCATTCGCCAGGCAGACGTAGAGATCGGACTTGAGCATGCTGAGCGAGAGGATGTCGACATTCTGGACCGGCGGGAGCCGCGGGGTCAGTCAGCGGTGCGGGGAGCGGAGGGGATCCCTCACCTCGCTCGTGATGAGCACCCGCACGAGCGTGCGCGTCTCGAGGTCCCACACCTTGAGATGGCCGTCCTGGCAGCCCGCGTAGACGGTCTCGCCGCGGACGACGACGGCGAGCACCGCGCCCGTGCAGCACTCGAACGTGTGCAGCAGGATCGGCGTCGGGTTCGCCGGCGCGAGCTGCCACAGCTGTCGTGCCGCCATTCAGTAGGATTTTGAGTTGCGCAGTTGAGAGTGGAGGGGCACGGGAGGATCGCACAGCCAATCAGCGCGCGCGCTTTGGGTGCGACGGAGAAATGAAGGCACGGACCTTGACGGACTCGTCGCCGCTCCCTGTGACGAGCTGCAGGTCGCGCCGCTCGTTCGCGCTGTCCAAGGGCGCGTCGTCGGAGCCTTCGCGCACGCTGGGCACGAGGGCCATGCAGTAGATGTACCCGTAGTGCGCGGAGTAGATCACGTTGCAGGGCTCGACTTGCAGGATGACGAGCGGGCGGTGGGGCGAGGGATCGCCCCGCGGCGGAGACCCGGACGTACTGGGCAGCGACGAAGAGGAAGACGGGGGCGTCGGCGGCAATGAGACTCCATGGGCGGCCTGCGATGCGTGGAAGTTGGAGTACGTGGGGTTTCGCGCGAGGAGGTCAGCGGGGCGGCGGGTGTATTGCGGGTAGCTGTCGAAGAACTTGTGTACGCGTCGAGCGGAGGTAGGCGTTGAGCGCCCGCTCGGTATCGGGTCGTCGTTCGTGAATTGGACGGAGGAGGGCGAGGTCGCCTGTGTGTGCAGGGCGGACGGAAAGGTGAACCATTGGAGGGAGGTGTCTTGGCAGCCAAAGTAGAGTGTTTGGAGAACGGGGCACCAGACGAGGGAAAAGAGGTCGCCGGCGTCGGTCTCGCCGTGCGGATTGATGAGGTAGAGGGGCGTGAGGGTGCGCGTGGACCAAACCTGGAGAGAGAACACGGATGGGTGAGCGAGTAAGGGACCGAGGTGGAGTGTACGCACGCGAATTGTGCTGTCGCCTGCGAGGGCAACACGGCGGTCGGGTCAGCATGGGCGGCACGGCGAGCAAGCGCGGGGGCGCACCAGATGCACTAAAGAGCCATTCTTTGTCTGCGGCGTACTCGAGGGCGAGGATGCTGCCGGTGTGTCCGCTGAGCGTTGCCTTGAGCTTGAGGGTGTCTTTATCCCATACCTGAGTCATCGGTTAGCGGTGCACACAGCGACGCCGAGGACACTGACTGAGATGTCTCCGGTGGGGCCTCCGCTGAAGAGATGACTCGGGTCGGCGGCGAGGCTGAGGACGGAGTTGCACTCCTGGCGGAGGGTGTGGAAGAGCCTCGGGGGACGCTCTGCGGCGTCACACGGGCGACTGAGGGACGCTGTGTCGGTGCGATCGCGGTAGGGGTGAGCGGGCTGGGGGTAGGGCGCGAGGACGCACATGGGGACACATACGGTGAGGGATGGTCGGGCTCGGCTCCGGTCGCATTTAAGGAGACGGCAACGGACGCAGTGGGCGTGGCGACGAATGGAAGGAGATGGATTGGCGGGATGAAACGCAGTCTGCCCACTTTCGGAGCGCGAGGAGCAGTCTCCCTCTCGCTCTCCTCGCAGTGGCTGAAGATCGCGTGCAGCACGCGACAGGCGCCCAGTCGTTCGCCACCCACGCGCCTCTTCGCCTGCGTTCGCCATTCTCTCCTCACCGCACCCAGCCCCGCCGTCGCCTATATCTCCCTCGCCGACACCCCGCCCGCCCACTGCAGCCCCAAGCTCGCTGCGCGCCACGGCCGCCCGATGGTCTACGCGTATTTACGCAATGATACGTACGCCCTCGTATCTCTTCGCGATCGCCCGTCGCTGGACACATCTAGCTCCTCTCCGGATCTCTCCTTCGCGCGAACATGGCTCCGGGAACTGGCTCCTCTGCGCCCATATCCTCAGACATCAATCCGTCAACAGGCTGGACGTCGCTGCAGCCATCGTTGTAGCCTCCATACCAACTGTACGTCAACCACGACTACATCCAGAAGCTCCAGCGTCCGCGCTGGCTGGCCTTGACAGCCATCGCTCTCTGCCTTCCCATCTGTCCCCAGTGCTTCTGCTCTCGCGTCTCCTCTGCATCCCCCGGCCTCTATCTCCGCCCCCGTCTCGCTCCCGATCGGGTGTCTGCTGGTGCGCACCCGTGTCTAATTCGGACAGCTCTCGGTACGCATCGGACGAGGTAGCCTCGTGCACGCCCGATGGCATTCGCGATGGACATCCCCCGAGTAACCTACGAGATGAAGTGTGCGCGTTCTCCCGGCCAGGCATCCGCTGCGGCTTTGGATAAGCTATACCGAGCGATCGCACCGATGACAGTGGGATCGTCGGCAGTCTCCCTTTGATCCTGCGCCTCGCACACAGTAGATGGCGTGCAAGCACGCCAGCTTGCGTCTATATCGCCTAGTCGGCGAGCATCGCATGAAACATCCCTGGCCGAGGAACTGTCACATCCGTGGCGCGAGTTTCATCAGAGAGGACCAAACCTGTAGTCTAGGACGGCACGATGTCGGCGTGTACTCTCTAATCAATCCGAATGAATACATGGTCGTATATGTAGTGGCAATACTATTCGTCTGGCAGCGTGAAAGCAAAGTGTTCTGGCCGACCTTTGACAAATATGGCCCTCGACCGGGGTTACAAGATATGAGTTGTTGTGTGATAACGATGCTGTCCTCTATTGTCGTACGGAGAGAACGTCGTAGGTATCGCTACCGGTGTTGTAGAAGTGCGCACGTGACATGACGCGTTCAATCTGGCGTGAACCTGGAAGCGCCCACTTTGCGACTTTGAAGCGGCTGCCTCTCGCTCAGGTCACCGCATACACACTCACTGGCAGCTTTCGACTCACTATGTCGGTCCCCAAAGGCCAAGCAGAGAAAGACAAAGTGCGTCTCTGGGTCGCGTACCTGTAGCGTGTGCTCACCCTTCATCTGCAGGGAAACGCCGCCTTCAAGGCGGGCGACTTCCCCACCGCGATCGGGCACTACTCCGCCGCCATCGTCGCGGACCCCACGAACCCCACGTACCCGCTCAACCGCGCCGCGGCCTACCTCAAACTAGGCAAGTGCGTCGTCTCTCACATCCCCCTCGTCTCCCGCACGCAGAACTCACGGACGCGCCTGTCCTCGCGGCGCACAGGAACGAAGATGCCGAGCGCGACTGCGACAAGGTCCTGACGCTCGACAGGCACAACGTCAAGGCGACCTTCAGGCGCGGCCAGGCGAAGGCGGCGTTGCAGAGACTCGCGGAGGCGCGCGCTGGTGAGTGGCCAGCACGCTGCAGCCGTCGCGTGCGTCATCTCATCGCGCCAGCTCCGCGGCGCAGACTTCTGGAAGGTCCTCGAGATCGAGCCTGCGAACGACGCGGTGAAGGCGGAGCTCAAGAAGATCGAGGACGCGTTGAAGGCGCAGGGCGTGCCAAAGCCGGTCGGTGCATCCGCCGTCTCCGCTCTGTATCACGGCTCTTGACTTTGAAAGTGTAGAAAAAACAGCCTGTGGATATCCCCGCGCCCCCGCTGGCTTCAGGGTCTGCACCAGCGGCCGCCCCGAAACGTCGCCGAGTCCCCATCGAGATCGTCGAAGGCCCCGCGCCTTCGACCTCCAAAGCTGCAAGTGCAACCGCCAAACCTGCAGACAATTCGATCACACCGGTATCTTCTCGACCTCTGACAGACTCTGTACAGGGACCATCTAGCCCCGCGCCGAAGACGTTCCAGAGAGCGAAGGAGGCGCGGACAGCGGCGAGGCCGGGCGTCGGGGGCGGGATATTCAGACCCAATGGGGAGCATACGATCTTTGGCGAGAAGCAGAAGCAGACATCGAGTCCGCCTGCGGCCGCGCCCTCGTCGCCGCATACGACGCAGACACCAGCGCCCGCACCAGGGCGGAAGACGAACGGAGCGCCGCGGAAACCGCCCAAGACGCTGTTTGAGTTCTCGGGAGAGTGGGAGAAGCAGCTATCTGCGGAAGATCGGTGGGACTTCCTGAGTGTGAGTAGCATTGTGTGGATGCCGTGATATACGATGGCTGACATCTGTTGTAGGGCATATCGCCGACAGCGCTGCCATCTCTGTTCCAGTCTTCTCTGGAGGCACCGCTCCTCACGAGTATCGTGGATACCTTACGAGACGTGCTGACCGCACATCCAGAGGAGAAGACGCGGGAACGCGTTCGTGAGTATATGATTGGTCTGTCACGCGTGCAACGATTCAGCACGGTGGTCCTGTTTATGAGCGTGGGCGAGAAGCAGTCAGCGAAGGAAGCCTGGCAGCTGCTGGGCGGAGGAGAGGGAGAGAAGGCCTGGGGTGTCAGCTGATGACCTGTAGCATAGTCAAGGTACATCGAATTGCCACCGGCGGGTATGCGCTTCGCATCTGCGGGCGATCTCACAATAAACGAGCGCGACGTCAATGAGCGTGGTGATCTGGCGTATCGGAGACAACGGGGAGTACAGCGTTTGGGCGTATAATTTAGTGCGGAGGCCCGCTTGCTTGCGATACATCAGCATATAACGTACACCGCGTACATCCTTCTGATTGCTCCCTCCTCGTCTCCTACCCAGGGACCCGCTCCCGGCGCACGCGATCGCACCGGATGTGCAGCGCGGCTGCCTCGTGTGACGGTGCAGCGGACGGGCGGGCGGCCGCCTCACTCGCCGTCATCGGCGGGGACGGTATTGTCCTCGTACCACTTCTTGAGCCATGCTTCTGCGACGTTGTACTCTTTCTTGACGCGGCTGAGGAGCGGCTCAATCTTCTGGAGCGCGGACTCGTCGGTTAGGTCGGTGCCGGTATCCTCGTCGCGGAGCTGGCCGTAGTGCTGGATGCGCTCACACGAGGCCTGCACGTGGGCGACGCCGAGGGCGGCGGAGGAGCCTTTGAGGAAGTGGCCGAGCGACGAGAGCTTGGTGAGGTCTTTTGCCTTGCTGTGTGGGTGGGAGCGCGGTGAGTGAGGGCAGCGCGGACGAGCGGGCGGGAGACGCACTAGGCCTCGTCCATCTCGCCGAATGTGGTGTTCGCCTGGGTGAAGTAGGCGGTGACCATCTCTTTGGAGAAGTCGTGGGTATCGTCCTCGTCGAGATCGAGGATCTGGTGGAAGGTCTCGAGATCGATAGTGCCCTCCGCTGCCTGGAGGGGGTGAGTGCGGGGATCGGGCGGACGCAGCGAGACGCACCTCTGTATCGACCGCATCGACGGCATCGGACGCATCTGGGGCGGCTGGGGACTCGACGGCGGGGGTTGCTTCGCGGGCGGGGGCGAGGGAGGGATGGCGGGATGGCGGGGCTGGTGTTGCGGCCTTGGACGTTGGCTCGGGTGCGGGCTCGGGGGCGGGGGTCGCTGCGGGCGAGAAGGCTGCGGCGAGTGCGGGGGTGGGCGAGCGGGCCTTTGCTGGGGCGTCCGCTGGGGGCATGGCGGTGGTGGAGGAAGACGAGGAGGAGGACGAGGAGGAGGGCCGATGGCAGCGTCGATTATCGCGCCGAGTTCTGGCCGCGGTGCCACAATCCGCCGCCGAGTGCTCTGCCCAACCACCCCGGCCACACCAGATGACGTTGCGCCCCTTTTCGTCCTCCCCGTTGCCTTTTCTGGCCACGAACTCGTCTTTTTCCCGCCCGTCCCGTGACCTCATGTGACCCCGCCCTCCCGTCGCCCGCCCCGCCGCCGCCTCTCCCATGGCCGCCGCCGTCGTCCCCGACGTCCTCGCAGGCCACCTCGGCCACCTCGCCCCCGACCAGGAGCGCGCCTTTGCCAGCTTCAAGGACGTCCTCAGCAGCGCCCGCCTCTACTCGCCCCCCGCCGGCACCGCCCCCGCGTCCCACGACGACCCCACTCTCCTGTGAGTCGCCTCCGTCGCCCTCCACCCCCCTCTCACCCCCCCTCAGCCGCTTTCTGCGGGCACGCCGCTTCGACCCGAACAAGGCGCTCAAACAGTTCCAGGACGCCGAGGCATGGCGCAAGCAGCACCGCGTCACCTGGCTATATGCGACCTTTGACCCCGACGAATTCGAGTCCACGCGCAGGTTCTACCCTCGCTGGACAGGCCGTCGCGACAGGGTGTGTCTCCATCTCATAAACACTTATTGTCTCCTGACGTGCTTCAGAATGGCCTCCCGGTGTACGTCTACCGCCTAGCTTCCCTCGCACCTATCAAGTCCGAGCTGGACGCCGTACCACCCCCGCGCCGCTACCAGCGCATGTGAGTCTGCTCTGCTCTGCCATGCGCCCCGCTTACCCCCGCAGTGTGGCCCTCTACGAGACGATGACCCGCTTCGTCCTCCGCCTCTGCTCCCATCTACCGCATGCCACCTCCCCCACACCCATCTCATCCGTCACCACGATCATCGACCTCGAGAACGTCTCCCTCGGTGCGATCTGGAGCCTCCGCGGCCACCTGCAGGAGGCCTCTGCGCTCGCGACGGCAAACTACCCCGAGACGCTGAGCACCATCGCGGTCGTCAACTCGCCGTCGTTCTTCCCCACTGTCTGGAGCTGGGTGAAGGTGCGCCGCCCCACTTGTCTGCTGCATAGCCAGGATACTGGACACGTCTTCTAGCCCGTCTTTGACGAGGGCACGCAGCGCAAAGTACACGTCCTCGGTAAGGATCCGGGACCCGTCCTGCGCACCCTCATCGACCCACAGAACCTTCCGCGTCCTTACGGAGGCGAGCTCGACTGGAAGTTTGAGGACGAACCCTCCCTTGACGAGGATACCAAGAACGTGATCGGAACTATGCCCAAGGGCCCAGTCGAGTTCGTGGACGGCGAGGTCAGGAAACCCCCGGTCCCACCGGACGCGCCTCCCAAGTAGTAGAGCGTTCATGCATATGTTCTTGGTGGACTACGGAAATGTACATATCGCGTGCAGTGGAGAGAACAAGAAGCATATGCGTGCAGTGGAGAGAACAAGAAGCATATAATGATAGAAGAACATTAACAGCAGTACGAGCTGTGAGTATGAATAGCAGGGCAAGAAAACAGCGGCAATAGCGTACAGAGCATCAATATGCATTACACGAAGTCGTCCTCAGGTTCAGCAGTCAGTCCATCTTCATTCCATATCTCCAGGAACTAGAAGAACCGTCAGTACATGGAGGAGGACATGGAGCAGATGACGCACCCTAGTCCGTTGCGACTCGGCGTCCGCACTGGTCAGGATCGGTGCCGTAGCAAATGGCAAGCGATCCCAGATCAGCGGTCGTTCATGCCGACGCGTCGCGGCCTTGTCGCCAGCGGCGCTCTTCTTCCCGACCACCCATTTGGCACATTTCCTTGATCCCTTGATTAGCTACTACGTCTAGTTTGGAAGTCTGACGCGCTTACTCCTCAGATATCCCGTACATGCCCTTCAGATACGCTTTGAGCAACATGATCATGGCGACGATGACTGCGGTCCGCATCAAGGGAAGGGCGTCCTCCATGTTGGCTACAAGCGATCAGCCATCGCCTTCATACATAGTACATGACGACTCACAGATCGCGGCTGCGGACGTCGCGGCGTTGCTGGGCGGCGGTCCCATGGAAGCATCTGCCATATGCTGGTCCTGGTCCTGGTCCTGTGCCGATGTCGGCGCACGGAGTTGGGCGAGGAGGTGGGACGGTGACAACGTCTCGACGAGCTGCATGCCGGCCGTGGAAAGCACCGCTGTCAGGTACTTCAGCACTGTCAACACCTCCTCGTGCGTCTTGTACTCGAACGCAGCAAAGTTCTCAGCCATGTATCGTATGAAGTCAGCATCGTCCTGCTCAGCCTGTCAACTGGACAAGTCTGGCAGAATCAGCGCATCACGCACCTGCGTAGTCTTTGCAGTGGCCTCCACATCGAACACCTTGACCAGCGATTTCAGGAAGTCTTGCCTCGTCGCTCGCTTCTCACGGACGAGAGAATACCACCGATGCAGCAGGGCAGTCTGACCGGGCGCCATACGGTACCCTGGTAGAGATTGAACTCGATGTCTACTTTCCTGACTCGCATGTTTGCTTACCTCGTACTTGCCCTGGATGTAGCTTCTTCTGATAGTCGAACGACGCCCTGGCACTCACGACAAAGCGAGTGTTCAGCAGCGACGTATGTTTACCGTGAAGTATACTGTGAAGCGCACTGGCGCGTCCACTAAGGGAAGTGTTGGGGCTCGTCTCCAGTGCCACAATCACGGGGAATGACTATACCTCAGGTCAGCATCGAGCCTTCGTGTTAATCGTCCGATATTACCTGGAGTGGATGCGCAAGACCTTGCTTAATGGTGAAACTCAGGATATCCACAGCTGCTAGCTGTATCGTTGCGGTAGGTGATAGTGCGGCCTGCAGAATAGGATCCAAGTAACGCTGTACGATAGCTGAGCTCACGCTGACATATAGCAAAAGTCAGTGCTTTCGAGCGACGGCCAACCCAGGGTGCTTACCCAGACTCGGCAAAGCCGTCCGTATTGCCCACAAGTTCTTCCATGTTGACAGTAGCAGTGGCTGATTTGACACGCGAGTTGGCTAAGGGAGGTCGATATCTGGTATGCCCATGACATTTCGTAGCGCGCACCTTTCTCTCTTGCAGCGTGTTTTGCAGCTTCGGAAACTAGGAAGTCTTGCAGAATCTTCAGAAGGCGGGCTCGGCCCTCTTCTTCGGGGGAGGAGAATATAGCATCCATAACAGCAGCCGACGGTTCTGCCGTCATCAGCGCAGGCTGCGCACGAAAGAGGAACCCTGACAATTGGCTTAGAACTCGGCAAGCAATACGTCGTCAGTGGATCATACCAAGACATTGCAGAATACGAGCCCGCAAACCCGCATCGTTGTGTTTATGGTACAGTTTGAGCAAGCTGTTGTACACATGATCGGTGATTGGTCCCTTTGGGACTATCAGTAAAAGCGAATCCCTCCGTACTAGACACACTACCTTCGAGATAGTGTCGATCTCCGCCCGAAGGTCTGTTCACCCTGTAAGTGAAGGCCCCATGACTCAAACGAACTACTAACGCACCTTCTCGTTCTGCTCGTAACCGGTCGAATGAACAATGCTCACACAGCAGCGATACAATGAATAACAAGATCGACAAAGCACGTTGCTCAGGACCAGTGATCGGCTGGGTACCCGACTTCGATAGAGCCTGTTGTAGTCGACCTGAACAGATCAGACCGATCATCATTAGTTGACGCGAGGCACGAATTGGAAGGACTTGCCGTTGCATGATCGCAAAAGAGCGACTAGTCGACCAAAGTCATGCGTGATATGCTCGACGATGGCACACATACAGGCGACAGTCTCTTGCAAGCCCTATTGATGGATCTGAGAAACCCATCAGCGACTAGATAGAGCATCCTTACCAGAAGACCAGATGTAGAGGACGGCCTGATGATCATGGGCTGCAGCGCCAATTGCAAGTCTTGACCGAACTTCAGAGCAGCCTTCGACATGTATGGTATTGTGACACGGAAGATACGCAGCAAATAGTCAGAAGTCATCTGCTCCTCGGGCTGCTCGAACGGTCAGCTTACATAGCACCTGAGAGATAGTCAAGAGGCATACTGTCGTAGCATTCTTCAAGTAAGGCAGCAGTGTAGCAGCGTTGAACCCAGAAAGCACGGCTGGATACGCCGATGCAAAGAGATGAATGGTGCGTATGCAGTTCACCACAGTCTGCGCGAAAGTCAGATATGCCCTACGGTGCAATGGATATGGACGCACGAAGTCAGGCAAGTCGGACGCATCGACGAGCCCGTCAATCAGAATACCACAGATCTCGGCATATCTACTGTGAACCAGGGATGTATCTGCACTGTCCTTGTCTTTCATGATATCGTGCAGCATGTCCTCCAGAGGTGACTGGCGATCCTTGAAATAGCCAGCCACGCCCATGATTATTGCCGCTTTGGATTGCAATTCCGTTGGTTCTGTTGCATGCGCGGAACTGTTCTTACTCCTCTGCGGTATCGATCCAAACCAAAGCTCTTCCATTGTCTTGACAGCGAGTTCCTTGACTGTGTCGTCCTCGTCAAGCATACGAAGGACTATCTTGACGCATATCTCGATACGTCGCGGACGTTCTGGGGTGACCGAGTAATACGACTTCAGGAGCCTAATGACGCGTTTGCGTACACCAAGCCCTGTGTCCTGGGTCCACAATGTAAGCAGGATCCGTGAGCACAAGCCCTCGTAAACGCACCGCGATACGTTCGGCAATCTTTTGGAAGTAGTCCGCCGCGAATTCAGGGGACTCAATCATATACTTCCCTATCAGTTCAACGGCAGCATCCCGGACTGCCGAAGAGCTGTCGAGAAGATGGCTCTCGATTGCACGGCGGACGTTTGGCTAGCTCAAAGGTGACATCAACTGAAGTGGAAATCAGGATTGTCGCGACTCACAAATGAAAGAATGCTGGGATCGCTTGTGACGATTTGACCTAACGCTTTCAGCGCCTTAGTCCGCATGAAGACGGGCGGTGCGTCGAGCGCCTTCAGTACAGCATTCAAGATGGGAGTGAACGAGTTCTTGAAAGTCTGGATAGTGCCGATCTCTTCGCACAACCGATGCATGCGATGCACGTCGTCTTGTGAGCCTCTGCACGAGTGAGTGTTAGAACACTTGACGTGGTCCCTTGAGATCGACGTACCCCATCTCAAATACATCGCTGACGTCGTCTTCCCATATGCTATGAAGAGCATCCTTCAGGTACGACCCAAAATCCATGGTATTGCCTCGTGCTTGGGGATTGTGCTCCTCGTCACATCCGTCAACCAGCACCGAAGCGCAATGTTGCAAAGCTGTTGAAAGCTCTTGGCCCCAGATGACAGCTGCGAGCTCACGGGCACTCTGAACGAAAGAGGATCAACAACAATTCTACACATGTTGCGAGGATATCTCACTTCGTATGACTGGTCATCGCCGGATTTTCTACAAAGATAGGACGCGAGATCCCGATGAGCCGAGATCAGCGCGCGCAACCCCTTGATGCTACAATTCGACAGGAGCTACGGCGGAAGCATTCAGTGATACAACGAGAGAACGTTGCCCGACTCGATCTCACTTCATCTACAGGCCGTAATCTCTGAGCGGTGGCACTCCGGCTGCTATGCATTTGAGAGCCAGCTGCACGTAGACGCGCAGCAATGATACCCAGATGATCGAGTGCCAGGGTCTTCAATGCCTGGTTGTCTGTCTGCGAGGCGGTCTTCACGTCGTCTAGGGATGTCACCTAAGGGAGTTGAGCCAACTAGTAATACAACGAACTCGGGACAATACCATGTATTTGCAAATGATGCTGAGAAGCAAGCTGGCCGCAGGCCACTCAGGCCAGAACAAGACACACAACAAGTCGGAGATCAGATTGTCGAAGATGACACGATACTCGGCTTCATTAGAATTCTTCGTGGCTTTACTTTTGCCTGATCTGAAGTATGGTCAACTCACTTCGCTCAAAAGGTGTGGAGAAGTAGTACCGTTGAGTAAGGAAGACGACAATTGTCTTTGCAGCTTTCGTAGCCGATTCCAATCCAGACACATACAGACGCAGCTGCTGTGAAAACGTCAATGCCTGGTGATCTGCTGCTGCGGTGGAGACTCACCTCCGTCTCGTGTGCGGTCAAAAAGGTGGTCTCATCCCTCGAGAATGAGTCTCCTTGGCGCTGAGAGGTCGAGATCTCTCGAGACTTGTGCATCGCTTGTGCATCAATCCTGACGTCGTGGACGGAGGTCTGGATGAGCTGTAGAAGTAAAGCGGAGACCGTTCGGATTGATCGACCGTCACGGAGCCTACACCGTGCTCAATAGTTGTCATAACGCAATATAAGTGACGGAATACCGGAACTGGCCCGCTTTCTGCTTGCTATCAGACAGCTTGATTAACGACGTCAAAATCTCTTCAATGATCCAGCTTCGTTGCTCCTCATGTTTAGCAAAGACCTAGACGGAGCATGAGGGTTCCTGTATGGCATTGACGTTACAAGGACTCACACTTCGAATCAATGCCAAAGCATCCAATCTAAGTCCCCTCATGGCACTGGAGCCCAACGTATTCAGTACTATGTTCTCCTTCTTGCCTTTTCCCTCGCCATCGCCGCCATTTTCGGCGACAAAAAAAGGGCCGATGGCGATATAGACGACCTGGATGATGATCCCTTCAGACATGGCTAATCGATCGGCATCCACGAGCTCGTTAATCCGTGGAATAGAGGCCTCGAGTGTTTGGAACAGTTCGGCTAGTTGACGACGGCAATTGCTGCCCCGGGAAGACGGATGCATCACGTGCCGCAACGAGTGCGACTGTGGTTCCTCTGTGCTCTCGACGAATGGATAGACGATCATCTCTAGCTGGTTCTTCACGGCACTGAAGCAAGCGTTGATGAGCTCCTCTGAATATAACTGAGAAGATTGGTTAGGTAGTAAGCACGACAAAATACGATAAATCTCACTTGTTTAGGAAGTCTGTCGCTGCTTAGTAGCGCGATGCAGCAGTTAGCTGCCAGGATGCTATCGCGGGCAACGTCCAACGACCGGTCCAGAACTATAGTGTCAGCCTCTGTTGAGATACCGTTGTCAGACGCGTCGTCAGAGACTGCAGTGGCATGACCGGTAGATGATCGAGGGGTTGACTGCAATTCGTCCATCTGCGGTGCGCGATCCCTGCCCTGGTGCTTTGTGGGGCTGCCCTGCGAAGAAGTTGTCTCGAACGGATTGATGTCGTGTCCCGATCGCACGCTCCGTTCTAGCATCTTGAGGAGTCTGGCAAGAGCCGCCATGTCCACGTCTGTCATACGACCCTTAGTCGCATGAGCGTTGTCGTCTCTTCCAGACAACTTTGAACGGCTCGGCGGCCGAGCGATCTGGGCAATGTATTTCAACAACTTCTGCATTATCTTCGAATGAAGAAGCGGGTGGGCGCAGTCCGTTGTGTAGCGAGAAAAGAACTCTTCCGGCAGGTCCTTGGGGTATGTATCCGGAGACAGCGAGTCCTCAGCTTCGAAGAGATCCTCCAGTAAGGAGACGAATCTCTCGAGTGGGGCTAGCGAAGGCACGTTAAGCAACAAGCGAGCGTGCCATACAAGCTCGACTAACCTCTACCATCACGCTCGCCGGTTGCCTTTCTGGCGGATGACCGCGCACCGCTTCTATTGGTATATGTATCTGTTGAAAGCGAGCCTTCATCGACCGAGCCGAAGCCGCCAAGGTCTGAGTCGTCGTCGGCTTGACGTTTCCTCTTGCCCGTTGTGGGGGTAGTGGGGGCTTTTGGCCGAACGGGGTTCTCCACGTATGGACGACGGGAAGGAATGTCGACGTATGCTTGCAGCCTTGCCTTGGGAGTAGACGGACCAACCAGCTTGGTGGGCTGTTGATTGCCGGATAATTCTCGAGAAGATCCAGAGTCGTCTCCTGCCGGGCGTCGCTTCGGGGTGGGCGTCGCCAAGTAATGGATACTTTTACGCTTCCGTGGAGTTTGACTACCGGGCGTTAACGAGAGAGGGTCAGGACTATCTGGCTGGGAGGTCGCTGGACGTGGTGGTGATACAACGCGACTGTGCGCAGGCTGCGGATGAACGGACACAGCGGACTGGGCGACAAAGTTGTTGAAGTAATCTGCGGATTCTTCTGCTTTATAGATGACTCTTGAGGGCATCAGCGCTACAGGACCCAGTGCATTTGCCAGAGATGACGACGACGATCGAATGCCAGGGGGAGGAGGCGTCGGATAAGCAGACGAAGGCAACGAATGCTGCAGCACAGAATGGGCGAAAGCCGATGTCTGGTAGCTTGAGGCTTGCTGGTACGGGAATGACCACGGACTCTGTGCAACCTGATACGAGTTCCCACTACGCAGGTCAGTACCAACGGAATGGCAAGGTCAGAGCACACGTACAACCCCTGCTCCCCTAACTGTCTCACAGCCTCGTTTCTCGTATCTTCCCAGTATCTCCTGTCGGGCTGACTTGGTGGAGGAGAAGCCACATGGCCGAGTTCGTAAACGTAGTCCGAAGAGGTCGGGAGGTGAGAATAGGCTCCCGGTGTTCGATACACATGAGGCTGCATATAGGAAGGTGGTGCAGCATACAGTGATAGTTGGCTGAGGTGCCTGGTAACTATGTAACGCTCAGCATATATACGATATTTGCGCCAGTATTGAGCCCTACGGACCTTGCGATGAGGGCGTAGCGGAACCGACAGGGTACACGCCTAGCAAGCTATGAGCGCCTTGAACAGAGCTAGTCGCGGGGCGACGCCCGTGAGACATAGGAGAGGGATGTGACTGTTGGGATGTAGCAGGATACGAGTACCAGCCATTGCCGTCCATGTACGCGGGGGTGTTGTACAATGTACTTAGACGAGGAGTTGGAGGCGTCTACCGACGCGCTCCGGATCGGGCCACACGCTAAGCGCTCAATTGGTGGCGCCTCGGGATTTCCCGTGAAGGTACTTTTGGCCGGCTACCTCATCAGGAAACGCCTCTCGCTCCGTCAAGCCCATATGATGATGATGAACTCAGCATTTATATACCGCAACAAGCAAACAGACGTGCTAAGACACGCGGTCCTACTATACTAAGTACAGTAGGCAAGTCGATGGTGGGGGGTTCGGGGTGATGTCATGAGGCTTATGTAGTAATGGGCAGGCAACGGTGTAGGGCAGCATAGGGTGTGTCAAAGCAGGGCAACAGGTCTGGGGTAATGATGACAACAAAAGGTCCAAATCCTACTCCTCCTCTCGGTACCTTCTCCGGCGGTCTACTTGTCTTGAAGTCCTGGGACCAGCCGCTCACCGTGTTGCGGAGCTAGGTCCGACATGACTCAGAACAGAACAAACAAACAAGACTTGTTACCTCTTGGTTGTAGACTGAGGTCAATACAAGTCTAACAGCGTCAAACGCAATGCTAGCAACTCCAAGTTAGGTACATTGCACTCTACTTAGTACAACGTGAAGTGCTTACCTAGCAACTCCAAGAGGACAAGCTGGAGTGCTAGGCAGCGTACAGGGCACTATATGACGGCTGTACAGGTACATCAATCTTAGTCGTGTTCTACCATCAACTGAGTCTCTGACGGCTGTACAGCTCTTACAGGTTATGAGCCCTGGTCGGTGTCTTTGAACCCCGCACCAGTAACCAAGAGCTTGTTACGAGTCCGCAGAAGACATTAGAACGTTGTTGCGTCCATATACGCGCGCATACACACGCATATAGTCACCCCTCGAGGCCCTAATGACTAATACACCTTTGTCCAGTCCCAAGGCACCGGCTAAACCGAAGATGGCCCCAGCGTCGATCTCCTCGCATCGCACGATCTCCATAATCTCGATCCCGTCGTCCCTCTACAACGAATCCAGCGGCGTCATCCTCGACCGCGCGAAGAACAACTGGTTCGAATGGAAGGCGTACGTGGAACGCCATGCGAAGATGTGCCACCTGTGGCCATACCTCACCGGCACCATTGTCTGCCCCGACCCAGCTGTCGACCAGTCGTCGGCATTCAACTTCGACAATAACAACGCGGCGGCGGTTGCCTTTCTGGGACTGAAGGCGGTCCGGGAGGAGCAGGTCTTCATGGAGGACTACTCGCTCGCATCCGAACTGTGGGCCGCGCTGTGCCTGCGTCACGAGAAGGAGCCGGGAGCTTATGCTCAGTCTGTGTTGCTGCAGGAACTCTTTGCATGCCGGTACGTTGCCCCCGAATGTTTCGCCGTCACCACCATGCGCATCAGGGAGACCGTCCAACGCATCTTCCGCATCGGCCTGCCGACCAAAGAGGTGCTCACCATCATCGCCATGATGAACGCGATGGGCGGGCACCTTCAGCATCTTCAGTCGCAGGTCGCGACCTCCCTGGCAGCCAGCTCTGCGGCAGCTCCCTACTCGTCAGCCGACATCATCAAGCGCCTCGACATGGAGCAGCGCATCATCGACGGGAATGCGGTTACCTCCGGTACCACCTCCGACGCACTCGTTGCCACCAGCAAGGGCAAACCGAAGTTCACGCCCCGTGTATGCACCAATCCCGGATGTCCAAACCCGAACGGTCACCTCGCGGCTACCTGCTTCGCTCCGGGCGGCGGCATGTTTGGAAAAAGGGACGAGTATATGGCCGCTAAGAAGGCACGTTGTGACAAGGTGAAGGGGCCGGCAGCGTCTTCGTCTGCCACGTCCGGTACGTCCTCAGCGCTGGTCTGTCAAGTCAATCAGAGTGGTCGCACTGTTATCCTGGACAAGGCTGCCGGCCGCGCCTACTTCGTCAGCGGGGAACCCTCTCCATCTGCTTCGGACAGCAAGGACTGTGCTAATATCGCCGGCGACGTCCCTCCCAACTGGCTGGCTGATGTCGCTACCCCTGCTGATGTCATCGAGTACAACGCGCTGGTCAGAATGACGTCTGAGGACAAAGTGTCGCTCAACTGGTCTTCCCACTTGCGCACTGCTGTTGACCCTCTTGCCTACCACATCACCGTGGTGCTCGTCGCTGCCCGTCGTGTCCCCACTGCCGGCACCGAACCTTTTGTCTTTGACTCTGGGGCGTCATCTCATCTGTCACCTAACAAGTGCAACTTCTACGACCTTCGGCCCATCGCTCCTCGCGGTATACGCGGCATCAATGGCTCGGTCATCTATGCCTATGGCGTCGGTAAAGTACGCCTACACGTCGGTCGGGGTTCCTCCGTGGTCCTGGACGACGTACTCTATGTGCCTCAGGCGACGGTCCGATTGATCAGCATCTCTGCACTGTGCAACTCTCAGGCACGTTACGCGGTTCACTTCGAAGGCAAGGAAGTGCAGATCACCAAGCCGGGCGGCGCTCTTGTTGCCACCGGTACTCTCACCTCTCGGCGACTCTACTCGCTCAACAGTACGCCTCCGCTTACCGAACATGTCTACGTGACGACACGCACGCCCACTCTGGACACCTGGCATCGTCGCCTCGGTCACGTCAACCATCGCACCGTCCACAACATGGCCCGGCTTCACTCTGTAAAAGGTATGCCTATCTCCCTGTCCCCCGCACCGACCAAATGTGAACACTGCATACTCGGCAAACAGACGAGATCAGCGGTTCCCAAGGTGCAGGTTGGTGAGCGGGCTCAGAGGAAGTTGGGGCTATTGTATGTCGACTTGCAAGGGGCTATGGATGTTTGTTCCGCATCGGGCAACGTGTACTCGTTAGATATAATCAACGATTTCTCGTCACGATTGTGGGCCTTGCCTATACCCTCGAAGGACGCTGCCAAAGCTTGCTTTGAGGCCTGGGCCAACATCGTTGAAGCCGAAGCCGGCGAGCGCATCGGCGCTGTCCAGATTGACAACGGCGAGCTCCTTTCCAATGACTTCAAGGCCTTCCTTGGTCGGCGCGGCATCACCCTCCGTTTGACCGCCCCGCATACATCCGCTCAGAATGGGCGTGTCGAACGATTGCACTGCACGTTGATGGATCGCGCACGGGCCATGCGCCTTGCCGCGTCTGTGCCCGCTAACCGTTGGGACGACTTCCTTCTCACCGCTAACTACCTCATGATTCGTACGCCGTCTCGGTCGCTCCCTGCCGGAGTCACCCCTTATGAGATGTGGTATGGGCGTAAGCCGGACCTCTCCCATCTGCGGGAAATCGGGTGCCGGGCCTTCGTCACGGTGTTGATCCAGAATCGCCACAATCCGAAGCTGTACGAGCGCTCGGTGGAGTGTGTGCTCATCGGCTACGGTGAGAACTCGAAGACGTACCGGTGCTACCATCGTGGCACTCACAAGGTCGTCAACTCATTCCACGTAGCCTTCATTGAATCGCACGAGACTCACACGCCCGCTGTCGGTGCCCAGTCCGTGCCCCTGCCCGTGCCGCCTCTGCAGGCTGTACCTCCTGTCCCGTTGCCTATGCCTGATGACGACCCCGTGGCTCCGGGCGTCCCATCGTTGGCTGGCACGGATGCTCCTCGGCCGGAGGAGTTGCTTCCTCCCCCGGCCCCGCCTGCTGCTTCGCATGTCACGCCGGCTCTTGACCCGCCTGCTGCTCCTCATGTCGCGCCGGCTCCTGACCCTCCTGCTCCCTTGCGTCGCTCTTCACGCCTTCCCATCCCTTCCCAGCGTCGTGCCGAAGCTGACGGCTTACCCTTCGCGTCGCATCTGCAGCGCACTTTGGACAACATTCGCTCTCGTTCCCAGCGTCCCTCGGTTGCTTCGGGAATTCCAGCTCCTGTCCCGGTACCCGACGCTGATCCTGTCCCGATGCCTGCTGTTGCATCCCCTGCTGTGCTCGCTGAACCTCCTGTGCCTCCGGTGTTCATTGTCGACAATCCTCCCCCCATTGTCGAGCCTGTCGTTGAGGACTACCTCGCCGCTCTGGCTGCCTCCGAGGTCATCCCGCTCGACGTCAAATACCCTGGCAACTTCGCTACCTTGGACGAGGCCATGGCCGGCCCGTTCAAAGAGCAGTGGACGGCGTCCCTCCAAGACGAGTTCAAGTCGATCAAGGACCTTGGGGTGTACAAGCTGATTCCCCGCTCCGCAGTTCCGGCTGGATGGCGCATTCTGAAAGGCAAGCCCGTGTTCCGTCTGAAGCGGAACGAGAAGGGCGAGCCGGTACGCTTCAAGTCCCGTTGGTGCGCTAAGGGTTTCCAGCAGGTATACGGGCTTGACTACAACCGCACGTCGTCGCCCACCATGCGCATGGAGTCATTCCGTGTCCTACTCCATGTCGCCTCGTCATTGGGCTGGGAGATCGAGCAACTGGATGTGAAGACCGCCTTCCTACACGGCATCCTGCCCGAGGACGAGCACCTCTATATGGAGCAGCCTAAAGGTTTCGAGGAGCCCGGTAAGGAAAGCTGGGTCTGGGAGCTCGTCCGCGGGATCTACGGCACTAAGCAGGGAGGCCAAATGTGGAACGATACTCTCAACGAATACATGTTGAGCATCGGTTTCACGCGTCTCTCTTGCGAGCATTGCATTTACTACAGGACCAACGACCGCGGCACCGTTCTCACCGGCGTCCATGTCGATGACTTCCTGTTGACGGCTAGCTCGTCTGCGGCCAAGGAGGAGTTCAAAGATGAGTTGCGGCGCAAATGGGCCATAGCGGACCTTGGTGAGGCGCGCTTTTGCATCGGGATCCAGATTGACCGCGACCGGGCCAGCCGTTCCGTTGCTCTGTCTCAGACGGCACTGATTGACAAGATCGTGAAGGAATTCCGTATGGACGGGCTTGATTGTGCACCCATGTCAACGCCCATGGACGCAGGACTTCGACTGTCTCGCACGACGCATGCTCCCAAGACACAAGACGAGAAGGACCGCGCATCGCGTCTACCATACCGTTCCCTAGTCGGATGCCTCATGTACCTTGCGATAG